TATGAATCTTAATTGATGTAGCTCAGTTGGCAGAGCACATGCTCTGCAGGCAAACAGTCCAAGGTTCAACCCCCAGTTTCTCCAGGTAGGACTGGGAATGCATCCTGTTGGAAACCCTAAAGTGCTACTGGAATCCTAACCCTGCAGTGTGCAGTCAGTGTGAACCACATTGGGCTACGTGGACCAATCGTCTGTCTTGGCATAAGGCAAGTGTCTATTGCCTGTCACAGAACACGGTAGAATGTTGGGCACTAGCTTTGAGAGCCAGTGTGGCGTAGTGGCTAGGGTGTTGGACTAGGACCTGGAAGACCAGGGTTCGAATCCTCAGCCATGTGGCTCACTGGGTCACCTTGGGCCAGTCATTCACTCTCAGCCTAACCTGCCTTTCAGGGTGGTTGTGAGGGTACAATGGAAATATGTACATCACCTTGGAAATGGAAATGCAGTAAATATGTAAATATGATCATTTGGGTTGCCCTTTTCTGAATCGTTTCCAGCTCCACAATACCTTTTTCAGGTGAGGCAACAAGAACGGTATGCAGTATTCAAAGTGTGGTCACAACATAGTGTTTTTTAAAATAGCATTAGGTTATTGGTAGTGTTATTTTCAATTCCTTTCCTAATTAAACTTAACATGGAATTTAACGTTACCACAGCTACTCTGTCAACATCGTTTTTGAATCATCTACTATAACCCCAAGGTCTTGTCCCTGGTCAATCACCACCAGAGCCTATGTGGTTCAAGTAAAACTTAAGATTTTTTTTTTAACCTCGATGTTTATCACTTTATGCTTGTACAATAAATTGGATTCGCCATTTTACTGCCCGTTCACCCAGCTCCAAATATATACTTTTGGAACTTTTCACAATTCCATTTTTGTTTTACCCACCTTGAACAACTGATACTGGCAGTAAACCTGTCTTACCTCACTGCCCACCCCTAATTCGAGATCATTTAGGAACAAGTGTCCCAATATAAATCCTTGGATAGGGCTCTCCATTTTCGACATACCTCCACTGGGAGAACTGTCCATTTATTCCTATCCTCTGCTTCCTGTTTCTTAAAGAGTTATTGATCGTAAGAGGACTTCTTCCTCTTACAACTTGGCTGCTAAACTTACTCAGTAGTCTTTGAGGTACTTTATCAAATGCTTTTGGAAACTATAAGTATGCAATATTGACTGGATCACTTCTATTTATATGCTTTTGGACACTCTCAAAGAACAAAAAGGTTAGCGAGGCAGTGCTGCGGAAGCCATGCTTCAGCAAGACTTGTTCTTTGTATGCTTGGCGATTCCATCTTTAGCCATGCTTTCCACCACTTCCCCCAGAAAAACATCAAGCTAACTGGCTTGAAATTTATCAGATTTCCCTCTAATACCTATTTTAAAATTGGTGTTACTCTGGCCTAACCAGTCCTCAGGCACAGACATGGATCCTAAGGACACCTGCTTTAAAAAGGTAACAAAATGACTCCACTCCACAAACATAAGCACACATACACAACTTACATAAAAAGCTGGGGTGGGGATCCTCATGAATGGGGCTATCTGTGGAAGCCTCAGAATTATTTAGTTCTATGTGAATGCCATTTGCACTGGTTGGTAGCCCAGCTGGTGGATGTAAAAAATAAAGCAGATCCACAGCAAATCTGAGGTCTCCCCAGAAAGTGGTTCTTTATGGTTTCAGAGAGAAGCCCTATCTGGAGATGCCAAATACTGAACCCGGCACCCTTTTGCATGCAAAACGTTTGCTCCACCACCAAGTTACAGCTCTTTGCTCTCACACACCAAAAGAAATGAACAAGTATGAGCAAGCTACGATTCCAAAGGATGACTGAGCTAAATGGAAATACTTGTCTTTATAATGTACAGTCAGATAATGCTTTTGAACAAATGGTCTAACGGAAAATGCATTTCTCTGTTAAGGGGAACACACTACTTAAGAAAAACCAACTTTATCTTATGAGGTCACCCTGATCCCCACCCCTGGTTGAGGCCAGCAAAGGTAGATGGGGAGGAGGGAAAGTCAGCCTGTTTTGCTTTAGACACACAAGCCACTCTACGGCTAAGTGCTCCATTTGATGTTCAAATTGAATTCTGAAAAACCACAAATAAGCTAGAACATCTGCTACCAGCAGCAATACAAAGCAAGTCTAGAAGAGGCTACAAGGAGCAGAAGATTAAAGTCTCTTTTGCCTTAGATCCAAAAAAAACCCCCGTGTGCTTGTGAGCCATGGCCACCAATATATCCCCCGGTCTCACTTCACGGGACATATTTCACATGTCCTACCTGCCATTTCCGTTCCAGCAACCTTTGCAACTACCCTGCAGTGGAGGTTTCACCCGCAAGTCTGGCTACGAATAATTAAAAAAGATCTCTGCAGCAATTTCATTGCAAAAGAGCCAGCATGCGGCATATGCAGGGCTATCTCTGTGTTAACATGTACAAATTTTATTTGTGGGGCTTATTCTATAATTTATAAGGTTGCACTCTTTGCTCAGTTATGATTCATAGATTTAAAAACCTTCTGAGTGACCAAAAAGTGTATTTGATAAACGGGTTGTTGTTTTTTTAATAAAAGAGCAGCATTTCTAAAAACTGCAAATAGCAAGAAAAAAGGATCCTCCTTCCGCTCCAGCACAGAAGGTAATGAATGGTTCTTCAATGCACTCTCTAAAAACAAAGTGTGATTTTTTTCCTATAGCTTTTTTCTTCCTTTATATGCAAACTGAATCTACTAGAACTCCGGTAAGATTTTTTTTTTAATCATGCAACAGCTGTAAGTATATTTTGCTGTTGCAGCAACACCACCAAACAACTAGAAATTGTTCTCTGCCTTCCACCCCATCTCTCCATTTACGCACACGCCCATTAAACCTTTGCAGTCCAGGAAACTCAAATTGCCCAATGTTAATTTCTGCACTTGTGTACTGCAACAGCAGAAAATACATACCACCCTGTTCATATGCAGGGATCTATCCTGAGTTTTGGAAGTCTTTTTAAAAATAAAAATCAGAGTCCAGTTCTCCATCATAATGGACAAAACAATATTCAAAATCTGCAGTATTGCCATGCACAACTTTTTGTTAGTATATATCGTGCCTGCCTAAAGAGCAGCACTCCACACACATTCAAATCAAGGTCCATGTTTGCCAAGACGTGGGTATTTAGTGCTATACACAACTAAGTGATGTCATGGTCATTTTGCAGACGTTGGGAGGACAAGAAAATATATGCAATTAAATGGAACACATACCGAAAAGGTATCCTTTCTAGAACATTAAGCAACGATACCTGGGGTATTCCAAAGCATCTGGAGGGCAACTGCCGTTAGCTCCAGCTATCATGGCCATGTTGGCTGGGGCTGATGGGAGTTGTCGTCCAAAATATCTGGAAAGCATCAGCTGGCAAAGGCTTTCCTAAAGGGAATGCCCTTTGCAAAACCACTAACGCAGCAAGAAATTCAATGTCTTTTCGCCACAAGTGGCAGAGACATTTTGAGTGTTGTGAATTGCTTTAGCTGGTTAAGAGTTGGAGATTCAAAGCTAATATGAATCTCCTCTTTGCATCTTTTATTAAGCCTAAAAAAGACAAACAATAGGAAGTGTTATATAGCTCTATGGTCTGGCAAGGGCATGATATCTACCTGCAGCAAAGTTGCTGCATTTATTCATTTATTAAATTTATATCCTGCCCTTCCTCGCAAAGGAGCCCAGGGTGGCAAGAAGGTCTGAGTTAGCGCTTGGTGGTGAAATAACTTTGTTCTTCCTCTGCTCCTGCAACACTGCCGGGAAACAAGCCAAGATTTGGTTTGTCCAAACCGAGGCTCATGGTATGTTTCACTCCAAAGAAACCATGAGCTTAATTTTGAGACTGACAAGTACACAGAGGCAAAGCAAGGGGCAGCGTGTTAAAAATGAATGAGGTAAGTCAGAAGTATAGACCTTTGTTTGCCTCTGTATCCTTGTGAAGCACACCCAAAAACATGCAGAGCAAGATCAAAGGAAAATGGACAGGACATTTTTTGTTTCTTTAATTTTGAAAACTGAACATCCCACCACTCGCAGCCCTTCAATTGCAAGGTCTCATGTGGTAAGTGAGCTCAATTACCCATTGTTAAGACCTGTTTATATAGCACTTTGAGCAGAATAGTCCATAACCTGTGGGTTCATTTCTGTTCAATTGCTATTGACTTGGTCAAATTTCTGCAAATTTTTACATGAACAGTCATGCATATATTGTTGGAAGGGTCTTTTAGACATGTCACCTGAGCCAATCGACTGCATGGAACAGAAGTTTGGGCTAATGGGAAAAGAGCAAATGTTGTTTGTCTAGACAAAAAGCTTACAGAGGTCACATTAGTACTAAACACAAGCTCTCACATAATTTTACAGCCTCGGTCGTATTTGACCTGAACTTTTGTCATTATTTCTGTCGTATCATCTCAATCCTAATCAAGTCCCTTTGTCCTTCATCCCCTACTGAAACTTACTTAAACAGGTATTACTTAATCCTAGCATTGTTCTACTTGTCAATTTGGTCCAGCTGCATTATGCTGACAATGAACCTCAGCAATTCAGGTAATGCTTCAAACTTGGGATAGCCGCCCCCCCCTCCCCCCGGAAAACAGCAAGAGTTCGCTTACGTAGGCAGGAATGCCCCATACCACCAGACAAATCATCCCCCAATATCCAAGAGACCACCACTGTGATGTAAAGCAGGTCTGCAATTACAAACACCTGGCCTGTAAAAGGAGACCTCATAAATGCTACTTGCTTTAGAGTATGGATCACCTTTGGTGTTAAGATAATAGTCAGGTAGCAACTCCCTGAGAAGTGAATTCTTAAAATGAGAAAGACCAGAACTAGCCAATGAACTAGAGGCTGGAAAGCCTCGCTAAAGTTCATCACACCCACTTTTATTCCTCGTACTGAAGCTTCTCGTTGCTGTGCAGAAGCGCTAAAGCAGTGGCCTACGGACTAAAAACTAAGGGGCCAAAAAGTGATGCTCAACAGGATCTCACGTTTATTATTGAGAAGTGATTAATGGTGAAAGAAAGGCAGCGCCCATTCCTCATTGGCTTAACAAGAAAACTGAAGAAACATTCACTACACAGTTTACAATATTTTTCTTCCAAAATTAATGTTCCTGTAAACAAACAAGTTTTTACCACTGTTCTCAGCCTTCAAATCAAATCAAGCCAGACTTAATCTGTAATCCATATAATGCACAAGAACAGAACATTTCTTAGGACTCTTCGTATTTGACTTTGAGAGAAAATGAACCACCCCTCAGACACGACCTTGCCGACAGATTCCATTCAAATCTTCTAGGCATAAAAAATCAAATTCTTCATAAAATTCCTCTTCCAGTCCATGGAAAAAATGTTATTTATTCCACTTTCCATGGTAGATGTCCAAAAGAAAGTCACAACTCGGTGTTCCAAGTGCAAATGTCAAAAAAACCAGAGGGAAGAGAGGTTTAGAAGGCCAGGAAACCAGGGAAGCGGCAGGTTTAAAAATTAGAGAAAAAGGCATATGCCACTTGCGGACTTTAAAATCCGATCAACATAGTAAAAAGACAAAAAAACAAAGCGTATGCTCTGAAATCACAACCAAAGCCAAAAGAAAGGGGACAGTTTTCACCTCTACTCTACCTAGAAGGGTTTTTTTTGTTTTTGTTTTTAAGTCCTATGTCTCTTGTGAAATTCCAATACTTTTTTTAAAACTGTAAGTTTATAAGAGTTTGTATGAAGTCAATGAAACAAGTTCTAATTTTCTCTGGTGTAGTTTTTCGTCCTTTCTGAAAGATATCCATGTTGCAGCATGTCTGCTGCAGTCTCTGTGGAAGGGCTCAGCGTTTTACTTGACACGGCCTTGACGTTCCTACAGGAGAGAGACAGACAGAAAGGAGGCGGTTAGTGGCACGGCAGTTTTGTAAAACTTTTAACAGTATTATTTTCACTGCTGAATAGGTTAATGACTTAAGATGAGAGTCATTCCGTGGATATTCAGCTGAGCTGAGCTACCTCCTCATATTCCAAATATACCAGACAGCACCTGCTTTGTGCACATTTTAATCCCCAAAACATCTTTTGAAGCAAGCCAATCTGTATCATGAAAAACATTCACTTGGGTCTGCGTCCTCCTAGAGATCCCAGTATTTCTAACAATCAGAAAAATTTTGGACCTTAACTAGATCAGGGTAGGCATCGTGGCTCCCTCTAGATGTTGTGGACCACAACTCCAGTCATCCCTGACCATTGATCATGCTAGCTGGTACTGATGGGAGTTGTCATTCACAACACCTGGAGAGCACAATGTTGGCTACCCCAGAACCAGATAGTGGTAATTTCTGTTTCTTCTTCCTCTTTTACATTGTGAAAAACTTAGTCAACAAGTGGCAATGCAATAGCTGGTATAAAGCGTGCTATCGACACACCAGCTGAAAACTAAGCTACTAAGGCATAAAGCTCTCCAGAGGTGAAGGCAACTGAAAACATAACACTCCCACTCAAAAGGTGTCAGGATAGAATTTAGCTGCATTCCATTCCATTTATGTGAACAAACTATATGTAATCATACTGCACCTTCCATTTACCTGATCATTTTATAATTTAACCGCTAAAAGCAGAAAGTTAATGTGGTCTGAACCTATATATTGCAGGACACTCAGCATGCATCCCATCTAAAAGATGAAGGCTAGGCTGCTAACTAGCAGCACTTCAAGAAGAGTGCAAAGAAATCCCTTTACTATTCAGGCATAACTGATCCCTTCAGGCTACTGAGAACATCATGTCAGCTGGTTATCACATGTTTGATACCAAGGCAGGGATGCCAACAGAGCAGACTCTGCTCCCACGTAAATCTAAAGGAATGCAGAGACAAACTTTAAGTTACATACTAATGCAAAGCTCCTTAATAAAAATTGTACTGATGCTTTAAGTTTGTACTCCCATCACAGAAGTTTGCCTGGGCACTTTGCTGAACTATGCTAGACTTTTGATAGGCCAGCCTATTCAATAGGCTATCAACAGTTCAAATCCCCATTTTTTTCATTAACTTTCAAGATGGTCTTGGCAAAGTTGTAAGAAAAGAAAAGCTCTGCTGGGTCAAACTATAAGCCTATCTTATCCGCCATGTCATTCCCTTTGTGGCCAACCAGATTACCATAGGGAAACCCCAATTGTCTGTTTTACTCCTCTGTCAAACAGGAATGTGAAAGACAGGACTATAATCTATGGGGAAAGGCTATTAATTCCACTTTCCCTTAAGGCTATTGATGAAACACAGGAACAACCCAATGCAGGAAAAAACAATCTAGGACTCAGCCCTCAACACTGTCAGAAGAGGATGACCGAAGAGGTAATGCTGCAAGATGTTATCTATCACAGAGTAAGTAGAAGAGCAGACACAGGTTACATGGGAAGACCACCTGACTTGGGACAAAATTTGGAATTTTACTTATCGGCAAGAAAATTACTTCTCCAGAGCAAAAAGCAAATGTAAGGTAAAGTACATCCTTTCTGATCTCAATGGATCACAGCTGCAACTGAGTAAGATATCCTTCCATAATTTATCCAGTGTTGTCTTTTGTTTTGGAAATCGTATCAGGTATACTATTCCAGAATGTTTCCTTTAGAACATCCTGCATGTAGACATTCCTGATCTAATTCCATCCCACAACACCCTGCTGCAGCCTTCCCCAACCTGGTGCCATCCAGATGTTTTGAACTCCAACTTTTATCAACTCCAGCCAGCAGGTCAGGGATTATGGGAGTTGTGGTCCAAAATATCTGAAGAACACCAGGACACCAGAAAAAGACTGCTTTAGAGGGTATACAGTGTGGCGAAGATGCAACGCCTGGTTTTAAGACTAAAACAGTGTAATACTCTAGCTAGCTGCAAGTTAACATAATTTAGTTGAGAGATTTGTGCCATAGTTTAGGAAATGTATGAAGGTGAATCAACAGGAAGCTTGATTTAAATGATGTTAGCTTTTTTCACATTTAATATACTGGAAAATTTGTGGAAGGAGGTTAAAAACAATAACAACAGTAATAACCATAAACAGTTTTTTTCTTTTTGCTAATTTTAATTAATCAATCTTGCCTGAGAGCCCAACAACATTCTTTCTTAATCTTGTTTCAGAGACAAGTGAAAATGTCTTATTCTACCAGGTGTTAGGGATTTTACTGAAAGTGTGTTTTTGTTTTAACCGCTTTATTAATTTTTTTCTGCAATTTTATGCATTACATTTTTAAATTGTTTAATTCATGGTAACCTAGTTTGGGACTGTGTTAAAACATGGTACAGAAAAGTGGTCCTATATAAAAAGGTATCCAGAGTCTTCAAGGGAAACATCACAAGCAACACTTTAGGTTGTATCCAAGTAAGTCCCACTCAGAGGAGACCCATTTAAATTAATGAAACTAAGCAAGTAATATCCATTAACTTCAGTGGGTATACTTCGAGTAGGACAAGCACTGAACACAAACCACGGGATTATTGCAACCTAGCTGTAATCCAGAATTCAAGATCTGTGGCCAAGCTCTGCCTATCTAGTTTAAGTCCTGGAGGTGATGCCCTCTACCGCTTGATTCCCACAACCATGTGTTTTCTACAAATTGAGTGTAGTTACTATAAACACCAAAGCCAATCTGAAACTTCTATAATGCATTAGCTATCTAACACAGCATTTCAAATACTATATAAGAATTTAGCTTCTGATAGATTTATCACCATACAAATTATATAGATTTACCATAATTTGAATGAAGTCATCGTTGTACAGCACCTAGAAAGCAATTAATGCTATTAGCTTTCATTGCACTGATAATAGCCTTGAAAACAAATGCTAGGGGCAAATCATCTGTCATATTCCCAAACCTGATGCCTTATGCATATGAAAGTTCTCTCTTCTGGAAGAAGAACGTATGTACACTATCAATGCAAACAAAGCAATGGACTAGGGGCCCAACTAAGATGTTGTATGTAAATGTATGTAAAATTCTCATCAGCCATCTTGTCCCAATAGCTACACTCTTCAGCTTGTTCTATGTAAAAATTCAACTATGCTTAGGTCACTGGAATCATGCTTTCACGTTGCATGTTTCTCCTCTCCTATGTTCCAATTCACTCCCCACTTCTGGCAAACCACGGTGTGTCAGCATATCCAAAACTGAACAAACTGATTTGTGCAACCTCTGTTTTGCCTCCAAACAAGAACTAGAACTATACTATGGTTACACAAAGCAGAGATGCCCTCCTTCACTTTGAATCAGGAAATCTGAGTGTGCAAGAGGAATAGGGAACATGGGAACTTGAGACACAGCCCCATCAGCCAAACCATGGTTTGCAAATTGCTTAATAGCCAATGGCTTGTGTCCAAAACACATTTGCTCAAGCATCTAAGCAGAAGTGCTTTTCAAGACAGCCCTCAAGATTTCATCAACTTCACCAACCCATGACATATGCTAAAGTGTTTGATGGGACAAACCCTCACAAGCAGCTTTGATTTGCCTTCAAAAGAAGTGCTTTCCACTTTTGCAAATACAACTTTGTACACAAGAGAATGCATTGTGAGCCAATGGCATGGCAGTTATCATAATGTAGAACAGGGATGGGAAAAATCTGATAGCCACATTCTTTCATAGATCTTTTCAAGGGCTGCGTTCATGGCACAAGGAAGGAACTAGAGGCAAAAGGAGGCAGCACAGTGGATGTGACACATGCCAATCACAGACACCCAAGGAAGGCATGAAGCAGCACAAGTTGGGGGGGCAGGTTGAAAAGGGGAGTAGCCAAAGAGAAAGCATCAAGGGCCAACCAGAGAAGCCTGGAGGGCCACATTCTGTCCCCGGGCATGAGGCTTCCAACCCTGACTGACTACATTACACCAAACTCCTAACTAAAATGGCAGTGATGCTTCTTAACAAATCCTAGTAAGATACCTTCAAAAGAACCTTTCAGAAACCACAGAGTAAGGAAACTTTTTGCAACTTTATTTCAGGAAGCAAAAACGTGACAGACATGAGGTGCTATTTAGAGATGCTTTTAAGAATTGGTAGCATTAATACACTTTGAAGTCCTATCAGAAGTTAGAATGAATAGTGTCTCACAAACTATTTTAATTACGTATTGTACAAATACTGACTATGCTTTGGGCACTGAGTTAATGGCAGTGGGCGGGGAGGTAAGGAGAAAGACCTATAAGGAACTGAAGGTTGCGTCAATGCTGCGCCAATGGAGTTCCACTGGTGCAATAGCATTTTCCTTTTCTCTCCTTCACACGTGCGCCCCAAAAACCTGCTCTGGAAGGTCCCCCAAATCTCCAGCACTGATTTTGAGGGTGAACAGGGGACTGGAAGGAACAGGAGAGGAAGAAGAGGTTCCATTGTGCCAACAGAGCTGCAGGACTCTTACAAAATAGGTAAATGACATTTTCTGCATTTGTATCCTACCCAATGAACATGGATATAAGTTACTCTATTTTATCCTCACAAATAACCTTCTGTGTTGGATTAGGGTAAGCCAAAATTACCCAGCTCCTATCAGCCCCAGCCAGCATGGGCAAATGTTCAGGGGCTCTGGGAAATGGAGTGCAATAACATCTGGAGAGCACCAGACAGTGGAAGGAAAAGCTGGGAGAAAGCAACTGCCCCAAGGCCATCCGTTGAGTTTCAAGGCGGATCTCCCCAACAGCCTACTCTAACCAGTGCCTCATGCTGGCTCTCTAAAGTTATTTTCATCTGTGAAATTCTGCACCATGGCCATCCTGCTCATATTTCACTTACCGTGTTTTTCCGTGTATTAGACAAGGTTTTTTGACTCAAAAATCATGTCAAAAAACTGGGGTCATCCAATACACAGATAGTGGCATGGGGGGCAGAAGCGGGAGCACAACTTCCCCCGATGCCACAGTGAGCAGGAAACAATCTAGGTAGTGTTTCCTGCCCGCAACTGCGTGGGGGGGGGAGAAGCTGCACGCCGCCAGCCAGCTGGTTGGTGGGAGCACAACTTCCCCCGATGCTGCTGCGTGCAGGAAACAATCTAGGGAGTATTTCCTGCCCACAGCTGCGTGGGGGGGAGAAGTGATGTGCCTGCCCGCCGGCTGGCAGGAACGCAACTTTCCCTCATGCCGCTGCGCATGGGAAACGGGGGGGGGGGAGCACGCAGCGGCATGGGGGGGGAGAAGCAACAACTCTGGGCCATCTCCCCTCATTTTCTTTAAATTGAGTCGCTAAAAATAGGGGGGTCTTATACATGGGGGCATCTTATAGACTGAAGAATACGGTATCTTGACTCATTTTTAAAGAAATGTTTTTAAAACAATCACAGGAACATAGAAAATTGCCTGATACTGAGTCGAACCACTGGTTCATCTATTTCAGTATTGTCTACCCTGACATGCAGTAGCTCTCCAGGGTTTCAGACTGAAGACATTTCCAGACCTAACTGAAAATGCTGAACCTGTTGATGCTCTATCACTGAGCTATGGCCTTTCCCCCATATGAAGGCATTCCTTCTCACTGCCCTTGTTCTCCCAATTACATGATCCAAAGCTGTTTTTTACTTTTAAAAAAAGTTGAAAGATGCTCCATTCATATCTTGCATCATGTCTCAGTTTGGAACTAGCCCTCTGTTAGCAACTTGCCAAAATTTACTTTCAAACCCAAGCCTGTAGAATTAGGTACACACACAAAACAGAGAATATTCTAAGGGGATCCAGTAAGGAGATTGAGGCACTTGCTAGTGATATTACCCAAGTAAAATTTAAGTAGTGGCAAAATCAGGAAAAGTAGTGAAGAACTTTCTGAACCCTAATGCTGTAAACCAGGCTTCATCACAGGATTCTGAAATATAGTTTGCCTGCTTACTGTTCAAACCATTCTGCTGCAAGAAGGAACAGCAAGTCTAGCTTGGCGATGGCTCTGACTCAAGGGCAAAGTTCAAACCAAGTTCCAAGTGCTGAGGTATAGTATTTATAGAATGTGACTATTCAGTGATTTATATATCTGATATTTTTGGAGGAATGGCGCTCCCTTATGTGAAACGTGGTCTCCACAGTTCATAGTTCCTCACTTAGTGGTCACCAGACCAGGGAATTTACAGTTTTTCTATACTTGCTTGAATAATAATTTCAGAATTCTTCATGGTTTGACATTCAGCATGAAGTTCTGAGCACTCATTTTTGTGGGGTTGGGGCTTTTTTTTTTTTTTTGCTTTTTTTTTGCTTATCCTGCTATTTTATTGATTATAGCTATCAATAAGCATAGAACAAAGAAGGCTTTCTTCCTTAAGTATGAATGGGAGATAGGCCTCTTGAAAGGAGTATTCTCCAAATAACTCTCTAAGGAAGAACTGCTCACCTAAATAGCTGCTGAGGCTATCAGAGGTGTGCAAGTCTCCAAGTGATTATGCCCACTCCTCTGGGCTTCTCACCCTCAGTGTTTCTCTAACTTGGGTCTCCAGATGTTGCTGGGTCTCCCATCATCCCTGACCACAACTTCCTGATGGGAGTTGTAGTCCAAAAACAGCTGAAGACCTAAGTTTGAGAAACATTGCTCTAAGATATGCAGAGAGAACTCAATACTTGCTGCGAGGCTTAGACTAACCCCTCAAATTAGCAAATTCATGCTTAATGAATCTCAAGCTTTTTGAGAGCTCAGAATCATTTTGGGGTTCTGTGAAGTACTAAAGGGTACTAGATGAGAGGCCAACATAGCACATACCAATTAGTGTACTGACATCACCATCTTTGGACAAATTATGATTATATGCAATGTTGAAATGGGCTATCAAATTGTTCTGAATCAAAAAGAGTTGCTGCAAATTGTCCAAAATTGGACCCAAGAATTGCCACCTAGAATGACTCATTCAATTTAAAGAAACACTCATTTGAATAGATTTCACCAAAGATCACATACTCACATTTTGAAACCCTAGTATTGTAACACCTAACTCAATTTGGCTCTTTACTGTTGACTCTGGCTGGTCTGATTTACATTATTCAGGTGCCCCTCTGGACAGCCAAAAACAAAAAACCCCATTGCGGAATGCAAATCTTTAGGCAAATTCTTAAAGCTCTAAACAATATGTACAGTGTGTACTTTGCTTACATAGTTCAGAGCTCTAAACAAGATGAACAAATATTTTCTATAAACAATGGAGTACTGTGGCACATTAAAAACCAATTTCACTGAGATTTACTTCCAAGTAGGTCATTTAAGGCAGAGATGGCCAACTGGCAACCAATGATCCTGATATTGCATGTGACCACAGTTCAGTAGTACAGATCATGCTTTGCATGCAGCAGGTCCTAGGCTCAATGTCTGGCATCCCCAGTTAAAGGATCATGTTGCAGGTTATGGGGAAGACCATCTGCCTTGAGACCCTGGAGAGCTGCAGGCGGAGTAGACAAATGTCCTATCTTGCAGCTTCCCAGGTTCCTATGATCCAGTTTTATCCATCCTGAGAACATTTTCATAAGGATGTGGTAAAACATTAAGAACTTCTCTCACCATGACTTCTGAAACTATTTTTTAATAGATGTTCCACTCATTACAGCTTTCTATTGGTTTTACATATGATGTCTCAGATATGCAAGACTGCAAGGAACTCATAAAAATGTTTAGTACTTGCTGCCAGGTGGTGCTTTATTATAGAACCTGATCACTCATAAAGAGGTTGGTTGTGTAGCAAAATATACCTCTGCCCCCCAAACACTGCTTGGAACATCAAGTGGTTCATGAGAATACAAAAAACAGCTGCTCTTGCCTGGGTTTAAGACTGTACAGTCAAAACTCGGTTGTCGGACGTTCAGCTTCCGAAAAACTTCAAAAACCAGAACACTTACTTCTGGGTTTTCGGTGTTTGGGAGCCAAAATGTTCAACAATGGAGGAGTTTGGCAACAGAGGTTTGACTGTATCCCTACATTCTGACTGCTGTTAGGGTGCTACAGTTTCACAGAATATTGTTATAAATCTAAAGCCCCTTGAAAATACAAGTTTTCCCAATACTACTATGTCAAAGTAGCACTGAAGGAGTTACAGTATTAGGTGGATCCCCAACCAATGAAATTAACTGTAGCTTTAAAAAGTTACACATCAGGCAAATTGAAGTGTTGATCTTTCAAAGAGCAGGGATGGAGAATCTCTTACCATCTTCCTGCCAACTGTCAAGACAACAAGCTCTTTGAAAAACGACCTCTGTTACAAATGGCAGTGGACCAATAAGCCTTATGCCACTTTACAGGTGCCTGGACAACTTAGATTTGGAAGTTCTTCTCCAGAAGCCAACAGAACAGGCTAAAGAGGATGACATGCACCACTTCTGCTTAAAACCATTACTACATTCCATTAAAAGTAAAAGTCAGCTCCCACTTAAAGAGTTTCTGCCAACTGTACTGTCTTGCCTATTCATGGCTAGGGTCAGATTCTCATAACATGGAGGACACATCCAAAACTGATATGCTAAACACTGAACTATTACAAACCAAACCACTTTTAATGTACTTCTCAGACTGTGGCAGTCTTATATAAAACAAATGTACAGACTTTTTTAAAAAATCACTTTGCTTAGACAATACTAGGGACACAATAATACTGTTTTTACTTGTCCATTTGAGGGCCCACTGATCTAACTCCAACGAGGAACAAAAGGCAACTCATGGAGCTTTTAACTTAAAAGCATGCTTTTCCAGCAGCGTATCAGCTTTTAACATTGTCTGCATTGCTGTTAATACATAAGCTGAATTTTAACAAAAGTACTGCCATTTTTAAAAGGAGTGCCTGAAACCATCAAGTACCCACTGGACTTGAAAGAATTAATACACTTGTCCTACTCTGCCATTCTTCCTTCCTGCACCTTCTTTGAAGTTCTACAAACCATAAACATAAGCACCTCCAAGGTCTATTTTGCCCACTTAGTTTTTCTTCTTTGCTCATTGCATTTTTACAACATAGGTGCCTCATAAGCCACTGTTGTAAAAATGATGGAGGTCGTATTTCAGTCTTTAAAAAAACAACACCCTTCAAGGTTTGCGAAATAACCTGAGACCCATAGGTGGTTGTGCACATTAACCTTTCCCATGCAACATTTTTTAAAGAGAGTGTGCCCTATTATTACTCATTCAATTTATTACCTGCCCTTCACCATGAGGTCCTAGGGTAGGTTACAACCATTTCTTCATCATCAGTGCCAGAAAACCTGCACTTGTGTATACCAAAAGGGGAAGCAAACACTTATGCTGGTTTACAGTGGCATACATTTGGAATTATGCAATTATGCTAGTCCATACATGCGTCTGGTGAAGGGAGTCTATCTTGTGAAGAGTTTAGGCCATAATAAATGTGTTAGTCTTTGAGATGTCACAGGATTTATTTTAGTGTTAATGCTGTCATTCCACGTGTTTCTGATCCAGCAAAGGAGGTAGGGAGGAAAATCTTTTATTTCCCCTTCAGTCCTCCAACCCAGGGTTGCAAGCAGAACAGCAGCACTGGATTTCATTCTTACTCTGTACCAGGAATTGGGCACCTGCAACCCTCCAAATGTTGTTGGGACTACCCATCAGCCCCAGCTGGCTCAGCCAATAGACAAAGATTATGAGAGCTTGAGTCCAACAATATCTGGAGGGCCAGAGATTCCCCATTCCTGATGTATATAAAGTATCTTTCAAAGACCTACATAAGAAAACGAATGCAACTGGCTTCCGATGCCCAACAGAGGTATGGACTTGTGTTCCTAAAAAGGCAATCCTCATGTCATATGACATGCCTCTTTTGAAACAGTGAAGTTTCATAAGCAGTTTGATATGAAATAAGGGCCTCCTATTCAGAAGTCAAGTATTCCACCAGATGTCAATGTCATCTCAATGCCTTGGACATGCCCAAAGTAGGTGTTTAGAACCTGCCCTATGTTTCTACTTCCCATTTATTAGCATCTTCTCACCAACCACCCAAGAAGCAAAACTTTCCTCAGCATATCTTTTAGAGATGTCAAGTTAATTTTATTGCTCGAGTCAAAAGACCATAGCTATAGAAATACAAATTGCAAGTACAAAATGGGGAAATCATATTAAACGTTTTGGCCAAAAACAAAAATGCAGTCACACTTTTCACTGAAGATCAACAATCTGATCTTCGTTAAAGTCACACATGAATAAGACTGCAAGAACCCTCATCTAGCCCTTTCACTGTGTGTCCGTGGAAAGAGGCCTATTTGAAGTTTGCTAACAGTATTCCAATATAATGTATTTGTGTGCTACACAAGCTTCTCAATAAATGTTTACACAGCAATGACACCCCCTTCAAACTCACTTATAAGGAGGCGGCCATGGTCAACTTCATCTCATATAATCACACCTAATTCCTCCCCTTTGTTTCTACTCCCTACCAAATCCTGGCAGTTTGGCAAGTTACCTTTTTCACATTTTCCTCCTCCTCCTGGCGTTTCTCATAGTGTGAGAAGTCATCAAAGATGGAAGTGGTGTGCTTGTAAGTAGCAATGATTTTCAGCACCTGCTTAGCCTTTTCCAGAGGAACCTCCTGAGTGTCCCTGGAGTTGGTCACTGGTTTATTCTCATTGTTCTCTAGGCGAATGTGCCGCAGTTGGCTGTTGGGAACGTCCTTCACAAAAATCCACCGGACATCAAAGCGTCCCTTCCATTTGTCCTGGGACCACACGCCTGCGCATGTGTTGTAGTCCACAGCAGATTTCATTTCTGCAACTCCGCAGAAATGACCACTGCCATTGACACTGAAAAGTAAGTAAACAGGACCTTTTCCATTCATGGAGCGGTAAGCAGCATCCAGTCTCTTATTACCATGCTCTGTACTGCACCAGATATTATATTTAATGGAACGGTGGATATCATCCTCAGAGTAACTCTTGATAATGAAAACCCGACCATGTTTCGGGTTCCAGTCAAAATCCTTAGGGTTATAGTTGTTGATGGACCTCAACTTCTCCAAGACTGGGTGTGGCTCTGAAGGGGCAGAACCAGAAGTGGTCTGAGACTGTCCAACTGCACTACCATCCACTCCATTCTGGCCAAACCCATTGCCACGGTTACGAGGTGCAACCCAGCGGGCAGGCTGAGCTGCCTGTTGCTGCACTGGCAGCTGAGTTGGTTGGGGTGGTGGAGGTGGCAGGGGTTGTGGCTGTTGTCCAGCAGAAGGCTGCACAGCTGGAGGGCTGTTACTCATTTGCTGACCCATCGGTTGGGGAGATATTTGGGTTGGTGGTTGACCAATATTCTGAACTAAAGCCTGGGAAGCATTTTTTGTCACTGGCCCTTTGTTATCCCAAGTTCCAATATCCATGTTATGTTTTATGGGAGGTGGTGGAAGACTTGTCCCTGCAATGCCATTCTTGGTCTTCAACTTGGGTTGCTGTTTTGCAGGTTTGCTGGCAATATCAGCCCAGGATGCTGGCTTTGGAGGAGCAATGGTAGCTGGAGGCAAGCTATTAGAAGCTACAATATTGCTGGCAATAGACCCACTGCCAACAGCAGAGCCAACAACTTTTGGGACGTTGCTTGCTACATCAGTGCTGCCTAGCTTCAAAGCTGCCATCCCTTGGTCAATGGTATTCATGCCAGGTGCCTTATTCAGGGTCTCACTAGCAAAAGCAGACTGTCCATCAATCATGGCTCCACCCAATGAGCTTGGTGCATAAGCATAGTTGCTACTATATCCAGAACTTTGAGTTGATTGCCCCTGAGAACTGTTATTGCCCCAAGCTGAGAAGTCAATTCCACTTGGAAAAAAGTTAAAGCCATGCTGTCCAAGAAATGGTGTGCTGCCAAGGGCCCCTGGCTGTCCAAACATGGCATCTGGGAGAAAGTGAGGTTCTCCATTGCTTATCTGTCCATAAGATGTTAAGTAGGGCATTGGTGGATCACCCCCTGTAGACCAAGCAGCTTCACCCAAAGAGTAGGAGAATCCAATGGATGGACTGTAGTAATTCGGCATATAGGAATCAGACATTGCGGTGTACGCGTTGTTCTGGAAGAGAAAAGCAAGAACTGAACAGTTAAATGAATAGAACATTGCAGCATGAAACAGTATATGCTTTCCACAGACCTTTCCCCCACATTGTACTTTCAAGGCAAGCCTATTTACTGAAACCTGTGGCTAACACTGAACACTTTCGTCAAGTTGCTTTGAGACTTTTTATTGTACAAAGCAACTGACAAATGAAATAATAAAATTAAAAATAAGCTACGTATTTGTTTTAAAGTATCAGTGAAAATTGGATCATTCTGCATTTTACCCTAAACCACAAAGATATTCCAAAATGTGCCCACTTGTCTAGCACATGTGGTGTTTGCACTTCTTACCTATATTGTGGGTTAGCAGGATATAAACTAAGATTAGCTGGTCATACTACCCATTTAAAGCATTCAATTGCTACTCTTCTTAGACCACTGTACTAAAAGTAATCACAATTAAGGCTAAGTAAATTGATAAGTGCAGTAGACACCATTGATACAATCAAAGGTTGTTGGCGTATTGATACCAGTGAAGAACAGAAAGCAATTAACAGGTTTCAAATGATGACTATTATGTGGTTACCAGGCTGATAAGACTTAATACTTCCTTACAAAGGCACTTGGAGGTCTTATTACAATCAAAATTTATATATTTAACAAAATTTATACACGTAAATACTTCAAACAAAAATGAAAAAGTGAAGGGAGGGCTCAGTTCTTGCAACTCTTTTTTTCTTTCTAAATAATTTGGTGCAGTTTAAACTTACATGCATTTGGGCTCAGAAAACATTAAGATCCACAGTGGCTCAAACATTTGAAAGTATCTGGTTGGTGCTTCACAAAGCACTAGCACATTAATGACTTTAGCCCAAGACATTATCAAAATGTTTATCAGTGTATTTTACCACTGATAAAGAGTTCTGACCAGGTTGTATTTTAACTGTGTTCTTTCCACTTGAGTGTGGGTTGAAAATTCACTACAATTTCAAATTTAAAAATCCAAATAAAGTTCAGAATAGTTTTTAATTATGTGTTTATTATTTGAAGTTATTCGCATTATTTAATTATGTGTTTATTATTTGTTAAGTTGTTTCTGGGGTTTATACCCAGAGTCTCTGCCAATAACTAAGAATTAACCTTACACTGCACCCCACTCTACCAATAAGAAAGGATAATGCATTTTCTATGATCTACCAGTAAGTATAAGATTTAAAGAGATGTAGACAAAACCCACGCTCCAGTTAGTGGGCACATTTCAAGTTCCCCCTGTACAAGCCACAATAAGATGTGCACAGCTGTTGGACAGCACCCATGAATTTTTGTATGTCTCTTGATCTTCCATCAATAAGCCCAAAGTAGTGGGGCAGACTAGGTTGAGATACTAAGTAATTTGCCTAAAGCTTCATCTTGTTCTAGAATGCAAGATCTTAGGTGAAAGTTATTTGATCACTCAGCTACAATATAAGTTGTTGACACCACAGCAGCAGAAACATTCCTTCTTGATAAAGTGTTCTCATTTAAACATCTCTCAGCCCATTTTACTTGTTCAGCAGACCCACATAAAGTGAGAACAGCAACAAGCTTTGAAAGGATAAAATCTTTGTCTCTGGACCTACAAGAATGAGTAGTTTTGTATTTGACAAGTCTCAGATTTCAAAGCCATTTAAACCAAGACCCTCTTCATGTATTTTGCTGTGTAGTCTGAGTAGATTATAAGACTGGGCACAGGACACCCAGCTCAAGGGAACACCTTACAGTGTCACTCTACACCTGGGAGCCAACCCAACACTCTGCAGCAACTGGTGAGTTGCCCAAAGGGCTTTTGGAGACCAGAGAGAAGCTCCCTGCAGGAAGCATAGGATAGATTCAACTAATGTAAGTAAAAACATTCAGATACACTGGGAAAAGGGCTATGGCTATGCTTCATCAGCCAACGAACAGTTTCCAGAGGCTGCAGCAAGGATGCCTCCCTTGTCAACAGTAAGGTAGTACCTGTAATTCATCCCCCTATCCATGAAAGACACAGACACCTTACAGAGGATGTGCCATGAATGCTGCAACTTATATTTATTGGCTTCAAATAGAATACAAGCTGTGATGGAGGGCGAGGGGATCATACACTTCTGAATGTGTGAGCAGAAACTTTGCAGGTGGTGGAAAGAACTGCCTGATTTATGCCAAACAAGGAGACCACACTTGCTAAAATTATCAATACCCGACTGCCTCTTTAGCACCATGTGCACAGCGGAAGAACATATGCAGTTCTGCACATACATCTTTGCACATTCAACCTTATGGTTTCTAGAAATAGTATTAAGTTATGAGCAGTTCAAAAAGTAAGTGGCATCTCCGCCTTGTGCAGCTGCATTGTATATCCCTGAAGTGCAATCTTGTGCTCACAGCACTAACCTTTAGACTGGCATAGGATTAGGTTGCAAAGGTACTATAGCACTGGTAGGAAACCTATGACCCTCCAGATTTTGTTCAGCTACAACAGCTTCCCAATCATGCTGGCTGGGGCTGACAGGAGTCCAATAGAATCTAGAGAGCCACAGGTTGCCCACACCTGTACTGTAAGCAAGAAGGTTCTCATTCATTCTCAATAATTCTGTGATGTATGCTCATCAATGGCCAATGCCATAATATCTGTACCATAACTGCTGCTACTAAAAGAATGAAAAGTTGGCAAATTCAACCTCTCTCTGCTTCAGGAACCTACATTGCATTTAAGTGTTGACTTAGACCCAAACATAACATTAAAGGCAAATTATGGCTGTCACAAACCCACAACTTCCTAATGCTTAAGGATAATGGCTTGTATCCAATGTTAGTACTACTCAGACTGGACCCATTGAAAATAATAACCATGATGAAGTTCAGTTTGTTAAATTTGGTGGGCCTGCTCTTAGTAAAGTTCAGCTGGACACAACTCAATACATATGGCATGATAATGTTCAGTTTACCCACTACAAAACTTTGTATCACAGGTGTGATGTGTGGCAGGAGTAGCAACTGATTATGTCATATCACTCCACATTGTTCAAGTTTTTTAAAAATATCAAGAAGTGAGGCGGGGAGGGGCGGCAGACAACAAGCATGTCTGCTTCTTTTGAGAGCACTCATGGTGATTCCTATGTCCAGTTTGGGCTTCCCTACCCGCCAGTTTCAAATAGGACATAACACAGTCACCGTAGAAGCAGGAAAACCAACTGTGGTTTCTTTCAGATAACTGAACTGATCAAAGAGTGAGAAAATGAAGAATCTGACATGCTAAGAGAGTGAAAATTTGAAACTAAGGGTTGTATCCAACTAAGTTCAACTCAGAGAAGACCCACTGAAATTTGTGGACATAAGTTAGTTATGCACATTAACTTCAATGGGTCTATTTTGATTAGAACTAACTTTGGGTGCAGCCCTAAGCCTTCAAAGGATGAACTTGTGACCTGCAAGTCTCAGTCATTAAATTGAAATATCAGTTGCCAACATGGCATCACATTAAATAATCATTGCAAAATGTTACTTTTGTAAGCTCTTTTGAGGCTATGCATTTGAGATGTACTCCAGGAACCAAACAGCTCCCCCAAGGACCAACTGCTTTAACAGTGTAAACATATCTCTCAAGCCTGCCAGAACTCTTCCTTTTAATGCCAGCAAATAAACAGGCATTAATGGCATAACTGAGCATACTGCTGCACACAAAGACCATGAATTTTTAAATCTTAATTGAAGTTAATCAAGAATATGTTCCACCACCACCTAAAGATTAAGGATGCAAAGTGATATCACTGGGGTCACTGTATGCTGGATGTGCTCCACTTCACAAAACACTGACAATGGTCCAGTTCACCCACACCCAAATTTATTGCAGAACCCCTCATAGATCTTGATCAGGGGTCAGCAACCTTTTTCAGCCGAATTCCTATGCCCCAGAGATGCATTTTAAATAAAAGCACACATTCTACTCATGTAAAAACACCAGGCAGGCCCCACAAATAACCCAGAGATGCATTTTAAATAAAAGGACACATTCTACTCATGTAAAAACACACTGACTCCCGCACTGTCCATGGGCCGGATTGAGAAGGCGATTGGGCCGCATCTGGCCCATGGACCTTAGGTTGCCTACCCCTGATCTTGATAGTGAACTGTCATTGAACTGCCCCAAATGCAAAACTGACCACAATAATCACCCACTACTTAACAAAGTCTCTCTTGTTTACAGAAGACCTACTACTTAAGAAATTGAAGAGCTGAAGAGTACAAAGATGACATTCCATATCTAGCAATGCAAACTTTCCAAGGCAAAGACTAAGAACTATAATGTAACAACCCAGTTACAAGGCCCAGTTAATGAAGTGGTTAAACCAAGGTTCCCTACAACCAAAGGCATAATTATCTCAAGCCTACCAATATTAGGTTGACATCTACTTCACAAATAAAGCAATGCTTTAATTCGGAGTTTAAAAGTCGGCATCTAGGGGCTTCCTCTCATCTTGATTGACTTTTTGTTGGCATTGTCTACCAGTGGTGAGGGGTGTGATGATAGGAACCCAGGCGCAAGTAGCACCCATGTGCACATTTTTTTTTATTATTAACAAAACACCGGGCAATGATCAGGGTAGAGGGGATCAGCGTTAAGCAAAATCAAATGAGATTTAAAACTGTCCAGGACTCTGCTCTGCTTGAGAGGACCCTGGATAACTCCAGCCAGTTGTCACAGGCTGCCAAACAGATCCATTTTCCTATCACTTTAGATGCATCCAGATGACTGTTTTCTGGAGCTGCCACTATAATGTTCAATCATGTCCAGTAGGAAAACTGTTTTTGAGCCCCCAAATCTAATTATTTTTCACCATGGCACAAATAAGTAATTGCAACATACTGTGCTCTGGAAGAACAGATCACATGGTTTTGCTATCACTACTACAAGGCCTGTAAGATATTTACACAATTACTCAAAAATTTCCATTTATTCCTGGCAGGGAACTCCTGAAGCACTATGAACCACCCAGCTCCCTGTAAACTTCCAGGCATCACAGGATTCCACCCTCTAATATTTAACATGTATATATAACATAAGGCCACTAAGCAAGATCAAGTGAAGACCTGGCATGAGGTGTCATAAGTACGCTGGTAACACCCAGCTCTTTTCTTTTCATCCGACCAAGGTCCTGTAGTCAGTTTACTTGATATCCAGGGTAAGTGGGGAACGGGATGCAGACAAGCCAACTGGAGCTGAAGCCAATAAAAGTGAGGTAATGATGAGTAGCAGACCTTTGATTGCAGGAAAATAGGAACATCCAGCATGTATGGGGGATGGTCTGCCCTGGGTTCCTCAGGTTTACATGCATGGAATGTTCATACAGCTGTAGCTTCAGTGGTATGAACACTTTTCACAAAGTTATCAGCAGAAAAGGCAACTGCCCCTTCTTATCAGTTCAGAATTGAAAGCCACCTGTTGTGCCTTTGCAACTTTGAAGCTTGCTACTGCAATGTTTTTAACTGCCTACAGCTAGTCTTGACACATCAGTGATTGGGAGCACATTACAACATGATTCAAGAGGCAGTGGTCTTCTGGGAACAATTCAAGATACTCATGTATCCAGGCTACTTTAATCCTGTCACAAACTCAAAGACTGACTAGATGTGCCTACATGATCATGCTAAATGTGCACTAGAATACACTATGGCATGCGGCAATGTATTATTGGACAACTATGGAATTCTCTCCCAGCAGATCCCAGCCACAGTGTGAACCTAAACACCTTCCAGAAGTAGGGAGAATAACGGCTGTCTTTAAGTAGTCAAAATGAAACTGATATTAAGGTTTAGCTCTCATCTAAATCAGAAGACTGAATCTAACTAAAGTACAAGCACCCCTCCTTTCACACACAAATAAACTGCTGGTGAAGATAAAAAAGGTAAGTGTTCTAAATGAAATCTCCTAGAACTAAGTCATCCTGTACTCTGATTTATTCTACAATTCTAAGCACATTTACTTCAAAGCAAGTCCTAGTGAAATCAATGGCACTTTTATAGTTTAGCTAATTGCAGAATTTCAAGCATAGAATTTAGGAAGTAAGTGTGCTGAGGATTGTGGCCTTGGTTCACGAAAGAGGCTTAAATGATTTATACAGATAAAAACAGAGACAGAAGTTTATATGTAGTCTACTCTTCCTTTAGGAAGCTGAAATAAGTTTGCACCGGGACCCATGTTAAGGAGAACTGGGTGAGGGGTTGGGGGGATTATTTATTTAATGCTAGGTTTGCAACATTTATAAGCATTGTGCAGCTAACACTCAGTTGTTACCACATGCTTCCAGCACAGTGCACTGCATATTTCCATATAAGTTACATATGAGTATCTATATAGCATTGCCAGTTCAGTCAGCCGTTAGTTAACTGTACAATGTCAAGCCCAAAAGGCATCCTGAAAGCTAGATAGCAGAAAAGGAAACAATTACTAATAATGCGCCCCACCCATTAAACAAATAGGTACTTTTTCTATCACTCACCGGTCTGGCCTGAGGACTCAAATAAGGTTCAATATCATCATCATTTAATCCATCTTTCTGATGCACCGATCCATTTTGCACTAAAAACAAAAATGTATAACAAGCATTATTCAATACCAATATAGTTTATTCTATCTTGTCTAAAAGCCACACCCTGTGTCCTAGAAAGTCTTGCCACCTGATCCCTATTCCTGCACATAGAAAATGAAAGATGTCAATTTTCCTTCTGCTTCAATTCTGCCCCCTTCCACTGTAAAGGTTGGGGAACTAAAGGGCAAATTACTCCCTGTATATGCTGCCATTATCAAACACAAACTGAACTCTCTTTACACTGTTTACAGCTACATGAGCCACAAAAAGCATCTTTTAGTTTTACATTTAAACTTAGGGAAGGAGCAACTTCATTAATAGGAACTTTCCTCTTCGAGCAGCCCATCTCATATGGACAAGCATTTCAAAGTGAAGGAGGGAGAAACACAGGTACAGGCTTTGGCAGAATTCTGTTCTACAAGTGGAACCCATGAAATGACCCCCTTAACTTTTTTAACATTACAAACTATTCTCATTTATATGGCCTTTTAAAGCTTCTCTCCTTTATGTTCACCTTAAAAGAGCTGTAGAAACTTAATGAGTCCATTCCTTCTCCTTTAGCCTGAATATTCAGGCAAACCACCAATCTCCAGTTATTCACTGCCACCAGTTTTGCTTACAGGACCTCCTCCTGAAAAGCTGTCAAAGGGCCCTTTTCTGTGCTGTTATCTTCATATTGCAATCCAAGGATAGCCAATGGGGCAGTTTCCAGATGTTGCTAGACTACAACTCCCATCGTACCTGACCACTGCCCATGCATGCTTGGGATTGATGAGAATTAGGGTCCAACAACATCCAGACGGCACCACAATTACTACCCCAGCAGTAAGCCATACATTATCTTTTTATTACAACTTGCTGTGTTTGTGTGTTGTTGTTTTTTGGTTTTGTTTTGATGGTGGGTGAAGCCTAGAGAAAATGGGAACATGCAATACCCCCTCAGTCCACTAACATAAACTGGCTACTGCCACCTTTTAATGTGCACTGCACCCTCTTAACTATGACTCACTTCTGCAATTAGCTCAAAACGTTAATTTCCAAGCACCCAGCTCCTTGCTCTGCCGAATTAAAGAGCCCATTAAATACGTCACACTTTCCCTCTTAACCAGGGATAACTCGTCACTCTCATCTCAATCAACTAATTTGGGATTCCCTTACACCACACACACACACATATATAACTAGAACTAAGTTTTAAGCCATAAGGCAATGATGACTTCCTCCAGTTTTTTTCCCCCCAAGGGGGCATCATTGCTTACGGGAAAACACGCTGCATTCCTCCCTGCCACGTTCTGTTTCATTTTATTTCTCAAAAGTCACACGGATACGTATGTGTGTTGCCCATGCGGCAACCCACGCTACGGTTTCCTGGACAGACGGCGGCACGGCAGGAACTCACCTGCATGCCTTTCAGGAAACAAGAGGTCCGATCGAAAAATGGGACGGGAGGCGTCCCTCCCTTATCCTCCATGAACGGAAAAGGCGCTACCTTTCCACCACTCACACTCCCCCCACCCAAAAAAAGGAAACCACCACCTCCCCGGCCACCCCTCATGGATCTCTCCCGGTCCCGCCTCGGCGGCTGGTCCCTCAACTCACCTTTGGTGCCTTGGCCCTTAGGTCTCTGCAGCGGCGGCGGCGGCGCAGCGGCGAGGAGAAAACGAGAGAGAAAGGGAAACATAAGGCGATGAGGCAAAAAGAAGAGGAACCCGAACCCTGAGTCCGACGGAGACGCGAAGGAAGGGAAGAGCCGGAGAGCAAAACCTAGGCCTCTCCGCCTGCCTCGGGGAGGCTTCGGCGGGAGGAAGGCCGGGCCCTGCTTGACGGCGGGGGTTCGTTTGAAACGGGAGCGACGCGAGGAGAGGAGGGAGGGCGCGCGGGGCCTCCTCGCTGCCCGTTTATGCTCCCCCCACCACAGCCGCCCGGTAGGCCCGAAGCCGGGGCCTTTCCCAGCGCGGCACCTCCAGCTCCCCGCCGCCGCCGCCGCCAGCCAGTTTCACCCCCCACCCCGGTTACCTGCTCCAAGAGGCTGCTGGCCGACATGGCTCCGTGCGGCGGCGTCTGGCGGCGGCCTCGTTCCGAGGTGAGCTGCGCCGGTGAGGCGAGGGGGGGCCCGGGGGGAAGCGAAGGGGCGGGGGCGGTAGTGGTGGCGGAGACCGCGGCGGCTTTGTCCGGGGAGCGAGGAGGAGGAGGAGACACACCGCGCGGCTCGCTCTCGGCTTCCTGGCGGACTCTGACTGGCTCGCCCCGCCCGCGGCTCCGCCCGCTTCTCGCCTCGACGCTCTAGCCCCCGTCCCTCCACCACAACAACCCCCACTCTCTATGGTCCGCCCCCGCGCGCGCACGCATGCGCGCACTCGGCGAGGGTTAGGTGTCACGCGGTAAAGGGAGCGCGCGGTGAGAGACCGCGCTGGGGGGTGGGAGAGGGGAAGATGCGGGGGCAGAGAAAAGCATGATGGGTAAATGTGTTGAACCGCTCTGGGAAAGGGGTGGGGCGATGGAGGAGGAGGAGGAAGAGTTGTCACTAGCGCCCCCTTCCGGAAAGGTGCTGTAAGTTATAATATGTATAAAAATGCAGCCAAGGAAGACGGGGGAGGCTGTTAATTTATTGAAAGGGGGCCTATGCCTTTAACAACCTTGGCTGCTTTTTTATTTTATTTTTAATGAAACGCACACACACACGCACAGCCATGGGCGTAGCCGGGGGGGGGGCAGTAAAAAAAATAGAAATACTTAACTAACTGACCAATCAGGTCAGTTCTGCCCCCCCCAACAAAAATCCTGGCTTTGCCCATGTATATAGCTTAAGGCCCTAGCAGATGCAGGTGGCATTGTGCACAGCAGTTTGCAACTGGAGCCTAGGCTTTTCTCCGGAGTCATGGAATTATAAAGTTGGAAAGGATGCCCCAAGGCTCATCTAGTCCATTCCCCGCTGAAGTGAAGACTGCAGCAGAAATAATAAATGAAAAAAGCCTGGCAAATAAAAACACACGCACACAACTTTAAGTCATGGGGGTGTTAGGTTGGACTTCCTGGTGATAAGGTTCCTGCTTCCATCTAGGATTCTAATGTTTCCTTTTACACTGCCTTACCTGCTGCCTTATGGAACTGGCCTTCTGATGGATATACCGGCCGTGTCACACTAAATCTTAAATTGCAGGAAATAGCTATATGCAGGGAATTGGGATGCCACCCCAAATTCCCTCACAGGAAATTACAATGCAAATTCCTGTGATTTTACAGGTCAATGGGTGTTGCAAACAGATTTTTCTTTTCCTGAAGCAAGCAACATGGATATGAACACTAAGCTTCTGTTAGTTTTCCCAAAGTGACTTTTACATCTTGTGAAATACCACGTAAACCTTGGAAATTATCAGGTAAGGAAACTTTGGGGAAACAGAATAAAGTGCTGTCTGAATGCAGCCCTAAACGGATGTTCTAAGAATTTTAAGGTCTTATATATACAAACTGCGGGAGGCGGTGGAAGACAGGAGTGCCTGGCATGCTCTGGTCCATGGGGTCATGAAGAGTCGGACACGACTAAACGACTAAACAACAACATATACAAAATAGATGTTCGTAAATGTACCAAGCAAACACATACAAATATGTAAACCACATGTCTGAAACCCACAGAAAAGTCCTGAAACCATTTTCTCTCTCCCAAAATGACCTCAAATATTTCTCTGCAAGGTCGAAGGAAATGGGATATCTCCCCATTGTCTCTTTCACAAATCCTGTCTTTAAGGGCACATTTAAGATATGAATAGGGTGTGAGCCTGTGTCCTGCGACCTGGATTTAGGAACGCGGGTGGCGCTGTGGGTTAAACCACAGAGCCTAGGACTTGCCGATCAGAAGGTTGGCGGTTCAAATCTCCGCAACGGGGTGAGCTCCCGTTGCTCAGCCCCTGCTCCTGCCAACCTAGCAGTTCGAAAGCACATCAAAGTGCAAGTAGATAAATAGGTACTGCTCCGGCGGGAAGGTAAACGGCGTTTCCATGTGCTGCTCTGGTTCGCCAGAAGCGGCTTAGTCATGCTAGCCACATGACCCGGAAGCTGTACGCCGGCTCCCTCGGCCAGTAAAGCGAGATGAGCACCGCAACCCCAGAGTCGGCCACGACTGGACCTAATGGCCAGGGGTCCCTTTACCTTTACCTTTACCAGTTATTATAACAACAGTGGCCAGGATGCCCAGGTAATCGAATCAGGTAACCTGGCAGACAGGAAGAAACAACACACCCAGATTTCCATCCCTTCTCTGATGTATTAAGGGGGTGGTCTTGGGCTACACCCCTTCTGTGATGTATGTATGATCTTTCTGGGGGTGGTCTTGGACTCCAGGGTGGGCAATTTAAAATGTCTATATAAGGGCATGGCTTGGGATCCCTCCCCCCTCCTGTGGGGGTGGGAAGCACCCTGTTGCAACAGCTTTAATAAAGATCAGACTTACTAGCTGCTTTGCTTCTCAATATTCTCTGGTTGGTATATGTTTTCTCCTACCGATACGAGAACCTACAAAAGGACTCTATATGGGCTCTTGGGTACCCCATCCCCATAAGGGAAAAGGAGCAGTTTTTTTTCTTATAACACAGACAAACCACTCCATACAAACAAACAAAAGAAGTCCGGTGAGGAATAATAAATGTTTTATAGGCCCTGTTTTAAAACAGCTGCATTGGTTGCCAATTTATTTCCGGCCCAATTCAAGGTGCTCCCATTAATGTTTAAAGCCCGAAACCAGTGGCTCCCAAACTCCCCCCCCCCCCGCCATGGACCACTTAGAAATTGCTAAGGGTCTTGGCAGACCACTTAATGATTTTTCTGCATGTTGTAGCAGTTGTAATGAGCCGGGCTAGATGATGTATGGTTTTTAATTGTACTTTTATTGCTTTTGTATTTCTTATATTGTATGTATCTTACTGAGTTTACAGTTTGAATTCCACAGAATTCATATAGCAGCCACAATAAAATACAATACAGTATGAGAAATAAAAGAAGCAATAAAAATGCAATTAAAAATCAATATGAATATTTAATGGGGACATGCCACAGACCACCTGAATGAGCCCTGAGGACCACTGCTGCTTTGTGGACCACAGACTGGGAGCCCCTATACTCAAGGACTTAGGCCCCAAAGATCTGAAAGACCGTCCCCATCCCTGCAGAACTTCTCAGGTGTTAAAACTGGCACAAGTTCCACCACCCTCAGAGGTTCAGGAAGATGCTGGGAAGTGGACATTTTCTGTAGCAACTCCTTCCTAGGTTGTGAAATTCCCTCCCCACAGAGATGTGCCTGGTACCTTCATTATATAGTTCCCCATTGTATGCTAAAGACACACCTCTTTTTACCCTTGCCTTCATACCCAAGATATTTTTTTCATGGCCCACCCTATTCCTGTGACTATAATTTGTCCTAAACTGCTTTTCCTACTCAGTTTTAAACTGTAGCATCCCTCCCTGAGACCTTGTGGTGAAGGTCAGGATAAGAAATCAAATTATTAATTATAGTCACCCTCATCATTATGCTCTGCAGCCACAGAATATTGACTGTTAGTGTACATTACCCCAGGAAGGAAATAAATAAATAAACGAAGATAATAAATGCATTTAAAGATTTGAAGGTTCTCAAACCAGAATCGCTAGAGATAATAATCTGACTGTGGTTGTCTACAATCTAATGGTGGCAACTTTGTAGGCCCCAGCATTGCCCTTCACAGCAGTCTCCTCCCAACCTCCCAATCCTTGCTCAGCAATAAACACAAGCTTGCCTTGTACAAAATGCCATCACTCAACACAGCCTCCCACACCAGATCATTGTGAGGATGAATGAGATAAAAACTGTGTTTTCTCTTTCTCAGAAGAAGAAGACGACGAAGAAGAAGAGTTTGGATTTGATATCCCGCCTTTCACTCCCTTTAAGGAGTCTCAAAGCGGCTAACATTCTCCTTTCCCTTCCTCCCCCACAACAAACACACTGTGAGGTGAGTGGGGCTGAGAGACTTCAAAGAAGTGTGACTGGCCCAAGGTCACCCAGCAGCTGCATGTGGAGGAGCGGAGACAGGAACCTGGTTCCCCAGATTATGAGACTACCGCTCTTAACCACTACACCACACCACACTGGCAAGTTCTGAGAAATTGCAAGGAAACAGTTGATCAAGACCCTATCGCTCTTCATTTGGCAGGCATGAAACCCATAGGTCCATTTCTAAGGTAACTTCACACATGATGCAGAGGCAATCCTGAGTGTGCTTGCAAGTGCATGCTCCACAGGGAGGTGCAAGTATGCACAGTGCCCTGGCAGGCAAGCACACCCATACGATAATACGTTTGCATTTCAACATTTTTTAAGGTCCATACTTTAAACCTCTTGTTTGAAGTGACCCCTATGACAGGGTTGGCAAGACCTGAGACATGCAGAATCTACTTTGTTATCAGAACTCTAAAATTAACAACTGGAGCCAAGACACACACACACACAAAGACACACACTATGAATTAAAGAATTCAGAACCCAGAACTCTCTTCTGAATCCCTGAACTGAAGTGAGATCACAGTACTCTTGACACACACAAAATCCACTCCCAGTTCATTTCAGCAGTACACTTTAGGGGAGTAATGCTCTTGTTTTCATTGTTAATTGGGGTTCAGAAATCCAGTAGATCCAACTGTGCCCTCGTACACCCTTGGAGACGCCCACATGCCCAGTGGAACTGTGAATCAGCAATTCCATGCACTGATGGAAAAAAAGTCAGGCACCTCCAGAAAAGGGGTTATAAGTTGTATGTGTCTATTTAGCACTGGACAGCCATTCACACTTGAGTGCAAAAGCAAATATCCATAGATTACTGAGATTAGCAGTGGATAGCTGATTCAAGTTGTGCAGCAGGAACCACAGAAAGTTGCCATGGTGCATGTCTAAGAGGTGGAGCTGCAAATCAGCATGAATATATCCCTGCCTGCCGTGAGCTTATGCGGTGGCCTTAGGCAAGCCAATCTTTAACATGGAGAGGTAATAGTTGCTCTCTGACTGCAGAGGTGAAGGGAAAGACATGGCATTGCCAGTCCAATTGGAAGTGTTTCATAAACGGTGTGGTGTCTCCAGTGTTAAGTCCCACTCAGAATAGAGCTACTGAAATCAACAGGCACAAAGGGTCTACTCTGATCTGAGCTTAGTTGGAGGCTTTTTCCCCCATCCATAACTCAGTTCCGGCACCTCTCAGGTAGGAGCCACTGCCATTCCAGGAGAATGAGAGGGAGGTGTTCATGGTGCGTTCCGGCACCTCTTTTTCTAGAAAAACAGCACTGGATACAACCCAGTCTACATATCCATTAACTGAGTATCAGTATGGTGTCATGGTTAGAATACGATAGCCCTACACTCCATGGAAGGCACTGAGTGATCTTAGGCGAGTTACACCCACAGCCTAATCTACTCCATGGGGTTGCTCTATGATAAATGGGTGAGAGAGGAAGAACCTGATATAACCATAATAATCCAGTTAGCCTTTGTTTTCTGTTTTAATTTTTAATGCAAAAAATGAACAAACAAAAAAACAAATGGCACTCCACCCATGCCCCAAAGTATTGTATTCTTACTGCCGGCTTTAGAAATTTCTGTCGAACAGATTCCCCCAAAGTCTTCTCACTTTTCCAATTTTTGAGAAATGAACCAAGTGGGAAGGAGAAAAAAAATCCCTTTTCACTCCTTCCCCTTTCCTTAAGGAAACAAGAGAGAGGGAGGGAGGGAGAGAGAGAGAGAGAGAGAGACCAGGCAGTCACATTGCTGAAGTGATGTGCCAGGCTAGAATTCTGTTGACCTATTTCTCAAAGTGTTAGGAACACCAAACATGCATACACACACACACACACACACACACACACACACACACACACGTATATATATATATATATTTATCTAGTAAGCTTGGTATGGTTCCCAGCATGCAGAGTAGGCAGCAGGTATACTTGGCCTGCTGAGCCCACAGCAACAGCACAACCCACATTTGATACATCCAGGACGACAATCCAATACTCAAAAGGGCAGGTGGTGCTTGGGAGCTATGTCTGATTTGTGTGTATGTGTGCGTGTGCGTGCAAGGTTTAAGCAATTCTTGAAAGTCTCGTAACTGCACCTATTGAAAATAAAAACCACCAGGGAAGGTTTGAAAAGGGAGAGCTGAGAATCCAGTTCTAGGAGCCACAAAAACAGTTCAAGGGTGTGAGCTGCTGCAGAAGACAATTAAACAAAAAACAAAAAACATCAGCATCTGAGTGAAGGGGACTGTGGTCTCTCAAATCGGGATGCGGTGGGGGGTTGCAATTTCTTTTTCTCCCCCTCTCTGCAAAAATCAAAATAAGGTAACACAGAATGTCATTTCTTACGGTGGTCGAGAGCTGAGGAATAAGTAAGGATCCCATTTCCCCACAATCACTCTCATCCACTAGTCAGATGCATTTCGGGTACCCGGCTTCATTAATTTCTAAGACAAAACAATTGAGGTGTAAACAAGGTGTAGACAAAGTGTCTTTTTCAAAACTGGGTCTATGGGCTGTAATCACATGCTGTGCGATCTCGGTAACAGCAGGGGCTTGTTTCCCTTCTGTGGGAGTGCTTAGGATTAGGCAGGATAATAAGTTTCCTTTCCCTTCCCCCTTCAGTAAAAATGGACGCTGCTCTCTCCCATGTGAAAATCTTTGTTATCCTTTAATATCCTATGGGAACTTACCTGAAAGGCTGTAAAAAAGAAAAAGAAAAAAGGGAGGCAAAACAAATAAACAATCAATTGATGAACCCCAAAGCAACATTACAATCTGGCTTCTTGGCTAGTCCTCCAAGACCACAATCTCTACGTTGTGGACCTGATGCTGGTGCTCATCCACCTCAGCCACCACCTTCTCCTCAGTCCTCAGTTCTGTTCCCAGAATCACAGCTTTAGCCCCGGATTCCTCTGACTCAGCTTCCGGATCAGGTGCTGGGTCTATTTCTATGATGGTCTGTCCCTCGTCTGAAGTGCCCTCGACAGCCTGGAGGGTAGAGGTCAGGCCAGACTCCATGGCCACCAGTTCCACAGGATTCACCACGGTGGCCACATTGGCAAGGGTGCTGCTGTCCTGCATGGCAGCTGAACTCAGCAGGGCCAAGCTGGAAGACGGGTGAAGGGTCACCGTGTCGGAGGAGCTGGTCTTGGAGGAAGAGACCATTGTGGCGTAGCGGAACAACTGTGAGCCTGGCGGCAAAGTATGGACAGTCACTGGGCTGGAGCCCTGGCTGATGGTTGCCATTGGAATGTTGCTCACAGAGAACTGCTGCCCCATGGGTGCAATGGTGATGGGCGAAATCACTGTGAACTGAGGCTGCTGGATGGGGGCGGAAGGGCTCAGGACGGTGGCCGAGGCTGGACGCTGCAGCCGGGGCCTCTTAGGCGGCTTGGGAGTGCTGACAGGCATGAGGACCACGTTCTGAACAGTCTGGGACTTTAGCTTCTGATCCCTGGCAAACTTCTTCTGCTCCTCCAGCTGGCGGTCCAGGTCTGCAAGGAAAAATTAAGTTACACAGTCAAGCGGGAGAAACCTTTGAGAAGCTGCCAAGAATACAGGGGCTCCTCAAAGCGCCAAAAGGGAGGGGGGGAGTGAGAAAAACAGATTATTTTCGCAAGAGTAGCAAAGCAGCTTCTTGGCAGGGAAAGAGTTTTCAGCCACTTCTGCTGCTCCCCATCAAAAGGATGGAAAGGTGGGCGGAACAGATTGTCTCTGCAGACAAATCCAATTCTTTCAGGGAACAAAAATGGGAAGGGGGTGGAAGGGGGGAAATGACAGCCAAGAATCTCCCTCCCTAAATACTAACCTCCCAAGAGCAAAGCTATGGAGGGCAGGCAACAAGCTATTCGAATGAAAGATGCATCATGTGTTAAATATTCAAGCCTACAACATGTATTTAAACCATCAAAAGTGTCCTCAAACATTAGAAAACTGTGGGAAGAGGCTATCATACTTGTGTACAGAAATCCAGAGCATTGGTATGCAATTCATACCTTCTGGCAAGAAATGGAAATCCATACACAGCTAATACTAACCCTACCAATAATCTTAAATTTAAAAAGTCACTGTACACAATAGTTATCAAAGGAAGTGGAACACACATATGCACACATGCCAAAACATAATCATTGGTATTAGGTAGAAAAACGGTGCTTTAACTTATGGAAAATCTAGGTATGAATGCAATTAAAATGCACATTTTAAGAATGCCAGTACTCTTTTGTTTGCAATTGTGTATGTTGCTTTTCTACAAAAAAAAAAAGAAGAAGAAGGAAAGAAACCATGCCCAAATTAGCTCATGACAAAGAAAACAGGAATGCATTTCAAAATCAAACCATACAGGAACAATATTTTAATAACATGATACAACAACAAGACAATCAAATATAACAACATACAACCACCACCAACATTTTAGCATTGTAAATATAGCAAAAGTATATTAATAACATCCAAAAGCCAAAATAATAAGTGAGCTTGGTCTGAGAAAAGCTCCTCCTATGATGTTGCTCACAATCTCTCTCCTAGAACAGGCTTGTAAACTTCTGAAGGCAAGGGGTGGGATAGCTGGAAACACCCTACCCATATTATCCTCTCTGTGCGTGGGTGTTACTGTGTCAGGACTTTAGGGACCAAGGAAAGGGAGTCACAGTAACAACAAAAGTCCTCTAACTTCTATTTAAATAGCAAGGGAAGCCACCATTGGCATCAAAGGGAACTTTCTTCCAAATGCAAAGAGCAGGTAAGATAGATAGATGATAGATAGTAACCATAAAAGGGAAAATGTTTAAAAACTCCCCACAATCCAGACCCTGCTCAGCATCTCCCATGACTGCTATTTGCATTTTTTAAAAAATGATTGTTGGAAATATAGTAAGAAAGGCAGTGACTCAGAATGGCAATAGATGTTGACTATTTTGAGCCAATTCACTGCCAGGACCTCCTACTGTAGGAAGCCTAAATCCTGGGTACTTCTGGACCTACGGAACTGCCCTATACAAAGTTGGTTCATTTGACTCAGTATTGTCCATTGTGACTTTCCCAACACCTGCTACCTGAGCATTTACCGAAGCTGCCAAAGATTGAACTTGGACATTTTTTTTGCATGCAGAGCATGTGTTCTACCACTAAGATACGGCTCTTCCTGTAAAAGGCTACAGCCTTGCTCCATACCTTACTGTAGCGGGGGCTACTTCTACCACTACAACGACTACTGGGGCATTGCTTCAAGAAGAAAGGAGAGGGCTGTCTTGCAAATGCAAGTTGTTGTTGTTTTTTAAAAATGACAAGGCTAAAAATAGCACTCCTGGGCCAAAATTGTATAGCAGGGAAGCACACTGTCCTCACAGAATATTTGAAAAGGAAAAAAACCAAGTTTACAAAATGATACAGGCATTGGAGAACATTGGCGGCAGCAACGGAATCCGGGAATCCGAATACTTTAGCAGAAGAAGGGCAGTCTTGAGAAAGGTTGACTAGGCTGTGAGGCGAAATGAACAACAAAAGCACATTTATTGCACAGTGAGATGATAGATTTAGAACATCCCAAGAAATGTGCTCCCAGTCATTAACATACCTGCCAGAGTATAAAGAACCTGTTCTTCTCCCTGCTCCGTTTGACTCTTCCTGTTGTCCAGCACTCTCTTGACAGTGTCCATCAGGCCAAAAGTGTGAGCAACATTATTTAGGACAGCAGCATCTACAGAAAAACTTCCATGGGTTATTGTCTAGTTTTCTAAACGGAATCCAACATCCAGACAGAAAGAGAGAGAGCACCTCATCACAAAGAGCTTGAACCTCTTCGCCAGTACTGCATTACCTAATGCAGCTAACACAAGTGATCTTGAATGAAGTAGTTTACATCATCTTATGTATGGGTAGTTTACATCATCTTCATTTTGAATATTAATAAATTAATACAGTGCAATGGGTCAGAAGTAAATCAAAATCAAAAGCCATGAAATGTTCCTCTTGACAGTTCCTCTCTCAAGAACCGCACATGGATAACTGTTGTTTTGGGATGTCGAAGCATCTCTGCTGGCATTTAACATTGGCAGTGAGATCCTTGGATGTTTGATTAAAAGCAGAAACTAGGCCTTTGAGGATTAGGCCAGAAGTCTCCTCAAGAGCGTCAGAAGAGTCCTGCTGAATCAACTAAAGGCCTATCTACTCTAGCAATTTGTTTTCCACAGTGGCCAGCCAGATGACTATGGGAAGCCCACAAAAGGGATACGAGGGCAATCGTATATCCCACTGTTGTTTGACTGCAAGTCAGTGGCATCCTTATGCAAATGCAAGCCAGAGCTATTTCAACCATCCATGCATCCCATCCACATCTGGCCCATTTACAGCACAATCTGATAACAGTGGAACCTTGGTTCCCGAATGGCTTAGTTGACAAAAAATTCGGCTCTCAAACGCCATAAACCCAGAAGTAAGTGTTCTGGTTTGCGAACGTTTTTCAGAAGCTGAGTCTGTTTTGGCTGTCGGCATTGTTTCCAGGGCCAATCAATCAGCCAAACCTTTTTGAAGTCAAACAGACTTCCAGAGCGGATTGAGTTTGAGAACCAAGGTACCACTGTATAGGTTTACTCAGAAGTAGCTCCCACTGTGTTCCTTGGTTTAGAACTGCAACCTATAAAAGAAAATCCTGCACAGTACCCTTATAATGATCAGTTGGCACAGAAAAGCTCCTGTTCTGTTTCATTTGGTCATTGTAAGAACTATTATTGAATTAGAGCTTGTTTTCTCTTCCCTCCTCATCTCTTTTTCCTTTTGTGTTATGTATACCCATGGGCAGGGACTGGTTGAATTGACTTTATTGCTATTATGTAAACTGCTGTGGAAGTTTCACTGGGGAAAGAAATCGTTTTAATTAAAATAATAATAAACAAAACAAAACCCAGGCATCTCAAAGCAAATCCCCATGTTACATTTTTATGCATGCTGGTTCGCATACTGTGTGTTAGCGACAAAGAAATCAGTTACATTTAGCATGCGCGTTCTCTTTCTGTGTGTGTCTAACCTAGCTCTTTGCAAGGATAAAACAGAAGCAGGAGAAACATGTATGCCACCCTGAGCTCCCTTATGGAACAGTAGGATAAAACACAATAATCCATCAAGCCAACTGATTACTGTATTGTACTGGAGACTTTTCTCTTATGGCTAATGTAGCCCTGAAAAGGCAACCACAGCAACTAGAAGGACAGAGAGAGGACTTTTACATCACTGACCCCCAAACCTCCAATGGCCTTCACCAAGAGGTCTGAAAGCCAAGAGCTGCTTATGCCCACCTTCCCGATTCCGCCTACAAGACTCTTATGAACTGCATAGAGTATTCTAGTAGCTATAGGGGGAAAATGATTTAGGAAACAGAATGTGTTTGCTTGTTACCCTGTTTTACTATGGAAACCACTTGAGATAACTTTTTTTGTTGAAAAGAAGAATATAAATATTCTAAAGTAATTATTTTCCGCACCCCAAGTAGTCAATACCTGGTCATGGCACTTCCCAGACAAGCTCGCTTGGCATTGATGTTGATGTGTTTTGGGCATAAGGTGAAGACTATATTTACTTTTATTTGCTTGGCCATTCCAATATGTTTTATGGCTGGTAACAACACAGTACTATGCATGTCTGCCGAGAACTAAGCCCCATTCAGTTCCCCACTAGGGGGGTTTATGGGATCGCAACATTAGTATTGTTTTACAGCCATTCTGGATTTTAGTGAGTTTTGCTGTGGCTTCTGCAATTTTCAAGGGTTGTACGGAATGTTAATCATACTCAGAACAGACCTACTGAAATGAATGGGTGTGACTAGAATGAATGTACTGTGAGTGAATAAAACTCATTTGGGGGGCTACTTTTATTTATTTTAGAAAATTCATAAGTTTCAAACCATACACTGCCCTGGGAGTCCTGTTACTGAAGGGAGGATTATAAAATGACTTATTAAATACAGTGCACAGCTACACGTCACAAAGATAAAAAGAGCATGAAAGTCTATCCTACTGGTAGTCATTTCATATTGACATGGAGACTGCTGACCTCCTACCCACCGGTAACCTGGAAGGGTGACTGGCCAAGCCTCTGCTGAACACCTCTCAGCACCTCTTCTATCTCCTTCTGAATGTTGCAGACAACTTCTTCCATTAACCCCACATCAGCGATTCCTTTCCAGAACATCAGTGTGTCCTCTGGCACAAGGGAAGAGAAAGATTTGGAAGGAAGGATCAGTTGGCAATTAGACTGCAAAGCTATACTGGCAATCATGCCAAGACCAGCAAAACACTGTATAGCAGGAGGCATCTCTGGAAACTGGCTTCTAAGGCTGCAAAGCTGCACACATTTCCATGGAAGCACGTGCTGCTAAATTTAATGGGGCTTAGTCATGAATAGGCTTGCATAGAACTGTGCTGTAAAACTAGCCATCAGGGCACTTACCTTGCAAAAAATAATAATCAAATTCAACTCTGAATATAGAGAGCAGTACTAGGGAATTCCATATTGCTATAAAAGCTACATTTCATGACTTCTAGAAGTTTGTTTTACATCCCATCACACCCTGCCCCCAAATCATTGCAAAGCCTTTAAAGAACAGCAATTGTAGCAGCTAAAGCAGCACCATTAATATCTGAGCACTTGGAAGTGGGCATTTTATATCTGCATTCCTCCCACGTGTCTTCACCAGCCTCCCAAAATCTGTTCATCTTGCTGTGTGTCCGTTTTCTTTCATTCTCACCCATCTTGGACACACTGTCAGGTTGAAAAGCAGCATATATTTCAAGTAAAGCAATATATGCAAATCTGGGTTCTTTTTGTTGCTTGAACAGTATGTTCTAAATAAGACAACTGAAGCCATCCTTGTGGTGGAGGCGTTGGATATTCTTAGAAATACCAAATCACAGGGCATTTACACATGGACTGTGCTGGACTTGGAAGGATTAGATCAGCCTTCGGCAGCCTGTTGTTTTGGCCCTCCAGCCTGGATTAAAGAAATTCATGGAGGATAAGACTGTCAATGGCGCCTCTAGTTGCAAAGCCAGTATGCCACTGAATACTAGCTGTTAGGAGGAGCAGCCAGTGAGGACTGAAAAAACAATTGATGATTTGCACAATTAAACAGTCACCAAGATCGAAAGCAGAGCTTTCCAAATTTTAGCACCAATTAGCATATGGCGCCTCAGTTTCCGAAAGGGGAGGGGGCCAGATTTTTCAAACTCAGTACTTCAGGCAGTTCACACATTTAGGTACAAGCCATCAAGCAAGGAGGCACTGCTGAGCAATGTGCATGTCTGTATGAACCAGCCAATAATTGAAATAGTGTCCAATTGATACGTCACCATCTACAACAGGGTTGGGGAATCTTTGGCCTTCCAGATGTTCCTGGACTACAATTCCCATCATGCTTGGCCACTGGCCACATTGGCTGGGGCTGGAATCCAGGACCATCTGGAGGGCCGTGGGTTCTCCATCCCTGATCTACGGCCATGAGAATGATCTTCAGGTCAGCTCTCTGCTAACCCCACTTCCTCCCTTCCAAAAAAAACCCCTCTCCATGTTTACCATAAAATGATCTTACACAGCTCACCATCCTATCCATCAGACCCCACCTGTGAAAAACTCACTTAACAACTCAATATTCAAATCAGAATTTTGGAAATTCAAATGTTGAATATGGGGGGGGGGAGCCCCATGGGTTTTGAAGTGAAGTGTGGAGTTTTACACATAAATTCGATTTTTAAAACATGGGTGAAATGTCCTGCCCCCCTTGCAAAAAAAAAAAATCACTAATATCAACTTTGTGTTTTAGTGTTCAGTTGTAAAAAAAGAGGTTTTGAATTTGATAATTTACGGTTTTATAAAATTTGTTGTTAGTCACCTTGATTTCTCTGGAGAAAAGGTGAGATATGTTTTAAATAAATAAAATTACAAACATAGCTCTTTGCAGCATTTTGCTGCCTGAAGATGGGGAGGGGGAGCCAGGTAGGTGGGCTGCTAAGCCATTCAGGCAAACAGCAGAGACATACCTGAAATCTCCTCTGGGTCCTTCTTGATTCCCTCCTCAGTTGCCATGGTGACTGCTGCTGTCAGAGCACGGTTCCATTCAATCCCTTCCTCCACACTCTCCTCAGACACTGTAATTTGAGTGATGCTTCCTGCAGAAGGGAGGATACAATTGAAGATGCTTCACTGCCCAGGCTGCCACTGTAGCTTCCCCCTACACACACACACACACACACACACACACACACACAGCCACCCTGATTCGTAATACATGGATTGAACTAAGCAAAGTAAAAAAACCAAGGGCCAGTTTAAAGATCAATAACGACAGCAGCTGACAAAACCACAAAACCCATGTTGTATATTCCAAGCATCAGCCATGCAGATACTGACCGGGTGTAATTGTCTTTTAAACTATGTCCACTCTGGGTAAACAATTGGAGGGGAGATTCCATGTGGAAGCCATAATGGGCTGGTTAAGGGGGGAAAACAAATTTATCCAGAAGCAACAGTGTAATGAGGGAAGCCAGATCATATTCCCATGCTCAGTGAGCACACCTCCCCGCCTGAGGGCTCTTTGGATGTTCTTACGCATGGGCATAATTTTTTCACGTGACCTACATGCGTAGAGTCTGTCATGTACAGGCCTGAGTTGAACAAGCCAATATTTCACATACAGTCCGGGAGGTGACCTATGCATGTGTGATTTTACATGTGTTTCCCTTTTCCAACTGGAAGAAGGCACCATCTTTCTCTGGCCTTGAGATGAGACAAAGATGACAGAAGGCAAGGCTCACTTGGCCCAGGCCATGGTCAACCATTCATGGAGGAAAGGGACCGTGATGTGCTCTAACGTCCCAAAATGCAATAGGACCAAGATCTCAGTTGCACCGCCATCAACGAGCAAGGCACTGAATTAACAAAAAGTGTAAAGGAAAAAGTAAATCTATGGGAACAGAGGGAATTTCAACAAATAGTAGATTCTCAGGTACAGCTGGAGTGGGAAGTTATGGGTTTGTTTTGGTTTTGTTCTTGTTTTTATTATGTATTTTGTTTTTATCTTGTATTTTTACGTTGTGAACTGTCCACAGATGAAGGATGGTACACAAATTCAGTAAATGCACAAATAACTTTTATGTGCTCATCAAGCAATGGAGGATTATGATAAGAAAAATAGTCAAATATTTGTGTGTGTGTGTATAATGCCTACAGGCTTATATTAAGTGGCTTGCGCACAGTTTTATGGTAATGTTTGGATTTGAGAGATTGGCAATTGGTTTAAAGGTTGGCAATTGGGGCTTTATGATTAACATACTGTTTCTTACCCATCCCAAGCCTTTGAGATGAGATGAGCTACAAGTCAAAATGAAATAAATACATTTCAAAAGGAACCAAGGTATTTGACTCCACATAGGCAAAACAAGCTAAATATTTGAAATGTAATCACAGGACAGCTGATTATTCTTATTCTTATTTTATTTTACACATTTGGTGGAAGTGAAAGACAATTCACATTTTTGGTATACACTCAGGGGCATGAGTAATGTGCCATTTTGCAACTGCACAACAGAATGGCATGATTTAGTATCGGGCAAATTGTTCTGCATGCTGAGAATCTAATCTTTCTTTCTTTCTTTCTTGCAAGATTCTAGTCCATATCGATGCACTTGTAAGTGTGTGGGCAACATTCGGTGACATTTCAGAAGCCAGCAGGTAATCCAAACAGGATGTCCAGTGGTCAGGGGTAGGGCTTCACTGCTCTGCTTGGCAATTTGCTCCTTTTTACAACTAGGAGAAGCAAAGTAAATTAAGCAAATATATGGAATTACAAGCAAATTTGCATGATTTATTTTAAAAAATTAGCTTGTACTGGCACAGCATTTGGGCTACGTTGGTGAAAACATTTTTTAAAAAAAATTTTTTGATGCAAAATGAATAAACCCAGGTACTGTGCATAAAATGTACCAGCTGCGGATTGAATCAGGATCAGATTGATTTAATGCATTTTTTAAAAGCTTCAGTTCCACCCACAGATAAAGACTTTGAAGCTAATCTTCTAACTGCAGCAAAAAAAAAAAAAAGGAAAAAAGAGGAAATGGAAAAGTTTCTCTCACTAACATGACTAAAAGTTGAGTAAAAGGTTGGCGAAATATCATAATCTTGTTCGTATGAAATAAGGAATGCAAATTAAATGGAAAAAAACCCTTTCTTAGAATCTGTATTACAAAGGAACTCATGCCATGTACTGTATGTGGCACTCTAAAAAAACAACAACCCCTTTTTTCTTCCTTTCTTTTTGAAGCTACAATTGTTGCCACCTGTAGCATCAACAGTGGTAAGGCTCCAGAGAGTATTAATCTGCCAGAAGAAAGCCTGAATGGATTAGCTGTAAAATACACCATTCTGCACATTTTTAAGAACCAAAATTAAGGGGGAGGATTCAGCACACTGAGAAGAAGGTTGCCAGTTGTCTATACACTTAAAAAATGTTTCCTGGAACCATGGAAATCCCCATTCATTTGTCAAGTGTTTCTCAAAGATAAGAGAAAAACAGTTCAGAATTCATTAAAAACAGAGAGATCCAGCAGTGGGTAGAGGAGGCGGGGGGTAGGTCCTCAAAATATAAATCATTATGATTTCCCCAAGGATAAGAAATTCAGAAGGTCTACTGCTTTTGCCCCATTCCCACGTTACTGTTCTGTTACTGCGTTCCCTTCCCGACAAAGTAAATCTCATGGGGAAAGGGAATAGGAAGAAAACTGTTTTAACGTTAGCTCATTAAGAGAAGACAGGATGACGGGAAATGGTAGACAGCAGTGCCACATGGCAGGAATGAATTCTACTCCTGTTCACCTGTTCCCTACCGTCAGCGGAGGTGGGAGTCTGTACCAGGCTTTGCTGCCCTGGCACCGGTGCCCTGGCACTGCTGATCAGGAGGTCAAACTTGGTGCTGCGACAGGTGTTTGTGCAAACCTTGTCATGCTGGTAGAAGTCAATTTGCCCAGAATCCATCATCTTTCTGCAAAGAGAATGGAAAAAAAGAAGAGATCGTGGGAAATGAACCTTCTGTTTGGATTCTTGCCTGAAGTCCTCAAGGCAAAAAGATGAAGCATTTTTGGCATGAGGCATTTTTAGAGGCACTTTTGCAACCACACAGAACAATGCCAGAACTTGGTATTGGATTCATTGCTCAGCATGCTTCTTTCTTGTAAATTTTACCCGGTGTAATTTTCGCCAATGTGGTGTATTGGTTAGAGTGTCGGAATAGGACCTGAGAGACCAGGGCTCAAATCCCCACTCTGTCATGGGTGACCCTGGGCTAGTCACTGTCTCGATTTAACCTATGTCACAGGGTTGTTGTAGTTGTGGTACAGATAAAAGGAGGTGGAGAAGCAAGTACAGTACCTTGCAGTCCTTGAAGGAAAGGTGGTATATACATGCAATTAATTAATTAGCAAAGAAAGGTTAGAAAAGTTTATGGGCAACATCGGGCAAAATCTCAGAAGCCAATTGGGAAGCTGAGCAGGCCTTTCTGTGCTGTCGTAGCTCTTTGCCCTCTTTTATAGCTGCAAGAAACAGACTAAACAAATCACAAATTTGCAAGATTTATGTATTTATTTCTCAAATAGATATTTACCCCACCTTTCAGGGTATATAACTGTGATTTATAAAAGTTGAAGAATTCAGATTTTGTGGGGACAACCCCATAGCAAAAGCTCTAATAAAAAGGTAAAGGTAAAGCTCTTATATGGTTATCCGCTCCACACGCACATTTAGTCCAGGAAGGACTGTTTCTGGGACTCAGCTGCTTTCTGACTCATCACCAAAGCGAGCCAACCCAGAATTACCACTGGCATTGGTGAGAAAGAATGGCAACTCCATGAACACCCCCCTTTTGTGGCAGGGGACACTGCCGTCAAGTCAGCTGTTGGTAGGAAGGGCTTGGCAGCAACAGTACCCTTGATATCCTGATCCAGACATTGTTATCAACCCCAGATTTAATCTAGTGTGTGGGAACTGCCATGGAGCGATTGCTCTTTGCTTCATTACTGAGGCCAAGGTAGTTGGAATCTCAGTAGACATCAAGTCCAGGGTATCATGGTCAGAGGAAATGTTCATTTGACATTGATAGGGACTGCATGTCCAAACACAGCCCATGCTGTGAAAATAAGTGCTAATTATCGGCCACTCCCTCAGTTTTTATTGTTCATATTTCTGCCCTAGGACACTCTTCAGACGTACTTTGAGGGAACATGGAATTGCCAAAAGGATTCAATCCTATCTTAAACATTCGTTATCTCAAAGTGCACCATGCAAACCCACAGCACCACTTTTAACCAACAAATGAAAGATGGGAACTTAAATGGGGGCGGGAGGAATACTGCACAGAAAATTATGCTTTTGGTGGAAGGCTGCTACAGTGGCAGAAGGCCATTACCTCAGCATGATTCCTCCCAGGCGAATGGCTCTCTTCCAGTCCTTCAGCGTAGATTTGCCAGCCAGATGAACAAAATGCTTTGGGCTGATAAGTTGATCATTGAACTAACAAAGAGAAAGAAGAGGGTAAATGGGAGACACTCTGTCTCATACGCCATCTCCAAGTCAGCACATCAGCCGCCATCAATCACAGGTGGACATTTATCAAATCACACCAGGAACTAGTGAACTTAGTTTTCGTATCTAGAGAAAGAAAGGGCCAACAGGGCTTCCTTTATCCCAGTATCCTATCTCAGGCCAGTGGCCCATCTAGTCCAGCATCCTACTCTCACGGTGGCCAACCTGATGCCTGTGGGAAACCCACAAGCAGGATCTGAGCACACCCTCCCCAACAACTGGTATTCGGAAGCATACTGCCTCTGATTGTGGAGGCAGAGCATAGCCATCATGGCGAGTAGCCATTCATAGCCTGGTCCTCCATGAATTTGTACAATCATCTTTCAAAGCCATCCAAGCTGGTGGCCATCACTGCCTCCTGCGAGTTCCACAGTTTAACTTGCACTGCATGAAAAAAGCACTATATTCTCTCTTGGTACCCTCTCTTACACTAATATATTAAATGATGCAAGGCCATCTTTCTGCTCTTCTCTCTGCAATGATCAGATACAAGGGAGAACGGGCGGGATACTGTATCTTTAATACCGCTTTCTTCATCCTATATGACAAACAGCATCTGCAAAAATTTCATCCCCAGGTTCACCAGGCTTAATAGGATCAGAGGAAAATGCTTTGAATGCCAATTGCTGGGAAACAAGAGTAGGAGAGTGGGATGGGATCATGCCCTCGCATTTCACTTGTGGCCTTCCCAGAAGCATCTGGCTGCCCATTGCAGAAAACAGGATGCTGAGCTAGACAGGGCTTAGGTCTGGTCCCGCGGGGCTCTTGTGCTCTGTCATTCTTTCCACCTGATCATCTCTGTTTTTATTTGCCTTCAGAAACAAAGCAAAACATGCCAGGCAACAAGAAACGAATACAGTGGCAATGACACTACTATGAATTGCCTTAGGCCAGGGCACAACTCACTTGTGAGCCCCAACACTCGAGTCAAAATACGGCATCTCCTACTTCAAGACTGAGGTCAAGATACCCTGCATTCCTATTCTGCCTCAAGTGTGTGGTTATAGAGAAGTTGTGAGGCCTCCCCTGCCAAGTCATTTCCATATGCACCTCCTGCCATTGCTTCAGGATCCAATCTTGCTTCAGGATCCAATTATGCCACTGCCCTGATAAGCTGCAGGGCTGGCTTACAGGAAACGGAAAAGAAGAATCAGCAAACTGAAGCAATCTCAAGTCTCACTGGAATCGCAACTGGGTCCATCGCTGGATTAATTGGACTGAGTGTTCTGGTTCCCACTGGTCAGCCCTGTGGCGTACCATAGAATCAGCAGATGTGGCAGGCATGCTAAGTGGGTCAGCTCAGCTATTCACACACCTTAATCTACTTCCCACCATTGACTAGTTGGTGTGATGTGCTTTCTCTAATGTTGGGTTAGAAACTGGGCCCCTTTTACCATTACCTCCATCGAGACTTACATGCCAGACTTTTCACATTTGTCTTTCAAGGCTTTATCACAAAATGTATGGATAGTGGTGACCAATGCAGCACCTTCAGGATTCCATATTCTCTTTTCCCAACACTGCTGCAAGATGGCCCCTGCCAGTTCCCTATAAGCTGGGGCATACAATTACTGGCTGAAGCCAACTGCCCAGTGTAAACAGGTTGGAGGCAAAAGAGAGGCTAATGAATAAGATGGTTCAAACCTCCCAAACCCCCTTACATGTGCCCCAAGTGGGAGTTCCATAAGAAGAATCCTGCTGAGTCAGATTAGAAATCCACCTAGTCCAGCATCCTTTTTCTATAGTGGCCTCCAGAAAGCCTACAAGCAAGATTCTGCCTCCTGAACTGATAGAGCTAACACTAGGAAATGTGCACACACACAGGTCCCACTATCCAAACACAGTATGTTAGGTGGATGTCCACATAACGAGTTGGCGATTTTCATTTATTCCAATGGGGAAATTTCTAATGTGTTCCCGACCACAGAATTTTGACCCTAATCTATGGGGAGAAAACTGTAAAAACCCGCCAAAACATTACAAAAGGCAAACAAGGAAGGAAACAAAATGCTTTCTTATTTATCCAATCTCTCCCCCTCCCCTCCCTCATGGTTTCTGTTGAAACAGCTGTCACACACCAGCAAAACACACACAAAAATAAAGCTTGCTTAAGGCTGCTTATTTGCTTACAGTACTACACATAGGTCCAGCTATTTGGATATCTGAATCTGCAGTGTGTATAGTGCGGTTTGGATACTAATTCCTGATATTCAGATAATTCTGTATAATGAGCATTTGGAAAGTGGGACCTGCATGTACTTGAAATAATACTCCTATGGAAATTCCAGTGAAACTAGAAAATAATAAATAAATGAGAACAGTTATGTCAAAAAACAAGCAACAGAAACGGGGTGGGGAGCTGGCAAGGACAGCTTTACTGTGCTGTTACCTTGACACATTTGACATTGATTCCTGGGCAAACAAATTTCTTCCACAGCAGAATGGCTTTGCTCTCTCCACAGGTGATGGGGTAGGCAATCTCAATTTCTTCATTTGTTTCGATGGTGCTGGGGTCTGTTGGTAGAAGCAGGGGAAAATAAGAGACCATTCTTCTGGAAAGCACATGCCATTTATATAAATATATGCTGCTGCCTTGTATCAAGTCAGACTACTGCTTCATCAGTGAGCAGCAACAACACTCCAAGATCTCAAGCAGACATTTCCCCCAGCTTGCTTACCAGATATCCTTTTACCTGGAGATGTACAGATTGAATCCGAGACCTTCCGCACACAAAGTACATGCCCTACCACTGAGCTACAGCCCCTTCCTTAAAGGGAGAGGCAAGTGTTTGGCTCACTTAACCAAATGCACCAAGCTATGGTCACACAAACTGGAGTGTGCTGCCCTCAAAGAAAACATCGAGCTATGGTTTGATGCTAACTAGAAGTAAAGGCTACCCTCCTCACCTTACATGCAAAGGGGTAATGGATGATCATGGATAACCATGACTTATCATTATATCTGAATGGAGTCTCTGCCTACATTAACCATCACGCCTTGTATAAGACCTTGCTTGAACTGGTTTTGGACAACATAGCACTCTTAATTCTACTCTTGGGGCCCTACCTTCATATCCACCCAACCATGGGAGTAGGAGAACCTTGGTACACAAAAGCTGCAAATTATGCTCCATGACAACTCTGTTGAAATGGTGTCAATACATCATATCACCACAGAGGAAACTTACCAATGCCTTCTTCAAGCTTGTGTATGGTGTGCGTTTCCACGGCCACTACAGCCGTACTGGTCTCAGAGCTCTCTTGATATACCCTGCTGTGAAAGTACCCACTGGTAAGTGCATTATGTAAAGCACAGAAATGATTTTAGAGCTTTGCATAGCTTGAAACCAGAGAATCTGAAGGAAAACTTGCTCAAATGCTGAGATCACCACCCGAGGCCTTTCTCGGCAAGTCAAGTAAAATGGAATTAGTTTATAAACTAACTTCCTCTTCCCAACCTCAGACCCTAAATCATAGACTGGGGGAGGGGCTGCAAATACATGTCCCCTATCCAGCTGTGAAATGAAAGCTCAAAATTGCATCCTTACAACATACTGGTATTGCCCTCGCATTTTCAGAACTATTTTGGAGGCATGAGATCTAGAAAATTTAGTTGAAATTCTCTCTTGCACACAACTGCCTTCCTTTATGTCTACCCTGTAGACTTACATCCCAACAATTCTAAATGCTTCACCCAAGACTGAATTTTACACAGAATCACAGAAACACGCCTAGCTGATGACTTGCCAACTTACCCTTGTGGCACTGGCTGCAGTTGTAATATCACCTGAGTTTTGGTATCTTCTGGGTTTCCCCCTTCATTTCCTTCAGTTGGCACAACGACAACGTCCCCTACAGGGATGCTTACTTCAGCATTTGCCATTTGCCCACATGAAGTCCAAGAGAATGGAAGACAAGTGTGCTGCAGCAAGAAATAAGAAGGTGACTTTGGTTGTTGTTGTTTTTTGCAAGGACAAACAAGTTATCATCTCTGACCAAATAATGAAAGAGATTTTTTCTAGCACAACCATAACATGTCACAAGTGACCACATGCACTACCACTTGTAGCAACAGCTCATAAAAATCAAATTTGAGTTGCTCAGTTAATCTTTAGGTCACTGAAGTCCTGGGAAGGGAAAAGTGCCAAGGCTTTACTGGCTGCACTGGCTTGCCCAAAGTTTTTTTCTTTTTCTTTTATATATATTTTCTAATACAAGTAAATCTAAAAACTGCAGAGAGCATTCATCACCTTATTCAGAGACATGCCCCTTTCTCTCAAACTGGTGAATATGGTCAGATGCAAAAGAAGACAGGGCGCCTGCACTTTTGCCAGCTGTGTAGAATGAATTTCAGCTGGTGTAGCTTGCAAGACAGCTATAAAAGATGCAGGAGTCCTATCCTCTTCTGGAAGGACCAAATTTTTATCTTGCTGCAGAACTAGCAAATTTATTCAACCAGTTCATTGATTAAGGGCTGCAATCCTACATACAATTTTTTTGGAGTAAAGTCCTTTAAACTCAACATGAATCACTTCTGAGTACACATGCATAGGATTTCTCTATCAGATTTATTTAATTAAGCAACAGTCCGAGCAAGCTGTGAGCCATACCACGTGCCATAGAGTAAAGACAGAAAGTAACACTCCTACGATTCCTCCCACAGAGGTCTTCAAAATTATATTATGGGGCAATGAGAGCATAGGGAACACAGACACTCCATTGAGCGGTTCAAGATTCAAGAGATTATATATGCCTGTGCTTTCTCTCTGTCCCCTCTCTGAATCACCTGAAAGGGTTCAGCCGAAGCGAACATCAGTGTCCAAAATTGAAGCCCCAAAATGTTTGATTTTTGTGTACATCTGTGATTTTTATTTGGTTTTAAGTTGCATTACTTGTGTTGTGCTTAACCTGCCCTGGAACCTTAAACTGAAAAATGAGCATTAAATATTAAAATAATAATGTTAATAATACTGCTGCATTGGTCTTCAGCTAGTGGGTCAGGACCACTACCAGGTCACAGGCTGCATAGCAACTCTGCTATGGTACAGCTAAATAGTCAAAATAAAGAAATGCTTGCTCCCTAAAATGCATGTTTGGCTGAAAGGTAGGTAGGTACCAGGTTTGAAATGTTAAAAGGCTACTGCTATAGTGATCATGAGTCAGGCTAGGGAAGACAGGAGATGCAGGCTGTCTGGGCAGAAGCCCACCACCGCCATTCCATGTTGCTAAAAACTATGCTCCGTTAACTTCATTTTCAATAAATAGCATACCCTCCATCCATTTAAAAGCCAACATGGCTCCCCCCCGCAAATGGTTCATATTACAAAATGCAGTTGTCTGACAATATTAACATTGCAATGCAAAATGTACTTCAGCGCCTATCTTGTGTAAAATGGCAGGCTTTGTTCAACATGTTGCCTTAGTTTTCATGCACTTTAGAGGAAGTTTCACAGAAATCAGTGGGACTTATTTCTGAGTGGACACTTATAGGATTGCCCCACACAGTTCTAAAGACCCTGAAGAAGACAACACTATGAGCATAGTGTTGAAGAAGGCATCTACAAAACACAAACACAGTATTTTTTACAGAGACCGGTAACAAAAAATAGGGACTGTCCCTGATAACTATAAAGAGTTGTGTAGCTTGGTTTATTATCACAGGCAGAGTACATACCATATACACTGACAGCACATTCAAAGCACATTTCCCCCATAAAATAATTATGGCCACTGTAGTTTAATCCTCAAAGGAACAAATTCCCTGCAACCATTAACAAACTACAGTGCCCAAAATTCTTTGAGGCAGAAAATGGGTTTTGAATGTGCTTTAAAAGTACAGTGTATATATATTCTTAAAAAGCTGTCCATCTAACTCAACAGTGTTTGCTCTGACTGGCAGTGGTTATTCAGGGTCCCAGCTAGAGGGTCCTTCCCCATCCCACCTCACCAGCTACCAGCTATTTTCAACGGAGTGACAGGGCCCCAAACCTGGAACCTTCTACTTTCAAAGTTCTAACACTGAGCTATGGTTCCTCCCTATTACATTTTTGTAGTATGTGGCTCTTATTGATAGAAGAGTATCTGTTCCATTATTCATTTGGCTTGGTAAGACACAGAAATCAAAGCTTTTTCTTTCTTTTTGTTTTTTTGGCGTTATGATCATAGGAATAGCCCTCAGGGGTCTGCCAAACTGTCCATTTGGTCAGTTATCTTATTTCCACGTCAGATACCTCTGGAAAGTCCACAAACGGGATATGAGCCAGCAGGCATCTACTGTTGGGCTTCCCTATCAACATACTTTTTAACTTGGAGACATACTACCATTGAGCCGAAAGTTGCAGATAGCCATCATGCCTCATAGCTGTTGATAAACCCATCCTCAATGAATTTTAAAATGATCTGAGCTAGTGGTGGTCACCCCATCTTGTAGAAATGAAGTCCACAGATTAGGCACTTTTGTCTGTTAAGATACAGGGATGAAGGAGTAGATCTGGAAGTTAATTGTTGACAACCAAGTTCAGTAAACAAATTATTAAAGGTACTATGCATATTTACTGAAAAGAAAAGTTCACTGATTTGAAGTGATCACAATACTTGCAGCCTTCCTAGACTCAGAAGTCCTACTGAATAGTGTTTACATCCAGGTAATTATACAGCAGACCACAGCTTCAGTTTCAGGTTGATTCGAATTAATAATGATAAGTAGTCTCATAGGCACTGACTATGTTTGACAATTCAGAATGCCTAGCTGCTTATTATTATGGGTAAAGGGTGTGCTTTCACTGTTGAGATAGTCCATGAAATCATATTTCTGCCTTTATCCTTCCCATCTCCTTCAAGCAGTTAACAGTTAATGTTTGCTCTTTCACAATCCTCTCTTCTTCAGGTGAAAAAAACCCTGCTTTCTTCCACCACCAATTTTCCATAATCATATAGCCCATAAATTGAAGCCATAATGAAATGATGAGACAAACACTCTGGGTACCAGGAAACAGGCTTTTAAAGTATTGGGATTCCAGCTGGCATATATCTTCAAGATAAATTGCACATTCACCAGAACTGCAGTCTACACTGGGGTCATCAGAGGCATAATTTCGCACCCATTGGCATCGCTACGTCATTGGCATTAAAAAAAATAAAACTGAGCATTTTATGGTTTTTATTGATATCTAATCCAGGAATCACAGCTACCCTTTAATCATTATTTATCTTTTACAAATGAAAGCCATTTCTTGCCTACACACCCACCCTGCAGATCTTATTACATCAGAACTATTTAAGGAATAGGACCTAAAGCAAGGGGAGACTCGTCCAAGGATGCCGTTTGAACTCATAGATTTCCTCTTGAACACAAACTACCCAAGCCCCATGTTTTGAAGTTAAGTTAGGGGCCGCCACAACATTCTGTGGGATTGTTTCATATACAGTGGTACAGTGGTGCCTCGCAAGACGAAATTAATCCGTTCCGCGAGAGTCTTCGTCTAGCGGTTTTTTCGTCTTGCGAGCAAGCCCATTGACGGATTAGCGCTATTAGCGCTATTAGCGGTTTAGCGGCTATTAAAGGCTTAAAGGCTTAGGGGATTAGCTGCTAAAAGGCTATTAAAGGCTATTAAAGGCTTAGCAGATTAGATAAAGGGGGAAGCGAAAAAAACCTCAAGACTCGCAAGGTATTTTCGTCTTGCGAAGCAAGCCCATAGGGGAATTCGTCCTGCGAAGCAACTTCAAAACGGAAAACCCTTTCGTCTAGCGGTTTTTCCGTCTTGCGAGGCATTCGTCTTGCGGGGCACCACTGTACCTTGGGTTAAGTACTTAATTCGTTACGGAGTTCTGTTCTTAACCTGAAACTGTTCTTAACCTGAAGCACCACTTTAGCTAACGGGGCCTCCTGCTGCCGCTGCGCCACCGGAGCACGATTTCTGTTCTCATCCTGAAGCAAAGTTCTTAACCTGAAGCACTATTTCTGGGTTCGCGGAGTCTGTAACCTGAAGCGTATGCAACCTGAAGCGTATGTAACCCGAGGTACCACTGTACTGTTTTATGCATTTGCAGAGGTATTTCCATTATGTACTTGGAAGGACAGTTGTTTTATGCTGCTCCTTGCTATAACTGAAATAAATCAATCAATAATAAACCCAGCGCTAGAAGGCTTTCCCAGAACTTTATTCTATTAACTTTGAGGGGCTTTATAATGTTTTTACTTAAACACGTAATTCTATCCATGTCTGGCGTTCCTCACCTTTTTAGGGGGTTTCAGTTTCTTGAGGGACACATTAGTTCTTTATTAAGAGCCTCAGGACATGAAGCTTCTCCCTCAAAATAAATAAACAAACAAACAAACGTGCAGCTATATCAATAATATCTTGATTCTGCTAAAAGGCACTGCTGTCCAGTTCAGGAAAGCAATTTTTTAAATTTTATTTTTTTAAGAAAAAGGTGGCAATTTCAGCAGCTGAAGTAATCCTTTTCCCACCATTGGTCACTTCGCCTCTGACCAGAGCATCTCAGCTCAGTATTATCGTCGTCGTCGTCATTATTATTACTACTATTTTAAAAACCCCTGCCCCAAAAGTGCCTGAGGGAAACCCTAGAGCGCGGCTTCCGCTCCGCGCCCATTTTCCCTGCCCTCGAAGCCCCCTCACAGGCCCTCAAGATGGGGAAAGAAAGTGGGCGGGGATCCCCGGAGGAGAGGTGTGGCCTCTCCGCGGCCACGCCCACTACCACCACCTCCCTCTCGCTCCAGGCCAGCGGACGACGCGCCAGCAGCCTCCTCCTCCTTCCCCCTCCCTCCCTCTCTCCCTCCTTCCCCCCTCCCCTCCTCCCGCAGTGGCGCGGCGACGTCCGCTCTCCCGGCGGCGGCACGTACGGCGGCGGTGGCCGTGCGCAACTCTAGGCGCAGCCCCCCTCCCTCGTCCCTACGCACTCTGCGTCCCGTCCTGGTCCCTCCCGGCTCCCGTAGCGCGGCGGTGGCGGCAGCAACGTCGCCCTCTGCTCCCTCCCCCCCTTACCGTCTCCGAGCGGCCGAGTCCGGGGCTGTTAAGCAGTGGGGGGGGGGAGGGTGAGTAGAAGGAAGGAGCGAGCATGCGCAGGAGTCTCCACGACTCGGCCGCCAGCACTTCCGGCTGCCTCCTGCCTTAAAGGGGCCGCGAGCAATTAGTGCTTTTGCTCCCCACGACCATAATGTGGGGGAGCTCGGATTTAACTTTGTTGGGGAGGTGGACGGAGGCGGGTGGGGCTCGGCTTGCAACCCTTGGGGAAATTGGTCGGTGCGAGGCGGCGGGTGGTCGGGAGCCGGTAGTCGCTTCTCAGCTGCACCAGCAGCAACGGGGCCGCCAGAATAGTATCGTTGCTTTTGCCATTATTCATTATTCTTCGTCCAAAGCAGCGCGTAAAAAGTAACACGCAAAACTCCTGACACCTCACTGCCTGCATGTATTTCTTACCTCGTTAAGGCCGCTGTCAGATGCAAGGGAGTATCTTGGGAGTAAGAGCCCCTTGAACCCAACGGGCTCTTACTCCCTGATAAACATACATAGGGCGTAGCTGCCCCACCTCCCATCCACAAAAATTATTGAAAAGCACTGAAAGTACAGTACTAAATTAACTGAGGTTCTGCCCCTCCCCAGCAAAAGCCTGCCCCCCTGTGATGTTCCCTTTTTTTTTGCAACTCACTTCTACTCAAGAGTAGAAATTAATGAACTGAAATTCATGAACCCAAATTAGTCATGCCCATCATTTTAAATGGGCCGTGATCTCCCCAAAAAAGCACAACAACTTCAGGAATCTGAAGAAGTGTGCATGCACACGAAAGCTCATACTAATAACAAACTTAAGGTAAAGGTAAAGGGACCCCTGACCGTTAGGTCCAGTCGTGACCAACTCTGGGGTTGCGGCACTCATCTCGCTTTATTGGCCGAGGGAGCTGGCGTACAGCTTCCAGGTCATGACTAAGCTGCTTCTGGCAAACCAGAGCAGCGCACGGAAACACTGTTTACCTTCCCACCAGAGCAGTACCTATTTATCTACTTGCACTTTGACGTGCTTTCGAACTGCTAGGTTGGCAGGAAATAACAAACTTAGTTGGTCTCTAAGGTGCTACTGGAAGGATTTTTAAAATTTTTTTTTACTACGGCAGACCAACACAGCTACCTACCTGTAACTAGAACTTTAGGAAGTAGACCTTGCAGAGGGTTTAGGGCAGCAGCCGCTTTTCAGCAATGGGAAGGATGATTATTTTCATTTTTTTGTTATACTTGTATACTGCCCTTCATCTGAAGATCACAGGGTGATTCACAGCATAAAAATGCAAAACGAGAACACAAAATACATAAATAAGAACAAGAACAAACCAATAAACCCCTCTTCCAGGAAGACATTTAAAAAGGCATAGAATGCTACCCAAAATTAATCAAGAGTTGGCCCATTGAAACGGATGGGCATGACTAATTTGGGTTCATTAATTTCAGTGGGGTCTACTCTTGAGTAGAAGTGAGTTGCAAAAAAGCAACTGGATAATAGAACTCCAGGCAAATCAAAAGATGCAAAAGAGCGAGTGAAGTCAAGGTAACTAAATACTCGTATTTCTGTAACGTAGGTTTGCGAAAATTATAAAACCTTTACAAAGGATAAGTCTAGGAATATACGAGGGGCTTTTTTGGGGGGGGGGTCTAGATGATACCCATGGGTCCCTTTGAAACCTGTGATCCTGTATATGTCGGGTAGGATTTATAAGAGGAAACCAGCCAAACCAGTTCCTTTGCTCAGGACAGCAATACCTCAAGGACACCTTTTCCCAAACAAACCCTGTGATAATCATCTGAGGCCCTCCATGTCCTTCCTCCATGAGACGTCCAGAAGGTGGCAACATGCGAATGGACCTTTTCTGCAGTGGCTCCCCATTTGTGGAGTGCTCTCCGCAGTGCCTTTATTACATATCTTTAGGTGCCAGGCGAAAACGTTTCTCTATACTGTAATCAGGTCTTTGGCTAATTAACATTCTATGGCCTTTTAAATGTGTTTTGGGGTGGGTTGTTTTTGTTTTGTGTATTTTATGTTCTTGTTTTGCATTTTTCTGTTGTGAGCTGACCTATGATCTTCAGGCTGTATACAAATATAGTAAATAAACAAATAAGCACATGAACCGCTGGAGTCTTTGGCTCATAGACTGGAATTGCGCACAACAATGCAATAATAACAGAACAATTGCATGAGACTTCATGACTCTGAGGTGCAGACATGGATGTGATACTATATACAGCGTCTGCATTTCGGTGTTGTGAAGGCACAGAAGATGTATTGTCTCTTCCATAGGCTATAGATGTATTCTTTATATATAAAGTTGGTAAATCTTTTCATTTAATTACATACAACCCAGTACATCTCGAAGCACCATTCAGTTAAATACTATAGTTTCAGCCAATGCAGTGTTCCAAAGCAACTTCTTCTACTTTGAGATCTTTAGGGCCACTTCTAATATTTAGACCAGGGGTGGGGAAACTGTGGCCCTCCTGATGTTGGACTCCTCATTCCCATCAGCCCCAGCCAGTATGGCTAATGGGAAAGGATGGTGGGAGTCAGGTTTCTCATTTCTGCATTAGACACGAACTCAAAACTTCTGTTTCACCAAGCCTTGGGTTTCTTTTAGCTTCTACTATTTGCTATGCTGGGCTGTTTAAGCAGGTTTTTTAATTTTTGTTTTATCCTGCCTTTGATAATTTGTTTTATGATTACTGCTATTATTCATGTTTTTTAAAAGTGCGGCAAGAATAATAAATCACATAGCTTCTTTTCTTTCGAATCAAAGGGAATGGCGCCTTTAAGATGTTGGTCAGGATGGCAAAGACACCAGAACGATCCTGTATCAATCTTGCTTTTTACCCATAACCAAATGTAATGGAGAGATTAATGGCTTAATCAACATGCAATTTGACAGCTTTTGTTTTGCTTTGTGGGACCCACCTCTTTTGCTGAATCTATACTGTTCTATTCTAGCTGGAAGAGCTTAACTTGTTTTGTAGAGTTGTAACTGTGCATTTGTTTTCATAACTACATATTACATGGTAACCTGCCCTGGGTGTTTATGATGAAGAGCAGGTAAGAAATCATATTTTAAAAAACACCCATTCGCAAGGCTAAACTGGTGGTTGTGAAACTCTTCTCCCCACTGACCACCCAAAAGTTGCTGAGGGTCTTGGCAGACCACATAATGATTTTTCTGCCTGTTGCAGCAATTGCAGTGCACTGTGGTAGTTGCTGTATGATTTTTAATTTCATTTTTGCAGACGCACCGTAAACTAGCTTAATGAAGCTTGTCCGCGGACCACAGTTTGGGAATTAACACCAGGGGAGGCTGGTCCATTAGTGTGAATGCGCCCTGACCCACCAACCTCAGTCTGCCCTTAGCCAGCCCACATCTGTCTCCCTTCCTACTTGCAGCAAGTCCAGGGGGTTGTATTAGCTGTTGGTTTCCACCCTCTCAGTCTCAGTGTTGCCCTTGTAGATTTCAGCAAGGAGGGAGGAGAACAGAACCAGAATTAGTTGGCTCTGCCTGCCATTGGGTCTGGGTCTGGTTAGTGGTGGCACCGCCTATTGTTGGTCTCCACACCTTCCACCCTACCATTCCCATGAGTACTAGCCACTACTGGCTAATGGTGAGAGGTCAATTTGGCCCTCCCTCTCAGACACTGAAAGTGCATGTGAGGGATCACACTGTGTAGCCCCAACACATCAGCTATGCCTCCCCGGTTGTATGTTTGGGGATCGTATGAAGGGGAATCTACATGGGGGGGCAGGATCCTGGGCCACTCACGATCCCACCTCACATAAAGGAGCTCTGCACATCTACTCCTCAATATGCAATTAAATGCTGCTCAAGTAAATGTTCAATATGCAAGCTAGCCTTTGCCCTGCAACCCATTATTTCTTTGCAAGGTGGCCCACAAATCGTTGCTACTCAGCACAGGCAAAGCAAGTTATTTCGTTCTAAGGGACTTTTAGCAGGACAAATGTCATGACCACTTGATGGCGCCAAATGCCACCTGGCGTGCTGGGTGTCCGAACGGACATCTGTTTACTGAAAAAGAGTGAATGCCAAGTTTTGAAAGTAGGCACTGCCAAGTATTAGACATTAAATGAAAGCAATTTCAGGAAACAGCTCCCAGTTTTACAGTGAGAGACGGAGAAGTCCAGATATTTTATTTTCCATTCTGCTTGCAACCCTTTCTGTTGCTTTGGTTTCAGGAGAAGCAGAAGGATGCTAAAATCAGACAATGGCTGTACATACGCTAACCCAGTTATAGCATTGAAATGCAGTTTTTCTTAATCCAAAATAGTTTGTGCTTGTCCTAAACATGCTCACTCCAAGATAGCTCAATTGGTGGAGCATGTGATTCTTAGTCTCAGGATCAAGAGTTCAAGCCCACGTTGGACAAAAAGATTCCTGCATTGTAGGGGATGGACTGGATCAATCTGCAACGAGCTTTTATTTTCAGAGTGAAACCAGTTTCTCAAGAAGCCCTATTCAGGGACAGAAAAATATGCACCAGCTGATATGCACCTGTCCTGCCCCCCCACTTCATTATTTTTCTCTAGCACAGCATGACATCTGGAGGTTTCTGCACTGGCTACCCCTGTTTTAAAGAACCAGCCATCCCAATATACTCAAAAGCGGGACTCAAAAGTTACCTAAGTATACTAGCGGCACCAGTGGTAGCACCACAGGCAATAGTACTGGTAGGTAAAGGTAAAGGGACCCCTGACCATTAGGTCCAGTCGTGGCCGACTCTGAGGTTGTGGCGCTCATCTCGCTTTATTGGCCGAGGGAGCCGGCGTACAGCTTCCCGGTCATGTGGCCAGCATGACTAAGCCGCTTCTGGCGAACCAGAGCAGCGCATGCCGTTTACCTTCTCGCCGGAGTGGTACCTATTTATCTACTTGCACGTTGATGTGCTTTCGAACTGCTAGGTTGGCAGGAGCAGGGACCAAGCAACCGGAGCTCACTGATCAACAAGTCCTAGGCTCTGGGGTTTAACCCACAGCGCCACCCGCATCCCTATAGTACTGGTACCTGGCAGGTAAACAAAGTATAGGTAAAAAACAGCACCGCTACCTGGCAGTACTGGTGACACTGACAGTAATACTGATGCTACCACTCGTAGTGTGGAAGCAAATTTGAATCCTGCTGCTGCTCATGGTGAGCAGATAAATTCTGAATACCTATAGAAGGGGAGGTGCTGAGACTTTTGGACGCAGACACAACAGATGTGCAAACCGCCCAGCCTCCCTCTCCTTGCACCCCCCCCCCTCACGGTGCTATGTATGTCAGTGAGAGGAGGGGCGGTAATCGCCCTCCCCAGCCGCCCACACGCGATTTCCCTGCCTGCTGGTGGGCACAGCCCGCCAGAGAGAGCTTGCCGGGGGGTGGGCTGGGGGAGTCCCTGCCCGGTGATTGGCTCTTCCGCGGGACCAGTAGCCCTGGCCGGGCTCGGCGCCCGCAGCCAATCAGGAGGCGGGGACTGTGGGGCTCGGGAATGCCGCGGCGCTGGTGGAGGCGCCGGGTGTGGAGCGAGCGGCGGGCTGAGCTCGCGCGCATCCTGGGCGCCGCTCCGTTTCGACGATGCGCCCGGCGCTGCGCGCGCTCGGGCTCCTCCAGCTGCTCCAGCACCTGGATCTCGCCAGCGGCCAGACGGGTAAGTGGCCGAGGCGGCAGAGGGACTGGGAGTCGGGCTGGGAAACTCCTGCCGGTGGGACGCCGTCCGCGTAGGACTTGGCAGAAGGGGCAAGGAGTTGGGAGAGGCGGCGATGGGAAGCCAAGCCAACATTGTAAATGCTAAGTGAAGCGACGCCTGTTGCCGACACAAGAAAGGGCGATCCATAAGACCGATAAGCGCACAGTCTTGTAATCGGGGGGCACTTTTAGGCTGCTTCGCTGCTTTCGGGCGGACTGCAATCTTACATGGCAAATTCCGGTTGCACAATTGCATCCTGATGGGGAGATCTTGCGCAACAAACCCGCTTCTCGAAAACATCCGATTTTGTTTTGTTTTTGTGCCTGAGCGGGGATAAGGAAAGTGGCTGCTGGGAAGCCTGGGACGCCCTTGCAGTGATGCAACCTCGTCTAACCTCCCTGTAGTAGATGGATGCTCATTTCATAGAATCATAGAACTGTGTAGAGTTGGAAGGGACCCCGAGGGTCATCTAGTCCAACCCCCTGCAATGCAGAAATGTCGACTGAAGCATCCATGAAAACCTCCAAGGAAGGAGGGATTTCAATACACAACCAACATCCTCCAATCTCCCTGCAATGGAATCAGGGCGAATGCTCACTAAACAGGCTCCCTGGAAGCAACCGGAGATGGAGATCCTGTGGCCAGGATGACAGCTCTCATCACCCCTGACCATTGGCTACTCTGTCTGGGGCTGAACATCAAGGGCCACAGTTTGTCCCTATCCTCCTCCTCCCCCCTGCCGAGTTCTCCAAGGGCAACGCTGAAACTAAGGTGGAAGAAGTTGAGAGCCAGTGCCTTCGCCCCGCTAGGACCGGGTGCAAGGGAAGAGGTAGGGGCAGACTGAGGCTGGTGGAGCACTGCCCCCCTTTGTCCAAATGAGTCTCTGTGGGCTAATTGTTAGAATAAACTTCCTCATGGTAGGGCTTAGTGCTTTGCAAAGTGGTAGGCACTCCTTCACCGGAGGGGCTTTTTAAGCAGAATCTGGACGGCCGTTTCTCAGGGGTGCCCTTGTTGTATCCTGTGTTGCAATTCTTGTCCAGAGCAAGGAACTGAACCAGACAAACTCAGAAACCTCTCCCAACTCAGCTGAGTTTCAGACCCATTGAAATGAATGAACAGGACTAAGTTAGGTCCATTCGTTTCAACAGATCCCCACTCAGTTGTGTACTGCCCTATGTTTCTTTGGCAGACCTGGTTCGGTGGCAGTAGGTTTCACCCGTGGGTGGGGTGGGGTGAGCCAGAAATTGTAGACCAATCATTTTTGCAGGTGGGAGTCCTAATGACAATATCACAAGTGTGTGAGCCGCTTTCTAGGTTCTGTTGGTCAAAGTGTGCATTTAAAAAGACTCTTTTCTATTCTTCCATAGATAAAGGAATAAGAATGGGATAGGATTTAGCGTGGCATCTTCGCCCCTCGTGTCCCTTTTTACTGATTGCCAGAGCGCCTTTCCAGAAGTTGCATTGGCAAGCTTTGCCAGGGAAACATGGGGCAAAGCATCTTCACCCCGCATGTCCCTTTCACAAAGATAGGTTGGCTGGCGATGGGTGGGTGTGGGATGGCAGACAAAGTTGGGTTGGCTATGCACACGTAGCATTCCCCCCCCCCCCGCAATGCTGGGTACAACTCGGCGCTGCTGGAGCCTGCCCATCCTATTGGGGAAATGTGCAACACAGGTCTGGAGCCATGACTATGGGGCGATAATTTCCCAGGCGGGCCTTTGCCAACCTGGGGACCTCCAGATGCTTTGGACTACAACTCCCATCAGCCCTAGCCAGCACTCACTTCCATCAGCTGATGGTGGTTGTAGTCCAAAACATCTGCGGGGACTCGGCTTGGCGAAGTTGTTGGCCTAGGCTCTCATTCCAGATGGCAGCACTAAGAGGATCTGTGGAGCTTAGGGTTAAACAGCTGGGCAAATCTTAGAGGCTTCTGCTTGCAGTCCCTGCTTTCTTATTCCTGTTCCCTTCAGAGCTTGTAAGCTCATTTGCAGAGCTGCACAGCTCAGTGAATGATACTCAGCTGCAATCCCACACAACGAACTAGGGGTGGGGAACCTATGGCCCTCAAATCCTGCTGGACTATGGCTGCATGCACACCATTCATTGACAGCACATTCCCTCTCCCAAGAAGCCTGGGAGCTGTAGTTTAGCCTTCAGAGAGCTACAATGCCCAACAGCCTTAATAAAACTACATTTCCCAGGATCCTTTTTTTCGGTGTGGTGGGGTGAAGTGTGCTTCATGTGTATCATGTATAGACAACCTATGTCTCCCATCATCCCTGATAACTGTTTGTAGCTGATGGAAATTGCAACAAGTTACGCGGAGCCATGGATTCTCCTGCCCCTGCTATGCACACTTACCTGGCAAGCAGCGCAGATACCTATACCTGGAAAATGTTGACTCCTGAGTCTTGGGCAGCAGATTGGCATAGATGGGGAAGCCCGGCCCCTTCTCTAGCTGGTCTTTTGGACCCATTCTAGGCCACCCACCCTGTTCACACTCGTCATGAGTGTTTTCATCTGGCAGGAGCATGTCTTAGAACTCTGATAATGTCTCTTGGTTGCCTGGAAGGAGGAGAGAGAGAGAGAGAGAGAGAGAGAGAGAAGGGGGTGAGCATGTGTCGTAGAAACCAGCTTACCATACAAAGATAAAATTCACATCCATTGCTGTCATAGATTGGTTGGATGCAGAGGAACAATATTTATTTATTTATTTATTTATTTGGGATGCGGGTGGCGCTGTGGGTTAAACCACAGAAGGTCGGCAGTATGAATCCCCTTGACAGGGTGAGCTCCCGTTGCTCTGTCCCAGCTCCTGCCCACCTAGCAGTTTGAAAGCATATCGAAGTGCAAGTAGATAAATAGGTACCACTCTGGTGGGAAGGTAAACGGCGTTTCCGTGTGCTGCTCTGGTTCGACAGAAGCGGCTTAGTCATGCTGGCCACATGACCCGGAAGCTGTCTGCGGACAAATGCCGGCTCCCTCGGCCTATAGAGCAAGATGAACCCCAGAGTCGGCCACGACTGGACCTAATGGTCAGGGGTCCCTTTACCTTTTTATACACCACTATTTGACTGTAAAAGAAACCTCAAAGCGGTTTACAAAGAGGTGGGTGCTGGTGGGTGGATAAAATCATAGGTGGAAGAAAAAAAACAGTTCAAAACGACGAGTTGATTATTCTGAAAGACTTTAAAGCAGCAATAAACTTTGAACGAAGCAATCTCCGCAAGATGGTTTGCAGCTCCTGTTGAAAGTTTTCAGGCTGAATTTCAGCTGTCTGGAAATCTTCTGTTCAATAAAGTCTGACATGTTTGTGCTTCACAAGTTGAAGCTTTGCAGTCTACAGTCAGAAGTAAGCACCACTGAGTTTAAGGGAAGCAGAGGAAACGGCATAGTACTACAGCCAGTCATGCTGATCCTAATACAGTGGTGCCCCGCAAGACGAATGCCTCGCAAGACGGAAAACTCGCTAGACAAAAGGGTTTTCCGTTTTTTTAGCTGCTACACAAGACGAATTTCCCTATGGGCTTGCTTCGCAAGACGAAAAACGAAAATGTCTTGCAAGTTTGTTTCCTTTTTCTTAACACCGTTAATACAGTTGCGACTTGACTTCGAGGAGCGGTGTGGTAGCCTTTTTTGAGTTTTTTGAAGACTTTGGTGATTTTTGAAGCTTTTCCAAAACTTCTTTTAAGCTTTTAAAACTTTTTTGGGGGTTTTTGGATTTTGGGTTGGGGTGTTTGGAATTCAAGGACTTGGTGTTGGGGAGGGGTTTGCAAGAATCTGGAAGCTTGTGGTTTTTTTCTGCATTTTTATGATTTTCTGTGACCATTGGGCCACTCTGCTGTTTTTTTTAAAAAAATCTGGATTTGAATTTCTGTGTGGTGGGTGGCTGGGGGAACAGTTGAGGAGGGGGTTCCTCAGCAAGAAGCAAAGAGTGGAAGAGGAACCTTCTTCGAGTTGTCCCCCAGAGTCTTAGAAAATGTACAGTACTGTACACTTTGTTGATTTTTAAATGTTTTTCTGTCATGTTTAGAAACTTAATTTATTGTTCCTTCAATTTTTGAAATGCTCTTTACAGTATGTGTGACTTTAAAGAGCACTTAATAAACTCTTGTTGTACCAAATTTGGCTTTGTTTGGACTTTTTTTGACCATAGGAACGCATTAATTGGATTTCAATGCATTCCTATGGGATTTCGTGCTTCGCAAGACGAAAAATTCGCTAGACGAAAAAACTCGCGGAACAAATTAATTTCGTCTTGCGAGGCACCACTGTAAATTAGGTATTGTGCTATGTGCTGCTGCTGCACCTCTCTCTCTCTCTCTCTCTCTCCCTCCCTTGCATTTTTGTACCCTTCCATAAAGAAGTCGGTCCCTTAATATTCTTTTTTTAAAAAACATAATTTTTATTAACAGGCCAATCATATCACATTATTTCAAATCACATTAATTCCAAATTATACAGCCAAATTTTTCAATTTTGTTGGGGGTACCCATACATCAAGCTCCGAACGAGAATCCAAACATCACTTCTATTACTGCTTTAATTAAACAGTCCTATCCAGTTCTATCCAGATAGTCTCTTTATTACTTTCTTCATCTTCTTGTTGTTGTCATATATTCCTTTCTTTGCGATCTCTGATAATCTTCACAGGCAGGTTGAAAGCAAACATCGTCTGTGTGGGTTTTACACACTCCACAAGTCATATCTCATAGGGACAGCCGCCATTCCCCTCCTCCTTCAAAAGTTTATCTTCGGTTTGCCCTTTAGTTTTCCCAGGCTTGTAAAATATCTCATGGAGGGCTCTGCCAGGATTAAGATCAAATTCCAATCATCATTCACATTCCAATAGTCCTGGTTCTCCTCCCCCCGTCTTTCTTAAACAAGCCTGTCTTGCGAGACGCCATTTTAAAACTGCGTCATAGAATTTTTCCATTCTCCGATATTTACCAATCCTCTCTTCATTCATCATTAATTCATCCCACACAGTTTTAAAATTCCTGCTAGTGTAATAAAATACGGCGATTCTTCTTTCTTTGGGGTGGAGGGTTATCAATCCTCACATAAGGCAAAGAAAAGAAAAGTTTTTTCCTCCACCTCCCTTCTTCACTCCAGACATACCAATCTCTTAATGGCGCTTCATCGCTTGATTTATTTGTTCTCGCCCGCAGCTCCGATCCCAGAGACCCATTAATCAGCAGTCTTATCTCCCGACCTTTGCTTGATGTATGTGCTTTAGCATCTTCCAATTATATATTTCCAATTGTATTTTCGAGCTAAAGCAAACCAGCACGCGCAGATTGGAGACAGCGTCCAGGAAGAGCCGACTTCACCGAGGGCTGGTGCCAAGTGACGGGGCACCCCCTTCTCTCGAATCCGGGGGTGCATTATGGCCACCGCTGGCAAGGCAGTCCCCCCCATCTCCTTGGGGGGGCGGGAAGACTGCATACTTCCCATAGCAGCCTCTTAATTACCTCGTGTGGGTCGGAGAGATGTTATTGTCGGCCATCTTCCAATGCGCCACCTGGTGGCCCCGGTCCCTTAGTATTCTAGAGTTGATGCCCATGCAAATAGGACTGCTTTAAATTGATGCTTGTGCTCATCCAATGGCTTTACAAAGAACTTACAACTTTAATAGATGAGGAGGAAGATTTCAGCATCACCCACAACCATAAGAAGACAATAGATACTCCTGATAGGTATAGATGTCTAGTCCACACACACACACACCGTCAAGCCAGCATAGAGATGATCTTCAAGTGGTGCTTCACTTCACTTCTGGGAACCACAGCAAATAAATTGCAAAATAACCCTTCTATATACTCATCTCAAAAAAATGAAACAAGCACAGCGGCCATGGTGAAGTTTTATTTCTCTGTGTCTCTCTCTCTGTGTGAAATATTAGTTCTGAGGTTTTAGGTCTTAATCCAAAAGTAAGGACTCCCCACCCCCATCCCCCCGGTAGCATCTGTTGTATTTTGTCTTCTTCACATCCTGTTGAAAAATATACCGCCTGGAATTTGCTGACCAACATGGTGATGTCTTCCTGCTGAATGAGCTCCAGAAAAATGCAATGACTTGTGCACTGGGAACCTTCAGTATCTGAGTTGTGTCTAATTTCTTTATAAGTGGTTTTTGTTTGGTTTTTTGCTTACGTTTTTTGCCAGTGAAATTTCCTGGGAATTGTGACTCCCTCTTCTAACTTGGAATTTCCCGCTGCTTCCCTCCAACATAGTTATGAAAAGTGTTTTGGGTTTTTTTTTGGGGGGGGGGAGATGTTGTTAATGCCAGGTCAGGGATGTAGCAGCCGTCCATCCATAAGAGCAGATCCAGAAAATGAGAGGATGGACTGTATCACTACTGCTGTTACCATCTAGCAAGCTTGTACTCAGCATTGCTCAGAAATTCTACGACACTAAAAAAACAAACCACTCCAGCTTTGAAATCAGTGGTTAAAATCAGAGTAGTCTTGAAAGGTTCAGTCCTTCATCTTGATTCACAGTGGTGTGCAAATGTATCCAAACATAGAGAGAAACCTGCTCCTTGATATCAGAAAGCATCATTTGTCTTAAGAAGTGTCCAAATCCATAGTCTCTGAAAAATTGGCTTGTTTCGCCTTCGGAGCAATGATTTTAAGGAGTAAAGTTTGGGGGATGATAAGTTAAATTCTTCATGGGAGCAAACTCTTATCTGACAGAATGTCTGGTTTTAATAACTGTTTTAACTTTGGAATGTATTTTATTCTGTTTTATTTAGTTTATCTTTTATAATGGCTTTGTTGCATAGCAACAAACAACTTTCCAAAATACGTACTGCGGTATATTTCATTTATGAATGGCTTCCCACGAGGCACTCCAAAGCGATTTGCACTACAGTAAAAACGTATATAGAAAAACCTGCATGTGTGAAAACAGTTTAAACATTTGCTTATATATAAAAACCAATTAAAACCAATTGTAAACAGTTTAACCACAACAACATATATATAACATAAATTCAGATCCACACAGATACCAACTTTCTCTGACTTTGGGCCACTGCAAAAAACAAAACAAAAAAACATCAGGGGCAGAGGCTGAGTAAAAGGTGCCAAGGCAGTGAGCCACAAGCAGGCACCTATGTTTTTAGGCATGCATACTCCACTGCCACTACAAAACTCTGCCCCCATAACCTGATGATTGTTCAAGCATGGGAGAAACCCTCCATCCCACTGCAGGGCTTCCTTTTTGCAGAATTGCTTACAGCTTTCTATAAGGTTTTGAACAAAAGAGAAAGGTGGGAGGAATCCACTGTTCACACCTGGCTGATGCCCATTGGTACTGATAAGGAGGAAACAGTATGTGGAGCCAGAGCCTCAAGCATCCATGGCAGATGGCCATCCCACCTCTGCTTAAAAGCCTCCAAGGAAACAGAGTCTGCAACCTCCCAGGTCGTCTGGAAGCTACTCTCAGCAGCCTCAGACAGCATAGCCAGTGGTCAGGGATGATTATAGTCCAACATCTGGGGACAGCTGAAGAACATTGGGAGATGGTTAACGGGACTGTGGGTTGGGCTGGCATGGACCTACTGGGTGACAACCTGCTGGCTCCCTCCCCAAGCTCAGACCCCTCATCTCTCCATGCCCCCCCCCCCCGCAAACAGTTCTCAGAGCATAACCAAATGAGCCACCTCTTGTTTCTATATTGCTTTGTATTTTAAAAACAATTTCTTCCATTGTGCTCATTGTCAAGCACTTGTTATCTGGTCTAGTTTTCCTGCTGGTGTTCTTTCACTGTTTTTCTCCCCCATTCCTGCTGAACGCAGGCAGAGTAAATACTTTATTGGACCTTTCATCTTCATGCATTTGCCAGAGAGAATGCGTCCACCCGCAATGTTGTACAGCTAAGAAGGAAGCCGATAACCAGCAAAGCCAGAAACTTGTGGAATTGTAGGAAATCTTTGTCCAAGCAGATTACCCTCTCCCTCTCCCAGGCCCTTGATTAAACTCTAACCCGACTCATAATCTCATTCATCTGCATCTTCAATCAGGATAGTGGGCCATAGTCTAAAACCAATTCCCATAAATACCTTACTCCCCGACCAAAGACAATTATGTTGATACACACACACACACACACACACACACACACACTGCCTTTTGCTAAAAAAATAAATAAGTAGATGGACCAATGATCAGATAGTAGACAGAACTGAGAGCACACTGAATGCTCTTACCTGTGTAATCCAAGATTTTATATCTCTAAACTTGATAAAGCACCACAGCTCTGCATTAAAACAGTGTCAGTATTGCATGCTAAAAGATTGTCTGTAAGAAAGTTGCAACTGATGGAATGACAAAGGTGTACTTTAACAGGTCATGCCCTGTGTTTTAATCATTGAATCATCTGATGCAGCCTTCCCCAGCCTGGTGCACTCCAGATATTATTCAACTCCACCTCCCATCAGCCCCAGCCAGGGTGGCCAATTGTCAGGGATGATGGGAGTTGTAGTCCATGGACATAGGAAGGCTACCTTCTACTGAGTCAGAGCACTAATCTATCTAGCTCAGCTTTGTCTATATTAAGTGACAGTTGCTCTCCAGGTTTTCAGGCCATGGGGAATTTTCCACCTCTGTCTGGAGATGCTGGAGGGTTGAACATGCAGAACAGACGCCCTGTCACTGAGCTCCCACCCTTCCCCTTCTGAATGGCCACAGGTCAGTGGCAGAACATCTGGAGGGCCTTAGCTTCCCCACCCCCCAAATTAGAGAACCCCTGTCAAAAAGGTAGGAGAGAAACACAATATGCCATTTCCCCTTAACCATCCTGTTTGGGAGAAGGATTATGTGGCTTTCAAAGCTGCAACCGGGTACACACTTCATTTGGGAATAAGCCCCGATGTACGAATACACAGGATCTTATCTAGATCTCTGATCAAGTTGATCAAGACCTGGACCAACCATGTGATGGTGGGGGAGTAGAGTGGGCTTTGACATATTCCTAGCCAGTCGCATTTTTAAATAAAATGATGGGGTTTATGTTCTAAGAGGTGAAAAGGAATTGGAGGAGAAAATTAAGCAAACTGAGGGCTTATCTAGTTTGTGTTGCCGCTTTACCTTGGGAAAATTTGCAGTTTAGCGCTGAATGGTCACTGCAGTAGATAGTTATGGGAGAGCAGAAAGATGAAGGTAGTTGATCCCAGCTAAGCCTTACTGAGTGGTAGAACATCCGCTTTGCTTGCAGAAGGTCCCAGGTTCAAGACTGGGAAAATGAGATTGGAGGTGGTAGGAGCATCGTGTGCTATTGGTCCATTTAGCTCAGTACTGTCTACACTGACTGGCAGCAGCTCTCCAAAATTTTAGGCAGCATTCTCTCCCAGGCCTAATGAGAGATTCTGGGTTTCAAACCTGGGGTTTTCTGCATGCAGAACAGATGCTATCCACCACCAAGCTATGGCCCTTTCTCTTAATTTCGCCCATCATGACTAGTAGTCTACTAGTCATGCAGCCTGCAAAGGATCAGGTAACAAGTGATGAAGAAGCTGCTGGTTAGAGTGGGCAATTCTTGAGTAGCCGGCCAGATCATTTGACATGATGCAAAGCAGCTTCCTGATGTAAGATCAGTCTTATCTCCTCGCCTTCCAGGGGATGGTTGCGGTCACTCGATGCTGACGCCTTACAGCGGGACTCTGACTTCCAAGAACTACCCTGGCACTTATCCCAACTTCACGTCTTGCGAGTGGAAGATCCACGGAGCTGCAGGGAGCTCCCTAAGCCTGATCTTTGGAGACATGGACATTGAAGCTTCAGAGCAATGCAAATCCGGCTTCCTATTGCTTTCTTCCCCATCGGATGGAACTCGCTTCGGTAAGGACAAGCGTTTGACTTCTCGGTCGTAAGGATCTCAGGAGTCACAGACAGCTTGGGGTCATGGGAGTGGAGCACACTCTGCAGTGGGGTCAGGAAGGGGAAACATCCTTTTCACATGGAGGTAAGAGGGAAAGACTGTGGCTCCGTGGGAGAGTATCCGCTCTGCCTGCAGCGGAGGTCCAGGTTCTGTTCCTGGCAACTCCAGGTAGGACTAAGAATGTCCCTTCCTTTTTCAGCAGGGGGCCAGTCCACTGTCACTCAGACCTTGTGCGGGGCTGGACTATATTTTGAAGGGGGGGGGAGAACGAATTCCGGTGCCCCACAAATAACCCAGGGATGCATTACAAATAAAAGCATACATTCTACTCATGTAAAAACAGGCCCCACAAATAATCCAGAGATGCATTTTAAATAAAAGGACACATTCTACTCATGTAAAAACACGCTGATTCCCAGACCGTCTGCAGGCCAGATTTAGAAGGTGATTGGGCTGGATCCGGCCCCCGGGCCTTAGTTTGCCTACCCATGCCCTACCAATCAGTGCAGACCAATGGTCATCAACCAGTCCAGACCTGAGACTCCCACATTCACGTATCCACTTTCGATTTATGCTTAATAGCACTAGCAAGGCACATTGTTAATCTCAAAATAGCAATTCACAGGGCTATGTACAGGGGGCTGCCTTAGCATTGCCACTAAATGAAAAGCCGCAAGGAACTTCCCCTCTGACCTAACCCTGTGTCCAGTGCTGGATTTACATATAATCTAAACAAGCTATAGCTTAGGGCCCCACTCTCTTGGGAGCTCCCCAAAAAATTAAAGGGAAAAAGCTGGATGTACATTTCCAAAATAGAAGATAAAAAACAAATAAAATAAAACCTACATACAGCAACAGTGTTTTGTGTTGTGTAGGCTCCTATGATGTAAGTAATGGGCCCTGTCTGCTAGCCTGCTCCCTAAAACATAACTGGTTTGCTCATTTCTCTATATAGGGTGCCTACATTCTGCATGTGCAAATGGCTTTAGATACCTGTTAGGTCCATAAATTACCATATAGCATATATTCAACACAAAAAACAGCAACTATTTGTTGTTGACAAAGGACAGCTGGACATATAAAGGGCCCCATTACCTTCAGTCCTTCAGTAATTTAGGGCCTCATCAAACCTAAATCTGGCCCTGCCTGTGCCTGGTTGCAGGGAGAGGGATGAGTGTGATGTGGCATGCCTCATCCATCTAAGTCTCACCTGCTACAGCCAAGCTCCTGCCATCACTTTTTGGGCCCCCGGCTATTGCTATGAAAAGCAACTGCTGGGCATCCAAGCTACCCACTACAGTGGGCCCTTATTCAGTCTCGTCCCCAGCATATTTCTATTCTGGGAGAAGTCTAAAAAGCCACAGAAATGGACTAAAACATGAGCAGAGAGTGTCCCTGCTCCAGAGACACATATAGACTGGCAGGGCTATAGGAAGGAATACGGCTGGCCAGAAATAAGTTTCTTTTTGAAAAAGGCTCTTGCCTTTCTCCTGCCATTTTGTTACAACAATTTAAAATTCAATCTTAAATACAGTTAAAGCACATTATTGTCCCAGGAATAGAGTGGCCCTCCCCCACTCCCTTATCTGCTTGGAAAAGCAAGAGGCGCTCAGTGAAACGAACCGGCCTTTTCCATCTCTGATTTCTATGGCCATTCAGACAGAAGAAGGGGAAACGTTGAATGATCTCCTGGCTGACCCTCTCATGTGTCGCTCTGGCAGAGCACAAAGGGGCCTTCTCTTTGCGATATACACTTGGAGCTCCTGGGCCCTTGTCCCTTATTTGCTTCCTTGGCTGACAGTTCTTTTCCTGCTGCATCCTATAATTAACTTTGCTTCCTCTTGGCATGGGGACTCGCCCACCCTTTCCTTCACCCCTTGCCGCTCCGACTCCATCACCTCCGATTCCTGGCAGAGGCTGCTTTCACTTGATTCTTTGGGAGAGACGGTTCCTGGAAGACATTTCCAAAGGTCATCCTTCCTTGCTAGCTTTGCTTGCCTCCTTCCTTCTTTCAGTTTCCCTCTCTACAGGCAGCTACAAGGCCCATCCAATCTCCCTTTAAATCCATAAAATCTCTCCTAGGAAATCCTGAAAACATTTCAAGCACTGCTGGGGGGGGGGGGCAAACTTAATGAACTGGCGCACGCACACACACACACACACACACACACCTGCTCCTTGCATAGGTTCCCTCCATATGGCCCATTTCCCATGCAGATATATAAAAATTTGCATTTGCCACTGCCCCCCTTTAAAAAAAAATAATTGCATTTTATTTATTTGTTAACATTATTATATTACATCAGTAAACGTTGTCATATTACTTTACAGGACTTACTATAATATAATTCCCAACGTGTATACAAAAATTATATACAAATTTTATATACCTAGAAAGAAAATGAAACAAAAAAGAAAGAAAGAACAAAGAGAAAAAACAAAAACAATTTCCCCCCCAAAAATCATATACATACCAACACACTAGACTTCCTGTCTTTCCCATTGTATATTCCTTTTTTTACAAATGAATGTACTCTTATTATTTTATATTTCTTTACATATTATTTAATACATTCCTATATCAATAAGTGCTCTTAGTCTTATTTCTCAACTCAGTCTCACTCCAACGTTAATCAAATGCTAGCATAGATAGCAAACCTTTACTGTATTTTTCAACATATGGTTTATATCTATCCCACTTTTCCATAAATTTTTGTTTTGAATTGCTTCTCAGGGTATTTGTTAACTGCACCATTTCAACAAATTCTTGTAGCTTGTAATGCCAGTCCGTTATTGTCGGGGCTTCTTGTTCCTTCCACCCCTTTGCCAACAAAGTCCGAGCTGCAGCCATTGCATATAAGAATACCTTCCTAAAAAGCATTGTTGGCAGGGACATCCCAAAGGCCTTTAGGGGCCCCCTATCCTATCACTTGATCCTGTTCTGGTCTAGGACATTACACTGAATGAACACACAGACATTCCTTTTCAGGCTATAGCTGTGCACATGTGTGAAGAAGCTTTAAAGTGGGCATGGAGGTGTCTCCATACAGGCATTTACTTTGGACTTGGTGCTGCTCGTTCCTGCACTTTTTTATAGTTTAAAAACTGTGGGATGTGATACATAAGTAGCAGTCAAGTACAACATTCCTTGTTTTCCTAGAGTTGGACATGCAGGGGAATGTTTGGTCCAGCCAGTTAAAAACTTCCTGTTTCCTCCTGGCTAGGACATAGTTCCTTTGCATGTGACTAGAGGTGGGCATGACCTTACCTGCCCAGGTAACAAAAGGACAAGGCACACAGCACATACCCTCTCTTTGACTTCCTCCATTGTTGGAGCAGCAGCTTTTAGCTAGAATTGCTCTGTTGGCTCTCAGCCAACAGAGGACACTGGGACTATCTCCATATGGCACAGATCCATATGTATATACTTTGTAACTAAGTCTGCCTTCAGGGATCCAACTGTGAAATGAAGATGTGAGTAAACTTATTTTATATACTTTACACAAGACTGTAGCGTGTTTATTCTTTTAAGGGAACTTACCAGGAATCTAATATTGAGAGGCTTAAACAAGCCTGCAACCAGCTATCTGCTGTGCGTTTAAAAGGGGAATGTAAAACTCTGCTAAATTATAGAACTTGCTAGCGCAAATTGGGAAGGATATGAATAAACAATATATCCTCTCCTTCCTCCCTGAACATTCCCACAAAAAACCACAATGGAGGAGAGACCATCACCTTCGACTGTGAAACAACTCTTAATGTCAGAAAGTTATTCCTAATATTTAGTCAGACTCTTCTTTCTTGTAACTTGAATCCATTGGTTTGGGTCCTGTCCTCCAGAGCAGGAGAAACCAAGCTTGCTGTATCTTCCATGTATCTGCCCGTTCAATATTTGAAGATAGCTACCCTATCACCTCGGGGACGCGGGTGGCGCTGTGGGTTAAACCACAGAGCCTAGGACTTGCCGATCAGAAGGTTGGTGGTTCGAATCCCCCCGAAGGGGTGAGCTCCTGTTGCTTGGTCCCAGCTCCTGCCAACCTAGCAGTTCAAAAGCACATCAAAGTGCAAGTAGATAAATAGGTACCACTCCGGCGGGAAGGTAAACGGCGTTTCCGTGTGCTGCTCTGGTTCGCCAGAAGCAGCTTAGTCCTGCTGGCCACATGACCCGGAAGCTGTACGCCGGCTCCCTCGGCCAATAAAGTGAGATGAGCGCCGCGACCCCAGAGTCGGCCACGTCTGGACCTAATGGTCAGGGGTCCCTTTACCTTTACCTTACCCTATCACCTCTCAAGTATTCTCTTCTCCAGGCTAAACATACCCAACTCCCTGAACTGTTCTTCATAAGGCTTGATCTTCAAACCTTTTATCATCTCAGCTGCCCTCCTCTGCACACCTTCCAGCTTGTCAACATCCTTCCTAAAATGTGATGCCCAGAACTGGGCACACGACTCCAAGGGGAGCCTGACCAAGGAAGAATACAATGGTGTCTGCATGAAGATACAATCTCATACTTCCCCACCCTACCCCATTTAATCCGGATTTACTGTTTCTGTGCTGTTTCTTTACTTATTGGATTTTCCACAGGAACATTAAATCCAGATTAAACGGAAAATAATATGGGGTGTTATTTCGATGAGGTTGATGTTGTGTGGATGATGTGCAAAGCTTGCTTGGGTTAATAAATAAATGTTCACTGTATTCCTTTCGATGCCTGCAGAAAACATTTTTGTTTAGGCAAAGCCTATCCAGACAAGTTGAAGTTCCATGTGTTTCATTCCTTGTTAGTTAGCGCTGATTTCAGTTATCTTTTTAAATATTTAAAAAGCCTGCTTCTAACAAACCTGTTTTTAATCAAGAATGTCAATGTCTTATTTTATATTGTTGTAAGGTGTTTAGAAGGTTTTTCATTATTTAATCAATAAAACTAATTGCATATATAAATAAATTTCTATGCTGTTTGGATAGGCCTAATCTTATAATTCCCAGGAGAAAAGCTGGGTTTTTTAACGGATGTTATCTTAAACATCTTTTTCAATTCATTTTATATCATTTCCCAGTAAACTTTAACCTTTTTACAAGGTTTGTCTCCCATTCCAATAACACCTTATACATTTTAGACATCACTTTAACATTACAATTTAACAGGTCTCTTTCTAATTGTGATAGTTGTTCCCCCAAACCCTCACGTCATATCCTTTTAAAACATTTCATTCAAATGATAATAATATAATCATGATGTTAACATTCCAGGTAAATCCTTAAACTCTTTTAGTTTAAAGTCTCCACCCTCCTCTCTTAGCAAATTTCTATAAGTTGCCTAGCTTTCCATCATATTTTTCTTTTTCACTGCTATGGCTTCCAAAGGTAAAAGCCAAAGTGGTGTTTTAATTTCCAATAAATGTTTATATTTGTCCCATATTCTATATAATTTTTTCCTAATTATATGGTTTGCAAAACCTTTATGTACTTTCACCTTTTCATACCACAATAAGCGTGCCAACTAAAAATATTATCATGACCTTCCAAATCTAAAATATGCTGATTCTTCAATAGCAACCATTCCTTTAACCAGCACAGACAAGATGCTTCATAATATAATCTCATATCCAGCAGGGAGAAACCTCTTCTCTCTTTTGTGTGTTTCAGTATTTTATATTTCATTCTCGGTTTTTCCCCTTGCCAGATATATTTAGAAATATATTTTTGCCATTTGTTGAAGCAATCTGTCTTGCTGATCACCGGTATTGATTGAAAGAAAAATAACATTCTTGGTAATACATTTGTCTTTATGGTCGACACTCTGCCCAGCAACGAAGGTTTAATTCTACCCCATATTTGCAAATTTCTTTTAATGTCCTTCTGGGTTCTCAGATAGTTATCTTAATATAGATTTATATTCTTTGCTGTTAATCATACACCTTCTTTTCAATCTTTAGACCTGATATGTTTTGTAATTCATTTTTACTCTCATCATTCATGTTTTTTACCAAGAGCTTGGTTTTATCTTTAATAATTTTAAGACCTGGTATTTCTCAAAGAAAATTTATCTCTTCTAATGCTTTCAGAATTGACTCTAGTGGTTCTTCTACAGATATCACCATGTCATCTGCAAAAGCTTTTAATTTGTATTGTCTCTGTCCCACTCTTATTCCTTTAATTTCTTGATTACATCTTAATCTTTGCACCAAAACTTCTAAAACTCATGTGAACAATAAAAGTGACAGCGGACAACCTTGTCTAGTTTAGTTTACTTACAATTCTCAGTCAATACGTTATTTACTATTAATTTTGCTGATGGTTTTGCATATATTGCCTTAAGTTCTTTTATAAAAGTTTCTCCACAGTTCATATATTCCGAAATTTTAAACATAAACTCCCAGGAGACATTATCAAATGCTTTCTCTGCATCTAAAAACATCAAGCCTGCTTGTTTTTCATTTCTCACTTCTAAATATTCTATTACATCAATTATATTTCTGATATTATCTTTCATTTGTCTTCCTGGCAAGAATCTGGCCTAATCTTGATGTATTACCTCTTTTAATACAGCTTTCAACCTATTGGCTAATATATCTGCAAAAAGTTTATAATCATTATTCAACAAAGATATAGGTCAATAGTTTTTAACCAGCTCTGGATCTCTATCTTGCTTAGGGATCAAAGTTATATAAGCACTCTTTCAGGATTCTGGCAGCTTCCCTGTATTTGGCTGACTGACCAAACCCAAAGGGTGCTCATCAATGGTTCCTCTTCATCCTGGAGAAGAGTGACTAGTGGGGTGCCACAGGGTTCTGTCTTGGGCCCGGTCTTATTCAACATCTTTATCAATGACTTGGATGATGGACTCTAGGGCATCCTGATCAAATTTGCAGATGACACCAAACTGGGAGGGGTGGCTAACACCCCAGAGGACAGGATCACACTTCAAAACGACCTTGACAGATTAGAGAACTGGGCCAAAACAAACAAGATGAATTTTAACAGGGAGAAATGTAAAGTATTGCACTTGGGCAAAAAAAATGAGAGGCAGAAATACAAGATGGGTGACACCTGGCTTGAGAGCAGTACATGTGAAAAGGATCTAGGAGTCTTGGTTGACCACAAACTTGACATGAGCCAACAGTGTGACGCGGCAGCTAAAAAGCCAATGCAATTCTGGGCCTCATCAATAGGAGTATAGCATCTAGATCAAGGGAAGTAATAGTGCCACTGTATTCTGCTCTGGTCAGACCTCACCTGGAGTACTGTGTCCAGTTCTGGGCACCACAGTTCAAGAAGGACACTGACAAACTGGAACATGTCCAGAGGAGGGCAACCGAAATGGTCAAAGGCCTGGAAACGATTCCTTATGAGGAACGGCTAAGGGAGCTGGGCATGTTTAGCCTGAAGAAGAGGAGGTTAAGGGGTGATATGATAGCCATGTTCAAATATATAAAAGGATGTCACATAGAGGAGGGAGGAAGGTTGTTTGCTGCTGCTCCAGAGAAGCGGACACGGAGCAATGGATCCAAACTACAAGAAAGAAGATTCCACCTAAACATTAGGAAGAACTTCCTGACAGTAAGAGCTGTTCGACAGTGGAATTTGCTGCCAAGGAGTGTGGTGGAGTCTCCTCCTTTGGAGGTCTTTAAGCAGAGGCTTGACAACCATATGTCAGGAGTGCTCTGATGGTGTTTCCTGCTTGGCAGGGGGTTGGACTCGATGGCCCTTGTGGTCTCTTCCAACTCTATGATTCTATGATTCTATGATTGATTCTATATTCATAATGTCCTTTAAATGTTTTATTAGATAATCTTGTAACTTGTTATAATATGCCTTTCCTAATTTTGCCTGTAAAAGTACTTGCTCCAATTTCATCATTGTCACTGGTCCATTCAAAGATGTCATTTTATCTTTTGATATCCTGTTCACTATCTTCTACATATTTACTCATTTTTTCTGAGTTACCCTATTTGGCTCGATATAGTTCTTTATAAAAACTCACAAACTGGTTTCTTATTTCTTTAGGTTTTTCCCCTACTCTTCTTTCTATACGTATTTTATTAATACAGGTTTTTTCTTTATTTGCCAAGCTAGTAGTTTCCCTGACTTGTTAGCCTGTTCAAATTGTTTCTGTTTTAAATATTTAATTTTCCATTCTATTTCCTGATTTATTATCATTGCATATTGCGTTTGCAATATCTTAATGTCCTGTTTCACTATCACTTTTCGTGGGGAATTTATTCATTCTTTTTCTTTCTTTTTTATTCCTTGAAAAAATCCTTGTTTTTCTGCTCTCTTATCTTTCTTTGGTACACACTTTGCTATAGAAAAAAGCCCCACATTACCACTTTACCCGCATCCCAAACCACCTTTAAATCTGTCATTTGGTTTAAATTAATTTCAAAATAATCCTTTGATTTGTTTGCCCCTTTTTCTAATATTTCTTGATCATTTAATTTCTGCAAGGAATTTCTTACAGATCCTGTCCACATTCCATATTCTTGAACAGATCCACCTCTAGGGATGGGTGAATCTTTCCATTTCAGTTTTTCTCTATTTCTCATTTCTTCAATCCTAAATTAGGTTTTCAAAACTTCAATTTATGATTTTTTTTCTTTAAAAGGTTCTCATGAAAATTCACCAGTGTCTTCATGCATATTTCTCCTTGCATGTTCATGTTTCTTTGCAATTTTGCCTAAAATGCAAATTTTTTGCATGTTATTTCCATGAACAGATGAATTTTTACACACATGTATTGGCTGGAGAATTGTAATGCAAGATTCACAGAACTGTGCAAATTTCAAAGGATGGCTGTGTTATGATTCACACTTCATTTTGGGAAATGGGAATTGGGTTGGCTTTTCTTTAAATACAAAAGGAATTGACTTTCTCCTCCATCCCTACCAACCTTGCAATGATTATTCACTCATCAGCTATAGTGTTCTCATTTTCTAGCAGGGAAAAAACAAAATAATTTTGACCTGATCTTGGTCCTACATTTCCTGGAATGAAAAAGGGTTGGGATTCCTCTTTGCCTGCTTCCAAACACAACAATGGTTGAGTTTCCTCTTCTCTGAACAGAATTTCATGTTCCAAAAGAAGGTGCTTTCTGCCTGACTGAAGGACTGAAGGAGTCCTGTTGACTGAAAGACCCCAATGAACAGATGCACAGAAAACTGCTGAAATGCCAGCTTCTGTCTGATAGTGTGAAGTATGTCAACTGAAGGGGAGGAACCACCAGGCATGCAGGAAGTGGTAGGAGATAAGAGGCTCAGCATTCGAGACATTCATGAGCAGAGTTGTGCAAAACTGCAACAGGAAAAGGAGGATGCAAAACTGTAGCTCTGCATCCCTGATACAGACTGGTGGTCTGGATTGTTGGAAAACAGCTCCTTACATGGTTTTGCTTCCCTGCAACGTGAGTTGGGGTGAAGGTAATAGAGACGATCAACACGACTGTACGGAATAATCTCAAATTTGCAGAGGAAAAGATCTTTTTGAATGATATACCCAATACATGGAATCTAACAAAGGGACAATAGGAATGGATTCCTCACCCTTAAAAGGTACCCCTGCCCGTACGGGCCAGTCGTGTCTGACTCTAGGGTTGTGCGCCCATCTCACTTAAGAGGCCGGGGGCCAGCGCTGTTACTACGGCAAAAACACAGGTATCGATGAACTGGAAAAATAAAAATGCAGCTGGATTGAACTGGATTGAAGATATCTACAAACTCGCTACACATGAACAAGTTGGGTGCAAACGTAGACTTGCTGCGGACAAATTCAATGATATTTGGAATTCGTTTTTATAAATATTGTATTAGGTTAAGGTCTGGTTAACTACAATAGCTTTTTGGTGTCTTATCTTGCTCTGTGCACTTGTAATTATGTACTTTTTATCGTTCAATAAAGAACACACACACACACACACGAGTTTGGGTTTATAGTGAAAGCACCTTTTTTGAGTTAACTGGAGCATGGTGCCTTTGCTGGGATTCTCCCCCTTCAGTCGGCCAGTTCCTGCTCCTGGCAGCAGCACCCAGAGCAGATCCTCACTTCAAAGCAGAGGCTTCTCTGGTCCAATTCAGCCTTCAGCAGAACTGGCTCCTGGCTGACTTTCGGGAAGTTCTCTGGAACGGAAGTTCTGGGCAGCATGACCTTGGAACAATGCGGTGTGCGCGCAGGGAGAGGGGTCTCTGGCTGTGTCTCTTGGTCGTCACTTTGTTCCAGTGTGCTGTGGGAAATGATGCAACTGGCAGGCTCCTCGGTGGTTGAGGCAAGTGGGGTGGAATGAAGGATTTCATGCCGCAGCCCTGTGGCAAAGAGGACTACAAAGGCCTGGAAGCAGATTCCTTTGGCCATATTTGCAGCCCACGCTTCTCATCTGAATGCTTTCAAAGCTAGCCAGCCACTAGTGTTTTGGGTTTTTTGCCAGAATCATTCTTTCTTAAAATAAAAAATAGTCCCATTATTTTATATACAACAGGGCAGCATAACTGAAGTTATCTGATGATCCTTTTTCTGTGGAGGCCAGAGTGATCACCAGCAGGTGGACAGTGGTGACTGGTGGCAGTTGGGGCAGTAGCTGGAGCCAGAGCCAAAGATAGGCGGAACCAACCAATTCTAGGTTTGCTCCCATCCTGCTCCCTGCTGAGTTCTAGAAGGGCAACACTGAATGAAACGAAGCCGGCAATCACTCCCTCTGAAATGGCTATGTGTCTGGAGGCGGTTGGAGGATGGATGGCAGCTAACAGATTGTGATTGAATCCTGACAAGACAGAAGTACTGTTTTGGGGGGACAGGAGGTGGGCAGGTGTGGAGGACTCCCTGGTCCTGAATGGGGTAACTGTGCCCCTGAAGGACCAGGTGCGCAGCCTGGGAGTCATTTTGGACTCACAGCTGTCCATGGAGGCACAGGTCAGTTCTGTGTCAGGGCAGCTGTTTACCAGCTCCATCTGATACACAGGCTGAGACCCTACCTGCCTGCAGACTGTCTCGCCAGAGTGGTGCATGCTCTGGTTATCTCCCGCTTGGACTACTGCAATACGCTCTATGTGGGGCTACCTTTGAAGGTGACCCAGAAACTACAACTAATCCAGAACGTGGCAGCTAGACTGGTGACTGGGAGCGGCCGCCAAGACCACATAACACCGGTCTTGAAAGACCTACATTGGCTCCCAGTACGTTTCCGAGCACAATTCAAAGTGTTGGTGCTGACCTTTAAAGCCCTAAACGGCCTCAGCCCAGAATACCTGAAGGAGCGTCTCCACCCCCATCGTTCTACCCAGACAGTGAGGTCCAGTGCCGAGGGCCTTCTGGCGTTTCCCTCACTGCGAGAAGCCAAGTTACAGGGAACCAGGCAGAGGGCCTTCTCGGTAGTGGTGCCCTCCCTGTGGAACGCCCTCCCACCAGATGTCAAAGAGAACAACAACTACCAGACTTGTAGAAGACATCTGAAGGCAGCCCTGTTTAGGGAAGCTTTTAATGTTTGATGTATTACTTTATTTTAATATTTTTTTGGAAGCCGCCCAGAGTGACGGGGGAAGCCCAGCCAGATGGGTGGGGTATAAATAATATATGATGATGATGATGATGATGATGATGATGTTGGAAGGTAGGCAGGTGAGTCAGTGCACTAATGGACTAACCTCCATTGTCGGCAGGTAAGGTATAGCCCAGTGATGGGTGGACTAAACAGAGGGTTGAGAACCCCTCCCTCCTTCCCTCTTCCAATTACCCCTTCCCTACTTGGTAGTTTCCTTCCTTCCAACCCAGTTCAACTGAGGCCAAAGCCTAATGGAGGCTGCAAATTGTCCACCCTCAGTTTTTATTGCACCATCTGTGTCCCACAGCACTTGTGAGTTGTTGCTATCCCTCTGTCTTGGGAGACAATGGAAGACTGTGCCTTGGCGTAAAGTCAAACTGTTGGAGAGTTACAGCGCCTGGTGTGACTGCAGATATATGAGGGAGACATGTTTTGTTGCATCTGGGGAAAATGAAGGCGTCCGGTTCTGCTGTTGCAGGTGTATCACTGCGTTTCTTCTTCCTGGGCTCCTCCCAGTGGTCATTCCTCCTCTGGTCACTGTTGTCGTCTGCAAGGGATTCCCACAGGGCAGGGGTGATGTACACATATTTCTCCACTCCCTAGGAATCCACAATTTGAAAGAGCAGCAGTGAAGCAAACAAAGGGAGGGAGAGCCAGACTAAGGGGGGAAAGGAAGAGTGTCGGTAAATGGCCTCTTGTAACCACACATCTCATCTGTTTTGGCTCTGAATCTGTTCCCTTTCCCCACCATTTCGTCTTCCTAGATGGATCAGTTTGGAGTTAGGAGCTGGGGCGAGGGATGTTTAATGGCTGATGAGGATGGAGACACACATGACTATTTGTTTTAAAAGGGTGTGTGGGTGTCTAGCTGCAGGCAGGATGCAAAACACTTTTTTCTTCCTTCTGGCACACAGTGACTCCAGTGATGGCTCTATAATTCATGATTGCCCTATTGTCCCAGTCAGAGCTCTTTGCAGAATGGTGTTTGGGTAAGATGAGGATGTGGGAATCACTCACTCTGACTCAGCCATAGTTTTGTGGCTGCTTAATCAGAGTGAAGCATCTACAGGAGACTTTGCCGCACAGAGGTTCAGGGTCTTGCCTCAAGGAGCTCCCCTCCCCGCCTGCCCTGCATGCCCTTACTAGCAAGAATTAGGTTGGTTTTCATCTGATCTGTTTATTATAACTCTCCTTGCTTTGTTTGCAGAAAATGTGCAGGCAGATTAGACAGTATAAGCGAATCATTGAGCATTAAGAATGGACAGATCTGTCCCTTTTGGTGCTCTAGGTTTCTCATTTCCCCAATCTGAAATTCATTTCTCTGTATTTCTGCAGCACTTTGAATTTTTTTTTTTTAAATCCTCACAAAAATTTGTCAGCATTTTCATGCAATGTCTCCTAATAAATGATTTTTAGATTTAGATATAACTGACCTTTTTTTTTTGCACGCAATCTCTTATAATAAAGTGCTGTTTTTTAATGCTATTTCCACTGTTTCCTCCAAATAGACACATTTTTCTACATATTGTCTGATTGGAGAACTGCTTTGCAAAATTCAGAGATTTCAAAAGATAGCTGTGCTTTGATGCAGGGATTGGTTCAAGAAGTGTGAGTTAGATATTTTCTCATTAAAATGGAAACAAAATGAATTTTCTCTTCCATCCCCATTGAGCATTGATTCTGAATTGTTTGCTGGAAAGTTAGATGACTTTGCATCAAGCAATTTATATCCCACACTTCCCAGTGATTTTAGGACATGACAGTGTCGTGTGATTTGGAGTGGGTGCTTTTGCTTATCTGGTCACCTTTACTGAGTTCCTGGCATAGCGCTTTGAAACCGCAGATTCCCATCCGCCCTCCCACTCGCTGGCCTGCAATGGCACATACCAGAGCTGTCAGTAATGCTTGTGTAACATCTGGTGGGCCAGCAAATGTGTCATATGCTCGCAAGCCAGCTATAAAGCAGGACTGAACAAAGAGTAAGAGAGAGACACAGCAAGAAATGTTTCCAAATGCATCCCACCCCCCACCCTCTGCTCTATTCATCTACACCTCCTTTCCATATTCAAGTCTGTACTGGAAGGAAGCTCATCCATGCAGACATTAATGGTCCATCTAAGATGATTCACAGAGGACATGCAAGGCCATTCCAGCACGTGAAGGCTCCTCTTTGCCTCATCTGCTCTCTCTCATTCTAGATTCTCAGGGATGGACTGGGCTTTGGAAGGTCATTTCCTCAGATTCAGGGGAAGGCATCCTGTTAGGGTCCTGGATCTGGTCCCATAGGCCCTGGTGGCCCAGGAGCTTCTTCTGGAGGGTCCTCTCATACATCCCAGTGGTCTCCTGATCTCCAGCAGTCAACTCGGAGCCCTGAACGTGGTCCAGTTCCTTAACTGGTGCCTCTGCAGCCTCCAGTTCTTGTGTCTGTGTTGCTGCTGGATTGTGGGCATATGAAAAGATATACAGGTAACTCCCATTTTAGGCATGGCCTACATTGGTGCAATCGTGCACACATGTACAGCGCCGAACCTGAAAATGACCTGGAAACATCATCACTGAAACGTCACTAAAAGGGCGGACTGGAGGGCAGGGCAGGTGTTGGCAGGTTTCTGCAATGGGTTTCCGATTTCATGTGATTTCACACAAACACGCAAGGACCTGGAACGCAACCCACTCGCAAATGGGGTGTTTCCTGTACAGTGGTACCTCGGGTTAAGAACTTTATTCATTCTGGAGGTCCGTTCTTAACCTGAAACTGAGGTACAGTACCACTTTAGCTAATGGGGCCTCCCGCTGCTGCCATGCCGCCGCCACGTGATTTCTGTTCTCACCCTGAAGCAAAGTTCTTAACCCAAGGTACTATTTCTGGGTTAGCGGAGTCTGCAACCTGAAGCGTCTGTAACCCGAGGTACCACTGTATATATTTTCAGATGCCCTGAATCCAGCAGCAATTTATATCACACACACACACACACACACACATATATACAAACACACACACAACTCAAATTCCCAATATAGGGAGTAGAGCTTTAACTCTTTGCCCCCAGCTATGATCCCAATATAGATCTCTGCCCCCACCCAGCCAGTCGATTGACCTAAGGGGAATAAGTTCACATTGCGGTGAATGGAATCCCCCCCCCCCCCAATTCAAATAACCAGCATGGAAGAATCTGAATTGAGGCACAAAGAGTTAAAGTTTTCCCCAACACACACACACACACACACACACACACACACCAAGCTACAGTCCTAATCTGGATCTGGCCCTCCGCACTGGCAGTTTGAGTAACCCTCTCCCCCCTCCCCTCATTTAAGTTACAGAGCTGGCTTGTCATCTAGGTTGCCCATTCAGTTCCATGGAGGATTAGAATGCGTGAACATGGGCCTGAGGCTTTCCTTGTTAAAGTGAAGTGAGAGCCATAAAACGAATAAGAGCAGAATGCATTGCAACAGGTCTTGGTGTTCCTGGCCTGCCTGCTGAAATGACAGCTGGGGCTTGCGGGAGGGGGAAGCCGTGCGTGCAAATCTGCCCGTTATAAAACAGGGACTTATTGATCAGACCCTTCCTACAAAGTGCTGGGCAAAGGCTGGTAGTTTGTTAATCCAGGGTCTTAATGGGGAGAGGGAGATTGCAAATTAATTTGGATTACATGGCTGAGAGCACGAGGGGATTTGTTTTCTGAGTTGTTTGGAGCCGAAAGAGAAAAGGGGGGAATTTGGTGGCCATAGCTGGTAGCTAAATCTCTCTTCATTTCTTGGGCATCAGACATTTGGGTCGCATGTATGGCTGGGGGGGAAATGGGGATTCATTTGCATTTAAAGGTGAGCTTCCCAGATTCACACTTCCTGAAGCAGCACATGAACCGAAACACAGGCATCCTTCTAAATTTGAAGGACGTTGCAAGGCCAAGTAAGGCGCACAGTAATGCATACACTGGAGTAAAGTGTGCATTAAAATGCATACGTCAGTGAAAATAACATGCAAAGGTGTGTTGTATTAGAGGAATGTGCTTACAAAATGCACATATTAGGCAAAACAGCCTACAAAAATATCTGGAGAAATTGGCTGGTGAATTTTCATGACAACCTAAAAATAATAATAAAATTGCAAACTAATGTGGAAAACTGAGAAACAGAGAACTGAAATTGCCAGAGTTACCTGTCCCCAGCCGCAGGAGACAGAAAGAGAGGGTTTTGTCATCTGTGGATCCGGAAACTGTGGCCCTCCAGATGTTGCTGGACTCCAACTGCCCTCAGCCTAAGTCCTGTCCAGATTGGTGGAGGGTTGGTTTTGCTTTTGCATATTCTGTAACATGTCGACAATTCTGTTATAGTGCATTTAGTGGTGGATTTATACTGGACCATCCATCATTCCGCTTTATTAATTGATCTGCATGGCTTACCCAAGTGAAGCTTGGATTATTGCCATCTGGAGCAGCACTTTTGCACTTTGCGTAACAAAGGAGGGAAGAAGAAACTGGAACATTGGCAGTACTGTAGAAAAAGTTCCAGGATTTCAACAGAGCCATTGGCTACACTTGCTGAGGCTGATAGGAATTGCTGTTCAGCAACATCTGGAGGGCCAAAGGTTCCCTTCACCTGGTTTAATCAATAAAGCAATACCTCTTTTTGCAAAGTGGTAAAGGTAAAGGGCCCCCTGACCATTAGGTCCAGTCGTGGCCGACTCTGGGGTTGCGGTGCTCATCTCGCTTTATTGGCCGAGGGAGCTTCCGGGTCATGTGGCCAGCATGACTAAGCCGCTTCTGGCGAACCAGAGCAGCGCACGGAAATGCCGTTTACCTTCCCGCCGGAGCGGTACCTATTTTTCTACTTGCACTTTGAAGTGCTTTCGAACTGCTAGGTTGGCAGGAGCAGGGACAGAGCAATGGGGGCTCACTCCATCACGGGGATTCGAACCGCCGACCTTCTGATCAGCAAGTCCTAGGCTCTGTGGTTTAACCCACAGCGCCACCTGCATCCCTTTTTTGCAAAGTGGTATTTCCCCCCCAAAAAGTTGTCTTCCTTGTTGTTTCTTATGATGTGCAATTGCTTAATATGGTTTCCTCCCCCTTCATTATAGCCAATGTCCGTTCTTGATATTACAGTGGTACCTTGGTTCTCAAACTTAATCCGTTCTGGAAGTCCGTTCCAAAACCAAAGCGTTCCAAAACCAAGGCACATTTTCTCATAGAAAGTAATGCAAAACAGATTAATCCGCTACAGACTTTTAAAAACAACCCCTAAAACAGCAATTTAACATGACATTTACTATATAACGAGACCATTGATCCATAAAATGAAGCAATAATCAATGTACTGTACTATAAAATAAATAAGACAGTATTGTAGATGATAAAAATAGAAAGTAATTTTTTATTTTTTAATAACCAGAACACTTAACTTCCGGGTTTTCAGCATTTGGGAACCAAGGTACCACTGTACTGTTCTTCAAAATAGTCCAGTATTTCACTCTGGCAATAATAAGTCTTGCTGCCTTTGTAAGAAGGTTAGTAAGGGAAGCGTCTAGGCTTTGCAGGTCCACCACAAGGAACTTTTGACCATTCATTTAGTTGCAGTGTGCATGGAGATAGCCTGGAACCAGTGCACAACTGATGGTCTGAACATTGAATTGTGGTACATGAGGATCTGGTCAATAGCATTGGCTGAAAAACTGACATGCCAGATATGAACAGCCAATAAGAATTCAAACCCCTTTAATATCTTCAATACTTGGTAATCATTCCTTGACTTCATACAACATGAGGACAGTGTTCAGAATCTGCCTTTGACTCATGGCAATCTGTGGAGAGACCTGCTAAGCGAACTTCAGGAATAAGACAATGACACTGTGGGTTTGTTTGTTTTTTAATGTTGTTTCATAGTATTTATCATAAATATGGAAAATCAATAAAAATATTTTTATAGAAAGTATGGGAATCATCTTTTTGATTGCTTCTCTGCATTCAAAAACTGAAGGTAGAAAAGTTAGACATCAAGGAGCAATCTGAGCTCTCAGTTGATCCGTTGCTGAAGATGATTGCTTAAGGCTGGGCTGGATAACCAGTGTGTTTCTTGATGTAATGATTCATGAGTGTAACTTGTTCTTGTTCTCTCTCTTTCTCTCTCCAGGCCCATACTGTAGCAATTCAAATCCTCCACGCACAGTCCTGGTGATGGACTCCACCCCAGTGACCATCTTGTTCAACACAACAGCACATCGTTCGGGACGTGGCTTCCTCCTTTCTTATGCCAGTGGCAACCAATCAGGTAAGAGAGATACACACCTTGCATTTGGTGCAAAGTTTGAGGTAACTGGGAAAAGTTTTGCCTCTTCAGCCTTCTGCCAGTGGACACTCTCCACTTCCACCTCTGCATCTCAGTGAGCTCACCCATATGTCGCTCTTGCCCTTTGATGAATGCCTTTCTAATTAAAAATAAAATAAAAATAATTATGATATTTTTATTTTTATTTTTTAAGTATTTGTGGCTGTTCATAAAAAGGTAAAGGTAAAGGGACCCCTGACCATAAGGTCCAGTCATGGCCGACTCTGGGGTTGCGCTGCTCATCTCGCTTTATTGGCCGAGGGAGCCGGTGTACAGCTTCCGGGTCATGTGGCCAGCATGACTAAGCCGCTTCTGGCGAACCAGAGCAGCACACGGAAATGCCGTTTACCTTCCTGCTGGAGCGGTACCTATTTATCTACTTGCACTTTGACGTGCTTTTGAACTGCTAGTTTGGCAGGAGCAGGGACCAAGCAACGGGAGCTCACCCCGTTGCAGGGATTCAAACTGCTGACCTTCTGATCGGCAAGTCCTAGGCTCTGTGGTTTGACCCGCAGCGCCACCCGCGTCCCCGTTCATACAGTGAAACTATTCCTCGTAGGGAAAGTGCTCCAGATCCCTGATCACTTTAGTTACCCATTTCTCCTCCTTTGCCAGTTGAAGGACCTGCTGATGGGATGTAGGAACCTAGGAAGTTGCCTTACGGCAAGTCAGAACATGGGTGCGTCTTTCTCAGTCAATACTGTCTACACTAACTAGCAATGGCTCTCTGGGGTTTCAAGCAAAGGAAACCCTGGAGTCCTTCCTGGAAATACCTGGGATTCATCAACCTGGGGTCTTCTGCATGCAAAGTGGATGCTCTACCACTGAGCTGTGGCCCTTTCCCAAAGGATGAGAAACACAGGATGTTGTCTCAGGGCGAGTCACACCATTGGTCCATGTAGCTCAGTATTGTCTACACACTGACTGGCAATAGCTCTCCAGAGCTGCAAGCTTGGACATTCCAGGGTTGAACCTGCAAAGCCACAGCCCTTCCCCAAAGCAGTGTAAATGAGCTATTGCATGCATGAGAATCATGCCTTGTGTTTTGACACTGGCAGGCAGAATGCCAATGGGAAACATCTGCAGCTGGCCTTTGCCTTTGAAGGCCCCACACAAGCAGCCAGTCATTGGGTCTTCCACACCACAAACATTTGTGAGTCACCATCCACCGCCACCCCATCATCCCTTTGAGATTTTTTGAGAGGGATCGTAAGAGGATATGAGTTTCTCAGGGTTGATGAGAAACTTTGGACATTGGACTGCTTGGTATTCTTTCTCTTACGAGAACTGGGGGAAATAACACCCATTGTGTCCATCTTGGAACAGACTGCATTCTTGACATTTGTTTCTGACCTGCTATGAGCATAGCACTGTCAATCAGATACTCTTGCCCAAGCAGTTCTCTTCTCTCAGGAACAGATTCCTAGAACATGGTTCATAGGTGTCCAGCTCCCCATCTACTTCCATAGAGCTTGTGCTGCTGAATCTCCTAATGCAGGGGTAGCTAATCCATGACACTCTCCAGAAGATAGACTCATAGAGTCATAGAACTGTCGAGTTGGAAGGGACCCCAAGGGTCATCTAGTCCAACCCCCTGCAATGCAGAAATCTCAGCTAAAGCATCCATGACAGATGGCCACCCAGCCTATGCTTAAAAACCTCCAAGGAAGAAGAGTCCACAACCTCCCAAGGGAGATCGTCCCACTATTGAACAGCTCTTACTGTCCGAAAGTTCTTCCTGGTGTTTAGTTGGAATCTCCTTTCTTGTAACACGAAGCCATTGGTTCGAGTCCTACCCTCTAGAGTAGGGGGGGGGGGAAGCATGCTCCATCTTCTATGTGACAGCCCTTTAGATATTTGAAGATGGTTATTGTATGTCCTCTCAGTCTACTCTTCTCCAGGCTAAACATATCCAATTCATGTTAAGCTAGTGGTCCACTAAGACCCCCTAGAGCTACTACTTGCGTGTAGTACTTGCAAGCCAGGTGCCCCCATCTTATATTTGTTCATCTGATTCTTCCTGCCTAAGTGCAGAACCTTACATTTGTCCCTACTGGAATTCATTTTGTTAGTTTTGAACTAGTAGAACTGATTCTGTCTCTATTGCCTGAAATTTTGTGCTGCACGACAGATTTGCCTCTGTTTTCCTCACATACAGAGGAAAAAGTGAGTTCTGCAGAGCTGAATTGATTTCTATAAGCCCAGACTACATTTGGATCCAGACAGTGGTGCAGTTAGGTAATTTTAGGTTAGTCTTCCCCAGCCTGGTGCAATCCAGATGTTGGTGGACTACAGTTCTCATCATCCCTGACCATGGGCCATGCTGAGTAAAGCTGATGGGAACTGGAATACAAAAAAACATTTGGTGGGCACCAGGTTGAGGAAGCCTGTTTTAGACCCTTTAGACTTAATGGTCTTACTCTCCCACCCCACCCCATTCCAGACCACACACACTTTAGCTGAAAGTATGAATTTCATCACTTATTTTAAAATGTGGTAAGCCTACCCTGCTGCCTATTTTGCTGGTCCTAGACTTCTGCCCAAATGTCCTGCTCTGATGGTGCTGTTGGATTGTATCCCTACTCAGAATAGGCCCATTGGAGTTAATGAACATGACTGACTTGGGTTCATTAATTTCAATGGGTCTACTCTGAGTAGGACTTATTTGAAGACAACCCACTGTATCCAGATCAAGGGGTCAGAGTGTCAGAGTCACTGTGACTTGTAATCAACCAGGCCCCAAGTTCTGAACTCTTACCCAATGGAGCTCTCCCCTTCTCTTTTAGATTTGATCTCCTGTTTGCAGAAGGGAATCCATTATGAGAAGGAACAAATCAGGTGAGTGTTCCCTTACGTGAGACTCCAAGCATAGATGGGATTCTTCTTACAGCCCTAAAGGGCCCCCAATACCTGAAAGACCGCCTACTTCCCCACAGACTCTCTTGGGCGCTAAGATCACACAGAGGTGTTCCTCCACCCTCAGAAGCTCCAGGGCTGGTGGCTCAGGAGAGGGCCTTCTCTCTAGCAGCTCCCAAGTTGCAGAGCTCCCTTCCCACAGAGGTCCCTCTGGCACCTTCATTATACAGCTTTCAGAAAATGCTGAAGGTACAGCTCTTTACCCTGACCTCTGACGCTTGAGATTTAGGACCCACCAATTCTTGTGATTTTAAGTTTTCAATTTTTTTTTTATACAGTCTAACATTGTGTTTTAATATTAATGCTGTGTTTTAATTGTTATAACCCGCCTTGGGACCGTAGGGTAAAAAATTACAACAACACAGTGGATGAAGGGAACGCAGTGGATGTAGCCTACCTTGATTTCAGCAAGGCATTTGACAAGGTGCCCCGTGATATTCTTGTGAAGAAGCTGGTAAAATGCAGTCTTGACTATGCTACCACTCAGTGGATTTGTAACTGGCTGACTGACCGAACCCAAAGGGTGCTCATCAATGGTTCCTCTTCATCCTGGAGAAGAGTGACTAGTGGGGTGCCACAGGGTTCTGTCTTGGGCCCGGTCTTATTCAACATCTTTATCAACAACTTGGATGATGGACTCAAGGGCATCCTGATCAAATTTGCAGATGACACCAAACTGGGAGGGTGGCTAACACCCCAGAGGACAGGATCACACTTCAAAACGACCTTGACAGATTAGAGAACTGGGCAAAAACAAACAGATGAATTTTAACAGGGAGAAATGTAAAGTATTGCACTTGGGCAAAAAAATGAGAGGCACAAATACAAGATGGGGGACACCTGGCTTGAGAGCAGTACATGTGAAAAGGATCTAGGAGTCTTGGTTGACCACAAACTTGACATGAGCCAACAGTGTGACGCGGCAGCTAAAAAAGCCAATGCAATTCTGGGCCTCATCAATAGGAGTATAGCATCTAGATCAAGGGAAGTAATAGTGCCACTGTATTCTGCTCTGGTCAGACCTCACCTGGAGTACTGTGTCCAGTTCTGGGCACCACAGTTCAAGAAGGACACTGACAAACTGGAACGTGTCCAGAGGAGGGCAACCAAAATGGTCAAAGGCCTGGAAACGATGCCTTATGAGGAACGGCTAAGGGAGCTGGGCATGTTTAGCCTGGAGAAGAGGAGGTTAAGGGGTGATATGATAGCCATGTTCAAATATATAAAAGGATGTCACATAGAGGAGGGAGAAAGGTTGTTTTCTGCTGCTCCAGAGAAGCGGACACGGAGCAATGGATCCACACTACAAGAAAGAAGATTCCACCTAAACATTAGGAAGAACTTCCTGACAGTAAGAGCTGTTCGACAGTGGAATTTGCTGCCAAGGAGTGTGGTGGAGTCTCCTTCTTTGGAGGTCTTTAAGCAGAGGCTTGACAACCATATGTCAGGAGTGCTCTGATGGTGTTTCCTGCTTGGCAGGGGGTTGGACTCGATGGCCCTTGTGGTCTCTTCCAACTCTATGATTCTATGATTCTATGAACTCAAGGCCAGCAGAAACCTGTCCTCTAATCAGGTTTGTGGGGCTGCTGCCCTCTGTGCTGCTACCCTAATGTAGGGATTTGAATCTGTGTTCAACTAGGACCGAGTCTTTCTTAGTGTCCTTGACCCCCAAGGACACAGAGTAGTTATGGCATGGTAGAAATGGAACCCTAAAGCTTGCCTATGCTACCTGAGGATATATGAAAACTGGCTAGCTTTACAGAGCTGTTCCCACATAAAGAGAAGGGCCCAAGACTATGTTGTCTTTTATTTTCTTGCAGAGTTTACTGCCCTGCAGGCTGCAAAGGAGTATCGGGAGACATCTGGGGCAACACGAACCAAGGCTACCGGGATGTGAGTCCTGCAGCATCAGTCGTGCTTTCAGAAAGGCATAGGTGTTTTGGACTACAACACCCATCATCCCTGACCCTTGGCCAGGATAACTGAGGCTGATGGGAGCTGTAGTCCACATCATCTGAAGGGGCATGAAATAATCCACTAAAGCTTATGCCGTAACAAATTCGTTGTTGTTGTTTTTTAATTAGCCAGAAGACTCTTCAGAAGTTATTTTCGGCTGCAACAGGCAAACATAGCTCTCCTGCTTTGAAATTGTTTTTTTTTTTTTTTTAAGAATATTTATTCCAGTTTTAAAGTTACAAAAAATAAAGAAAAAACAAACCATACACATGTTACAAAAAACAGACAATAAAAAAGAAATAAGAAAAAACAAAGTATCACAATAAAAAATAACAAAAATCAAATTAGACCTTTACAACCTTTTTCCCTTTTACTTATTTCCATGACTTCCTCTCACCTCCCTGCTTTGTATTCTAGTTTAAATCGTATCTCCAGCAAGTCCATCTAACCTTCTTTTCTTTTACTTATTTTAACATTCGAAAGTATTTAATTCTCCTCTATCCTCATTTTACGCTTCATTTTTACTTATTCCATTATACCATGTCTGCCAATACGGCCTAATATTCTTTTCCAACCTTTTTCTAACATTCTTTTATATTACAGTGTTTCTGAAGATATATTTTAAATTTTCTCCAGTCTTCTTCCATCAACCCTTCTTCCTGATCTCGGATTCTGCCGGTCATCTCAGCCAGTTCCATATAGTCCATCACTTTCATCTGCCATTCTTCTCGGGTAGGCAATTCTTGTGTCTTCCAATATTTCCCAATGAGTATTCTTGCCGCTGCTGTCGCATACATAAAAAGATTCCTATCTTCCCTTCGCACCCATTGGCCGACCATGCCCAAGAGGAAGGCCTCTGGTTTCTTCACAAAAGTGTATTTCAATACCTTTTTTAGTTCATTATATATCATTTCCCAGAAGGCCTTGATCTTTGGGCACGTCCACCAAAGGTGGAAAAAGGTACCTTCATTTTCTTTACATTTCCAACATTTATTATCGGGCAAATGATAAATTTTTGCTAGCTTGACTGGGGTTAAGTACCACCTATAAATCATTTTCATTATATTTTCTCTTAAGGCATTGCAAGCCGTAAACTTCATACCTGTGATCCATAACCGTTCCCAGTCAGCAAACATAATATTATGCCCAACATCTTGTGCCCATTTAATCATAGCAGACTTAACCATTTCATCCTGTGTATTCCATTTCAGCAGCAGGTTATACATTCTTGACAAATTTTTAGTTTTAGGCTCTAACAATTCCGTTTCCAGTTTGGATTTTTCCTCCTGAAAACCAATCTTTTATCTAGGTTAAAAACCTCCCTTATTTGATAATAATGAAGCCAATCTCGGACTTTAGTTTTTAATTTGTCAAAACTCTGCAGTTTTAGTTTATCTCCAACTTGTTCTAAAATTTCACAGTATTTTGGCCAATTTGTCTCCATATTAGTTTTTTTCAATGCCTTTGCCTCCATTGGTGACAGCCACCTTGGTGTTTTACTTTCCAACAAATCCTTATATCTCACCCAAACATTAAACAATGCTTTCCTGACAATATGATTCTTAAAGGCCTTATGCGCTTTAACCTTGTCATACCATAAATATGCATGCCATCCAAACACATTATCAAAGCCTTCTAGATCCAAAATGTCCACGTTTTCAAGAAGTAGCCAATCTTTCAGCCAGCAAAATGCGGCTGATTCATAGTAAAGTTTAAGATCTGGCAGGGCAAATCCCCTCTTTCCTTCGCATCTGTTAATATCTTAAATTTTATTCTAGGCTTTTGCCCTGCCAGATAAATTTGGAAATATCTCTTTGCCACCTCTTGAAACAGTCCATTTTATCCACAATTTGCAATGTTTGAAACAAAAACAACATTCTAGGCAATACATTCATCTTTATCGCAGCAATTCGGCCCAACAATGATAACTTCAATTTTGACCATGTTTCTAAATCCTTCTTCACTTCTGACCAACATTTTTCATAATTATCTTTAAACAAATTCACATTTTTAGCAGTCATATTCACCCCTAAATATTTCACTTTGTTAACTATTGTTAATCCTGTCTCTTTCTGAAACCTCTCTTTCTCAATCTCTGTAAGGTGTTTCTCTAATACCTTAGTTTTCGTCTTGTTTAATTTAAAACCTGCTACTTGACCAAATTCTTGGATTAATTGTAATACTCTTTTTGTGCTGGCTTCTGGCTCCTGTAATGTCAAAACTAAATCATCAGCAAAAGCTTTCAATTTGTACTGTTTAGCTCCGAGTTGTATACCTTTAACCAATTGGTCTTTTCTAATCATATTGAGCAAAACCTCCAGGACCGATATAAAAAGCAATGGGGAGATTGGGCAACCCTGTCTTGTTCCTTTCTCTATCTTAAATTCTTCTGTAACTACATTGTTCACAATAAGCTTAGCTTTTTGTTCCGAGTAAATTGCACCTATACCATTTTCAAAACTTTGGCCTACCCCCATCCCCTGCAAATTTTTCTTCATAAAACTCCAAGAAATATTGTCAAACGCTTTCTCTGCATCTACAAATATTAAAACAGCTTTGGTATTGATATTAACTTGCAGTTTTTCTAAAATATTGATAATATTCCTAGTATTATCTGACAGATGTCTCCCGGGAGAAAGCCCGCCTGATCTTTATGAATCTCTTTTACCAATACATTTTTTAATCTTTTAGCCATAATTTCCACAAAAAATTTGTAATCCACATTAAGTAGGGATATGGGACGGTAGTTCTTCAGCTGTGTCTTCTCCACTTCAGTTTTTGGTATAAGTGTAATATATGCTTCTTTCCACGACTCGGGTGCTTTTCCTCCCCGTAGTATTTCATTGCAAAGTTCTTTCAGCGGTTGCAATAACCATTCTTTCAAAGATTTGTAGTACTTTGCAGTTAGACCATCCGGTCCTGGAGATTTGCCCAATTTCATATTCTGAATGGCTCCTTCCACCTCTTGATCAGATATTGTAGAGTTTAATATTGATTTGCTCTCTTGAGATACTTTTTGTAATCCATTATTTTTCAAAAACCGATCAATGTCTAATTCTTTCTGAGTCTCCTGCGTATATAACTGTTTAAAATAATTCTGAAAGCACTTCCGAATCTCTCCAGGATTCTGTATGTTCTTCCCTTCTACTACCAAGTTCGTAATCGTATTCAGCTTTTGTCTTTTTTTCATTTGCCAGGCCAGTAATTTCCCACATTTATTTGCCGATTCGAAGGTCTTTTGTTTCATCTGTTTGACCTTCCATTCTATCTCCTGGTTCATCAGTTTCATATATTGTACTTGGTATAGCTTTATCTCTTTTAAAATCTCCTGTGAGTTCGGTTTCGCCCTCAGTCTTTTTTCTCCGTCCTTAATTTTCTCCAAAATTTTTTCTCTCTTCTCGTTTTGATATCTTTTCCTAATTGCGTTTTGTTGTATCAAAAATCCTCTCATCACCGCTTTGCTGGCGTCCCAAATCACTCTTTTTTCTGTCGTAGTATTCATATTTATCTCAAAATAATCTCTCAAATTCTTCTGGGCCTTTTAAATAATTTCCTTATTCCTAAATAAGGAGTCATTCATCCTCCATCTGAAAGCTCCAATTGGCGTTGATATCATTTCAATCTTTACTGGATTGTGATCAGAGCAAATTTTCGGGCAAATCACCGCTTTTATCTTAGGGGCCAGTCCTCTAGTTATCCAGATTTGGTCTATTCTTGTCCATGTCATATTTGCTTCAGAGAAGAAGGTTCCTTCTCTTTCCAAGGGGTTCTTTATTCGCCAAATATCCACAAGATCCATATTGTCAGTCATTTCAAAAATGTCTTTGGTAGTCTTCCATCTTTCGTCATCGTTTGTCTTTGGGCTTTATCCATATTTGTAGACACTACTCCATTCATATCTCCCATCAAAATAATGTTGTAATCCAAATAATCCAGGAGAGTTTCGTGCAATTTTTAAAGAATTCTGATTATCCCTCATTTGGTGCATATACACCTATTATCAAAAACTTCTGTCCTTGAAACTGAATTTCAATTGCTATATATCTTCCTTGGTCGTCTTTAAATATAAATTTTGGTGACAGGATTTCCTTCGCATAAAGTACTACTCCTCTTTTTTTTCACATTGTCCGATGAAATAAATTCTTCTCCCAATCTTTTATTTATCAAAATTTTCCGATGTAGCCTTGTCACATGCGTCTCTTGTAAACAGATCAAGTCCAAATGTTCTTTTTTCAATGTATGAAATACTCTCCCCCTTTTTGCCGGCCAATTTAGACCATTAATGTTCCAGCTTAAAACTTGAAGTGTCATTTTGTAGTTACTCTCCTTCTCCTCCAACAGCCCCAAGAAGTTTGTCTATGTCTGTCGGTGGCGTTGGTTTCGCTTTTTTTTGCAGACTCTTATCCGGTATCGCAGTGTCTTTTCCCAATCCTTTCTGTAGATCACAGTGGAAAGTCCCTGGCTGAATATGTTTTCCTGCGGGGCTGCAGACAACACTGCGCTGTTTTTGAAAGGTTCAAGTATCCCTCAGAAAGAGTGAGGCTTGAAATGTCCACCTTTAGGCTCACAGTTGGCCACTGCTGGTGGCCAGAGCAATACCCCCAAGCTCTCTGCTGACCAGCCCCACAGTGAGCTGACCGTGGTCCTGACCTTCTGCAGCCCAGCCTCAACTCTTGCTGAGCCCCCTAACCCAGGGGTCAGCAAACTTTTTGAGCCGTGGGCCGGTCCACTGTCCCTCAGACATTGTAAGGGGGCCAGACTATATTTTTTTGGGGGGGGGGAAATGAACGAATTCCTATGCCCCACAAATAACCCAGAGATGCATTTTGAATAAAAGCACACATTCTACTCATGTAAAAACACGCTGATTCCTGGACCATTCGCGGGCCGGATTTAGAAGGTGATTGGGCCGGATCTGGCCCCCGGGCCTTAGTTTGCCTACCCATGCCCTAACCAATAAACCCCGCTAGTCCCCAGCCTCAAACAGGATATTGTGTGATAAAGACAGGAGTCGCATTGATTAAAATGTTCCAAATTGTGATATCAGTGAAGGGTTTAAATAGTTATTTAAAAAGTAATGTGACATTCTTTACAGATGGTTCTTCACATGGACAAAACACACATCTATTTCCCAATTTCCTTTTTTGCCTCTATTTATTTCTCTTTATTAAGATATTTAGAAACTGCTTTTCTTCAAAGATACCAAGGCAGTGATATAACTTCAATGCTGATACAACCATTGTTTCTGTAAAGTTATGCCTGCAACACATCTGGTGTATGGGAAGATCAGCAGTTAAGCTCAGAATGTAATTTTAGTATTATGTAGAGTGGTTTTAAGATTGCTTATTTACATTTATTTTAACTGTTTGTTTTTTGTATTTTTAAGGAATATTTTCAATTCTACTTTGTAAACCACTCAGAGGTGTGTGTGTGTGGTTTTTTTAAATGCATAAAATAATGTTCTCCATTCCCGTGGTGTCTTCCCGCTGGATTTCTCCTGCCTTAGAATTTGTCACCACCATCTTATTCCTTTCACTGTCTTATAATATATGTTCCCTACAGACATCTGTTCTTTGCAAAGCTGCTGTCCATGCTGGCGTAATCTTAGATGAGCAAGGGGGACATGTCACTGTGTCTCGAGAGAAGGGTATCACTCTCTACGAGTCAACCTTTGCCAATGGACTTTACTCAAAAAGGTGAGGGGACAAATCAGAGCGGATGTTCATTAAATATCCAACATTGTCTAATCTCCCTGCAAACAAATAAGGGTGAATGCTCAATAAAGAGGTCGTCTGGAAGCAACCTGAGTCTCAAGATCCTTAATCTTATCCATCTTTCTGTTTCCTTTTGAATAGGGGATCTTTATCTGAAAAACGCCTCATCTTTCACAAAGGTATGTCACTCGTACTAATTTGTTGGTGTATTTGTTTAGAGGGATTTCTGTTCCCGCTATGAGGCTGATGAATCTTCAGCCTTAAAAACAACCACAAATTGCTGCAAAAATGTGGAGAGTCCAATTTAAGATTGGATTTAAGACCAAGACACTTAAGAGAAACAACACTGAGAGATACGTCCAGCTCTGCCTCTGTAGTTAATTGGTCCCGTTGCTGAACTTCTGTTACTGGAAACATGTTTTTTCCTAGCGTTCAGCCAAAAGCCACCCTTTCCTTCCTTCCGCAGCCTGCTCCAGTTTCCTGGAAGTATCTGGCTTCAACGCTTCATCCTACTGGCATGAACAGAACGTCATGGGGGAGAACAAGGCCTGGATAGCAGAGCACGCCTCTTTCGGTGCCGACGGCACTTCCTGGGCAGCACTTCAGAGCTCTGCAGATGAGTGGTTGGAAATAGACTTGGGTGGAAAGAGGAACATCACAGGTCAGTAAGTATCTGCATCTTTTTGTTTGTTTGTTTTCACAGGCGGAGTGGAGGGAGAGACATAATGACTCTTGTCCAATATGCTCTGACTGGCAGAAGCTTTCCAGAGTCCTAAGCAGATATCCTTCCCATCACTGGTGGGATGGGAACTGGTCCATTAGGGGAACTGGTCCATTAGGGGGAAAGGGGTGTTGCCCTCCCAACTTCAGTCTGCCTTCTTACTTATTGCATCCAGTCCAAGGGGTGGCCCTGGCTGTCAGCAGTGGGGAGCCATGACTGTTTAAAGTGGTACGATCCTGCTTTAAATGCACAGTGCAGATGAGGCCTTCCTCTTGCCTTCTTCTGCTTCCTTTCCTCCATTCTTTCCTCCACTGCCCCTCGTTACCTCAGGGGTATGGCCCAGGCCACCATTGCACAGAACAAATTTCATATTATGTCCTTTCAGAGTCATTCTTTATTGTTTGGCAAGGCCTGAGGACAAGCTGGGCCCTTTCTGCTGTGGCAAACCCAGAACGTTAGCCTGTTAATTGGCGTGAGGAAGAAGAGAGGCATTGTGACGCTGAGTGGCTGGGGGCTGAGTGGAATGCAGGAAGGGAACACATGAATGGAAAGGGGGCTTATCTGATTGCCTCTCCGGCTGGTGTTTGGCAGAGCAAGGGGACAGGGTTAAAAATACAAGCTGATTGGTCTCAAAAAGCTTCAAGAATCAGGTCCCAGTGGTCCACAAAGGAGGAACTCAGTGGCTGTTGTTGTTCTATATTGCAAGTCTCTCACAATATCAGAACTTGGGGCCATCCGATAAAGCTGAATGTGAGAGGATTCAGGAAAGGCATAGTTTAAACTATGGAGCAAACATAGGCCCCGTCTGTACCACACTTTTAAAGCAGGATCATACCACTTTAAACAGGTATCGCTTCCCCTGTAGAATCCTGGGAAGTGTGTTTATTTTATTTCACCCTAAGATCTCAGGGCGATTCACAAGAAGTGTAGTTTTTTTAAGGGAGCTGGGAGATGTGAGGAGGTTTCTTTTCCCCTCACAGAGCTGCAGTTCTCAGTGTTTTGAACAACCACTCCCTCTTACCAGGGAACTCTGGAAATTGCAGCTCCACGGCTGACACAACGGTGGAAAGACAGGACCCTATTTCACACATTAGCACCATTGTTGTATGTGAGGTACCAGTTTAACCCATCTCTGTTCCAGGAATCATAACTAAGGGATCATCTCACAAGCATGACTACTACGTCAAGTCCTACCAAGTCCTCTCCAGCAGGGATGGAAAGAACTGGAAGGCCTACAAATCCAACGGTGGTCATGAGGAGAAGGTGCGGAGGGATTAGCATTGGTGAATGATTTAGGCCAGGATGGAAAACGGGTAGCAAAAGCTCGCTTTGGAAAGGTCCCCGCAGTTGACCCTCCATTTCACCCTCTGTAACCCATCCCAGGTCTTCGAAGGAAATAAAAACAGCCACGAAGAAGTCTCCAACGCCTTCATCCCCCCGATCCTGGCCCGCTACCTGCGCATCGTGCCCCACAGCTGGAACCAGAGGGTGGCTCTGAAAGTGGCGCTTCTGGGGTGCCAAGTGGCTCGCCTGAAGTCCCAGCACCCCTATAGCGACGGCGGAAGTAAGGAGGGGTGGGGCCGGCTGTATGTTTGGTTCTTGGAAAGATGATTTATTTATTTGTGGCTTTTAATGGGGTTTGTAATATTTTATACATTGTATAAGGCCGTCACAAGTCAAGGCCAACCAGGCAGCCCCCGGTGGTGGTGGCACTGCCAAGGCCTGGAGGTGAGGCCAGAGCTACTGGCAGGAAGAGGCAGAGCCAATGACAGCCAGAGCCTGCTAGTTCAAGGTCTGCCCCTGGTGAGGCCTAGAAAGGCAATGCAGAGACTGAAAAGGAGGAATGTGACAAGTCTGTGCCACCCTCTGAACTTGTTCTAGTATATGGTTCCAGATTTTTTTCAATGAAGCCTGGCTCCAGGCTGCTGAGACTGCCACTGCCACGTTTCCCGGGGACATATTATTATTATTATTATTATTATTATTATTATTATTATTATTTATACCCCGCCCTCCCCAGACAAGGCCAGGCTCAAGACGGCTAACAAGCCATAATAAAAACAAGTTGAAAGAATACAACTTAAAAACAAGATTAAAATACAACATTAAAATATTGAAACATTAAAATGCAGCCTCATCACAGGAGGAGAAAGGAAAAAGAAAGAGGGGGAGGGAATCAAATTGGCTCCAAGCCAAAGGCCAAGCTGAACAACTCTGTCTTACAGGCTCTGCGAAAAGAAATCAGATCCTGCAGGGCCCTGGTCTCATGAGGCAGAGCATTCCACCAGGACGGAGTCAGTGTTGAGAAGGCCCTGGCTCTGGTTGAAGCTAATCTAACTTCCTTAGGGCCCGGGACCACTAGGGTGTTGCTATTTATGGACCTTAAGGTCCTCCGTGGGTCTACTGGGAGGGGCGGTCCTGTAGGTACGAGGGTCCTAGGAAATCTGAGGACAGAATTTGTCCAGGGACAGATTTGCAAATCTGGGGGCTGTCCCCGGGAAACGGGGACGTCTGGTAGCCCTATTCTAAAAGGTAGACAGCAGGGGCAGGCTGAGGTTTGCCCATATTGTTGAGCATCCTTTGAGCAGCTGCTGGGAAAAACTCTTCTCTGCCTAAGACCTTGGAGAGCTTGACAATACTAGGCCAGATGGAGAAATGCCTTGACATGAGAAAAGCAACCTGCCCCCTATAATCCATGTTGCAGCCGGAGGTTGACAGTGGGCTGTGTTTGGACCCTTTTGGAGTAAGAGTTTGGAGACAGTACCTGAAGTGTGGTGCGTTAAGTACGTTCCCTGAAGCTCTACCCCTTTGCAGTTCGCAGTGGCCCCAAGGAGTCCCCTCTCCTGACCAGCAGCCCAGCCGTTTTCACCCGAATCCCAGGAATAGTGATCAATTCGGAAAAAACAGGTAAGTGCTCACTGGCGGCAAGGAGTGGCTTGGCCTAGCTGTCGGAGCAGAGGCAGAAATGATGGGTTATAGCTGAAGGGCTATTCCATGGATGGTGTAGCAAGCTTGTTTTCTGCTGCTCCGGAGGTTAGGACCCAAACCAGTGAATTCAAATTGCAGGAAAGGAGATTCCGACTAAACATTCGAAAGAATTATTCTGAAGGTAAGAGCTGTTCAACACTGGAACGGTCTCCCTCAGAAGGTGGTGGACGCTTTCATTTGAGATTTTAAAGCAGAATTTGGATGGCCATCTGTCAGAGATGCTTTAGCTGAGATTCCTGCATTGCAGGGGGTTGAACTAGATGACCCTCGGGTCCCTTTCGATTCCATGCGTCTAAGGGCTTTTTTTTTCTGTGCTGAATCTCAGCATATTTGGGTGACCCCACATTCTGGTATTATGATAGAGGGAGAAAGCCTTCTCTGTGTCTCCACTTTCTTCACACCTTGCCTGATTTTGTACACTTCCTTCACATTGCCAATTTCTCCCCTTTTTTCTGCACTGAACTACAGTGGTACCTCTGGATGCGAACGGGATCCATTCCAGAGCCCCGTTCACATCCTGAAGAGAATGGAACGCACGTCTGTGTGGGTCGCAATTCGCCGCTTCTGTCCATGCGCGTGATGTCATTTTGAGCATCTGCGCATGCGTGAGCGGCGAAACCTGGAAGTAATGCGTTCCATTACTTCCGGGTCGCCACGGAGTGCAACCCGAAAAGGCTCAACCTGAAGCAACTTTAACCTGAGGTATGACTGTATTTCTCTTCCTTTCTCTCCAGGGCCCCCATTGCTGGTGATGCTGCTGATTGGAGGCTTTGTGCTCATCTCCTCGGCCCTCTTGCTGCTGGTTTTCCTCTGTCGTAAGAAGAGGTGAGTAGCGGCCTCCCCTCCCACTTCTCACCGATCAGCCCTGTAATTTGTGGGGACTCCTTTCAATCCCATCCTGGAAGGGCGGGAGATGTCACAGTCACAAGGTCCATGAGCTATAGCTTTCCTGCAATCTCCCCTTGACAATGGGCTGCATACACACCATACTTTCAAGGCACGTGGCTTTAATAAACATACACAAGGAAGCCTGCAAACTGTAATCGCTTAGATTACTGCAATGCACTCTATGTGGGGCTACCTTTGAAGGTGACCCAGAAACTACAACTAATCCAGAATGCGGCAGCTAGACTGGTGACTGGGAGCGGCCACCAAGACCACATAACACCGGTCTTGAAAGATCTACATTGGCTCCCAGTACGTTTCCGAGCACAATTCAAAGTGTTGGTGCTGACCTTTAAAGCCCTAAATGGCCTCCGTCCAGTATACCTGAAGGAGCGTCTCCACCCCCATCATTCTGCCCGGACACTGAGATCCAGCACCAAGGGCCTTCTGGCGGTTCCCTCACTGCTAGAAGCCAAGTTACAGGGAACCAGGCAGAGGGCCTTCTCAGTAGTGGCACCCGCCCTGTGGAACGCCCTCCCACCAGATGTCAAAGAGAAAAACAACTACCAGACTTTTAGAAGACATTTGAAGGCAACCCTGTTTAGGGAAGCTTTTAATGTTTAACAGACCACTGTATTTTAATATTTTTTGGGAAGCTGCCCAGAGTGGCTGGGGAAGCCCAGCCAGATGGGTGGGGTATAAATAAAAACAATATTATTATTATTATTATTATTATTATTATTATTATTATCATCATCAACATCATCATTAATTAAGGGTGCTGTGGATTGTGGCTCTGTGAGAGATAAACTACGGCTCTCAGGATTCCTTGGGGAAAAGCTGTTTGCTTCAACGGTACGATACGCATACAGCCACAAACACAAGCTGAGCACATGCGTACAAGAAGTCTTCCCATCCAGTCTGCAAATAGATTGTGCCTTCTAAGATTATGTTGCACTAGGGATAGGCGGCTGTTTCCCTCTCACTTCACACAAATTGACTCCCTCCAGAAACCTCCTGCTGCACTACAATTCCCATCATCCCTAAGCACTGGCCATGCTGACGGGAGAGATCTCTAGGTTTGAGAGGTCTGTAGCAGCCTTGAGAGGGCCATTAGGCTCAGTCTGAATCCTGAGAAGACAGAGGCTTTGTGAATGTGTGGTTCTTGGCTCCAGTTGCCTGCCCTGAATTGGGTAGCACTACCTCCGAAGGAGCAGGTACATGAATTGGGAGTGTTCCTGGAAATCCAGAACCTTGGGGGCGGGGTGGAAAATCTGGCTGAACCTGCTTGATAAGTTTTCTCCCTCTCTCTACCCAGCAGAAAGACACCAGCAGATCAGGACTGCAACCTCATAAAAGGTAAAGCGCCTAACAATACACAGAACTAGCACAAGTAGTCACGTTTGGGAACTGGTGAGCAGGTCGCCCTGCTTTTCCAGTACAAGTGTGTATGGTGCAGGGAGACAGATTATTGTGTGTTTCTGCACACCTGTTTTGAAATAGCTCTCCCCCCCCCATTTTTTAGAGGTGACCCACAAATCATTCTAATATCTTAGTCACGGCACCTTGCGTCTAGAATGCCCTCCCCAGAGAAACCTGCCCAACACTCACTAATTTGTATTTTTGCTCCAGGTGAATACAAGGCATTCCAGCTCTTTGAACTGCTGATTTTCATAGCTATTATGCTCCCGCCTGGTCTGCTGGGTGGATGAGGACGTTTTCCATCTTTTAAATTGTTTTGTTGGGTTTTGGGGGAGAACGAGAGGTTTTACTTTTCCACTGTGTATTTTCACTCAAGGAGTGAAATGCTAAAGGCTGGCTTGTACGTGCATTTCCTCAACCAGAGTTAGCCAAAATGGTGCCCTACAGTTGTTGCTGGGCTACAACTCCCATCATCCCTGACCATAGGACATGTGGGTTGGCATCAGTGGGAGTTGGAGTCCAGTGACATCTACAGGGCCTGTATGTTGCCTACCCCCATTCAGACAAATAACAGCCTCCCATCAGCTTCTGTTCGCTAACTTCCAAAACTGAATGTCATTTCCTTTTGCGGCCTGCTCATTATTATTAAAAATTGCTTCAATTGTATCTGGAAAGGAACATTCCTTTATTTCTTATCACAGAGCAGGGAGGGACCTTAGAGATTTTCTAGTCCAGGCATGGCCAAACTTGGCCCTCCAGCTCTTTTGGGACTATAATTCCCATCATCCCTGACCACTGGTCCTGTTAGCTAGGGATGATGGGAGTTGTAGTCCCAAAAGATCTGGAGGGCCAAGTTAGGCCATGCCTGCTCTAGTCCAAGCCCCAATGCAGGATCTGTGTGTTTCTGGTGGTGGTGAGCTGTCTGCCCATTTAGTTCTTTCTCTAAAATGAAAAAATGGACTGTTTGATTGCAGCATACAAAGTGGCTTCAAGCTGCTCGTTTGTTACTCCTGCTGACTTCAAGATTCCCTTTTAGGTTTCCCGACATCAGAAGCCAGCCAGGTGTGTCCCAGAGGGAGCCTGCAGTTGTCCACCTCGGAAATCGCCTCATTTCCTAGGTCTGGAACACCAGTAGATCTCAGCAGAGCTCAGTCTCCAGGTAGGTGGCGTCTGTTCTGGGTTTGAGAAAGGTCCACTGTTGCCCATAGCAAGGGCTGGGGAACCGTTTTATGCCCAAGGGCCACATTCCTTTCTGCATAGCCTTCCAGGGGCCACGTGCCAGCACTACTCAACCTGCATATCTGTAAATCCTTATGAAATGCCGTAAGCTTCCACAGACCCAGGTAAGTACTACCCACCCAGGAATCACTTCCTGGTAGGAGAAGTAGGGAGAGCATAACAATGTTTACGAGCAAACCATCCCGAATACAGACACCTGTTTTTCTTCCCCTGCCCTTCATTCCCCCCTAAAACACTGGGGATGCGGGGAGGGAAAATAATGCCTTTTCTGAATGGCCGTCTTGTTCCTTTGTGGTGGAGAAAACACAGGGTTAATTCTAAGGAACCGGGTTGGGGTGCCCATAAATTAGTTTCGAGCCAATGCAGCTCATTGTGCAGAAACAACTCCGGCAAATTTGGACAGCTCTTATTACCAGCTCGTGCTCAGCATATTCGCTCCATTCACCCCATACAGATGGGACCAAACACTCAGCCCATTGACTCCCGATTTCCATCCATGATGCTTAGCACGCATAAGGGGGCGGGTGGGGAGAAGAGAACTGGGCATGAGGCCATCAGCAAACATCTGCATTCTGGAGCAGCTGGTGGCAGTGCCATTCGTGCAAAGGGGTCAGGCCCACAGGAAGGAAGGAAGCAGGGAGGCGGGAGGAATTTGGGGGAATCTCCACTTTGCTCCCTGCCATGGCCCAGCCCTTTGTCCCTGCTATACAAAGTCACTTGGAACAAGTCCTGTTGCTGCACATTTCTCTGGGGCGAGTGCAGGATGTCAGCAGTGCTTGCAGGAGTAGGACCAACGAAATATGTCCTGGTTGAATCCATGTTTGGGGGTGGGGGGGATGATACAGATGCAAACTAGGATGAAGATCTCCATTTTGGCAGCTTGTTGACACAGGAAGGTCTTCAGCAGGTGGGAAAAGACAACAGAGGTGGGACCTGTCTAATATTCAAAGGGAGGGGAGAGCATTCCAATGGGCTGGTGCCACAACACTAAAGGCCCAATTCCTATGGTAGCTTCATGAGGCCCTCAGCTGCAGAGCACAGTGATCGACTGGGACTATAAGGGGTGAGACAATCCTTTAGGTTCTGAGCCGCATAGGGCTTTGTGCACCAATACAAGAATGCAGACAAGAGACATCCTGAGATGGTATTACGTCAAACACAAATAAGGTTTCTAGTGTGGAAGTATTGTGGAATACTCTGCCAATGGAAGTTCAGCAAGCATTTTCCAATTCAACTTTTAAATATGCCTGTTGAAAAACTCTTTTATTCCATCAGGGTGATACAGGCAGTTCAAAATACATCTTTCCACAACAGTGACATGATTTTTTTAAAATAAAAAAATCAACTTCTTTAATATGGCTTTGATTGCATGGCTTTTATGTGCAATTGTGGTGATCCACTCTGATATGTAAAATAAATTAGTGGCATACAATTATTTGTAAATGAATGAATGAATACAGTGGTACCTTGGTTCTCGAACTTAACCTGTTCCGGGAGTCCATTCAACTCCCAAAACCGTTCAGAAACCAAGGCGTGGCTTCCGATTGGCTGCAGGAGCTTCCTGAACTCAAGCGGAAGCCACGTCAGACGTTCGGCTTCCGAGAAACGTTCGCAAACTGGAACACTTCCTTCTGGGTCTGCGGCGTTTGGTAGCCTATTTGTTTGAGAGCCAAGCTGTTCAAGAACCAAGCTATTACTTGTATGTACGTACATACATACATAGGCTGATTTTAGGTGATGTGTCTCAGAGGGCTAAATCCATAATTTCACCGGGATTTCTGTTTTCCCCCTTTACAGAATACGCCGAGCCAGATGTGGTCCAAGTCAGCCCCAGTACCCAGTCCATCCCGTCCACATTCAAGCCGGCTCTGGACGAAGGCTACACGCTCCCCCTGGTGGTGAATCACTACGATGTTCCGGGAAAACACCACGAGTACGCAGAGCCCTTGCCTCCCGAGCCAGAGTATGCCACCCCCTTCTTAGATCAGTCTCCTCCTGCGGAGCCGGAAGGAAGCGCATTCAGGAAGAACGTCTGCGTCATCAAAATCATCTCCTCTCCCCAAAGCCAGGCAGGACCCCTGGTCTCGCCGGTCTGCCCAGAGGCCCTGGCGCAATACGACTCGCCTGCTCAACGGCCGGCAGAGAAGCCAGAGGGCAAAGCGGGCGAGGCTGGCTTGCGGGAGGGACCTGCCCAAACCGGCACCATCTACATGGAGCCTCACGGCGACCGGACTCCGAGCCCGAGAGACGAATGCCCTCCGACGCAGCCAGCTACCTCTCCGCAGAGCTTCCAGCTCACGGACTCTCCGCTCACACACGTCTATCACGAGCCCTTGTGAGCAGCGCAGAAAGGATCTTCTGGTGCCCAGGCTGCTAGGAAAGAGGTGGATTTTTGCAGAGCATCTTCAGGTCAAGGGCGTAGGAAAGCCTTAATCAGGCTCTCTGTCCATCTAGCCCAATATTGTCTACACTGACCGGCAGCAGCTCTGAAGCAGAGATCTTTCCTAATGCTTGCCACCTGATCCTTTTTTTAAAAATTGACTGACATTCTGGGACCTTCTACGTGCAAAGGGCTTGCTTCACCCCTGAAATGTGGTCCTTCTTGTAGGAAAAACATAGCACTCTTCCTCCCACCAGCAAAGGAAAATTAATTCGTTTTTTTCCATGCTCAACTCCTATGGAGCCTGGGCAGGCTTTCAATTCCAGGGGGCTTGACTGGGGTTCCCTCTTACTTTAATTTAGCAAATGCCTCTGGCTTATCTTCATTAGGACTTGAAGGAACCAGTCAGGTATTTGGGCAGAGGGTTGGAAAATTGCATTCATACGGTAACATTTATTCTCACTGCTCTGCTGTTGCAATTACTTTTTTGTGAATAACAGATATATAATATATATACATGTTGTGACATGAGGTTCCTAGGAGGAAGAACAGAGCCACCGTAGCTCCCTGATCCTCCATCACATTCCCTTATTAAAAACTTGAAGGCATTTCGTAAACCAAATCAAAATCCTTTGCTCTCTTCCTCTTCCCAACAGCAGTCACCACAAATCTGCCAGATGTTTTGTTTTACTTGCTTTAACTATTCATTTGCTGCTCACTGATATATCCTTCCCCACTTCATGGAGAGTCAAAAACATTAATACATCAAGAAAATGTTTGCTGGCTATCAGTGGTGACTAATTCCATGAGCTGGGAGGCAGTTGTCATGAACTGGTAGGACACCGAGGAAGGGGAGGGGAATCTGGGCAAGGGGTGTAGCCACAACTGGAACACCCCAGGGCAAGCTGAAGATGGGGAAGGGGTGGTTGGGGACTTAGGAGGTTCTCGCGGGACTTCAGAGGACGGCGAGGGGGCAGCTGACAGGTCACGGGAGTCGGGAAGGGGACACATCGCCAGCAATCAGAGGTGCCATCTCCCATCTCCACAGACATAGCAGGCTCTGAGGCTTTGGGAACAGTGGGAGGTGCACTCCAGGAAACTGAGACAGGGAACAGGACAAGCCAAATTTACTAGTTGATCAGGTGAAGATCACGGGATTTGTTAGTTCTGGGAGGTTTGTGGTCACTCGGTTGGATTAGGCTCAGAGCAGGTGAAGATCTCACTTGCTTCATCAAGTGGAGCAAACCCAGATGTGTCCATCAAGATGGGAAAGAGAAAAGGGAAGCAAGACAGAGCTTGGCTGCTTCACAAATGCCACTGGACTGTGACTTAGGGACTTTTTCTGACCCTGGGTCTGCTGCAGAGGTGAGGAACCTGGCCTTACTGTTTGCTTTGGTACTGGACTGTTGTTTTTTTACCTTTAGGATTGACTAGGACTTGCCAATCAGAAGGTTCGCAGTTCAAATCCCCATGATGGGGTGAGCTCCCATTGCTCGGTCCCTTCTCCTGCCAACCTAGCAGTTCAAAAGCACGTCAAAGTGCAAGTAGATAAATAGGTACCGCTTCAGCGAGAAGGTAAACGGCATTTCTGTGCGCTGCTCTGGTTCGCCAGAAGCGGCTTAATCATGCTGGCCACATGACCCGGAAGCTGTACACCGGCTCCCTCGGTTGTTGTTGTTCGAGATGAGCACCGCAATCCCAGAGTCGGTCACGACTGGACCTAATGGTCAGGGGTCCCTTTACCTTTACTCTCTAACATGGCCCTTGTGACTATGTACACCAGCAAGACTTACATCCAGGTATGCCAGGGTTCAAGACAGCAGGACATTCAGGATAGTAGTTGCTGGAAACTCTGGTGGGGGAGAAAGTTCTTGTGCTTGGGTCCTGCGTACAGGGTTCCCATAAGCATTTGGTCAGCCACTGTCAACACAGGAAACTTGACCACTGGCCTGATCCAGCCAGCTCTTCTAATGTTCATACATCAAAATACTCATTGACATGAGCTGTGATATCATGGTACCCATGAGCCAAAACAGGCATATAATGCTGACAAAAAAAGATGGCAAAACAAGGATTCTCTTTGTTAAGAACCAAAGGGCCTAGGCTTTTGGCAAGGGGGCCACAAAACAAGTCCACAGTATAGAGAGCAGCCACAAAAAATATACTCTCACTACTGGGCCTATAACTCTCGTGACTCACCACACAAGACCACAGCAGACAAACCTCTTAGTTTGAGATGCAAGCTGGAGAGCATGCCTTTCAGGGACTGGGAAGCTGTGCCCCCCACTATCACTGTTGGTCAAGGGCCAAGACATGAGCGAGTGTGGTGGAATAGCAAGTGTTTGACAAGGGACGCAGGTGGCGCTGTGGTCTAAACTACTGAGCTTCTTGGGCTTGCCGATGGAAAGGTCAGCGGTTCGAATCCCTGCGATGGGGTGATCTCCCGTTGCTCTGTCCCAGCTCCTGCCAACCTAGCAGTTCAAAAGCATAACAGTGCAAGTAGATAAATACCTAGGTACTGCTGCAGTGGGAAGGTAAACGGCATTTCCATGCGCTCTGGCTTCTGTCATGGTGTTCCGTTGTGCCAGAAGCTGTTTAGTCATGCTGGCCACCTGACCCAAAAAGCTGCCTGCGGACAAACACCAGCTCTCTTGGCCTGAAACTGACATATTAAGTGACATAATTTATTATGTGGGGACTTTTAGAAACTGGACCCACTCCACTTAACCAGGCTTCTGTGTCTTTAATAGAGTTGCCAAAATTTACTGGCTGCTTCTCTGCCGAAAAGAACTAGTTCATTAGGAGACCTCAGCAAACAGCAGACTGTATATTTGTTGGATGAACCCTAAACGTTTAAGCTTTGCCTCTCTGAAGGACTTATAGCTCACGCAACCTCCATTTTCACTCCTCTCTCATTTCAACGACGCAAAGTTGGGGAGCCAGAACAAGCGATTACCAGCTACCCCGAGCACAAAAATTATGCTTCCGAAATCTCTTGATAGCGATTCCGCACAGAAAGAGGCAAAGCCACAGCCGCCCCTCCCCATGTGCCACTCACAGCAGAAGCCCTTTTTAACAGAAGTTTAGGCTAACACCATGCCCAGCTGCCCTAGACGGCTCTCCCACTCACAACGAGCAAAATTGCGCCGCATTAATATTTGGGGAGGGCATAATGCCACAGCGGCTTCAGGTTCGCTTTGATCCCCACCCGCCTCTTCCGCTCGATATCCAGCGGTATTTCTGTAGAAAGTTATCGATACCCGCGTTTCTATACATATGCAAATAATAGCAGTGCATTCTGGGTACCTTTCCGAACCCTGCATTTCAGCGGCCGCCAAGAAGATTCACCCTTAAGAGCTATTGAGAGGGAGTGAAAAATCTTACCCCTACCGGTGCAAAGAGAAATCGCAGCACTTTTGCAATGCGGGTGCTCGGATGTTTGCTCGGGGCAGTAGTTGCAAACTATGTGGCGATGGGGCTTACTCCCAAGTAAGTGCGCCTGCTAGGATCGCGACGTTAATTCTTGCAAAGCTGCAAAGAGAGATCTACAACCCAGCGGAGGTTTGCCTGAGTTGAGATGCATACAGTGGGTGCACAGACGGTTGTCGGTCGGCTGGGCGAGAGGCTGCTATTACCATGGATGCCACTGCTAAGGCAGGCTCAAATCCGGAACCCCGCAAGAACCACAGCAAACCCCTGAGCTCCAATGCAATTACTTTCCAGACTCATTGTACTCTATTACCTACATTGGCTTCCAGTACGTTTCCGTGTTGGTGTTGTTGTTGTTTAGTCCTTTAGTCGTGTCCAACTCTTCATGACCCCCTGGACCAGAGCACACTAGGCACTTCTGTCTTCCACTGCCTCCCGCAGTTTGGTCAAACTCATGTTCGTAGCTTCGAGAACACTGTCCAACCATCTCGTCCTCTGTCGTTCCCTTCTCCTTGTGCCCTCCATCTTCCCCAACATCAGGGTCATTTCCAGGGAGTCTTCTCTTCTCATGAGGTGGCCAAAGTATTGGAGCCTCAGCTTCAGGATCTGTCCTTCCAGTGAGCATTCAGGGCTGATTTCCTTCAGAATGGAGAGGTTTGATCTTCTTGCAGTTGGAAGTAAGCCCCATTGCCACATAGTTTGCAGCTACTTCCCTGAGCAAACATGCAGTTGGTGCTGACCTTTAAAGCCCTAAAAGGTCCAGTATACCTGAAAGAGCATCTCCACCCCCATCGTTCAGCCCAGACAGTGAGGTCCAGTGCCAAGGGCCTTCTGGCGGTTCCCTCACTGAGAGAAGCCAAGTTACAGGGAACCAGGCAGAGGGCCTTCTCGGTAGTGGCACCCGCCCTGTGGAACACCCTCCCACCAGATGTCAAGGAGAACAACAACTACCAGACTTTTAGAAGACATCTGAAGGCAGCCCTGTTTAGGGAAGCTTTTAATGTTTGATGCATTACTGTATTCCAATATTCTGTTGGAAGCAGCCCAGTGTGGCTGGGGAAGCCCAGCCAGATGGGCGGGCTATAAATAATAAATTCTTATTCTTATTCTTATTACACTTTTACCATCCTCTTTTCAAAGCACTCAGGGTTGCTTATACAGTTATTTCTTCTGTGCTTAAAAAAAAAAATCTACACGACAACCCTGTGAAGTAGGCTAGGCAACATTGACATTCGAACTCGCGTTTCCCCATCACACTTGCTCAAGACGATCCTTTTGCACGAATGACGCTCACACTTCACCTTACCCACGGCCAACCTGACACTGGTGCAAAAGCCCGCGCGCTTCTGCTACCTTCCAATCACAAGAAAGTAAGCGCAGCACCGCCACGCGCTCTCGGATCGGGAACCGAGAAGGTGACGCGGCCGCCTATTAAAACACCTACACCCACCCTTCCCCTCCACAAGGTCCCAGCCGAAGTGCGCCTGCGCACTGCGGGGCTGAACCAGAGAGACGATTTGACGGGGCGCGCGGGCGCCCACAGACCTTAATTCACCACAAACAAGAAAGAGCGGGGGCGAGGGAGTCTCGGAACGTAAGGAGCTTCGGCGCATGTGCAGGCGAGACCAAGCCGCCCAACCTTAAAAAGGGACGACGGAGGCGCTTGCCGATTGGCTGCCGCTGTGTGGGCCAAGCGTCTTTCCTGGAGCGGCTCGTGGGGTCGTGACCCCGGAAGTGCTGTGTCGCGGCGTCCCAGTGAGGGAGGAAAGGCGGCAATCGGTCGGAAGCGTCGAGCGGCTCGCAGGGGGGAGATGGCCGGGTAGGCGGCCGAGGCGCCGGTGAGCGGAGCGGGAGCCCCGGTTCGAGACGCGGCGGCTCCCCGCTGAAAGTAAGGCAGAGCTCTGGACTCCGAGGGGCCTCCGGGGGAGGGGCTGCCTCCGGGGGGCGCGAAGCGGCCAAAATACGTTACCCGTGTCCCGATTCCTCCCTTTTCCTTTCCCCTGACGACAGGCCTCCCGACGCTTGACAGGGTCTACTCTAATTCATCGTGCGTTTTAAAACACTTTCCTCGTCGTGTATGTGTACAGTATATATATATACACGCGCTTATTTGGTCCGTCTGTTTTCACTCAGGACATTTTAAGGTGGCCGGCAAAACGTGAGCGCTCGTCACATTCATATTTATATATATATATACACGCGCTGAGGGCGAGATTATACACGGTAATGTAATAAGATGCAGCAACAAATCGATGTCTTCAAAGCAATGGTGGCTGGTACCAAATGACACTAGCCAAGAAGAGAAAGAACATGTGGCATCAGATTTCATGCTTATTTCTTTCTTTTTAATAAGCCTCCAGAGAAACAGAAATGTCTTCCCGAGTGATGGGAAGTTGAACCAGGGAATTGGCAGTGGAGGGAGCCCTGCTTAAAGTGAGGCATGGCTGCAGTTTAGGAAACCTCCGGATTGGGGGCGGGGAAGAGGCTTTGGGGATGTCAATGTGGTGCAGCCTAGTTACTTTCTGTCCCTGTTTACGTTCATGTGGCATTGGAAACAAGATGCTGCTTCTTCCCCCCCAAAACCAGGGTAAGAGGGTTTAACCATGAAGAATGAAAACTCCTAACAACATAAACTAAAATAAATCAGTAGGGATTTATTCTGCCAAAAGCTTAAATTATGCAAGTTCCACAACATAGAGACTGTTGGAGTGTGTGCTCCCAGGTCACTGATTACAATTGAATTTTAAAGCACAAACATAAGATTGGAAAACAATGCTGTAGATAGGAGTGGGCAGACTTTAGGCTTGTGGAATCTAATTTGTTTTACACTGGTACCCTAAGATCCAGCAACCAGAGCAAAGTGCAAAAGATAGAGCCTTATAATTTTTTAGTACCAAAACAGACATGAGCTCATGGTCGCTCCACACAAAAATCTTCTCTGGATCCTCTCCCCCTCCATTATTCATTTCAGAAGTATGATTTACGGGAGGAATTATTTTTGTTGTCATTGTTAAGCAACTGTGTGTCAGAGAAATCCTTGCTGATCTACATGAAATGACTCTTGAGAACTACCAGTAGATTGTGATCTACAGTATTTTCTGCCCACTACTGCCATAGAATCTGCAGTGTCCTTAAAAAAGCAACATATTTCTTACTTCTCCCCCTCCCCACCGCCATGGCTATGCTCTTGTCTTGCAGTTTTCTAGAGAACACACCTGCTCTTATTCTTTATCAGGACTGGGGAACCTATTGCCCTGCTGGCCTTTCTGATGGTAGTTGGAGTCTAATAACATCTAGAAGGCCACAGGTTGCCCAGCTCTGTTCCGTTATTCTTCCTTTACTGTATTGTAATAGTAGTAATGCTTATAGCATTTTGAATAATTTCATTTGTTTGTTTCATTTAACAGCATAACTTTCTCCCCCCCCACCTTTTTTTTTTTGCTATAAGGTTCTCAATCGTTTTACAATGCAAATTTAATTTCTTAAGCACTGCATCCATACTTTCACTCTCTCAGTATCCTAATCCTCACTTTGGGACATAAAGTTCATCTTTCCCAGCATCTTATTAGCCTGTGTTCCCTTACATTTTGAAATCACTTAAAGAAAACAAATGCCATCATCCAAGCACTTCATCTACAAGATTTCACTATTTTTTTCTGAGGTTTTGTAAAGAAGGCCAGCATATCAGATTTGAAATTGGGGAAGGTAAAGCTGAGATAATAGTCTGTAACTGATGTGATTTTTTCATTTCACAGCCAACAATCCTAACTACTATGCTTAATTATAAACAAGTGGATTGGTCACTGAGCGTTTGCACCAGTGCTGTGATACATCCAACCATTGCAGATTAATGCACCTGTACCATGTAAGGCCTGGGTGGAGAGGATGTTCTCTTGAGGAAAGTCTATTCAATGACAACCTCCTATTTATATATATGTTAGATTGCCTACACAGATCCATTTTAACCAGCAGAGAGAGAGAGAGATGTGATAGCTTGTAAAATGCTCTGGGGGAATTGTATAAGCATATGCAACAGGGGAAGAATGACTGTATAGGTTAACCCTTACTGTTTACTTGCAGGAGCTTTTTTGGGGAAATGGCCTCTCCATTCAATGGTCCCACAGCAGTTTCTGATGTAATTAAAGATCTAGACACTCAGATAGCTGTAAGTAAGTTGGCTTGAACTCACCAGGACATAGCATGCTGGCATCATGGTGAGAAGCTGCAGGTGGGCTTGTGGCTTTTCAGTTTTGCTTGTGTGCCAGAACTGAAACGTGCAAGAGTGTATTGTCCTTTTCCACTCAGATTTGAAAATGCTTTGTAGGAAATGATCCTGTCTTGTGTGCTTGGTTAGTGAATATGGTCTCCCAGAAGATGACAAAATTAGTAGAACTGAGTGCTGGAATCTCTCTCCAGCATCATTGCTGTATTGCTCCCTGATAAAGAAGTAATCAATCTCCCTGTTGACTTGCACTTTATTCCTGCCAGCGTTACTCCTCTCTATAGAGATGCATAGGAATGTGGAACATTTTACAGGTGGCCCCTACCCAGAGGAATGTTATGCATCTTTAGTTGGCTTTGTGATGATCACTAGTTGGAATCTACAGACTGTCTTCAAGAAAAGCCTCACACAGAGCACATTACAATACAAGCGGGAGGTCCCTAGAACATGGACAACAGAGGCCAGGCTATCCTGGTCCAGGAATAGCTGCAGCTGGCAAACCAGCCTGAGCTGGGCATAAGCACTCTTGGCCACAAAAGCCACTTAATGACAAGCTGGAATCCAGGAGGACTCCCAGACTACTAAACCTGATCCTTCAATGAGAATGTAACTTCTCCCAGAACAGGTTAGATATCTAATTCCCAGACACAGGAACCATCCAACCACAGCCCTTCTTTCTTACCAGGATTCAGCATTGATATTTATTGACCTCAATCCATTCTACCACTGCTTCCAGACAGCTGCCCAACATCTTCACAGTCTATCCTGATTCCAATGGAGTGCAGAGATAGAGCTGCATGACATCAGCTGATGGCACCATACTCCAAATCCCTAGATGACCGCTCCCGGTGGTTTCAAATAGATGTTAAAGAGCATAGGAGATAAGCTAGACACTTGTGGGACCCCATAGTTCAGAAGGTGCCAAACAACGATACCTTACTTACTACTGCCTTTCGGTAGCTCCCCTGTAGGTAGGAACTAAACTAGTGTGACATAGTACCTCCAACTCCCCCGCCCCTGCCCCAAATCGTTCCAAAAGAACACCATTCTCAATGGTGCCAGAAGCTGCTGAGAGGTCAAGGAGAACCAGCAGGGTCACGTTTCCCCTGTCTCTCTCCCGATAGAGGTAATCAATCAGTGCAACCAAGTCCATTTCAGTGCCAAAACCAGGCTGGAATGGATCTTGGGCTGAAAAAGGTTCCCCACTGCTGCAGAAGGAGATTCAAGAAGTAAAGCAATGCAGTGCCAAGTATCAGAAAAGAGCACAATGAATTTGTCGAGAAGAGGCAGCAGAATGAAAACAACAGGAAGGAATGTAGAAAGACTGGCTAAAATAGGAGAGAGCAAGAGCTGGGAGTCTTGAAAGTAAGGAAAGCAAAGGTTGCATCCATTGCTAAGATGATAGAACTGCCTTCAGTTTAAAAGTTGAATTCTCCCATACTTTGAAGGGCCTTTATATGCATCTGCCAACTGCTTGAAGAGGAAACAGCTGCTAAGTATATCTATCATGTGTGCAGAAATGTGTGGAGCCATGCTTGCTGGGGCTGATGGGAGTTGTAGTTCAGCAACTTCGACAACAGTGCCATTTTTTATGACAGAGTAACAATAGCTAGCGTAAACAAAAGTGGAATGAGCCGTCATGGCTTCATGGGCCTGTCAACATACAAACAAAGTGCTGGCTGTTGCAGTTACAAATCTATAAAGGTGTGAATCCGCTAGTGGTTAACTTTACAGGCTATGAGCCCCTGAAGTTCATCTGGCACTGAGCCTTGCCTTTCCCAGGCATATATCCTTTTCCTCCCTCTGGGCAGGCTATTTTTATCAGCAAACCATTTGTAGCACAAGGTTAAGGATTTGTTCTGGGTGAAGCTGAAAACCCCCCAACAACTTATGTTTACATTGCCTTTCAACCCTTATTGTATTGAATACATGTTTATAAGGGGGAATGAAGCATTTCAATTGCAGCCTTCTTAATAATTATTGTGTGGATTAATACTAACAGAGAACTTGCTCTTTAAAATAATAACGAAGTGTGGTTTCCGTTTCCTACATATTGACTTCCTTGAATCTTGGGTAGTCCGTGTTCAGCATGGTTTGTGTTTTGATGTGACGTTGGCGTCATTGTTGGATTACAATTTTAAGCAAAATGCATAAGAATTAAAATAGCTGCATATGGTAAAATTGCATGCTAATCGCCTGTATATTAAGGTTCAAGAAAATGCCATTTCTGATTCTTGAGAAGTTGGTAATGTTTACCTCTTTAAAATATTTTCTGCAGCTGTGTTGATTGGTAACAAGCTGCTGCTGAGTGGTCTGAACTGAACACACAAGCCAATAGCATTACAGACTGGATGTTGAGAGATTCTGAAAAGAGACTCCTTGAAATTCGATGTTACATCTTGAATGTTTTGGAACGATCAGAAAACACATTTTGGTTGGAATTCAGGCTAGGTTAGCTAAAGTTAGTTCCAAGTGGAATCAATGGGATAAATTAGTCAGGGCTTAAATAAGTACAGTACTTCTAACTTATCCTGGATGAAGCCCTTTGTCTTTTTTTTGGAGAGAACCAAAGAGAAGAAACATTCCCAGAGAAATGCTGCCACTGAACTGTAGCCCTAAGGTATCTTTGCCGCTGGTGGGTTTAAGAAAATAGATATTGGAGGTTAATAGGTGGAACCGTGGATTGATAAACATGGTCCATTTCCATAGTTTAGTCCGTAACAGAAGTATAAACATAACACATTAACGCATCCCAATCTGTATTATTTGAGGGAAATGTCAAGCTCTAGGAAGCTAAAGATCAGGTTTGTGAGGGCGATCTGTCTGCGACATCTGTCACCCCATTGATTGCCAGAGTTGATTCGGCTGATCTGGCTGGCTAGGCGGGTGTCCCCTTCCTCCCTCACCGCTCCATGTGCGTCCCTCTGGAAGCTGCACGCTCGGTGGAAGAGGACGACCATCCCAGACAGAAAGAGCGTACTGTTCTTCTGTCAAGGGTGTACGATAGCTGCGCTCCCCTGCTACAACCTCCGAACAAGCATCCTTTAGATAGATTACGGACTTTCATCTATAGCTGGCTATAAGAGGAGCAGTTTTCCCTTTAGCACTTTTGTCTTAGAACTATCAAAAGGATGGGTGTGGAGGATTCTTATGCATAAGCAAAAGTTGTCCAAGAAATACAAACGCATATCTCCGGACACCAGTGGTCAGCAAGTGCCTCATAGTTGCTTTCTGGGCAATCTAGGAAGAGGGAGGGAAGTTCTTATTACCATGGCTGTCAGATCCAAGTGTCTGGGGAAGTGATTCTGACATCCACAAACACAGTTTCTGCTCTGATTTCCACATTGTGATCTGATACTTGGTTTGCATTAAAGTTCTCACAGAACGCAGGCACTGGAAGCTTCCCATGAGGTGGCATAATGGTGACCAGTGCTTTTTTTCTTTAAAAATGTTTAGGGGTACTCTCATTTTCCTACTCAGATTGAAATACTTCCCCTCAATTAGGCCAAACTTAGATTCACAAAATGTTTAGGGGTATGCGTACCCCCAGGAAAAAAGCACTGATGGTGACATAGTTAAGGTGCTTTTCCAGCCACTGCAGAAAACTTGTTCTTCCAAAGGCTTTGAATATCTGAGATCCAGTCTGCTGGGAATTGTTCTAAAATAGGTAATTTATTAAATCGCCTCCTTCTTCTCTTCCTCCTCATTTTAACCCTGGAATTTGTATCTTCTTCAGCTGATTGGTTTGGGCCCACACAATCCCAAGAAGAAGCAAGATCTGGACAAACTCTATGATCTGAAGGCTAAAGCTCAGCAGATTATGAACCAGTTTGGCCCATCTACCTTGATCAATTTGTCCAACTTCTCCTCAATCAAGCCAGAACCAGCCAGCACCCCTCCACATAGCTCCATGGCAAACAATACCACTGTGGCGAAGATGCCAGGGACCCCTAGCAGTGGTGGGCGCCTCAGTCCTGAAAGTAACCAGGTAATGGCACTTGCGATACTGGGAAAGTGAGTGGGCTAAGGTGAGGTTGAAAAACAACATTGGTTGTCTGCTTCTGAGCGTGCCCAAGAGTTGCCAAAATCTCCCTGTTACGTCTTGCAACTTGAAATGAATAAAAGCTTGAGTCTTAGGTTCAGAACCATGTGCTCCATGTGGGGCTAAACTTGAGGTTGGTCCAGAAGCTGCAGCTAGTGTAAAATGTGGCAACTTGACTGCTCACTAAAGCAGGACATCGCCAATATGTTACCCTGCTGTTGAAATAATTGCACTGGCTGCCAGTTAGCTGCCAGGCTAAGTTTAAGTGCTGGCTGGGGCCAGGATACCTGAAGATAACCTCACTCCTTATATGTCCAGTCCAGTCTGTGCTCTGCAGGTGAGGCCCTCCTGCTGTTACCATCTTACCAGAAGGTCCATTGCACACAATGTAGGAATTGGGCCTTAAGTGTTGTAGCACCTGCCTTTTGGAATTCCCTCCCCGTGAATATTAGATGGGCATCATCTCCTTTGTCTTTTGGTGGCCATTGACCTGGTTGAACTGTACTAATGTTGGTGATCTCTTTCCCCTGCCCCAGATATTAACTAAGAAGAAACTACAGGATCTTGTCAGAGAGGTGGATCCAAATGAACAACTGGATGAAGATGTGGAGGAGGTAGGCTTTTGGGGTGGGGGGATGAACTGAATGAATCCCTAGTCCTGAATAATCTCAGACCCCTTGATACTTGCCTGAGCTCATCCTTAGTTGAACAGTGCCACTGGTTCAATCTGATCAGTTAGGAAACAAAGTGGTTTTCCTTGATGTAAAGTCACTGGGGATGTTGATTACTTGTTGGAAGAATGTGAAGCTTCAGAAGTTAAATATCATTTCATTCATTGTTATATCTCATGCCGAAACCCATCACTAACATTCTTGGTGCTTCACTGTTTTTGACAGATGCTGCTGCAGATCGCAGACGACTTCATTGAAAGCGTTGTGACAGCTGCCTGCCAGCTTGCACGACATCGCAAGTCCAACACTTTGGAAGTGAAAGATGTCCAGTTGCATCTTGGTGAGTGCCAGTGCATGAGTTGTTTGTTTCATGAAGGCTGCTATAGGTGGCTCTATGTGCCTACTCTCCCCGTGTAGTGAGCCTTTCATGTATAACAGTTCACCAGGCCAGTCAGGCCACTGCAGTCTTCCTCCATGTGTTAGGGTGTGCAGAAAATAGCCTGTAGTGAACCCCTGCACACAAGGGAATTGCTGTCACATGTAATTCATAAGTGTCCCCTTGAAATTTGTCCTACCACAAATAAACCCCTAAAATAAAGAGAAACAGAACTCCTGCCAAAACAGGATTTTTTCATTTCTCATTTTGTTCTAGCTCTTAGAAAGCAGACAATGATTTCTGCTTACATGATTGAATTGATAAATATTTCTCCTTAACTCTTGTTTCCTCTACCTCTTTTTCTCATCCCCTCCACCCATGCCCTGTTCTTTGATGCAGAGCGGCAGTGGAATATGTGGATCCCAGGTTTTGGTTCTGAAGAAATCAGGCCATATAAAAAAGCCTGCACTACAGAAGCTCACAAACAGGTAAGGAGGGTGTTGCAGCCAGGGGAGAGAAAACACCAGGTGTTTATACTGTAATTTCTAATGTCCACATTCCCTTTCTGCGTGTATGAGAGAGAGAGAGAGAGAGAGAGAGGATGCGCAGTATAAATACTCAAGTACATCACTCCTCCCGTGCCATGCCTTTGGGTCAAATGCATTTCCATCTCTTAACATAAAAACAAAACACACAAACTAGCAGGAGGCCTGATCTGAGTCAGGACTGCAGCATGTCAGGCACAGGTTCACCTTTTCCCTGCACAGTTCCTGACTGAGATGGATCCCCTCCCTACTAAAGCTGCTGTTTGTCCTCAAAGGAAACAAAATACGTGCACCCCTATATTTTTCATCCTGTAGGAATAATAAAGGCTAGAGTATGCAGAGCAATGTTTATTAGGAAAAGGGGCGATGAATCAAACCTCCCTGCACTGTGGTCACTATTCAGATTGATGACCCTCCAACAGCTGCTATTTTTTTAATCTAAAGAAACTGATACGGAAATGCAGCCATACCTCATTTTGACTCTTAAGTGGACTAGTTATGTGATTGAGGTATTTGGATACTATGGTGGCCAGGTGAGTGGAAATAGTTTTCTGAGCCCAAAAGAATCTACTTTCCACTGAAACTTGCTGGTGGTCCATTTCCCTGATTTTCACTGTTCTTTTTCTCTCTCTCTTTTCAGAGAATGGCGCTGATCCGCAAAACAACAAAGAAATAATGCTTGGGAATGGCAGGGAGATGGCTCTTCTGGGCGGGAAATCCGCCTCAAGCTTGTGGAGTACCCATGACGTCATCCGTGGGATTCTTTTTTAAGGCTTTGCAGAGAAGCGTACCTTTTAACTGTGCAGCAATATCTGACTTTGAGGGGAGACCTGCCAAAAGTCGATAGGCCCTGCCTCTCCCCCCCACCCCTACTCTACAACATATTTCCCCAAGAGAACACAATTTATCTTGAAACACACAGACTTTATTTTCTGCCTTCAGAGTGATTTATGGTGTAAGTGGTTGTCCAACGGACAGAATATTTTGGTATTTTTGGGAACAGTATTAGAAACAGCTATAGATGTTTTTTTTCTTCGTTTCCCTCTTACTCTTTGTAATGTTGCTGTTTATAGATATTTGGATTTGTTTTATGAGCAAAGACATTATGACTCTAAAACTAGGTCGCAGTATTGGCACGGGCTGCGAAAAAGCAAAGGGCATCAGGGCAAGAGCCAGAGGAAAGGCTGTTCATTATAGGTTGTTCAAAGCAAACATCTCTTTTTCTTCTTTTAAATTCCAATATGGTCCATATTGCAAGTCTCTTTAACTCTTAAGGATGCAATAGACTTCCACTGCATAGCAAAATATCTGTGAAGTTCTGTGCGGATGGTGGTTCTGTTGGAAAGCGTTGGTGCAGTTCCCAACACAGAGAGATTATTATTATTATTATTATTATTATTATTATTTTTAAACTGGCAGCATCTGTCTTGTGAAGAGAACAGTCCTCAGTATCCACAGCCCAGATATCAATCTGTGCTCATTCAACAATTGGCTTGCCTCCTATCTCTTCTGTTACTAGGAGAAAAATATAATTGAGAATACTTGCCAGAATACTTTGCTTTCAGTGAGTGTTCCAATACCAAAAGCACAACTCAGGCTGAAAATCAAAATTGGTGCAAAACTGTTGCCTCAGACTTTCATGGATTATGAATGGTGGGTTTTTTTGCTGCTTCTGAAGTAGTTTCAGCTTGCTGAAAAACTGCCCTCCTTCCTCACTTCCTCTTTGATAGGTTGAACTGTAGCAACAGAAGAGTTGCACTGCCTGTGTTCTGAATGAAGAAGCCACCGCTGACCACACAATCTACACTTTTTGTGTTCTCTCTCTGTGTGCGTAACAGGTTTTCATTAAGCCATCCAGCAGTGGCTATAGAAGCTTATCCTTTTTATGCAAGTTCTCCACTCATTTAGACTACGGTAATAAACAAGTACGTTAATGTTCCCTGTTTTTCAAGATATTTCATGCACTTTGCCCCAGGTAGCATACAATTTAGTGCTTTCCATTAAAATAAAAAAAAATGGCATCAGTTCATAAAACCACAATGCTTGCCTTTGTAGCATGAGCCATTAGGAATATTCCAGAGTGTCATTTGTTCTTTTAAACTCTTGTTCTAAAAGAGTAATTCTCCATTTGTGAAAACAATCCATCCTTTTGTTTCGCCATGGGATTAGCAGCCAAATGGAATCCAACTGAGGCATATGTCTAAATAATCCAAAATGAATTCTGAAATTGCACCATGGAGGCAGAGGGGGGTGGGGAGGGGGAAGAACCTTTGCTGCAGTTATTTTATGTATTGCATCACTTGAAAGCATCTTCGCCATTAAACAACCAATGACAAGGGCATGTTTATTTATTGTCATCCCCATCCATGATCAGGGATGACGGGACTTGGAAGTCGAAAGACATTGCTGTATTGCCTCAGTAAACCTTTCCCCTTCAAGAAATCAGTACATCCCGCCCCTCCCCACTAGCCACCCAAATTTCTAAAGACTTGCCCCATAGCTGCTGCTGTTCTTCTTATCCCGAGTTCTTCACATGCTGCTATTTTTCTGCATGGTTTTTGATGAAGCTAATACATGGGCTTTTCACCATAAACTGCAGAATCATTGTTTCCCATTGCATATGCATGCTATAGATATTACACATTGGGCTGTTTTCAGAGTAGCCCAGTTGAAATTAATGGACCTCGTCATGCCCTTTAATTTCAGTGGGTGTACTCAAGTAGAAGTTAACTGAATGCAACCCCTTATAACTGCCATGTGCAATGGTGTATAGAGAAATTAACATGTTGCTGTAAGCTTGCATTGGCAAAGTATTGTGAACTAGCCCAAATCCACTTATAGAAGGTCAACAGAAATCAAGCCAACTGTATCACCCTGTCCCAAAAAATAAATTTGAGGCCCTGCTTCACGTAATACCTTAAATTGGGTAGTATATCAGTAGTAGGCTCCATGTAATTCAAGTGTGTGGTCCTGATTTTCTCCTGTAACATGCTTTTTCACAACCCAACAGTAAAGGAGGCCTCCTGCTTCAAGCATATGTCCGCCAAGTGTGTTACTGCAAACCACCCAGAAGAAGGATAGGTGGGTTTCCCAGCATCAGATATGCAGAAAGGTATATTTCCTCTCCCCCACACATGAAATAAATGCACCTACAAACTCAACTCAAGTCCTCACTGTGGCTTCTGCTGGTGCTCTTTCAAGTAAAGATGGTGAGATGATAAATGCAGCTCTCTGGATGAGATGGTGTGTACCGAATACAATAAATGGCATTGGCAAAATGAAAATGATGCTTCAGAGCCTATTCTTAACCTTTGCTATTATAATTAAAATGGTTTATCTCTTGGAAAACCATCGAAAACAGTGGAAACTTTTGAATCGGGGGGTTGTAAACAACTAGGTTCAATTCAGAGTAGACCCACTGAAAGTAATGGACCTAAGTTTCTCTTGTCCTTTAATTTCAGTGGGTTTACGTTTGAGTAGCCACATGTGTAGAATAGATTCCTTTAGCTCCATCTTGCATTAGCTATAGACTAACATTGGACACAAGCCTAAGAATTTGAACCACCAGCCGTTAAATTGGATTACTGAGTGTACAGTTTTCGTAAGAGGTGACATCTTAGCAGGGCCTCTGCATATTCTATAGCGGCAACATAAAGTGCAGAATTTAGCATCCTGGCAGTTTATACAGCCTTTAACATTGTAAACATGTAATAAAGACTGAATCTAAACAATTGCTCAGATGTAGGTCCAATGCTGCCTGCTCCCAAGTGTGCATCAACCTTAGTTTTGGAACAATCGGCTCTTTACAACTGAGTGTTCTCCAACATGTTGTCTCCACCACCACCTTTTCTATGCACTTTTTCTATGCACTGACATTGCTACCATGGTTCCTCAATGGTGCTTTTTGTTGCTCCCTGTTAAGTCATCTATAAATGCAACATATTTGCTTGATAATGGAAGATGTCCTAGAGCCTGGAAATCCACAAAACAGGCAAGGGAACATTTGCACTGACAAGAAGGCAGGTGCTATCAAAGAATTATAAAGTCTGTTTGGGAATGGCTTTTATTCAGATGCTTGCTTGCCATTATTGTCTGCTTGGGAGGGATGACTGAATTTTGCTGCGCAGCAGGGGATCTGTAGGAGATTACCTTTTACCCACAGGGGTGGGATTTTACCTATGGGAGACAATACCCTCCAACAACCTGCTAACACTTCCAAACTTCACTTCTAACAACACTTTACCCACCCTGCCACCTAAAACTGATAATCTAGTTCTGCAAGTATAAAGATGGCTGTATTTTCCTTTATTTCTGTTCTCTACCTTCCAAGGAACCCATGTGTTTCAATTAGTGCTTGGGACAGATATGAATAACTGGTCGCTTTTGTATTATCAAAGGGGTAGCATTCACTGTCTCTTTGCACTAAGCATGATTGAACCTAATTCGCCAAAGCACCTCTTCCCATTCCATCCAAAACTCTTGTATGTGGCAGGTTGTACCATCTTCATTTTTTGTAAAGAAGAGTTCTGATTAATCTGGAAGTTTGATCATTACCCAAGTCGTATTGTCTGTGTGACTATAAAAGCCCCGTCATTTTCCCTCTCCCCTTCAGGCATCTCCTTGAGACAACAGGAGTAGAGAAAGTGAATTTGAAATAGTGTTTACTTGTATCCACAGGTCTTCTGTAGAATATTAGGCACCAATGTTATTTCCTCCTAAAAACAGGTGATGAAAGTGTATCAAGAGTTCTCAAACTGATCAGCCAAAGAGGATAGGTTAATGAAGGTGTTCACAAATCAGGTGGTGAGCTAACATGATGATTATGGTTTAGGCAAGCTTTTCAGGGACAGCAGGTCCATAATACCTCCACACATTTCAAGCCAGCCTCTTCCGCAGCAGAGGTAGAAACAGGAGATGGCAAGAGTTGGGGGTATGTGGGGGGGAAGCAATAGATGGGTGGAGCAAGGTTGAAACCAGGTAGACCAGGTGCAAAAAATGTTTCCAGAGATGTGTGGTACGTGCAGAAATGAAAGGTATATGTTGCAGTAATTGTCAGTATGTCAAAGGGAGCCTCAGATCAACGTTCTCTGCCTTCATTCTGCAAGGATTTTTCTTTCCCATATGTTAGGTTAGCAATAACAAAAGGGAATACACCTTTGCTTATACACCAGCTTATAAAAGCTTTTTATAGTCTTCACTGCTTTCTACATGAATGGCTCATGGGCATCATGCATGGGTTATTGTACAAAAGGGCCCATACACTTTCCCAGAGGCAGTTGCCATTTGCTAGCAGGAACATTTCTTGCCCCCTTCCTGTGCCTGGGCCTCAGGCTGTGCCAAGGGTGGCAGTTTGCTTTTCACCCCGTCCCACTGTTCACTGGGTCTCATTTTCCCGCTTTTCAGAGCCTCGTATATTCCTAGCGTCAAGATCTGGAAAGCCTCCCCCACGTTCCTGTTGCTCTTCGCAGACGTCTCAATGTACTTGGCCTCCAGCAAAGTGGCCAGTTTCTCCGCCTCCTTTTGTCCAACCTTCCTCTCGGCTTCCAAATCGCTCTTGTGCCCAACCAGCACAAAGACAATGTGGTGAGGCTTCACCGTGTCCATCACTTCCTGGTGCCACTTCCGGATGCTTTCGAAGGATGCTCTGTTGGCCAGGTCAAACACCAGCACACCTCCAGCAGAGTTGCGGTAATAGGAACGCGTCACGGACCTAAGTCAGGAAACACAAAGAAGGAAACTCATTCTCACTTGGGTCACCTTCGTACAATCAATCACCTTAGAGCATTATATACTGGGGATGTGGGTGGCGCTGTGGCCTAAACCACTGAGCCTCTTGCTGATCAGAAGGTTGGTGGTTCGAATCCCTGTGATGGGGTGAGCTCCCGTTGCTCTGTCACAGCTCCTGCCAACCTAGCAGTTCGAAAGCATGCCAGTGCAAGTAGATTAATAGCTACTGCTGTGGCAGGAAGGTAAATGGCATTTCTGTGTGCTCTGGTTTCTATCATGGTGTCCCATTGCACCAGAAGTGGTTTAGTCATGCTGGCCACATGACCTGGAAAGCTGTCTGTGGACAAAAGCTGGCTCTCTTGGCCTGAAAGCGAGATGAGTGCTGCACCCCCATAGTCGCCTTTGACTGGACCTAACCGTCCAGGGGTCCTTTACCTTTTTACCTTATACTGGCTTAGTGTTTTTAATCTTTATTGGCATAGTATGTTGCTTTGGACAGAAGAGGGCTATGAATGGAAGAGAACACAAGATGATGGATTGAATAAGGTTTGGAACACATTGTGTATTGTTAAACTCACCTAAGAAGGGCAAGGCAGATTGGCCAGTTCCAGAAATTAAGTTGGAATTCATTTGCTGAATATTGAAATATATAGCAAACAATATTACCGCATAAGTTATTGATGGAGCTACATAGTTTGGTTACTGATGTCCAAGGCTTGAATCAGAAGCAACTTGCTGCTGCATTTGATGGGCTTTGACTAGATTTCCCTCAGGGTCCCTACCAACTCTGCAATTCTATAGCACAACATTTTAGGCTTGTGCTAATGGAATAAATGCATTGGATACCATCCTGAGTCATTTTATGTCTGATGTGTAAATTACGTAAACAACTGCAGCATTAGTTAATTATTATCTTAGTGACAAAGTTAGTTAACAAGATTGCATTAAAACGTTATTGAAAGCAGCATTAAAATATATGCCAGATGGAAATGAGTCTTCATGAGGCCAACAAAATCTTTCACAAACAGCCGTTTTATGAGACAGAAGAAGGAAATACAAATAGAGACGCCTTTCAGGAAAGGGAGGAACCCTTCCTATTTAATCAGTTTTGAGTCTACAGAATGAGGAGTTACTCATATAAACAGCTGGCGTATGTCTGCAGCACACCTTGGATGCTTCCAGACTTTTTTTTGGGGGGGGGGAGGTGATTCAGTCGCAAACAAACAAATTCAGATCTCACAATTATAGCTGGTTGGGAGGTATTGCACAACAAAACCTGCTTAATCCCCCAAATCAGACTTTTTGCCATAAGGAAAGTAACAAGATAATGGGGAACCTGTAACCCACCAGATGTTATTGGACTCCAAGTGATGGGAATTGTAGTTCAGCAACATGTGGAGGACCCCAAGTGTGTGAAAACCAGCCTCATATAACCAACATGCTTAAGTTTAATTAATGCATGAAGGGGTTCTGCCAGGCTTAGCTGGGGTCACTCCCCCTCACCTTGGGAGGTAGTCAAGCCTAGTGTTGTACCACAGTCTACCTGAGAAGCTCAGCATGTAAAGAGGTCTGAGCTGGTTGCTCAGAGCTCATGGCTCTGACAAGCCTTTCTTGAGTTCATAGACCAATAATCTAGGAACTATCACCACTGTGACTAAGTCAAGTTCCACTGCCTGTGCAACTTTTCTGAATGCTGTATGGAAAAGCACATGAATCTGACCTTTGGAGTTTGTAGGTAAACCATTTTTAATTCACCAAATGAGTGGTATTTTTCTACGCTGGGGAAGAGGGGAACTTTGGAATAAATTTGCAATGGCATATTTTAAAAGCCTATATTTCCACACTTTACTTTGCTGCATATTTTGTGATTTGATATCTCTCACCAAACAGTACTTGTCCCAAACTTTGATCTTGGCATCCAGGAATTCTCTTTTTTACATACCTATTCTATTCCTTACCGCCAAGTTCTTTTCCCCACTGCTGGACAAGTTCCCCATCCTCTCATGTGAAAGCCCTTCAACAACTTGAAGGTGGCTGTCATATCACCTCTTCATTTCTCTCTCCTTACTACAGATAAAACTTCCATTCTAAACTCACCTGAACCGCTCTTGCCCAGCTGTATCCCAAAACTGTAGTTTGATGCGCAGGTCAGGCTCAATCTCCAGGAAGTGAACATAAAAATCCACACCCACAGTTTGATTCATGGACTCAAGGAAGACCCCTTCGGCATAGCGCTTCAGGAGACAGGATTTTCCCACAGTGGAGTCCCCCAACATGATAATCCGGAACTGGTAGTGCCAGAGCGAATCCACTGCCATCCGGAGGCTGGGGGTGAGGGGAGAAGGAAGCTGGAGAGGCAAGTGGGAACGCTCGTACAGTGGCACAAACTAGGCACTCCACTCCCCGTGTCAAGATTTATCCAGACACACGGCCAAGTGGAAAACGCTGTTCTTGAGCTCCGACAGAAGTGGAAAACTGGTTGAGGCTTGTTGTAGGTGAAAGCAGATTGGTCGCATCTGCAGCCTGGGGCTGACGGCTGTTTCATTTCATGTTCAGGCAGGCAGCTGCTAAGCCAGCTTGGATGTTCATAACTCGCCCTTTTTCTGCCCCACCCTGAGAATGTGCAACGTTTATGGGAGGGGAAGCCAGGCAGAGAGGAAGCACATTTCACATATATTCTACGGGCAACAGCACCCTTTCTTCTTTCTGGTACCAAAAAGATAATATTCCTGGTCCAGCAGTCAGAGCATCGGGAGAATACATTAAACCCTTTCAGAGCTCTAATGAGAAAACATATCACTCTCATTAGAACGTATCAGATGTTATCTATGTATGTGTGAGTGTACACGCCCTTTCTCTAGGAAAAGTGCCAAACCTTAGAATTTAGAAAACAAAAACAAAATGGGAGTCTACATGGGTGCATATTTACTTGGAAGTAAGTACCCTTGCATGGGATTGCAGCCTCACTGCCCTTCAGTCACTATTGCTTTCTTTTGTCTGTGCTTAATCTTCCAACAATCAGTTTCATTGATTGTCCACAAGTGTTAAGAGAGAGGGAGAAAAACTTTTCTCTAGTCCCTTTCTCCATGCCATGTGTAATTTTATACACCTCTATCCTATCTCAACCTACCTTTTATCTACTTTTTAAAAGCCCCAAATGTTGCAACCTTTCCTCACACGATCGCTGGATCATGTTGGCTGCCCTTTTCTGACCCTTTTCCAACCACAATATCCTTTTTGAGGAGAGGCAGCTAGAACTATACACACTGCTCCAAAGTGCAGTTGCGGCATAGATCTGTATAACGGTAGTGGCGTAGCGTGGGTTGCCAATGCCCGGGGCCACATGGAAGGGTGAGTGGGTGGGAGGGAAATGGATGGAGTACACATAAGGAAAGATGAGTTGTTCCGTTTTCTGGAAAGGTCACTTCCTGGTTCATGTGGGGAAGCCATTTTCAACAGAGCCCAGAGACAGAAGAGTGCAGCTGTACTGAGGCAGCACCAGATGTTGAAATTTTGCTCCCCTAACCATTTTACGTCCCTGGGGCCCCCTCCCCACCACGCTATGCCACTGTATAATGGTGTTAAGATATTGGCAGCTTTGTTTCCAGCTCCTTTCCCTAGAATTCAAATTGTATTACTGTGCAGAAAAAAAATGCAATACAGTGGTATCTCGGGTTACATATGCTTCAGGTTACATACGCTTCAGGTTACACACTCCACTAAGCCAGAAATAGTGCTTCAGGTTAAGAACTTTGCTTCAGGATAAGAACAGAAATTGGGCTCTGGCGGTGCGGCGGCAGCGGGAGGCCCCATTAGCTAAAGTGGTGCTTCAGGTTAAGAACAGTTTCAGGTTAAGTACGGACCTCCGGAACGAATTAAGTACTTAACCTGAGGTACCACTGTATAAGAAAAAAAAATAGAAGCAGTAAAAATGCAGCTAAAAATCAATACGAATATTTAAAGCCGCCTCCTGCCTTCAATCACAAATCCGCAGACGTATTGCAGACCACCTTAATGATGCTCGTGGACCACTGGTGACGGGTGGTCTGCAGCATCAGGACCTCTGTGCTAGGTACATCAAGTCATGGCCAATATCCTCATGCAGGACCAACAGCAGCTGTCTGGTTTGCAGGAAGCACATCCCAGGTAAAGGCAGGAAGACCATCTCGGCACATAGAGATTGGGCTTTAACTAGTCACCATCTACAGGAGATTTCTTACCCTCCCTCTTTCCCATCAGCTCTGGCCCTTAGAGGTACAGTACTGCATATTCCAAGGTTCCTTTCTGTGAGGCCAGTTCTCCAGTGTAATAGAAAAAGACAGCTCTGGTTTCCAGGGGAGATGTGTCAAGGGAGACATTCCTGGCATGGGTGTTTCTTCTTTTGGGCTGTCATCAGGCTGACTCTCCTGTAGAAGTTCTACTACAGGAAAGGTTCAGCTTAGTATGGTGACCATTTTGGTGCAGCACCAGTTCTGTCCCCAAGGTGCAAAATAGCAAGTGAAGTGGGGAGTATATTTTATCCAAACTGCCCTAGTTGCGTGGAGGCTCTCCCCCTGCCCTCATTGCTGGATTAAGTCAGTGCAGATCAGGGATTTGGAAACAGAAGTAACCACCCAGGAATTAATTTAAAGCACAGGTGACATGAATCTCCTTCCTCCTTGTCATCCCGCCTGAAGTCTCAAGCATTAAGATAAAGGAGCGGGGCTATCAAACATTTTGCGCTGGCCAGTATGTAAACGCTGCAGACTAGGCAGAAACCGTGGGGAGTCTGACTCATACGTCCAAAAGTGTTAGAATGAAGTCGTGGGTATTGTAAGGAGATTCCCCACAAAACCTTGTCAGTCAGGAGGTTAACTATATCGTATCAAAAACAAAAAGGGCTGAGAGCTGCCTGAACAGGAATTAAAGGAGTTCCACAACTTATTCTGTGGAAAACTTTAGTTATTATGTCTATTATTACATTTACCTTTTCTCCAAAGAGCTCAAGATGGTATGCTCTCCATTTTATCTTCACAACAACCCTGTGAGGTAGGTTAGGCTGAGAGACAGTGACAGGCCCAAAGCCACTCAGTGGGCTTCATAGCTCAGCAGGGATTTGAACTCTAGTCTCCTAGGTCAGCACTCTAACCCCTACTCCACACTGCCTCTCTCTTTAGACACATTTTCCCTCAGAAACAAGCAGGGGCAGTGAACTGTTGGAGCAGAGACCACAGTTGAATATTTTCCAAATCTCTCTCTCTTTTGAAGCCACTGGAAGAGAAAGAGCAGAATGCTTCTTTTTCAGGAGTCACCTCTTCGTCTCAAGTCTCCTGTCTCCAAAGCCCCGAGGGGGTCAGAGCAGAGTTTTTCAAATGGCAACAGCAGAAGAACCTGTTTGATAAATAAATAAGAATTGCCTCATGAATTCACGAGGATTCAAAAAGGGGTTTCCCATCAAGGATGACTTTGTTATATTTATATTCAGAGGTGTTTTCAAGGGCAACAGCAAGGAGACTCTAAGAAGCTTGCCGTTTAAATAAATAAGAATTGCCTCATGACAAATTTGACCCAGTTCCATGCCCTTGCTGCTCTTCTTATCTTTGAACTGGAACTTCCTCCTGCAGCTTCTAAAGAACTAACTGCACAACTGATCATTGCCGCAAGATGGGCAGACAGAACCCTCTCTGGGAAGATGCTGAGGGAACGGACGCCTCAAATTTGGCATCTCATGCTGATGGGGGAAAAAATTGACTTAAGAGCAAGAAGGAAAAACACCACAATGACTCTTACAAGGTTTGAATAGACTTTACTTTGTATGCAATATCTAAGGAGTGGCTGGGGCAACCCAGTCAGATGGGTGAGGTATAAGCATATTATTGTTATTGTTATCGTCATCCTCTGCCACCTGCCGTTCACAGGAATCTAAACACTCTTTGTCCTGAGCGGGGTGAGGACACAAGTTAGGGGATGAATATGCTTGTTTGTATTGCCTTGGATATATGAAAAATTAATAATATTTTTATGGTAGGGGGAGAATTGCCTCATGAATCTATGAGGTGTGGAAGGATTCCCCCAGCAGATGGCACTATAGCTGCCTTGGTTCCTGGTGATGTGATTCATAAAATAAATAAATAAAACTAAAATATGAGTTTATCCTATATAAGTCTCATGAGGTTGGCGGTTCGAATCCCCGCGACGAGGTGAGCTCCCGTTCTTTGGTCCCAGCTCCTGCCAACCTAGCAGTTCAAAAGCATGTCAAAGTGCAAGTAGATATATAGGTACCGCTCCGGCGGGAAGGTAAACGGCGTTTCCATGCGCTGCTCTGGTTCGCCAGAAGCGGCTTAGTCATGCTGGCCGCATGACCCAGAAGCTGTACGCATGGCTGCCTCGGCCAATAAAGCAAGATGAGCGCCGCAAGCCCAGAGTCGGCCACGACTGGACCCAATGGTCAGAGGTCCATTACCTTTACCTTTTAAGTCTCATGAGACTTCAACCATTAATATGTCACTCTTTTTACCATGGTTTTCAGATCTTTTGCCTAAATAATCCCTTGAATATGCACCTCGGTAGGGTGTGTATGTCTCATTATGACCCTAAGCCTAACAGGTACATTAATTTCAATAAATTTCTACTTTGAGCAGGGCCAGTATCGGATACAACCCTATGAGTTTAATTTACAGTATTTTAAGAATTAAATGATAGCTTTAGTTTACATTAAACTTACTATAGAAAAGTGGCATATAGAGAAACTAAACATCAACCAGCAGTATGACTTTATTTTATTGTTTTGAAATCAGCATCCTTGTTTCACATTAAAATGGGCCTCTAGCATTCCCAGCATCCCCAAGTCATCTACTCAAGATGAAAATCTTTCCTTCTTTCTTTCTTTCTTTTTTGTATTCTCAAATATAGTGGAATGTTGACTCTATCTAAATGACTGAACTCTGAATATCCTTGCACCCATTATCATTTTCCCACCGCAACTATTAACAGATATTCCCCTTACAATTTCTCAGCTCTTTACACAGCAAATTATGCTTAACTTTTCTGCAGAACAACTGAAGAATACGCTCTCATAATCTGAACATTTCAAAGCAATTCAGATGCATTTTAGCAGACCACTTGCATTGAAAGGTCAATGTAGCAAGCTTTTCAGCTGCAAACAACTGTTTTCCAGATTCTCTCCTATCTGCTCGGGTGCTATCCAAACCATCTTTGACTCCCGTGTCTGTTTGGGTATCTCTGGTTTCCATACAGCAGAGGTGAGCCGCCAGTGGCCACAGGGCCAAATGCAGCCTCATTTCCAGTAGGTGGCAAGAGGGGAAAATGAAGGCGGGGAGGGGGTTCATCACTTGGGCTCTGGCCTTAGAATCACAGAATTGTAGAGTTGGAAAGGGACCCTGAGGATCATCTAGTCCAACCGCCTGCAATGCAGGAATATGCAGCTGTCCCATACAGGGATCGAACTTGCAACCTTAGCATTATCAGCTCACTGATGACTCCAGCCCTGCCCATCATCAGTATGCGTCCCGCAACAGTCTTGAATGCTGATGAGTGAATGTCACTTTGAGGGTCCAGTCATTGAGGTCCTCTGCAGCTTGGATCTCAGAACCTTGGCTATGAAAGAGTTCCACTCATTTCTCCTCTTTAGAGGCCACCCACTGCCCCCTTCCAGCCACATCTCACTCCTTGACTTTGGTTAGCAATTGCATTTTTCTTGCGGGGCCTTCTTCCTTCTCTGAAGACCGCTAGTTCTCTTCTTATGGATCACCTTCACACCATCCCACCCTTCCTGCAGGTCAATCTCCTTGTTTCTCAGAGCATCGTAGATAGCATTGGTGATGGTCGCAAAAGCCAAATCTATATTGAGGTTGTCCTTGGCGGATGTTTCAATAAATTGCGTGCCCAAAGAAATGGCCAGTCCCTCTGCTTCTTCGACTGTGACTCTGTTCATTGACTGAAGGTCACTTTTGTGGCCAACCAAGAGGAAGACGACCTTCTCCATAACACTGGTCACTTCATGGTACCAATCAAAGATGCTCTCAAAGGACCTCCGGTTGGTCATATCGAAGACCAAGAGTACACCCACTGCATTCCGGTAGAAGGATCTGGTGATGCACCTAAGAACAGAAGCAGCAGATTAATTAATTTAACCTTCTTCCAATATATCACGGAGACTTTCTTAAAGTCACTTGTCAAGTTACCAAATGCCAACTCTTCATAACCATGTCCAGGACTTTGTTCTGGAGCAATGATAGTGACAAAGTATCTTCTGAGATGTAAGCACAGAACTCCCATTTGCCTTTACAGATATTGCTAAACTACATTAGCAAAACATATCCACAAAGTCTTCAGAAATTTATGCTGAGCAATGTCAATTTTATAGTACAATGTAGTCTTAGTGCGGGAGGAAGAATTCTGCCTTGAGCAACTTGGAGAAAAGGCCTGATATAAATGTACTGAGTAAAATAAATAACATATACTCACATAATTTTCCTATGATATCTAAACCACCTTTGGGACATTGCTAAATTCTTAGCCACAGCATTTTCCTTGAGGCAAGGAGTTCCATGGTTCAGCTTTCCTCAAGCTAAGCACAGACATGTGATGTGGAACAACTCAACCTCTCTATTTTAGGCAGAATTTGATTAGAGAGGCTTGAAGTGGAGAAGGCTTTTTCTTTTATATTTTTTCCTTCTCACTGCCACATGTTTCTCAAAATATTTTTACCCATCTCTTATCATTTCATTTCCCTTTCTCTTTCCACACTCAGCTCAAAAAGAAAAAAAACCCTGCCACTTTCTTCCATCCCTTCTCTCTGGCCCTTTTACATTCACTTCTTCATACTGTAATAATTTCCTCTCTTATTCCTTCCTTTCTTTTTCCCAATTTGTTTATTGATAAATATTGACATTTTATTTCAGTTTCTAATTTCCTGAAACATCTCCTTTCCTTCCTTACCTCCCTGCCATGCCTTTATCTCCCAGTCCAGCTCATGGCTAATGGCAGGGTAAGCAAGTGAGGAGACTCCTATAGGATTTACAACCACATAAACAAGCAGAGATTCTACATACAAATCTTATCTCTGAAGAGGAGCTGATATGCCAGTGCCATTGTTTGCAGTAAAATTAGCAAGAAAAAGGGAGTTGGTAAGGTTGTGTCAATAACTGAGTGGATCAGTAAGCAAGGTCAGACATTCCAAGGAGATATGATGGCCTCTGGGATTACTTGAGATCAATGCCCTCAGGCTTCTAGTCACTGAATGGGATCAATTTCTCAACTCTGCAAAAGAACAATAACAACAGACAACCTTGAAGTATCCCCCACCCCACCCCACAGCACAACACTCAGCTATACACTACCCTCCCTTCAGCTGTTTTTTTCACCGATTCTGTGAAAAACACAGGGAACTTTTGTGCAGCGTGCCAACAGAAATCTAACCAAGATTGCTAGAGGGAGTACAGAAAGCAAAGTTCATTATTCAGCCCAGAATGATTCGCAAATACTCATGATTCTCAAAGATATGCACAAACATCTAGTTTCTGACCAAACCCAGAGACAGCTTAAAGCAAGCTGGTGAAATCAGTGTGGCATAGTGGTTAGTGCAGAGCTTTCCAAACTGTGTGTCGCGACATGTTAGTGTGTTGGCTGCAGTGTGTTGGTGTGCAAACACTCCCTGCGCTCCTCCCAGGGCTGGAAAGGGGTTAGTTTAACCTTTGGTTTGCTAGTAAAAACTGTGTCGCAAAATGATGCATGTCTAAAAAGTGTGTCACCAATACAAAACATTTGGAAGGCTCTGGGTTAGTGTGTCAGTCTAGGACCAGGGAGAGCAGGGTTCAAATCCCACTTGAGCAGGAAGCTCAATGAATGACCAGGGGCCGGTCATTGCCTCTCATCCTAACCTACCTGTAGGGATTGCTGTAGTCATTAACTGAGGGGGGGGGGTGAACCACGTACACCATTGTGAGCTCCTTGGAGAAATTGTCTCAGATTGCTCTGCAAAACCCTGTGTCACCTGAATCAATGACCATGGGATGACAACACACTAACCATCAGCAAAGCACTGTACACATTCTAAGTAATTATATAAAGATTCCTTTGTGCAACTTTGAGGAGCTGTGCCTTTGCTGCTGGAACTTTTTTCAGTACCACATGAGCTCAATTATCCACTACTTTCTTGCTTAGGAACACCAGGCTTACTTGGGGGGTGGGGGAAGGTTTGGTCCTCCAGACGTTGCTGGCCTGCAACTCCCATCAACCCTTGCTACTGCCTGGGGCTGATGGGAGTTGGAGCCCAACATCTGGCAGTTTCCCCTCCCCTGGTATTGATGAATAAATGAAGCCTGAGCTGAACTCACTGCCCAGCCTTCTCCCCCTGGGATGCAGGTCCCCAGTTAATCCCTTCCTTGTTCCTGTAGTGTAGGGTGTTTCCTGATGCCAACCATTTCCTAAGATCTACAGATAGATTGGAACTAATGTGTTCCCTAGCTGTTTCCGGGGTTGTCATTCTTTTTCTCCTGGCCTAATGTGCCTTACAGGGTTAGTGTGAAGAGAGGGTTGCCATATTTTGAAGAGCAAAAAAAAGAGGACACATTTGCTTCTAGTTTTAACTATGGATCGCTATGACGACTCTCATTTTACATACCTATGAAAAAGAGGGTGTCCTGGGGGAAAAAGAGGACATAGGGCTCTCCTTCCTATAGGAGGAAAGGTGGGACAGGAATGTGCTAAATGCTTATTCCCCCTCCCTATTCCATTTCTATTTAATTTCTTAAAATCTCAACTTAATTGCCAAGGATAACACTAATTTTTTTTAATAAAAAAAATAGAAATCCAGTAGGGGGAATAAGTGGGGATGAAATATGTGGGGAATGAAGACAGGTGGTATCTGTGGTGCAGCTAGGACATTTTAGACTCTGGACATAATGGCCTTGAAAGCTCCTCCTATCCCTCCTTTACAGACAGGGTGATACACGTAGGTTACTTCAATATGTAGTAAGCCAACCCGGTGCTATCCCCTGACCCACCACACTCATGGGACCCTGAATACCTGCCTCCAAGTCCTTCCTTCATGGCACCACTGGCTGGCATTCCAGCAGAATCGCCAACCTGGCTGAAATTAAATGCAGGGAGCAAGGGATGATATGGACACGAAAGGTCTATGCACCAGAATGGATTGTTGCTAACTGAGCAGTAATGTGATTGGCTTCCAGACCTTATTTCCAGGGCAGTAGGGAAAGGAATTTAGAAAAGGGAAAGGTTTTGGACTGGTAAGAAGCATGTGCATCTTCCCCCACTCATCCTTTGGTCCTACAAGGACTTCCCCGCCTCACCTGAACCTCTCTTGGCCAGCCGTGTCCCAAAGTTGTAGCTTCACCTTGATGCCTGGAGGCAGCTCCATCATCTTGCTGTAGAACTCCACGCCCACCGTGGGGCACGGGGATGGAACGAAGCACCCCTCTGTGTAGCATCTGAGCAGAGACGTTTTGCCCACCATGGAGTCGCCCAGCAGAAGGATGCGGAATTGGTAGTGCCAGTTGCCATTTAGGTTACGGACCGGAGGCGTTTGCGCCAATTCCATCTCAGGAGCTGCTTCCATGGTGGAAGGAGGCTCAGAGGAGCAGTGAAACAGAAGCCTTCATCCAGGGCAGTGCTCAGGAGAGACTGGGACCTCCGAGGATCTTGTCCTGACAATCCTGACTGCAGCAGAACTCCAGTTTGATTAGGAGGACTCCAGCCTGATAGGATTAGCCATCTCCCACCCACTGCCTTCAGAACAAAGAGAAGCCAACATCTGTCTGGTTTGAGAACAAGACCCTCTTTCCACACCTCTTTCTGCCCCACCCACAACATTCCCTTAGATACCATTGCCTCTCTCCCACAAAAACAAGCAAGCTTCTGTATCAAATCTCTGTCAAATGCAAGGAGCAAAATGTATGTATGTGTATATATGTTGGGGGCAGGCGACGGAATAGCCTATCAAAGCAATTTCCCTGCTTCTCAAGAGAAAAAGGAACTCCAGTCATAAGAATATCAGCCCTCTGCAATATAAACTGCTGAATCAGATCCCTGTTTTAAGAATGGCGGAACAAAACTGCATTTATCTGTGAAGGCCGTTTTTAGCTCTGCAATTGTTTTTTTAAAATATGTATTTTGCACACTTTTATTGTTGCATGTATGGTTTGTTGCATTACAATTTTAAATTGTTGTTCGTCACTCTGAGTGGTGGTGCACGGGCATTAACAAGGCAGGACAAAGATATATATATTTCCTGTAGGACAAATACAATATAGATTTTGTACTGAGTACAGTGTGTCTTGCCCACTTGCCCAAAGTATTATTATCAAGATCAGGAATTTTAACCATGGAAGAGACAAGAGCTACCATTGATACCCATATTATAAAGGTCTGGGAATAAATTCTGGTTGAGTAGATCTTCTTGGTTATCCCCCTCCCCACGGCCACCAGTCCTTATTGAATCACCTTCTCTGCACTGGGGATTGAATTTTCCTTTCTCACTATTATGCAATGCTTATCAATTATTACTAAGGCCTGTTTGGTTCCTAAGGGGCAAGTTCTTTAAGCAGGAGCCAGATATTAACTGTTTCCAAGCTCATGTTATCATTTTGAGAGTCAGACTGTACATTTCAGATCAACAGCAACAGGAATTCACTTATACAGAGCTGCAATTTATAAAACCAACTAGCCTTCTGCATTTCCACTACAGAAAGGTATGATTGCAGGGGCCTCCGGTTGATTTCATCTGCTGAGAGCAAATTTCACTTAAATATACCCCCCTCCCTTTCTATCCAGAAAGATTTGTCAGTAAGCTTAACCAAACGTTGTTTAGTTGTTTCCGACTCTTTGTGACCCCATGGACCAGAGAACCAAACATTAATGCATAATAAAACTATAGTGGTTGTTGGGGTTGCAATTGTGTTCAGGAAACAGTAATGTTGCAAATGGAAGAATCGTAACATCTGGAGGGCCAAAGGTGAATGAAATATGGATTCCTCCCCCCTCCACCATAGCTGCCTTTCATTTTTTAGTTCCCTAGCTTCTGTATTTCTCCATGGAAACGGCAAAACCCAACCCAAACAGATCCCTGTAGCTATCTACATTCCCAATCATAGTCTTGCAACACTTTTCTCCAGGACCTTCATGCCACTGATAGGTGACCCAAAAGTCAAGAAATTTGTCACACAATTCCTGCTCCCCCATGTTGTTTTTAAACTTTTTGAGTATTTATTATAGGGTACATCAACCCTATCAGAGTGGACAAATTTACCATTCTAGTGCCTCACAGTCCTTGCATTTCTTTGGGGTTTTTTTTTTGAAAAAGGGCAGATTTCCAGAAGAGTCAGTTATGCATGCAAAGAAACTTGTAGCTATCAACATATCTAAGGCATGTGCAGACTCAGCAACATACATTAAGAAACTCCTTGTTCCCCAACTCTATGTTGAGACGCTTCAGGGTCAGAAGGCGTAGAGAAAAACGCTCTCATTTTACCCTGCCCGTTAACTGGAGTTTTTATGGGGTTTTTAAAAGTCTTATTTGAGAAGTAGGGTATCATCTGTTCCAAAGCGCAGTTTTGTGTGCAGTTGCTGGGTAGGATTGAGCTACCTTTGGAGAATGTAAGGCATCTCCACTGTAAGGACGCTGTTCGTCCCACAGGTGATATACTCTTAAGGGTGCTTAGTGTTGTCAAGGGACCTCTATTCCCCACACAGAGCTGCAGTTCCCAGAGTGATTTTAAAGTCAATGCTCCTTTCCCAGGCATCTCCAAGGAGAGAGTTTAACAAAGTACAGCTCCTGGGATTCTTAGGGGAAGCCATGACTGTATCAAAGTGTATACTGCAGATGAGGACCTTGTTAAAACCAAGGTACAAGGTCCATTACACAAATCTCACCCCCCATGAGAAAGTTACATCTAGCCTCCCCCTTGAGCATTCCCAGTCCTGGCGCTGCTGCAAACAGTCGAGAAACTTGCTTGTGTTTTTGATTAACCACAGCTTCCCATGTCATACAAACCCAGCCAAAAGTATGGTAAACCTTAACTATGGTTACTGGGAATAAGCCATCTTAAACTTCGCAAAGGAGGTGGCAAAAAACAACAACAAACACTTTTCTTCTTGTATGAAACACAATTCCTTTAATTCCACAATTACAGAAAAACAACCACTTCAATTACGGAGAATCTCAAGAAACTTCTCTGCTTACGACACTACTTCTTCAGCACTCTTTGAAGACCTAAAAGAAGGGAACGTTTATTAATTTGTGGAGTACTTTTTTAAATGTTTGCTATTATTTACACCTCTATAAAGATGAGAATCCACATCACAGAACACTTAGGAAGTGGAAACAAGCATATCATCAGTTCTACAGTACAAACTAGGCGATAATAATTAAAATATTATTGCTTGCAAATCCAGGTTGCATATGGGTTCACGGTGGCTACTGGATAGCTGGGAGGATGGCATCCCATCTCTGCTACTGTTTCCGTATTACAAGGAAAGCCTCCGTTAATTTAAAAACTAAAAAACTGCCAATTCTTCCACTCCACAATAAAAAGCCAACCAATAACTAAACTTAACAGGTACGAGGGAATTGGGAGCGCCACTCCCAATACACCACTTGCAACAGCTAGGAAGTAAACAGACCAAAGGACTTTGCCCTTTGGAAAAGAACCCCGCCAATGTTATCTGCTTGGTCTCAGCCCCATATCCGCAGGATTCATCCAGCCGTCACCATTAGAAAAATGAGTCATCACAGACCAGGCAGAGGAGGTGCTGCTGCTGCTGCTGCACTCCACACTTGTGACCAAACACGTGCTTCCCAAGCTGTTACAAGGTGGCTGTTGACCACACATTGCCTAAAACCATGGGTAGGCAACCTAAGGCCCGGGGGCCAGATCCGGTCCCAAAATCAGTGTGTTTTTACATGAGTAGAATCTGTCCTTTTATTTAAAATGCATCTCTGGGTTATTTGTGGGGTATACGAATTCGTTCTTTTTTCTTCAAAATATGGTCCGGCCCACCACAAGGTCTGAGGGATAGTGGACCGGCCCCCTGCTGAAAAGGTTTGCTGACCCCTGCCTAAAACATATCCATCAATGAACTGTTGTTAACACAAGACCAAGCTCCTTTTCCACTGTTGTGTTAATAGGCACTTACATTGCTGGAGGCGCCTTTGCACCTGCCTGTTCCACATGGGAATGCTCTTCAGGAGGAGAATGGAAGCTCAGCACACTGCATCTCCAGTCCTATAATAAAAATGGCAATAGTAGTAGTAGTAGTAACAACACTCCCATCACTCCTGCCATATATCTGGAAAACTTGCAATGCAATCATGAATCATGATGTGTGATCAGAACCAAGTCCCATTAGGTTCAAGGGGGCTTACTCTTGAGTGGGACTACACTTCCCATCAGCCCCAGCCAGCACAGCCAATGATGGGAATTGTAGTCCAACCTGGAGTCCTAGGACAACATACATTTGCATTAAATGATTTATCAAAGGCATGCACCTCCCCCCTTGCAATCCTTTTATTGACTTTGTGGTACAGGCATGGCTGCACCAAAAGAAGCAAATCAAAACAGGACATGATTTCTTCCCCTGCTCACTTGTCTAAACCAGGGATGTCGAACGGGTAGGTTGCTATCTACTGGTAGATCGCTGTGGTGGCCCAGGTAGATCACAGGATGACAGAAAGTGATCACAATAAAGCAGCTGCTCTACCCCCCCCCAAAAAAACAAACAAACAAACAAAAACACAAACAAAAACAAAAAACCCTCAAAAACTCTGTTCTCCACCCAAAGAAAGTTCAATGACTCTGCCCCCCCCCCCGCAAAAGCTCAACAACTCTGGGCAGTTGCCACCTTGGGTAGATCACTGCCAGTTTTTTTATACTAGGAGTAGATTGCAGTCTCTTGAGAGTTGGACATGCCTGGTCTAAACAAAGCTCTCAAGTTCGAAACATGAAAAAGATGTCCAGGCCGGTCACTAGCCCTCAGACTAGCCTACTCCACAGGGGTGCTCTGAGGATAAAGTAATGACCACATGCACCACCCACTGAAGTAGGAAAATAGGAAATAAATTAAAGACAACTGGCAGCTGCTGGGTATCCTTCTGTGGGACCAGCACAGTTGAGAGATTCTGAGGACTCCAAAACAAATTGTTTTAAGCCAGCCCAGTTCAGTGCAGGATTTGTCCCAGCAAAGATACTAGGGCCAACTTATATTTTAATTTCCCTCCTTTTTGACCATAAGATCGGTATTCAGATCTGATGGGAAAGGGATAGGGAGGCTACAGGCAGCTGCAATAATTCACCTCAGGCCTTCTTTACATTTTATAAATATATAAAAATCAACGAACGATCAGAAGCAAAAAGTATACAATACCTTGAAGGACTGGCTGCTAACCTGGCTGAGTCACACCACAACAAGGACATCCCTTTTAGGAACTGAATGGTTCCAGATGATCTCTGCTGAATAATGAGACACTCAATATTTGAATAAGCAACATATAAAAGGTTAAAGTAGTTATTATTATTTTTAAACCAAAATATATGTTCATGCCACCCAGAAAGCAGCTGTGTTGGAGAGTCGAGTGACATCTGCGGCTAACAAAGCCTGAGAAGCCAAAGTCTCTTCCATTTTGTTCTTGCATGTTGTTGGAGATCCTGTGGCTATTTGCTAAGCCATAGCTCTTGGTTTAACATGCAGCCCACTTACTCAGCAGAACAAAGTTGAATGGATAAGGATACTACAGAATTACAACACAACCTTCAAACCCCTGGCAAGAAAGACTGGACCAGCAAGCGCTTTATTTTATTTATTACCTGGGTGCTTCAAAGTTCACAGACTTCCATGAGAAGACACTTCCAATGCTGTTCCAGCCTCTCATTCCTTTAAAAGGGATATGGAGAGCAGAGATGAGATGGGAGAAGCATTCCCAATGCTTTTGTTTATATAAACATACTCTTCTTTATACAGCCACCTTGCCAAACCAGTGCCCTCCAGTTATGGCTATGGTGTCTGGGGCTGACGAATGTTGTAAACCAGAACATCTAAAAGCCACAAAGGCTGCCTTACTGTAAGCTTGTACTTTGCAGAGCACCATGCATATTGGCAGTGCTATGGAAATAATCAGTATTACAGTAATAATTCTGGAAGGGTCAATGTCATTCTTAATTTTCATTCTTAAAAGGCTGAAAGAAATTAGTGTCCCACTGCAGCAGAAAATATTCGCACGTTTCTTCCTTGAGTTAGATATACACATGTGTGCTTTAGCTTTGTTCACGTACCAATCTTTTTAGTCTGAAATTAAGGCATGGGCAATTTAAGTAAAAAACACCCATTATGTTCTTTCTAGGTCTGCAACTGTTATCTCAATTCTCAGTTTGCAGAGATCAGTGGCACAGCCTATGCTGGTCAACACAGATAATACTAAGCCAGATGGACCAGGGGTCTGACTCCATATAAAGCAGCTGATGTTCCTAGTCCATCTGGAGGGCACCAGCTTGGGGAAGGCTGCTCTAACCAGACCATCACCTTGGCTCTGCATTGCAGAATGTTTGTCACATTATCTAAAAAGGAATCCCTCTTCTTGGGATTCATAGCTAACGAATTTCACAATGCAGCCACTCTCCAGCACCATGACAAATATGTATTTTCCTGAAAGTGTTGCTGGGCAGTTATAAGGGTAGAAACTGAACAGCGACCGTCAAGGAAAAAATGTTACTTTTGGCACCTTTTTGACTACATCAGCCACATGAGGCAGACACAGCTTCGATAGGGCCATGAGGGGGTGTTGAAAGGAAAGTGTTGGCTCCTCATCCATCTGGTTCCTGAGGAGAAGTTTGGTGAAATTGCACCAAACTCCTCCCCTGCTCCAGCCATCAACCAAGCCAACTCAAGAAGCTCCACAAGCAAGATATAATACAGTAAGCCTGCAACTTGCATGCCATTTAGCTTAAGCCAGTGGTGGCCAAACTTGGCCCTCCAGCTGCTTTGGGACTACAATTCCCATCATCTCTGACCACTGGTCATGTTAGCTAGGGATGATGGGAGTTGCAGTCCAAAAACAGCTGGAGGGCCAAGTTTGGCCACCACTGGCTTAGGCGCTTGGCAAAAAAAAGGGGGGGACACAAAAATCTGGGGGGGGGGGAAGAGATTTTGGCAATCCTACGCACCATGGAACCCAATGTTTGTTGGACTATATGTGATATTGGCTTTAGGCGCAATCCTCCAATAAGTTGTGGGCTTCCTGTATTGACAGAACAGCGAAAGGTGGGGGCCAACTTAGCCTACTGGAAATGAAGGCATGCTCCTGTTTAGACTCGCCATCAGAACAGTCAGCCTGCTGGTCAGGTCATCTGCAAAGACAAAAGGGGAAATTGCTGCTGTTATCTTGTCAACAGCATTGTTTTATACACTGCACTTTTTATTGATGCAAGTTTTCCAGGAGACATCCCTGAATGAAGCAGTGCTCCCAACCTGGTGCCGTCCAGTTGTTTGGGACTAGAACTCCCAACAGCCCCCTACAACATGGGTCATGATCAGGGATGATAGCAGCTGTAATTTAACATCTGGAAGGCAGCAGGGTGGAAAAGCTGGGCTAAAGCAAAGCCAGCCAAGCATGCACTTCTCCACTTGCCCCAAACAGTAGCCTGTGGCATGGCTCAGTGTTGTGATACCTGCTTTATTCTCAGCGCAGCAAGACAGTAAGGCCAGTCCAATCTGCAAACCATTTCTGGTCTTTTCTGCAGTGCCCTGCATTCGTGTCTGAAACAGAAAGCAAGAAGCATGAGGTCACAAGGAAAAACTGCAGGAATACCACCTTGGGGACCCAATACTTATTCATTTATTGCATTTATATCCCCCACCTTTTTCAAGGTGGCATAAATGGTTCCCCCCCCTCAATCCCCACAACAACCCTGCGAGGCAGGTTAAGCAGAGAGGCAGTGACCAGCCCAAAGTCAGCCAGTGAGCTTCAGGGCCAAATAGGGATTTGAACCCTGGTCAGCCAGGCCCTAGTCTAACAATGGTTCTTCAACATCAACTTCATTGGACTGGCCATGTTGTTTGGGTGCTTGATTACTGCCGACCAAAACATCTACAGTGGTGCTTCGCAAGACAAAATTAATTCGTTCCGCGAGTTTTGTTGCCTTGCGATTTTTTTCGTCTTGCGAAGCACGGTGTTGGGAAAGTTCTGGAAAAGCTTCAAAAATCACCAAAATCTTTAAAAACCTCAAAAAAGGCTACCACACCGCGTTCTATGAGTTGCTCCTCGAAGTCAAGTCGCAACTGTATTAACGGTGTTAAGAAAAAGGAAACAAACTTGCAAGACGTTTCCGTCTTGCAAAGCAAGCCCATAGGGAAAATCATCTTGCGAAGCAGCTCAAAAAACAAAAAACCCTTTCGTCTAGCGAGTTTTTTGTCTTGCGAGGCATTCGTCTTGCGAGGTACCACTGTACTCTATTCCCAACTTAGGAATGGAAAGCGAAATACTGGTGGACAACGAAAGAGGTTTAAGGACACTCTCATAGCAAATCTAAAAACAGGCTACTATAAAGTAAAAGAGCATCAACAGCTTGGGTTTCCCCCTGTCACTATGCCTTGGCAGCAAGGTGGTCTGCAGCAATGAGCTGGCAATATTGTTCATTTCCATGCAATGGCAAAATTGCAACTTAAAAAGGAGTTTCTGATAACCAGTGTCTGCATGTGACTAGCAATTCTTGGGGGAGAAAACAGGAATACTGAAAAGTTCAAACCCCCACCCCCACTTGCCCATCAATGTGCCGCATAGCTGTGTACCTACAGAATAGTTACTCTGACACACAATTCAAGCAGTGCAAATTGGGAGACAGTGAAAAATAGTCTCTCATTCCCCGCCCACAAGACTACTGCATTTATGGATCAGCTTCCCAACTCAAAATGACAGGAGCCAAAATAAAAATACAGTAAAAGCAAAATGAGGTGGGGGGGGGGCAAAGGAGAGAGGGCAAAATGCTTGGATGGAAGCACAACACATCCTAAGCTGCTCTATTGGAATTTCCAGAAGCTGCAGTACTATACAAATCTTTAGACCCAGGATCTGCAGCCTTAAGGAACAAAGGCCTCATCTGCTCTATGCATTCAAAGCAGGCTCATGACCTTAAATATGGCTTCCCTTGAAGAATCCTGAGAATTGTAGCTCATTAAAGGTGCAGAGTGATTAATAGAGTTCTAGCTCACCTAGCTCAGCAATGCCTATTACAGACAAGACAGCTTCTCTGCAGGGTTTCAGAATGGAGTCTTTATACACACACACACACACACACCCCAGAGATGCCAAGGATTGAACCTGTCATCTTTTGCATGTAGAATGCATGCTGCCCCGTGCAGCTACTGCCATTTGCCTAGTTCAATCTTCAGCATCTCCTGCCAAAAGGAGCAGGTGCATATTAGGAAAGGCCTCTGATCATCTCAAGAGCAGACTACACTAGGCTCCAAACAACGTACGCCACCTCCAGTTCCACCGTGTGTATTGTAACAAGCATTCAAAATAAATACTGCTACAAGCTTGTGGACTAGAATAAAAGAATCATAAAACTGTAGATTTGGTAGGGACCACGAGGGTCATCTAGTCCAACCCCTCCCCCCGCAATGCAGGAATCTCGCCCCTTAAATGCCAGATTTTAGGCTCCACCTGCACCATACATTTAAAGAGGCAATAGACCACATTAAACTGCCACAGCTTCCCCTAAAGAATTCTGGGAACTGTAGTTTGTTGAGGACGCTTGAGAGTTGTTAAAAGACCCTATTCCCCTTGCAGAAATACAACTCCCCACCTCCCAGGGAATTCTGGATTGCTTGTTAAACCAATCAGGGAGCGGGGGCTTAAAATAGTATATTATTTCTATTTATTTATTGCATTTGTTTCCTACCTTCTTCTCAAAGGAGCTCAAGGTGACGTACATATTTCACCCAGTATGATACTGCTTTAAACAGTTGATGAGCTTTTAATGCACCTCTGGACCGTTTTAAGCTTGGATGGGGTGCGCCCCCAACAACGGCGCCCTTTCGGGCTTCCGATCCTAAGGCTACAACGAAGCAGACGAGACACACGCGACTCCCTTTCCCGCATGATCTCTAACCCACGCCAGGCACCGGGTGCAGGAATTCTTACACGGGTGGCGGCCCAGGGAGCCGCCAATATTGCAGCTGCTCAAAAACCACGCCTGGCGATCGTGTCCCTGGGCTGGCTATCAAAATCCACTCCGAAATAGGCAGCACAAAACCTCCAGTAGCGCTATCAAGAGTCCAAGTAGGAATCACCCCCCAAACGGTGGAGGATGGCGACCGATTGCATAGCACCCCCCCCGCCCGCTTTTAGATAACAGAAAATAACTAACCTCCGTCCATGGAACCACATGCTAACGGAAGGGGGTGGGAGAAAGAAAGAACACCCCTCCGGCACGGCCTTTTATAGCTTCGGCCCACCAAGGCTGTCTCCGATTGGCTCCTTTGAAAAACGGTGTCGCAAAGGCTCTTGGGAAATGTAGTTTTATTGAGCAGCTGCCTTTTTAAAGGCCGTTCTTCTTTCGTCTTCCGCCTCTGTGGACACAAAAATCTCAAGTCAGGCACAGCAAACGCACCAGGCCAATGTTCTCTTGCCGCGTGGTAACAGACATTAGCACGAACAAAAGCCCTGCCTTGAGTAGTTTGGTGCATTCATTTTTTCTTGCCTATTTTTTCTATTTCCCCCACGAGATTTGCTGGAGGAAGAGGAATAGAGAGCTGCCTTATATAACCAGTCAAACCATTCGCTCAATGGTTTCTCTAGACTAGGGGTCGCAAAGATCCCTTTTGTTGGGACTACAACTCCCATCAGCTCTATTAGCTATGGCTGGCAGGGGCAGATGGGAGTTGGGGTCCAACATCATCTGGAAGGCACCAGGATCCCCAGCAGCTCTCCAAGGTTTCAGGCAAGGAGTTTCTCTCAAGCCTACCTGGAAATGTTAGAGACTTAAGCTGGGACCTTCTGCTGCCAAAACTGGTGCTTTAAGGACCATAGCAAAGTGGCAGAGCAGTGTATTGAGGCAGAAACCAAAGGCCCTGCACAGAACAATTGCATCGGGTTTGGCTTACCAGCATTCTTTGTGGCTGTTTTTAGAAGAGGATACTGGGATATCTGTTCTGCATGCAGAAGATCCCAGGTTTAATCACTGGCATCTCCACACAGGGCTGGCAGTGACTCTACCTGATACAAAGAGCTGCTGCCTGCCAGTGTAAACAATGCTGAGCTAGATGGACCATTTGTCTGTCTCCGTATAAGGCAGCTTCCTCTGTTTAACACTCAGCTGCAGTCCCTCTGGTAACACCTTATGGCCTAATTCAGACATGGTTTGCTAGAACATTAAGGCTGTTCTGTCAAACCTAGTACTCTCTTAACACAGATGTGAGAAACCTTTGGCCCTCCAGACCTTGCTGAACTGCAACTCCCATCATCCCTATCCATTGGCCATGCTTGCTGGTGCTGGTGGGAGTCGTAGTTCAGCAACATCCAGCAGGCCAAAGTTTCCCCACATCTGCTCTTACAGAACCTGCAGCAGATCTCCAGGGATTCAGCCTTTTAAGTGGAGTTGCCAAAGTCTGAACTTGGAAACTTGCTCCAAGCAAAGCAGGTGCTCCAACAATGGGCCACAGCCCTTCTCCAACCCTTGAGTGGTACCTGTTAGCAGTAGTGAGATTTACTCCACTTTTAAAGCATGAAATGTCACTCAATGGAAGTCATCTTAGGGCACAACCCTAAGCACGTTTATGCAAAAGAAGCAAGTACCACTTGGTTGTCCCCACCTAAGTTCAGAGCAGGCCCTCCTGAAGTTAATGGACCTAAGCTAGTCATGCCCATGCATTTCAGTGAATCTACTCAGAGTAGGACTTATAATTGTCCCTAATGGGCCTTATTTCCAGTAAGGACTGTGCAAATTTAGGGTTGCCATCTTACGCCAATTAATCACAGGAACTTTTGTTGATTAATGAATCAGCACAAATTTGCTGTCAATAGAGCAAACAATTCAGGGGTGGGGGAATTATGTGTAGATGGCTGTCCCAGAAGGGCTCTTTTCAGAAGAGGCATTCTCTCAAACTCACATGACCCTTGAGCCAGTTACTAATTTTCAGCCTAACCTAAAACCTAACTGCTGGAGAGCTGCTCCTAGTCAGCAGACTCTATCTAGCAAAGAGTTGTTAGGAGACCCTGCCACAGAGCTATAATTTTCAAAGTAGTTTAACAGTCAATCCCTCTTCCCATTGAACTTTGGCAATTGTAGTTCTGTGGAGCAAAAAGAGGTCTCCTAACAACTCTCTGGACCTTTAACAAACTACAGTTCCAATGATTTTTTTGGGGGTGGGGACGAAGCTTGTTTAAAGTGGTTTAAATGTACGTGCAGATGGGGCCTAAGTCTATGGCCCTCACCACACTTTGGGTCACTGAATTCCATAAATTAAAGCAGGGATGTGGAACTTATGGCCTTCTGGAAGTTGCTGGACTCCCATCAACACCAGCAAATAGTCCAACAACAGCTGGAGGGCCACAGGGTCCCATATCACTGAAGCATGGAACTTTTTTGTCTGTTCTGTTACCTATTACCAATCAATACATATATTTGTATTTGCCCTTGGCATTACTAATATCTTATCACAGGAAACAGAGGAAACTGCAAGCAACTGGCCCACCTAGCTCAAAATTGTCTACACTGGGGATGGGGAACCTGTGGCCCTCCAGACGTTGCAGGACTGGAGTTCCTGGTCCGACAACATCTGGAGCGCACCAGGTTAGCAAAGACTGCTCTAATCTGTACTGTAATAACGTGCAAGACTGGCCAACAATGACTGTACATTCAAGTCTCACTCATCAGCTCAGACACTTCCCAATGCAGCCTGAACCTGGAACGTCTGACAAAAGATGGTGTTGTAGGTCAAAACAGGTTGAAACTGACTCTGAAAATAACCAGGTTTGCTAAAATCCACCAACACCCCTGAATTAAAAAAAGAAGAATTTGTCCTCAGATAGCAAAGTTTCACTGCAGTCACTTCTAGGGGGAATCTCTCAGGACAGGAGAAGAATAACCATCTCGGGACATACCTATAACCACCTCTGGTGACTCCTAGTCCTGTTTGCACCACAGAGGAGAACACCAGAACCTGCCTCTTGTGTAAAAGATACTTTTTATTGTACATGGAAGTAAAATTTTTCCCACCATACCATCTTGTTTTTAAAAGTTTATAAATTACAACTCCTTGACAAGGATTAACAAGTCTGTCTCAAGACGCGCCCCCCCCAAAAAAAAGAAAGAAAGAAAAGGAAAAAAACCTAAGTGTCTGAGTTCTATTTTCATCATGAATAGATTTGACCACAAATGCTCCTCTGCCGGCTCAGCACATACAGAAACTGCTGCAAGCCCTCCTCTGTACTCTTCTGAGTCAGCGATCTGGAGGAAAAGAGGGGGCATCCCAGCTGCAGGCCTCGTGTGCTTGGCTAGAGTCCAGGGCACGCTGGCATGTTGCTCGGAGACGCCGTGTTTAGCAAGGCAACTACATGGCTTGAATCTCTGAAGAGACACTGTCCAAAGGCTGCCAATGACATTCTATCAAGGCATCATAGAGTTCTTCACTCTGTTCCATGAACTGTTTGTTCGCTTCTCCCACATCCATCTGGGGCATTGGATCTGAAAAAGGAAGGAAGCCTAAATAATAATAATAATAATAATAATAATAATAATAATAATAATAATTTATTTGTACGCTGCCCATCTGGCTGGGTTTCCCTAGCCACTCCAGGCAGCTCCCAACAGAACATTAAAAACACAATAAAACATCAAACATTAAAAACTTTCCCTAAACAGGGCGGCCTTCAGATGGCTTCTAAAAGTCACATGAGTGAGTCTCAGGTGAAAGCAAGGTGAATTGCTTAAATTAAGATCTGGAAACCAAGTTGGTTCAGAAGATCATAACCCAAAATATGAATGAATGAGCATTTTTGCTGTATACACAGCCCCTTTGCTCATCCCTCCACATGAGCTATGATTAAGTCAGGAAGTCTCTAATTAACGAGTTTCCAATTCTGTTTGAACAGAAATCTGTGATTACCAGCTCTGGAACAAATCGAGATACTAAACTTCAAACTGTGGTTTTATAATCCTGTTTTGCTTTGTAGCCAGTAACAATAATTTCCTTGATTGGATGACACGGAAGGCCTTGTTCCATTGGCCTGTCAGAATTCGAAAAACTGTCTTTCCCAAACTTCTCAAAACTAGCAAGTCACTTTTAACACTCTATTTTGCACAGCAGAACTTTTAGGTGAACTGTAGGTAAAGTGGTACATAATCACACCAAAATAGAAACAAAAGATCTTTCTCCTGATGCAGCCTCCAGAAAATTTTCCACAGGGAGCTATGCTGTACTGAGAGTACAAAACCCTACTGTGATGGGTTGAGAGAGGGAAGTGAGACAAAACAAAATGTCAGGGGTGGGGAACCTTTATTCTGTCAAGGGCTGTGATTTATCAGGTGTAATTTGTCAAAAAGGTACATACAGGTGATGGACAGGGCCACCCCCTTTTCTCTTTCTGCCACACCTTTCCCCCCACTTCCTGCCATCCACATGAAATTAGGCCAAGGGCAACAGGTTGCCTCTCCTGTTTGCATTCCTGCAGCCATTCTGCTGCTCCAGAACAACTCTTGACTGGAGTGCTTTAGAATCAGATGCTGATTTCTAACAGAGAATTGCAATAGGCAAACTTACCTTCTAATGCATCTTCACCAACCTCTTCATAGTTCTGCAACAGGGAGAATGACAAATGGTTAGGGAACCAGAATATTTTTTTAAGCACATCTAACATCACTGACCGTATTTCCCTGGGAGACTTGCTTATGTCACTTGGTTTATACACGTCTTCACCTGCTGAAACAGTTTGTTTTACTGTTTTTGAATTCTGTTTTCAATTTGCTCTTATGCTTTTTGGTCTGGCTTGAAAACTCCCTCCTGGCATGTGCTAGGAAGAAATCAGAGCCATCTGCTTCTTCATTGTTATTGTGGCTTGTTATGTCCAAACACAGGTCAAACTGTGATTTAGTTTGGCCTGCTTTGGGTATTAATAAACCACAGTTGCTTCAAACAAGGAATCAAGTTATTTATTTTGCAAATACCTTCCGTAATAATAATTCCATAATTCTATGCATGTCACTTGGAAATATGCCCCACTGTGTTGCAATAGGGCTCACTCCCTAGTGGGTATGCAACTGCAGCCTCAAGGATCTCGTTGACATAGAAATGAGCAAGCTTGCAAATTTGCTCAGTCCTTACCTGCATGGTGCTTTGTGTGTAGCCGTACTGTGGATAGCTGTAGCTGTAACTGCCTGTGTTCTGATCATATCCCCAATGCGCATAGTAGTTCTGATACTGTTGGTAGTACTGGTTATAGTTATAGTTGTACATCTGGTTGTACTCGACTGTCTTCAGCCGGTTACTTTGGGAAGAAGGGAGAGGGAAATACAAGAATGTCAGGGTATGTAAAAAGAAGTTTAATCTACAAGAACATCTATTGAAATAGATTTGATTCCAACACCAGAACACTTTTAACTAACTAACTAACTAACTAACCAACCCAATATTCTCTAGGGCTATAATAACTGCACTTGATCTAGTGGCCATTTGTAATGGTTCAGCCCATTGTCTCTTCTGTACTGCTAAGTCTTACAGGCTTTTTCATTCTTAGCCAGCCTCCTTAGCAGCCCAGCTTCCTCTTCATCTCTTGCTAACAGCACTCATCCTCTCCTTAGGCCCTGTCTGTCCCTCATTCTCACCCTCACCCTGCCAGTTCTCTCCTATCCTCTGATCTCTCATTACTCGGCATTCTTTAATGAGGCCTATATCTTCTTTACTCAAACTTATCTTTTTCTCAGCCCACCCCCTAATCTGTTCCATTACATCAGCCTCTCCACTTGTCTATCCATATAGTTAAGGCAGCATACTTACGCTTTTGGTATGGCAACACTCAGGCGTATTGGTTTAGAACCAAGGCCAACAGCCCCCTGGCACTCTATCAGTGCTCTTTTCTGTTCCAATTCATCTGAGAATTTCACAAAACCATAGCCTCTGGCAAAAGACAAAGGTTCGGTCAGAATCAAGGAGCTGGACCACCCTTTAAAATACCTTTTAAAAGGAAGGATTTGCAGAGAATTCACCTGCCTGGCTCAGTCCTAAAGAACTGGAGGTGGGGAGAAGAAATGGACAGCTATCACAAGCAGCTCAGTAGCTTGGGAATTCCCTCAACATGAAGTGGGATCCCAGGGTGTGCAAAGGAAGGGAGAAAGCTTCTTTAAAACAGCAATCTTGAAAGATTCATGGACATGGCAGTTCAGTGATTGAAACCTGCTGGGTTCAGACGGCAAGAAATTCACTGAGTGGGTGCAACTTTCAGGTCAGCCTGCAGATGCTAGGGCTGCATCCACACCAGGTGTGGAGAACCTTTGGCTCTCCAGATGTTGCTGAACTACAGCTACCATCATCCTGGGCCATTTGTCATGCTTGCTGGAGCCATGGGGAGTTGTAGGTCAGCAACATCTGGGGGGCCAAAGGTTCACCACACCCAATCTACATGTTATTGCTGTTAAATGCTCTTGCACTTGCATAAGCTGGGACTGCCCTACACTAAAGTTGCTGATCCAGGAAAAATATCAGTGTGACTTCATCTAACCTTAAATGCTTCTGACTGAAACAGCTTGTGCATAAGAAGTGATACAAACACATTATTTTAACTGTCTCTCAGGCCACTCCAATAAACATGGCATAATCAGAACAGTTTGTAGTGATATACTAAAACACACACACAAAACAGAAGCCTTAACACCATCATTTATGAACCAGGTAAGATAAAACATGAGTATTTTTTATATTTACACAAGTTTATTTCTCTTCCCTTCCCCTTGGTTAGTATGTGAGCACTTAATGCAAAATAATCGGAATCCCATTCCTCTTTACTAATTTATGGGCAGTAAAAACCTCTTTGCATTAGATACTTTCCCCATCCCACCTCCATTCAGTACCAAATGCAGAAGGAAGAAGCTTACTTGGAAACTCCCGTCTGGTCCACGACAACTTTGCCGCCCCTACATGACGGGTACACTTTTACAAAGAACTCATATATCATCCCATCGTCTACATCAGGGGATAGATCTCCTACAAATAGTGAATATTCTGGGCTAAAGAGGAAAATAAAAGCAGCTTGAGAATAGTAATAATACAACAACATTAATGAAGAATTGGTCATTAGGAAAATGAAGTCATGGGACACTCTTTTTATTTTTCTGTAAAACTAATGATGGGCGCAAGCTGGCAAATTCATTTGATGTGACTGACTTAACTACTTGCCTTCGCTTTCAAATTTTCTTGTCTTAAGTAACAAGTCATTTTATGTATTTTTAACCTGCTGGAAGCCGCTCAGAGTGGCTGGGGAAACCCAGCCAGATGGGCAGGGTAGGAACAATAAATTATTATCATCATCATCATCATCATCATTATTATCATTATTATTATTATTAAACAAGTCCAGTGGCAAAAAAGATTATAATTCTTAGAGATACATATAAGTAAAGCGGTTTTTACTTATTTTAAGGTTTGTATGAAACATTTAATGATTATTTAATGCATTTTTAGCAGGTATACTTTCCAAGCAAATCTTATTTGTTAAGGAATTCTTTGCAAGACAGAATTTAGCCTAATACTATGTTTTCACCTGGCTGATTTTTACTATTAATTACAATTCTTATTTTGACTATGCTGCTTTGATTCCACTGATATGCAAGTGTTTGTTTTCAATCACTTATTGTATATATTATTTAAAAAGTGATCCAAAAAAAAACAAAGAAAAGGAATTAAGCCCAATGTGTACAATGAGGCCTTGTGCCACAAAATATCCCATAAGCAGAAACACATGAGTATGTGATTTTTTTCCCACAGGCTCCTGACTTTTACAAGTGTTGTTTCATGCACTTTCACCAGTTACTCCCAACCTCAGTTGAATGCTCCTAAGTAGTAACAGTCCGAATACCAGCGGGGATGCATTAACCACCTTCGCTCTCCCATATGAGCTATGCTCACAATTGATAGCATAAGAAGAGCTTGGATGCTGGTGGGTCACGCCAGTGGCCCATCTAGCTCAGCATCCTGTTCTCACAGTAGCCAACCGGAAGCCTGCAAGTAGGACTACAGCACAACACCACCCTCCTCACTTGGTCTTCCAAGCAACTGGCTTTCAGAGGCACATTGCCTCCAACAATGGAGGCTGAATCCCGGTCTATTTGCAGCACTTAATCTGGACCGATTGTTTCATACATACAAGTCATTGTGTGATGCAATCACACAATGATGAAAATACAGGTGTCTGTCAGGCCTTTACTACAGACGGACTGCAGAGTTAGCAACACATTTCTAGAAACTCTTTACAACAGGAAACTATCATCCTTCAACAATGACAGTGCAGATGCTTTGGCAAACATTTGAGAAGTTTTCATAGTATTTGACTTACCTGTTGTCAGGCTGCTTTCCGTATGTGGCATAGTTTAATTTAAATCGCTTTGTCTGAAACAGTTAAAAAAGAGAGAGAAAGAAATGGAGTACATGTATGCCCTCCACATTTCAGTTTATGGCTCATTAGGAAAAGGCAAACACACACACTACTGTGGAAATATTCAACACAGCTTCAATATACAGGTTATTAGGCAAGTGAACGTCATCATATGGAAATTTTGGCAGCCTTTCCTAAAGCAGACTGAGAATCCCTGAACAACATGAAATGTTACAAACAGCAAGAAGCACAATACAAATAAAACACATTCATCCAAACCTCACTCTGAGATTATATGAGCTCTTAATCTTGGCTACCAAATTTAAGGGCTAAGCTTCTAGGAATATATTCATCATCTCCCTTCATGCAGCATTTTAACATCCATTGGTCTACTATGTAAATGCTTTCAAAGTGGGAAGATCAAATCATTCCTTACTCCATTATAATATCTGCAGTAAGACATAAAGTGGCAGAGAGAGATTTCTGGCTGCTCTCATTACAAGGGCACACACTTTCTTCCAAGAGTGTCCAGTTAAATTGACCATCTATTAATGTGCCCAGCAGAGAATTACAGTGATTTACTTACTGGTGTGGCACCAGGAAGAGGTTTCCCGTTGATTTTATGTAAACATTTTTCTGCAGTGGCCAAGTCAGCAAATTCTACAAAGCAATAGCCTGCTGGAATCCTGGAAGAGAAGAAGCAAGAAAGGAAACATGAATAAGACATGTGTTTCGAACTGACTAGTGAAAAATGCTATGCTTCATTTCTACGAACCTTTCAACTGATGACCAATAGGATAGTGTTTTCATACTGCCATGCTATTTGTGTAGTAACCTCTCCAGAACAAGTTAGGAAGGCACTTGTGCTAGACTCATTTAAGCACCAGATTAAAAATATTTTATTTACCAAAATTCTTAAAGTCATAACCTGGGATGTACTATTTTAGTATCTTCTGCCATTTCATTTTTTTTACTATGAAGCTGTACGATCCTAACTTTGCATTAAATGACCAGTCAAATTCTATATCTGTTTCAATAGGTTTTGTGGTTATTGTTCTAATTTAAGGTTTTTTCAATCAATGTTATTGATTACTTGTGACCCATCTCCTTCTCATGCATGAACACACAACACACACATGGGTGGGAAACGTGCTGGCATACATAGACTGCTGGACTACAACTGTTGTGACCCATGCTGTCTGGGGCTGATCTGAGCTAGAATCCAACACCTGGAGGGCTACAGGTTCCCCACCTCTGCCCTGAACAGTAGGTCAAAATAAGGCATTCTTGGCTTCATGAATTATGTGGCAGCAAACAGGAGGTGGGCAGCTCAAAACAATCTGTATCCCGACCTTAACTCCAGGAACACCAATTTTGTCTGTATATGTATTGTGAAACATCCCACCCCACCCCCAACATGCATACCAGGTGAGTAGTACACAAAATACAGATAAATACCCTGTCAACCTATTCCGAATGATTTTTACACTCAGAACTAGCTCTCCCATAGTAGCAAAGGCTCTCGAAATGAAATTCTCATCCATGTACGGCTCCAGCTACAGAGGGAAAAAAAAAAAGAGAAAGTAAGGTAATGCAGCCCTACAGAAAGATCTGTACAAAATTAAGAAGCATTTTAAAAAGGCAAATGGCACCTTCTGGCCTGTAGGCAACAGAGCCTAAAGAGGTGTGCATGTGTACACCCGTTATCAGAATGACGCGTGCTAAAGTTTGAAGCAAGTAACTCTATGCAGGGAGCCACAAGATGGCTAGGAACAGGGAGGGTAGTAAACCTGCAGCAGTTTTGCACTCTTCAGAGCACAGCAAACCTGATTACAAGCTAAGCAAACAAAGTAAAGTGGTACATTGATGGAAGGCACAAGGTATCTGTACGGTTCCTGGTCAAATTGGTCCATATATTACAACAGGGATGTGGAATGCATGTCCTTCCATACAATGTTGGGACTCCAACTCCCATCAGCCCCAGCCAGCATGGCTGGTGGTCAGGGATGATGCGAGTTTTTGTCCGGCAACATCAGGAGTGCCGCAGTGTCACTGCAGACGAAAAACAGTATGAACATATTAAGGCTTTTATTGGCATACTTGCCAATTCATGATGTTACAAGATTTGCAAGGTATTTGGGAGAGGAAGGAATGTCACTAAACCTACAAGGACCCTACACTCCCCATTCCCAGAACCACTTACTCGTAAGGAAAAATGAAAAGCCCTGCTGGATCAGACCAAGCGTCTAACGCAGTCCAAGAAGGCAACAATCCCCATTTAAAGCCAATGAAGCCTAGGCCATCACATCTTCTGGCAGTGAGTTACAGTGCCATCCTATGCATGTTTACTCAAGTAAGTCGCACTGAGTTCAGTGGGAATCACTCCAAAGCTGAGTGTGCAGAGGTTTCTAGCCACAATGATGTCCGTCATGTAAACTCCAGATAATCCATGTGCATGTAGATCTAAACTATTCTCAGCTCAACACTACTTCCATGTAAAATCCTCCCTTTAGGTTGTCCCAAAATCTAATCAATATCATCATAATTATTACCCCATGTCTTCCACTCAAGGCCCTTTCTAATTCTCAGAACAATCCTGCAAGGCAGTTACTGGCTCAAGATTCCTTAAAAGTTTTGTGGATGATTTGAATCTGGGTCTTCTAGCCTAGTTTGCCACTCTTACCCAGTCATTTTTATCCATTTTGACTGAAAAAATAAAGAAATGTTCTGCTGGATCAGACAAATGATCAGACCCATCTGATCCAGCATCTTGTTCTCACAGTGGCCAAACAAATGCCATAGATATCCCCAAAACAGTACCTGAGTGAAACAGCACTTTCCTGACTTGTGATTCCAAGCAACTGGAACACAGAGGCATATGGCTGAACTTCTACAAGTGCAAGGCCTGGCAATCGATTTTTGCCACACACACACACAAAATGACATTGCATGCAATTCTTTGTAGCCTATGGATGCTAGGCTAGCAGTTTAAAACAATCTTGTACAATTTACTGTACCACAGGGGTGGCAAACATGGCACCTGTAGGCATAGTGTTGCCCTTGGAACTCACAAAACCCTACAGACAGGGGCACACACAGCCCCTTTAGTCATGAGGCGATTAGGATGGTTACTTTTTCCTCCCTTGAAAAGCTAACAGAGCTGAAGGAGGAAGTCGAAAAAAGTGATGCTCTTTCTCCTATTCAATTTGACGTGCTTTTCAAGATTAATCCCACTGAATCCTGACTTTAACCCACATCATTTTGAAAAGTGACATTTGTGCACACACACTTTTCTGTCTTTGGGGGGTGGGGCGCCGCCGCAGGGTTGGACAGAGGAAAAATGGATTTGATCCACAGGAGCAGGAGAAAAATGAGCAGAGGAAGTGGCAGCTATTCAAAAATCGGCATGTGCCTTGAAAGGTAAGCCTCTGGTGTATGGATGGGACCCGGCCAGACTTTTTGCTGACCATTATGTCCTTTCTGTTCAACAGGGAGCGCAAACCCCACCAGCTGCCCTTATTCTCCTAGCCAACAGCAGAGGCCAGAGAGAATCTTTCCTTTCTGAACTGCAAACCCAGAGCAAGACCGCAGATCACCTTAAGGCACCACCAGGGCCGGATTTAGGTTTGATGAGGTCCTAAGCTACTGAAGGTAATGGGGCCCTTTATATGTCCAGCTGTCCTTTGTCAACAACAAATTGTTGCTGTTTTTTGTGTTGAATGTATGGTATATGTTAATTTATGAACCTAATAGGTATCTAAAGCCATTTGCATGTGCTGCCATGCAACCAGTCCATGCAGAATGTAGGCATATATAGAAATGAGCAAACCAGTGATATTTTAGGGAGCAGGCTAGCAGGCGGGGCCCATTACTTACATCATAGGGAGCCTACACAACACAAAACACTGTTGCTCTATGTAGGTTTTATTTTATTTGTTTTTTATCTTATATTTTGGAAATGTACATCCAGTTTTTTCCCCTTTAATTTTTTTGGGGCCCCCCAAGAGAGTGAGGCCCTAAACTATAGCTTGTTTAGCCTATACTGTATGTAAATCCGTCACTGGCAGCACCAGTGTCCTTGTCGCACCTTATAAAGCTTGAGGTGACGACGATGCTGAGAAAAAAACCCGCAGCAGAAAGGGTTGCACCCTTTTAAGTGGACCCGCTGAAATTCGCGGGCAGGAGGAGTTAACTCAGGCTTTCACGGGTCTACTCTGAGCAGAGCCGAGATACCACCAAGGAGCCTCGAAACCATTTATTACGGCCTAATCTTCGGCGGGGCTACTACGCAACCTCCGCTGCAGGCGCCTGCAGATTCAGGGGAAACGTCCGCTGGGGGGAAAGGCCGCGGGGGGAAACGGCCACGGCGCAAAGAAGGCTCTGCCCGCGAAGAGCATCCAATGGAAGGCAAGGCTGAGGAAACTGCAGCGGAGGGTGCGGGAAAGGGAGGGAAGCGCGCCCTGCGGCACAGACAGCGGTGGGCGTCGCCCGCCCGCCCGTCCCCTCCCTCCGCCGCCCACCAAACTTCGCCCCGCTGCCGCCGCGGCCCTTGGCTCACTCACGTCTCCCATCCACAGGCTGGCGGCCATGCTGCCCCCGCCGTCCCTGGGCGCCTGGGCCGGGGCGACGGGGAGGCCCGCCCCGCCCCCGCTCAGCCGCCCCGCTGCCGCTTCTTCCTCCTCTTCCTCTTCCTCGCGGTGGTCCCCTCACGCCGCGGCCTGGCTCCCCCTCCCCCGCTCGCTTCCTCCAGCGCCACGGGCTTCCCCCGCCGCCTCCTGCTAGAGCGGCCCAAGCGAGGCGGAAGAAGGGGCTCGGGTAGGCCTCGGCGTCGCCCACAGCGGCCTCTGCCCGTGGGGAGGAGCTATGGCAAGGCCGTGTCAGGGTTGCGTGTCAGGGAGGAGGGTCATTGGAACACGTGTTGGTTCGCGCCGGGGCTCAGCTAGGTTCGCCCTGCTGCGTCAGGAGAAATTCCTGGCCTGTCCAGGTTTTCGGGTGCAAAAATGGCGTGGGGGGAATTTTGCCGAATTGGGATGTGTGGCAACGGGATGGGAAAAGCAGCGGAAACCGCCCCGAAAAGCTTAAAACCACTGTTTTGGGGTTTAGGTTTCCTCAACAATTTGGGCTCGTCCCCCCAAAAACCTTAACAATTCTGGTGGGTTTACCTCAGCAGTTCTGGGGTCTTCCTAAAAAAAGAGAGAGCCATATTTCAAAAAGTAAAATTCCTGACACCCACTTTGCAAATACCGCAACCCTACTCAGCGCCAGGTTGTTTGAGGACTCCGAATCTGGGTGTATGTGGCAATGGGATGATGGTCGTCGTCTTCTTCTTTGGCAATCACTCGTAGCTGAGTAAGATTGTCTTCCATGAACACAGTCTTAACAGCCCATAAGTGACTGTGGAGGCCAATTCTGGATCCACACGTCCTTCCACAGTGGGGACATAGGTTCCTGGGCGGGAGTTGATCATGGTGAGGCTTTGCCAAACGTGACTTCCTATTAGCACATTTCTTCCTTTCGTCCTGAGTTCGAGTGTCTTTGAAATATACTCAGAGTCGCAAAGTGATTTCATGCTCTTTATTCAGCTCATAGTGGTGAGGAGGAATGAATGAATGTCCCCTCAAAGTATCTGCTTTATATACATTATTTACACAATGGGCTGCACATGATTGGTTAATTCTGGAATTCTACTGTAAGCCAATCAGGTTGTGGATTCACATATCTGGAGCATGATTGGGTGGTTCCTGCCAACCAATCATACTGCTACATTGTTCTTGGACCAATCAGACTGCTGCATTCTGAATCCTATTGTTCTAGGACCAATCAGACTGCTGCAATTTGGATCCTATTGTTCTAGGACCAATCAGACTGCTGCAGTTTGGATCCTATTCAACTCAGTACATAACAGTCTTCAAAGCCCACGACACCATTGGTAAAGGCTGCTCTGCAACTGGAACGCTCGCAGGCCAATGTTCCCCAATTGTCAGTTTTTATACTACTTTTTTTTAGGATAAACCTCTTTTGTTGACCACCAGCATTATGCTTTCCATTTTTAAGTTTGGAATAGAGTAGTTGCTTTGGAAGACAATAATCAGGCATCCAAACAAGATGACCAGTCCAACAAAGTTGATGTTGAAGAATCATCGTAAGTGCTGGACTTACGTGTTACGGTACAGGTATGAAGCCTGTGGACCTACAGGTGTTGTTGGACTTCAGCTCCCAGCAGCCCCAGCTGGCACGGGCAGCAGTTAGGAATTATGGGAGCTGGAGTCCAGAACATTTGGAGGGTCACTGGCTCTCCATTTCTCCTTTAAAGGGTGAAAAGCAATGGCCTGATCACCAAGATACATGTGATTAAAAGAAGATGGTGGTTTAGGCTTTGTTGCACATCATACATTTAAAAGCATATGGAATCCTGGTAACTGTTATTTGCCGCTCACATACCTATGGTTCCCAACACCCTTAAACTACAGTTCCCAGGATTTATTTATTTTTTAGGTAGGGGCAGGAAGTCATGGGCTTTAAATCCATGGCATGTATGCAGCCAAAGACACTATTGCAATTAAAAGTGATAGCAAAATGATAATCATTTATTGATTTGTCACCCCACCACCTTGTGTCAGTAATATTGTAAATGGGTTGATGGTACAGTGGTACCTTGGTTCTCACACTTAATCCGTTCCACGAGTCCGTTCGACTCCCGAAACCTTTCGAAAGTCAAGGCACGGCTTCCGACTGGCTGCAGGAGCTTCCTGCAGTTAAGCGGAAGCCATGTTGGACATTCGGCTTTCGAAAAATGTTCGCAAACCTGAACACTTTTTTCTGGGTTTGCAGCGTTCGGGAGCCAAAACATACAAGTACCAAGGCATTCGAGAACCAAGGTACAACTGTATATTGGAAATGAGATGTTGGCACCATTTTTTTTCTGTTTGTTTGTTTCCGTCTTAATTTGTTGCATTTCCTCCAGAAAGTGTTACATCCAGATTAAATGAGAGGAAATATAGACTGGCATTTTTGATGTCAATGACATGTGGATGCTATGCTGTATCAGTCTCATTAGATCGGGAATTAATTGGCTACATCTATATGTATTTATATATTGCAAGGCTTTACAAGGGTGGAGTCAGAAGCTTGGAACAGCTACTGACACCCAAGAAAGAATAAGGGATGCTGTGAGAATCTGTTTCCCATTATAGTGTGTGATGAAATGCCTTAAATGTTTATCAACTCTCTCCCCCGCACCACCCACTTTAAGACAAGGATCATATAATTTGATGGGCCACATAATCTTAAAAATTCCCTCCTCCCTAACAGTGCTTATAAATGATCAGAGACCTGGCACGTTTTTTGTTCCTTTCACTCATTACACAAGCAGCTCCACTTTTAGGGTCACTTGGAAGTGCAGTGGTGAAACTTCATCATCTGCCTGTTTTATTACTCATCCCCCATTTGAAACAGCAGTGTCTTTTGATGGTCCTTTCCAGTGGAGGCTGCGGGGAGGAGAACTGACTTCAATCTTGTGGTATCTACACTCTTGTTTATTTTGTTTTAAACTAGAACTGAGGGGTCCATCAGCTGGACCAGCCAAACACAAGTTATTGATAGGAGTGGGAATCATTTGCAAAATGTGTTTTATTATTACACGTGTATCCCATCTTTCCTTGTAATGTGCTCTCAAGGCAGCATATGATATTGTGGACTTGGAAAACATTTGGGAAAAAGCAGCCAGGACTTTTTAGTTTAGAGAACAGATGGATAAGAGGTGACATGATAGAAATTTGTAAAATTGTGCATGGCATGGAGAAAGAAACTATATTATGCCGAAGAGAGAGAAAATACCATTAAATAATACAAGAGAAAATTTCAGGGGTCAAGAAGAATTTCCCAGCTGGCATGACATCCTGTGCGTTTTTGTTTTTTACAAGCATCCCGTGGAAGAGAATCAATCGCAGCCTTTTTAAAGCTTTGATTGAAAACAGGTGGTGGGGCTTTTGCCAAGGTGTTGGGTATTTTTGTGCTGTGTACATTGTGGCTCTTGTGGTAATTATCTGCCAGGCTATATTCTAAGTTGATCTCTTTGCTCATTCTGCAGAGGTTATATATCTGGAAGGTAGCAGGTATTTTAATTCGCTTCGTGGCTAACTTTAAATGCGGTTTTCAATTATTTTCTTGCTCTTGAGTTCCATCTCCAACTGAAAAAATAATAATACTGGGCTAGATCTAGACTATGTTAGAAATGAATGTGGCTTAGCTCCATCACGAGCCTTTCACGTTGATTTCAATGGGCTTCAAGTGCAACCAAATTAGGCTGCAATCCTAGTCATATTTACCTGGGGGTAAGCCCCATTGAAGCCATTGGGGCTTCCTTCTGAGTAAATGGGCTTGTGCTGTTGAGATAGGGCCAGTGCATTATGCTTTAAAATGCATTCTTCATGCAACCTTCAGACCAGTAGCAAGTGTTAGTCACTTTCTGGACCTATTTTAGATCAATAAGCAGTTTTGAAATATGTGAAATAAATAATTTGGACGCCATGCCATTATCTAAATAAGTCCACAGTATATCTTCAATAGGATTCCATCAGTGTCTACAAGATCCAGCATCCAACATGGCTCCCGCTATTTAAGCAGCTCCAGTTCCAAACAGTCATCAGTGATGACAACAACAACACAACCAAATCTCATTTATTTTTTGTTTTCTTCAGCCAATGCCATTGCTCTGCTAACCAAGGAATGTTGTTTGCTTTGAACAACATCCCTCCCTGGGATGGAGGAAATGTGTGTTGACAGGACAGGAAATTCCTGTGAACCACAAGAAACTAGTTCTCGGCTGGGCTGCCTGCAGTCACTGCAAAGGTTTCCATCTGGGCAATTTAATATTTATTAAAGGAAGGAGTGAAATGAATGATCATTTCTTCCTCTTGGTTTTAACTGCACCGTTCAGACCTATAAAGAAAGGGTTCTAAAAGCAACCTTGTGTTTCTGGATACAGAATACTTTCTTTTCCAAACAAGCTGCAAAACCAATAGGAATTTTGCCTTGTAGTTGAAGTTTCTCAGAGCTAAACGTGTGCTGGTGCTTCCTATGAACTTTCTCAAACTTGGAAAGAGCAGCCTCCATTAGGAATGAGTAGGACAGCTAATCTGAGGTCCAGCGAAGCCTATCTTAGGTCAAGAGGATCCCAAAATGAGTCCACCTCCACACCATACATTTAAAGCACCCTTACACCACTTTTACAGTAGTGGCTTCTCCCAAAGAATCTTGGGAATGTTAGTTTGCTAAGAGTGCTGCTAACTGTGCCTCTTAGAGGGGTCTCCTAACAACTCTCAGCACTCTTAACCAACTACAGTTCCCAAGATTCTTGGCAGGAATTAAAGACCTTAAAAGTGGATTAAGAGTGTTTTAAATGTCTGGTGTGGATGTGACCTAGGTCTTAGCTCAAGCTATAAACATTGCATACTCACTTTGTCATCAGGTAAAGAGCCAGTAGCTAAGTTGGATGGTTCTCCTGTTTCTGAGATGTTAGCTGAGTGCTTATAGATTGCTTTGTTGAAAATTTGGACAGAATCTCAACAGTGCCTAAAACAAATCTCTTGCAGATGAAAACAATAGTAAAGTGCATGGGAAGAAAATAATGGGAAATTGGAGACATTCTTTCCAGTTGATCAGCAAGAAAAATGCTTTTCATCATCTTCTTTATAACTGTTTTCATTTTCTGAAACGGAAAAAGCCATACAGTGGTACCTCAGGTTAAGTACTTAATTCGTTCCAGAGGTCCGTTCTTAACCTGAAACTGTTCTTAACCTGAAGCACCACTTTAGCTAATGGGGCCTCCTGCTGCCGCCACGCCGCCAGAGCCCAATTTCTGTTCTTATCCTGAAGCAAAGTTCTTAACCTGAAGCACTATTTCTGGGTTAGTGGAGTGTGTAACCTGAAGTGTATGTAACCTGAAGTGTATGTAACCCAAGGTACCACTGTACAGTGGTGCCTCGCAAGACGAAATTAATCCGTTCCGCGAGTGTCTTCGTCTAGCAGTTTTTTCGTCTTGCGAAGCAACCCTATTAGCGGCTTAGCGGATTAGCGCTATTAGCGGTTTAGCGGCTATTAAAGGCTTAGCGGCTTAGCTGCTAAAAGGCTATTAAAGGCTTAGCGGCTTAGAAAAAGGGGGGGGAAGTGAAAAAAAATCTCAAGACTCGCAAGACATTTTCGTCTTGCGAAGCAAGCCCATAGGGAAATTCGTCCTGCGAAGCAACTCAAAAACGGCAAACCCTTTCGTCTAGCGGGTTTTCCGTCTTGCGAGGCATTCGTCTTGCGGGGCACCACTGTACTAACAATATTTTATCTGTGGCCTGAGAGAGATCTGTGTAGCAACCCCCTCCCTGCTGACCAAATGTGACCCAGGACTGGACTACCTTTTTGTGCTGACATCTTAGCCCTTTGATACTTCTTTAACTTAATCATGTCATTCTTGACATGCCTTGGAGCAGAGGTAGGCAACCTAAGGCCCGGGGGCCGGATGCAGCCCAATCACCTTCTCAATCCAGCCCAGGAATCAGCGTGTTTTTACAAGAGTAGAATGTGTCCTTTTATTTAAAATATATCTCTGGGTTATTTGTGGGGCATAGGAATTCGTTCATTTTTTTTTCCTTTCAAAATATGGTCCGGCCCACCACAAGGCCTGAGGGACAGTGGACCAGCCCATGGCTGAAAAAGGTTGCTGAGCCCTGCCTTGGAGCATTCCCTGAACTTGTGATGTGTCACTGGGGTGGAAATAGGTGGGGCGGGCAGAAGAACCAAAAGAAGGGAAGAGTGGCAGAGGGACTCCAGAAATCACAAGGGAAAATTTGTCACTGGGAAATGCTGGCTCCGTCTTGCTGTGGCAGTCTGAAGCGTTGTATGCTTCAAGGATAAATATCTTCCTGTCTTTTTAGTAGCTACTTTCCATCTTTAAGATTCCTTTCCTCCCACATTCTCTCAGCCCTGAGTAATGCCTTCTAAAAATCGGGTTGCTTAGGAAATCTTCACAGGCCTGCAGCTGCAAAAGAAGATGTAGGGCCCATTGAGTTCGTTGTTAATTTGTGGCATTCAGAAGTTCCCTGGTTTGATCCCCAATGTCTCTGTTGGGCTGGGAAAGACCTATCTGAATTCCTAGAGAGCTGCTGCCAGTCAGTGTAGACAGTACTGAGCTAGATAGCTCCTTTGGTCTGACTCAGTATAAGGCAGCTTCCTATAGCCTTATGTTCTTACAGATGTGCATTCTGAAGTGGTAAAGCGTTGCATGCAGAAGGCCTGATATTCAATCTCCAGATAGGGCTGAGAGAGACTCCCTGTCTGAAACCCTGCAGAGCTGTTGCCAATCAGAGTCAGTGTAGACAATACTGAGCTAGATGGACCAGCACAAGGCAGCTTCCTCTATTCCTATCCTTAAGCACGCACAGCTGAAGAAAAAAATTGAAATAGGTGGGGAGGGCAGAAGAACCAAAAGAAGGGAAGAGTGGCGGAGGGACTCCAGAAATCACAAGTGTCCCTCCTGAGGTTCTTCAGTGGATTTCACAAACCAAGTCTGCTTTCAGAGTCTGGGTCAGGTGGGTTGGAAAGAAATACCACTACCCCCTTCTCCTCGCTTGTGTTGACAATTTTGCCTGGGATTCCCAGTGAGGCCCAACATCTGCTTTGGGGACTGGTGACTGGGTTATTTTTAGCTGCTGTTTATTTGGACTAAGCATGCTGCTAGACTGAAATATCCCTGCAGCCTTTCTAAAGGCAACAGCCATGTCACAAAGGAAGGGACTTTCATCCCACACAGAAGGCGCTCAGAGATCTTCACTTGGGATTCAGGAACTCGAAGAGGAATGCTGCTGGAAGACTCCTCTGTCTGTCTGCTTGGGACTCAGTGGGGAGTATACTATTACATGTACAGCAAAACGTTGTTGTCATTACCGCTGTTACTTACTGCATTTGTCAGTTGCTTTTGTTCTGGCTCATGCCCAAAATACAAGAGATCAGTATTTGGGCAAGTAATTGTGCAGGCTTGGCAGCAGACATACTGCTCAGGAGTCACAGTTCAGGCGTTCAGGAACAGGGCGAGAAGTTCAGAACTGGATGGAAATAACAAATATGCCCCAACAGGTATCCCTGCCCCTCCCGCCAAGCTTTTGAAGATGAGGTGTGGCACGCTCACTTGTGAGACTCTCTCACCTTGCTGGAATGCCAAAACTGTAAGCATGATCTCTGTTGTGATGGGTTGGTCTGCTCCCATCAGTGAGGGCAATGCAACAAGGGTTCACCCTTCTGTTCTGGCTGCTGTTCAAACTTCTGTACCGGTTTATGCCATTTCTGTACCAGGGAGAGCTCCTGGAGCCAGATTAAGAGGCCTGGTGGGCCAGATTCCCCACCCCTGTATTACCATATTGCTACTTCTAAATTGTGCTTCCAGATTCGAGACACCAGCACTGCTACAAGCAGGGATAGCTCTATTATCTATGTGACTTGGGGCCCATTTACACGCACAGCGAAACTGCATAGGACAGGCTTCTTGGGACCATAGCATGTGATTTTGCCAACCACGTAGCTCAGACCCTGGAGGAACGTACAGTCAGTGAGCAAACTGCAACCATGATGTGCTCCTTCCAGCACTGTGGTGCTTGAGTCACGCTGCCTGATCCCAAATGGCCATTTTCTACCGAGGCAAAATGGTAAACAGGACTTGTTCAAGCATGTTCCTGGTGAACAAAGTGAGAGAAGCTGGAACACTTAATGAGCGCAAAGGGTCATGTTTTTTTTGTGTTGGATTCAAAGAAAACGTTCCCTTTCCATTAGGAGAACCTGTTGTCTTCTAGAGATAATGTGCTTCTGAGTGAGGGGTGAAGGGGGCTTCTTTGTCGTCCTGTCATTTCCCATCATTAATCATTTTTGTTTCTGGGAAATGAGTCCCTTCGCTTCTTCTTTTCATAGCTTTGAACATGATTTTAATCTCAGCAGTTCTCCTGTGACTCTAGAATCATTTTGCTGGAATTTGTGGCGTGGCTCCAGATTTTAACGGATGCATGACCAAGGGCTGAGTCCAACATGTTGCTAGGATGGCTGAGGTTTGAGCAGGTCCCTGAGAACTGCCCCTTTTATCCATTCTGTATCAGTTATAAGGGGAAACTGTGTTTAGCTCTCTGCTGTGCAAAGCTTCCTCAGCTGACGTCTGCGTATTTAATTTCTGTTTATTGAACCCATTTGTCGCTTTTCTTACAAAAGCAGCTCAGAGCGACTTGCCACAATAAATAAACACATACATTTAAACCAGCATAAGACAAAACTAAAGAAAATAAAACCTTACCTCGTAAGGCTGTTGAGAAGATACAGTGGGAGAGACCCTATACGCAACCTTGAGTTATTCAGGGGGAAGGTGTGTTAGAAATGCAGTACATGAGAAATAAAACCCCTTGAGTTGAATCCAGACTAAGTTGGTTGTACTTAGTTCCTATTGAACTAATCAAACAGTGAGACATAAGCCATGCCTAACTTATCCTGTCAATTCCAATGAGACTAATTGCAATAAACTCAATCTGAATCCTACTCACTTATTCCTGCTCCAGGTTTAGCAATTGTAGTTGTGAAATGTTCTGGGTGAGAAGGAACATTTTGGGGATGGTGGGGAAAATTTTTAGATATATTTCATCACTTTTTTTCAAGTTTGGACAAATATTTTTTATTTTAAGTGCACAAATGGCTAGAAGCAGAATACCTACACATGTTTTAAAAAATTAACACATCTACAGAACATTCTGTTCAGGTGATGGCCTTCAGTTATTTCAGCTATCTGGGTGTGGCTGGGTTACCACCCAGTTTCTGACAGGGATTCTGCACTTTTCAACACCTGCACGCAGCAAAAAAATTAGCAGGTGTCATTTTCCTAAGCCTAGCGCTGGAATGGGGAACTTGTAGCCCTACAAACATTGGGCTAATTTCTCCTCATCCCTGACTGCCTCTGTCTTCTCTCCAAGCGGGCTCCACCCTGGCGGAGTCTGCAGCTGCCCCTGTTCCAGCTGCCTCTTCTGCCCCAGACAGCCCTGCATCCAACACAGCAGGCACCCTGTGAGCTGAAGCAAAATATTTAAGGATCCAAAACCCAGAGGCAAAGTTCTTCCCTTGTTAGAACCAAGGGAACCACTAAAGCCAAGCAAAATGCCTCCTAAGCTTTAGCAAACCTGAAAATAAAGGGGTTACGGAACCAGGGGGGTTATAGAATATAAATATAGAAAACAGATTGATGATTTGAAGACGTTCAAGACAGCCAGTGTGGTGCAGTTGGCTAGGTTGCCTGACTAGGAGGACCTGGGAGACCAGGGTTCAAGTCCCCCCTCACTGGGTGACCTTGGGACCAACACTGCCTCTCAGTCTCATTGGATTGTTGTGAGGATTAAACGAGGAGGGGGAAGAACCATGCGTGCCACCTTGAGCTTGGAGAAAAAGCTGGAATATAAAAACAATAAATAAATTAAGAAATAACAGTAGAACAGGAGCTAACCAAAGGCAGAAGTACTGAAAAATCTAGAGGAGAAGCTTTTCTCTGTAGTTGAAATGGACAGCAATGCCACCTCAACCTGTGGAAGCAGCAAACCAGGCAGGCCTGGTATTTTACCACCTAGTGGCAGCATGGAGCAAAAGCAGGGAACTGAAGTGGCATTGCAGAGAGGGTGCAGGTTGGATCCAGACTTAGTCGTCATGCTTCATGTAGGTGCACTGATATTAATGGGCCTTAAGTAGTCCGGACCAGCTTGTCCCACTGATTTCAGCAGGGCTGTTCAAATCAAGATTAAGTCCAGAGCGAACCCATTTGTTTGATAGACTAATAATAATAATAATAATATATTATTTATACCCCCACCCATCTGGCTGGGTTTCACCAGCCACTCTGGGCGGCTTCCAGCAGAATATTAAAATACAATGATTCATCAAATATTAAAAACTTCCCTAAACAGGGCTGCCTTCAGATGTCTTCCAAAAGTCTGATAGTTGTTTATTTCTTTGACACCTGGTGGGAGGGCGTTCCACAGGGCGGGCATCACTACTGAGAAGGCCCTCTGCAACTTTGCTTCTCACAGCGAGGGAACCGCCAGAAGGCCCTTGGCCCTGGACGTGAGTGTCCGGGCTGAACAATGGGGGTGGAGATGCTCCTTCAGGTATACTGGGTTGAGGCCGTTTAGGGCTTTAAAGGTCACACCAACCCTTTGAATTGTGCCCGGAAACATACTGGGAGCCAATGTAGGTCTTTCAGGACTGGTGTTATGTGGTCTCGGCAGCCACGCCCAGTCACCAGTCTAGCTGCCGCATTCTGGATTACTTGTAGTTTCTGGATCACCTTCCAAGGTAGCCCCACGTAGAGCGCGTTGCAGTAGTCCAAGTGAGAGATAACCAGAGCATGCAGCACTCTGGCGAGGCAGTACGCAGGCAGATAGGGTCTCCGCCTGCGTACCAGATGGAGCTGGTAGACAGCTGCCCTGGATACAGAATTGACCTGCACCTCCATGGACAGCTGTGAGTCCAAAATGACTCCCAGGCTGTGCACCTGGTCCTTCAGAGGCACAGTTACCCCATTCAGGACCAGGGAGTCCCCCACACCCGCCCGCCTGTGTGCAGGAGATTGCAGCTGCAGCATCTTATGCTATGGGACAGGGTTATTGTTTTGTCTGTTATGTATTTTTGTGCTCTGTGATCCTAAGAGGAAGGGAGGGAGATCTATAAATGTCAATAATAATAATACATGATGCACCATAACTGAAGCACCACTACCCTGGATGCTGCATAGACTCCTGACACAAACCTGCTTGCTATTCTCAGCAGGTAACAGAAAGCCAACATTTTCAGCTTCAGGTCCATCAGCAAGGAGGGTCTCATGTCTATAAGACAACACTGCAAGGTTATTGTGAAGCAGTCAGAGCCTGACGGCAAGTATTCCGTGTGCACTACGCTGCTAGACTCAGTGAGAACCAGTAAGGTGTAGTTGTTAAGAGTTGTTAAGACTAGAACTGGGTAGATCTGTGTTTAAAATCCCCATTTGACCATGATGCTTGCTGGGTGACCTGTCAGTCACCAACTCTCAGCCTCCCTACGTCACAGAGTGGTTGTGCAGGTCAAAGTGGGGGAATACCATGTATGCCACTGAGATTTTTGGAGGAAAGATTCATTGGAAGAAGAAGAAGAAGAGTTTGGATTTGATATCCCGCCTTTCACTCCTCTTCAGGAGTCTCAAAGTGGCTAACAATCTCCTTTCCCTTCCTCCCCCACAACAAACACTCTGTGAGGTGAGTGGGGCTGAGAGACTTCAAAGAAGTGTGACTAGCCCAAGGTCACCCAGCAGCTGCATGTGGAGGAACGGGGAAGCGAACCCAGTTCACCAGATTATGAGTCTACCGCTCTTAACCACTACACCACACGGGCTCTGGAGAGATGCTGCCCATTAGGTGCCTTATATGAAGTTAGACCATTGATCCACCTGCCTCCTCTGTGTTGTCCATGCTTTCTATACTCCTGTGTTTTAAAGCCATCTCTGTTAGTGCTTATCCCATCTCGTGGCAGCATTACAGAACTTTTGAGCTATTCCCAAAAATGAAGAAGAAAGCAAATTGAGGGGAAATGGGTGGCAAGACGCAATGGATGCAGTTGGGGGTGGGGGGGGGAAAGCACATATATTTTTAAAGTGAATTAAACATGGAGCATTCCTTGCTCCAGGGAGACTCTAAGCAGGTTTGACATCTTTATCTCTTCTTCTAAAGCAGCTCAGGCAAAAAGAAAAAGAAAAAAAGTGTGTGTTGGGGGGAGTAGTACAGAAGCATAAATAGCCCCAAACTTGGGTGTTGCCTCTCTTTGATCATTCTGAGTCATTCGAGCATAATTTCTGCATCTCTTGGCTTGTCGTAGGGATGGGAGGAGGGTTTAGAGTCAGTGATCACACCAAGTTGAGCAGCAGTGAGAAATCTGTGGACTTCCAAATCTTGGACTCCAACTCCCATAATCCCTGGCTGTTAGCCATGCTGGCTGAGGCTGATGGGAACTAGAGTCTGACCGCAGGTGAAAGGCTCTGCCCCTTTGTAGTGGGGCTTCCCCACCCCTTTATTGCCCTTAGGGATATCTGAGGCTTTGATGGAACTGCAAACGCTCATTTGTGGGATATAAGTGAAATCATAGAATTGTAGGGTTGGAAGGGACACCAAGGGTCATTTAGTCTAACCCCCTGCGATGCATAAATAATTTTTGCCTCTACAGCACATACACATGCTCAAAGAAAAGTGAGATTATCTGAAGAGCTCCAGCCTGAGAATATAACAAGCTAGCTTATTCTAAGCAATACCCTTTCAAGTAGGGCATTGAAAAATTGGAGCATGTCCAGAAGAGAGCAAACAATCAGGAACATGGGGACATATGGAGCTGACATGCCAGTCCTTTGGGTCCATCTAGCTCTATACTGCCCAGGGTTTCCCAAACTTGGATCTCCAGCTGTTTTCGGACTACAACTCCCATTATCCCTAGCTAGCAGGACCAGTGGCCAGGGATGTTTGGAATTGTAGTCCAAAATCAGCTGGAAATCCTGGTCTGCACTAACTGGCAGCGGCTCTCTGGGGTTTTAGGCAGGGAGGGGGAATTCCTAACCCTACCTGGAGATGCCGGGGATTGAACCTGGGACCTTCTGCATGCAAAGCAGATGTCCTGCCACTGAGTTAAAAGAAGTGGGGACAAGGCTAGTTCTATGCATCCATTTCTCAAGGTTAACCCTGCGATTGGGAAGATCTGCCTGGATTAGGCTTCAGAAAACGAGTATCCCCACTTTTCAAAGGATCTTTCTAAGCCCACGCAACTATTTTACAGCTCGGGAAGCTTTTCATCTGTGATTAATTTGGCTCTGCGGCACTGACTCAGAACAGGTGATCACACCCTGCAGACGTGTTGGCATTGCTCTCTCCGTAGTTTTCAAACCCCTGGCTTGTGCCTTGAAGCGCAGTTGTGGTACCGAGTTGCTTTCAAGACAACAGCTGAACTTTCCATCATCACTCCCCCTCCTCCCTCCTTGAAGGGGGAAGTGAAATTAGCCCAGCGTGCTTTGAGTTTATTTAACAAGTTCAGCTCCTGTGGCCAATAGAGACTAACAGCAGAGGGGGGCAGAAAATTGTTGCAGCCTACATGCTTTGGAGATTAAATAAGGCCTTTTAAAGGGCTTGGACAGAGATGCTGGGTCTCTCTCCCCACCCCATGTGGAATGTTATGTGCCTATCCCAGACTTCACCACCAGGGCCACAGGAATTTTGAAGAAGAAGGGGAAGTTTTTTGGAATTTAGTGCATTTTCTGTTGCACCCACTTTGGGCTGTTTTCCAGGCCAGTCGCTGCTATCCAGACACACCCCTTTTTGAAGAGACTATTTAAGGATGAGCTTGAGCACAGCACCCTCCCAAAGGCAGAGAGGCAGGGATGCACAAAGCGAGGGGCTCAGGATGTCTGACCACGCCGGGGCAAGAACAACCTTCACCCTCATTCTCTTTGTCCTGGGGCCTGGCTGGGTATGTATACACAATTTTACAGGAGGTGTGTGCAACGAATGAATGAATGAGACTTGCCCCTGCCTTTGATGCTGAATGAGTTTGTTGACTTCAGCAGAGCTTAATATGTTCGTACAGGGTGGGACCAAGTGCTCAGAGGTCCAGCTCCAGTTGGCTAGCAGCAGCTCTGCAGGTTTTTGAGGGGCACCTCTTGTATGCATATGTTTACACACTAGTGAGGGACGCGGGTGGCGCTGTGGTCTAAACCACTGAGCCTCTTGGACTTGCTGATCAGAAGGTCGGCGGTTCGAATCCCCGTGATGGGGTGAGCTCCCGTTGCTCGGTCCCAGCTCCTGCCCACTTAGCAGTTCGAAGGCACGCCAAAAAGTGCAAGTAGATAAATAGGTACTGCTGTGACTGGAAGGTAAATGGTGTTTCTCTGCGCTGCTCTGGTTTGTGTTCCGTTGCGCCAGAAGTGGCTTGGTCATGCTGGCCACATGACCCGGAAAAACTGTCTGCGGACAAACGCCAGCTCCCTCGGCCTGTAAAGCGAGATGAGTACCACAACCCCAGAGTCATCTGCGACTGGACTTAACTGTCAGGGGTCCTTTACCTTTACCTTTTTACACACTGGTGACTTTAGGAAACCTGGAGGGTACATGCATATAATAGACGTCTAGTGTTAAATGCATAATAACACAAAGGACCACAGAATTGTCAAGTTGGAAGGGACCACAAGTTTCATGTAGTCCAACCCCTGCAATGCAGGAGTCCTTTGCTCAGCATGGGGCTTGACCCATGACCCTAGAATTAAGAGTCTCGTGCTTGACCAATTGTGCTATAATGATGCATAGGATATGTTAGAATGGTTTGAGTTTCTTTAGTGGAAGCGAAGGGCACTTTGTATATATTTAGAAAATTATGCTGCAGAAATAGAGAGTTGTTGTCAGCTGAGTTCTGCCCAGGGCAGACCTACTGAAAATAATTAGTTGTGTTCCTGGATTTTGATGGGTTTACTATGAGTAGGCTTAAGATTGCATACAGCATGAGGCTTGACTCTTTTATACATATTTTTGCATACGAATATGGGCTTTTTAAAAACAACAACAGGCTATGGGCAGAACTGAACTGAACTGTTGAATGCAGGGAACAAGGTCTGCTCCCCCCCCCCCCCGCACCCTCTAAATTTTATCTGGAAGGTTGAGGGAGTGGGAAACCTAGAACAGGTTTTGGGATGTGCAGAAGGGAGGGGAAGTCCAACCTCATGAGTGGACCTTGTTCCCTGCACGGCGAATGCCCCACTTTAGTGCATTGTTAAATTCCACGCTACAGGTTATATCAGGAGACATTTTGTTTTGTTTCTGTCCTTGTTTATATTATGTATTTGGTTTTTTCATCTTGTGTTTTGATGCTGTGAACCGCCGTGAGATCTACGGATGAAGGGCGGCATGCAAATTAAATTCTGCATATGAATCCTTTAAAATTAGATTCCCTCTCCATCCTTAGCCCTGGAGTGTGTCTGGCGCCATTTTTCGCACTAACACAGTTATCCAATTCCAAGGGGGAATGCAGTTGAAAAAGCACCAGCGAGAATTAGAAGGCTGGGCTGGTTATTTGGGCCGGGATTCTCGTCTCCTTGCGTGCTTGTTGCAGCATTCAAGATTCCTCAAAGTGGGCAAATGTCCACCCTAATGAGGCGAGTACATCCCACAGCTGAGTAACAGAGCACTCGCTTTGCATGCAGAAGGTCCCAGGTTCAATCCCTGATATCTCCAGGTAGAACTCAGAGAAACACTATCCCAGCCTAAATTCCCAGAGAGCTGCTGCCAGTCTGTGTAGACAGTACTGAGCTAGATGGACCAAGGATCTGGCTCGATATAAGACAGCTTCCTATGTTTGTAAGCATGGCCGTAGGTGTGTGGAACTGGTAAATGGTACAACCTCCTGGCTTTTTTTCCATAGCTCCCTGAACCGGATGAAAATAGAGGGCAGTGATGGATTTTAATAGATCCTGGTAGACTTACAAAAGGATGGACTGCTTGCAGCAGGTATCCCCACTGGTTGAGGGTGAAACTCCATTGCAGAGAAGCCAGTATAAATCTGACATTATGGAGGACGACTTGAGGGGGGCAGCTTGGGAAACTTCCTGTTTGGGTACAATGTTTTCTTTGGCTGGTGCTGTAATTTATTATTTTATTTTAATGGTTTTACAATGAGTTGAAATGGAAGTGCAGCAGAAGGAAGCCACAGGCTCCATTTGCAAATAAGCTGGTGTGCAGGGGTGGAGTAGCTTTGGCCCTCCTGTTGGGCTCCCAGCTCCCATCAGCCCCAGCCAACATGGCTGAAGGTGAGGGGTGATGGGAGTTGTAGTTCAGCAACCACAGGTTCTCCACACCTGATATCCCGCGTCCTTAGGTTATTACTATTTTTTTAAAACATCTTTAATTCTTCCCCACCTCAAATGAACTCAAGGCAGCATGCGTCCTCCTGCCATAATATTTTAACTACACAACAACCCTGCGATGTGGGTCAGGCTGCTGGCCGAAAGTCACCCAGCTTTATGGCTGAATGCAGATTTGAACCCGGGTCTCCTGTCCCTAGCTCGAGCACTCTAATCATTGCACATGCTGGCTCTCAAACGCAATTACACAACCCACCAAGTCCCATTTTGCCTCCTTATCACAGCTGCTGTTTTAAGTCTCTCTTGCCGCCACTATATGGTGCTCCCATTTCCCCTATTTTCTCATTACTGAGAAAGTCGTTTCCTGTATGGTGGAGAACAGAGGAGGGGGGAAGTGTGTATGGATCCTTATCTGCAGAGGCTTCTTCACCCAAGGGCTGTCTGAAGGTGATCCAGAAGGGAAGGCTGCAGATAGGGGTTAGGAGGAAGGAAGGAGCCCCTTCAGGCTGCTGTTCTGTCTAGTACCATCTGACAGCTGTTTGGGCACCCCAAGGTGACTAGTGGCTCTAAGAGGAAGCTCAGTGTTTATGATCTTTCAAATTCATCCAATTTCTTAGGCTAGGGATGAGAAGTCTGTGATGCTCCAGATGTGGTTGGACTCCAGGTCCCACTGGCCCCAGGCAGCCAGCCTAATGAGCAGAGATGATGGGAGCTGTAGTCCAGCAACATCTGGAGCAGCACAGATTTCTCACCCCGAGTTAGTTGGATGAGCAGCTCCTGACAAAATGGTCTTATAACCAGTGACTTCTCCTTGTTTGGGATTTTAAACAGGTTTCTTTATCAGTTGAGTAAAGTAAGCCTCATAACAGGGGTAGCTAGTTGGGTTCCACACACACACACACACACACACACACACACACACACGTTGTTGGACTGCAAGTCCCATCATTCCTGACCATTTATCATGCTGACTGGGGCTGATGGGAATTGTAGTCCAAGAACACCTGGAGGGCCAAGGGCTCCCTGCACCAGGACAAGATTTTGCCCCTTCCAGGTGTTGCTGAAATGATGGGATTTGTAGTTCAGCAACTTCTGGAAGGACAAAGGCTCTCCTTCCACACCTTGATAGAAGTGGGGGCAGAATATCACAATGCTCCTTAATATTTATGTTATCGGAAAGGTGTGGGGGGGGGTAATGTGTTCATTTCAGTTCTGTGTACTTGCTTCCAGCTGGGAATGGAGACTTCATCCTAGAGTCCCCAAGTGCCCTGGGCCTTGGAAGAGCTACTCAGCTAATCCACCCCCCAACCCGGAATGTGATAGCATGAACCATAAAGCAATTCAAAGGCGTTGCTGCCGCCCATGTTAGCTCCTTCCCCGAGGTGAGATCTGTGTGGTTCACTGATCCAGTTCAAGGCTTCCTTGCAGCCAGAACAGCTGCAGACGTGATAAGTGAATCTGCAAGGTTTTGATGCTGGGGAAGGTGATCTGAAGCAGAAAGAACATTAGCATGAGTAATTTGCCAGGTACCCGGGCTCAAGCCTGACGTGCCGGCATTGAAGAAACATCAATCGTGTTTCGACTTGCAGGCTGAGCAGATGGGACCAGGGCATCCCTGAACAGATCCGTAGAGTCCCAAATGGCTGCTCTTCTCATCGAGAACGACTGTTCCTTCTTTCTTTGGCTACGCCTTTGGAGAGTATTGGCAGAGGCAGCTTTGCAAAAAGCATGGCCTCCGAGGGGCAGAGTGCCTTCCTTTGTCTGAGGCCACTGTGCCAGCTGCAGCTACTTCTAGGCAGAGATGGCCTGGCCGCAGGGACCCGCCAACCTTTCAGACTGACTACTGCGGGGCTTCTGCTGAAGACGGACTGAAAAGTGCAGCTCATCGAAACACAGCTGCTTGGCCAGCAGACTGGAAACAGATATTGGGGATATATTGTGCCAGGGCTTTAAGAGATTTGTGGGCTTTCTGCTTATTTAAGAGGGGTGGGGAATCTAAGGCATGGGACTTTTTAATCATTAGTGTTATTTGTACTTATGCCCCAGCTTTTTCTCCAAGCTCCAAGCTTTTGCTCCTCATTTAATCCCACCACAGCCTTGTGAGGTAGGTTAGGCTGGGCGGCAGTGACTGGCCCAAGCTCACACAGTGAGCTTCATGGCCTAGAGGGGATTTGAACCCTGGTCTCCTAGGTCCAAGTCAGACACTAACCACTACACCACACAGCTCATAGGGCCCCCAGGCCTCTCCCCATAGCATTCAGGACTCTCTACAGTCTACAGCCCTCATTGACTGTGCTCTGTACCTTCCACAAGTGCTTTTGTAGAATATATTCCATCTACATATACAGCTTTTAATTGTAGCGCTGTTTAATTGTTCTTGATTATTGTTTTCCCTATGTTTTCAGCTGTTCTTATTTTTATCTGTAAACTGCTTTGAGTCCTGTCAGGGCAAAGGATGGGGGGTGTAAATAAATATATAGTAATTATTATTATTATTTTGTCTGGCTGGAATCCATCCTTGCTTCTTGCTTGTCTGATGAGAGAATGGAGATACATGTGGGTGTTGAGAAACTTTGGGCTTTTGTATGGCTAGACTGTTTGCTGCTGTGGTAACCTTGGGACTGGATTATTGCAATCCACTCCATGTGGGGCTGCCCTGTGATGGTGATGATGATGGTGGATGATGATGATTCCAATTTATTGGTCACTTTCTCTCACCAAAGGCAAGCAAGGCTCCAAGTTCTCACCCATGCTCATGGACTTTTCCCTCCTTCTAGGCAGCATCTGAGGCATGCTCGTACCCTTGCCAGTGCCCCGTGCAGGCACTCCGGTGCCCTGCTGGCACCAGCCTTTTGCTGGATGGCTGCGGATGCTGCAAAGTGTGTGCCAGGCAGCTGGGCGAGCTGTGCTCCCTCCAGAAGCCTTGCGATCACCACAAAGGGCTCTATTGCGACTTCTCCAAGATCCACAGAGATAGTGGCATCTGCTTAGGTGAGCTGAAAGATTGCTGCTACCCTGCCCCCCGAATGGCAGGACTAGGTCACGTGGGTGTAAGGATGGCTGTGCACGCACCAGAGTGCTAACAGATAAAGTGGGTGGCACAGATCCAGTTTTTTGCGTGCTCTTCCAATTGTGCGATAGCACAGCATTTTCTGTTAAGGGTCTAGGTCAGGAGCACCCCACGCCCGGAGATTTCAGGGCTCAAACTTGGCCCCCTAGTGATGTCATGGTAGGCAGACCCTGGTGATGTCATAGGGTGATTTTTCCTCTGTGCTCCCTCCTGCCACTGAACCCTGGAGACGGAGGTTAATTGGGAGAGGGGAAGAGGGAAGACACCGCCACCCCCTAGCATCTATGTAACAATTTGCAGCTGGATCCTGCTGGATTGAAGCTTGCAAGCACAGTCTACTTAATTGTTTTCTAAAAACCTTTTCAAAAGGCACTCTTGCCCACCTGGAGGTTGCAGCCCTTGCTGTGCTGCCTGGAGGGGGCCAGACAAACCGTGAGCATTCAGGTTGTCCCTGAAGGTCCGACAGCCCTGTTTCCCATCCACACAGGAGCAGTTTTGGATGGGGGATGCATTCAGACTGTGTGTTGTTGTCGTCCTCTCCCATCAGTTAGTATTTCCTCCCCTCGCCAAATTGGGTTGGGGAGCAAGCCTGAAGTCAAAACCCAAAGGGCAATTATATGGGGAAACTCCAGAGCTCAGGTAGACCTTTTTGCTCAGGCAGGATTTAGTCAGGGCAGGAAGCCCTCTCTTGGCCCTGCCTGCCTTGAAGGATCCAATGGGTGGGCAAAGTCAGTCCCCAGGGCAAAGTGAAGAAGGCGCCACCCACAGTTCATTGGCTGGCCACGAGGGGCACCTGCCCACAGACTCCCCAGCAGCAGCTCTTGATGACAGCTGCTCACATGCCTTTGCACCACAACATAGATGCATGTGTTGACAGGATCCCTTTGACAACACGCTTCTCTTCTGTTTTCCCACCAGCTCATGAAGGGGCGACCTGTGACCTGCTGGGCAAGATCTACCTTAACGGAGAGAGCTTCCAGCCCAGTTGCAAACTGCGGTGCATCTGCCTGGATGGCGCCATTGGCTGCATCCCCCTCTGCACGGACGGCATGCGTCTCCCTTCCCCCGACTGCCCCTTCCCCCGGCGGGTGAAGGTGCAGAACAAGTGCTGCGAAGAGTGGGTCTGCGAAGGGGGCAGCAGCCCGAAGAGCCACTATGGAAAGGGCATGGCAGGTGAGGGGACTCGTTGGGAAAGGGGGGGTGGGTGGCCAAGGAGACAGGTAGGACTGTTGGAGCAGAAAGACTAAAAGATACTGGCTGTGGTCACCTCACCTCAAAAAGGAGGAAAAGGTTCAGAAAAGGGCAACCACGATGATCAAGGGGATGGAGCAACTCTCCTACGAGCAGCGTCTGGGAATTTTTAGTTCAAGTCGAGTAAGAGGTAAGAGCCATAGAATCATAGAGTTGGAAGGGATCCCGAGGGTCATCTAGTCCAACCCCCTGCAATGCAGGAATCTCAGCTAAAGCATCCATGACAGGTGGCCACCCAACCTCTGCTTAAAAACCTCCAAGCGAGGAGAGTCCACAGCCTCCCAAGGGAGACCGTCTCACTGTTGAACAGCTTTTACTGTCAGAAAGTTCTTCCTGATGTTTAGTTGGAATCTCCTTTCTCGTAACTTGAAGCCATTGGTTCGAGTCCTACCCTCCAGAGCAGGAAAAAGCCAAGCTTGCTCCCTCTTCCATGTGGCAGCCCTTGAGCGGATCGAGAGAAGTTTTTCTCCCTCTCAAAGCACTAGAGCTTGGGGGCATCCAATGGAAGCTGAACGTTGGACGATTCAGTGGAATTGAGGTAGTGAGAGCCACTAGGTTGGATGGCCTTAAAAGAGTGTTAGACAAATTCATAAAGGACAAGGCTATCAATGGCTACTAACCCTGATGTTCTATCTTCTACCTCCACTGTCTGAGTACTGGTTGCTCAAAAGGAGAGTGCCCTTGTGCTTGGGTCCAGAGTGGTGTGACAGTAATCCCTTTTCACAGGGAACTCTGGGAACTAGCTCTGGCAGAGGAATGGGGTCTCCTAACAACTCTCAGCCCCCTTAACAAACTACATTGGTACCTCTGGATGCAAATGGGATCCGTTCCAAAGCTCCGTTTGCATCCTGAGCAGAATGCAACCCACGTCTGCGCGTGCACGGGTTGCGATTTGCTGCTTCTGCGCATGCGCACAACATCATTTTGAGCGTCTGCGCATGTGCGAGCGGCGAAACCCGGAAGTAACCCGTTCCGTTACTTCCAGGTCGCCGTGGAGTGCAACCTGAAAATGCTCAACCTGAAGCAACTTTAACCCAAGGTATGACTGTACAGTTCCCATAATTCTTGGGGGGAAGCCATGACTATTTAAAGTGGTACCATAGTGCTTTGAATGTGGGGTGTGAATGTGTCCTCAGTTGGACATAGCCCAAGATAAATGGAAAATTGAGAGAATTCTGAATTGCTTTGTTCTATACAGTGCAGGTGGGACAGAAAGGAAGCACTATATATGCCAAAGGGCCTTAAGCACAAGCTATTTCTTCCAGGTATTTCCTGGCCATCTAGGAGGCCAGCTGTTGAGCGCACTCAAGCAGTCTCCCTAACGAAAGGCTACTAAGGTGGTTTCTCCTGGATCCCTTTGCCCTCTCCTGTCCAGAGGTCCAGCCTGACAACCAAAGGATGCAGCTTTGACCTTTGCTCACCAAAGTCCTTTCCTCCAATCTCAGTTTACAGGAACAACCCAGTTCGCAAGCCCAAGACGAACCACCTCCAGGAGAACTGCTTGGTGCAGACCACAGAGTGGAGCGCCTGCTCCAAAACCTGTGGGATGGGCATCTCCACCCGGGTCACCAACGACAACCCCCAGTGCCGGCTAGAGAAGGAGAGCAGGCTCTGCCTTATCCGGTACTGCAACGTCCCCTTGGAGAAGAGCATCAAGGTAACTAACTGGCCGCTAACTGGAGCAGGTGTAAATGCACGAGATCGGACCATGCCAGGCATGGCGAGCTGCCTCCAGCCTGCGTTCCCAAGCTGGTCCACTGCGCCTCTTGACTCGCCCTACTTGGCTCTCTCTGAACCTCGCCTCCTTCCCTCTAGGCTCCCTGCTCGCTCACTTATCTTGTTACCCTGAGCTGGGAATGCAGGAAAAGATCTCCCTGTATGAACAACTCTCAATGGGTTTCCTCTCTCCATTCATAGGAAAGGGGTCCTCTTTCTCACTACACAGCAAAGAAACCAAGCTGAGAAAGAAATGTGTGTGTGAGAGAGAGAAAGAGTGAGCAAAATACAAAGAATATGACCCGTGTAAATACAGGGAGGGAGGAAGAGGAGGAGAGACAGCTAGACAGAGACAAAATCTTTCTTTAAAATTGTTGGTTTCAGTGAGCTTATTCAGGAAGCTGATCTCAAGGAGCTGGGATGGAGAAAGCTTCTTTTTCATTTATTACATTTGCACCCATTCTCTTTGCCAAAGAGAGCAAGGTAGTGTAGATAGTTCCCACCCCACCCCTGCCACACTCTGCTCATGTTAACCCCACAACAACCTTGTGAGGTAAGTTAGGCTAAGATGTAATGACCATTCTGAGGTCATTCAGTGATCTTCATAGCCTTGAACATAGGGGATTTGAACATAGGTCCCCTGGCCCAACATTCTTAGTGCGCATGCACACACACATACCCCGTCCCTCCAGAGGACGGCCAAGAATTTTCCTTGGGCAGGAAATTCGGTTTCTATCCTCTTCTAACCACTACACTACACTGTCTCCTGCCCTGGAGTACAGTCGTACCTTGGAAGTCGAACGGAATCTGTTCTGGAAGTCTGCTTGACTTTCAAAACGTTCAAAAACCAAATCACGGCTTCTGATTGGCTGTAGGAAACTCCTGCAGCCAATCAGAAGCTGCAGAAGCCCTGTCGGATGCTTGGGTTCCAAAAGAATGTTTGCAAACCAGAACAATCACTTTCAGGTTTGCGGCATCTGGGAGCCAAAACGTCCGAGTTCCAGGGCGTTCAGAATCCAAGGTACGACTGTATTTGCTTCCCTGTGCAGGGATTTATTTGTTGTTTGTTTGGATGGGCATTGTGAGCCCATCTCACCTGGAAACTGGAGTGGCGAAACCTAGACAAAGCTTTAGCAGGGCCATACCTCGGTCTCAGAGCCCTTCCTCCGCATGTGCAAGACCCTGAACACGATCCAAGCCATCTCCAGCTAGGGTTGGGAAGGATCCCTGCCCCAAACTCTGGAGAGCCACTGCCAGTCCAGTTTTTATAGTCCTACGTCCAGAACTGAGCCAGGATACTTATTGTTGTGGTCTGTTCCCCACCTTCCTCCTCTCTCCAGAAGGGAAAGAAGTGTGTGCGGAACCGCAAGCCCCGCCGGGCGATCCGCTTTGAGTTCACGGGCTGCACCAGCACCCGCTCCTACCGGCCCAAGTTCTGCGGCAGCTGCACGGACGGGCGCTGCTGCACTCCACATGTCACCAGCACCGCCAAGGTGGAGTTCCAGTGCCCGGAGGGAGACTCCTTTGTGCGCAAGATGATGGTGATCCGCTCCTGCTCCTGCCACCACGACTGCCCCGCGGACAACGACATCTTCCTGGCCACCTACCACCGGCGCATGATTGGGGACCACGTCAAGCTTGAGAGGCAGTAGAGCCCATCCCCATGCCACCTCCATGATGCAGGCTGGTAGAGATGGCACTGGTTGTTACCTGGGATGCTGCTGGGAGAATCAGGGGATGGAGGAGGGTGACCTCAGTAGACTGGAAGGCGTGTGAGTCCAGGCACTACACAGTCCTCTATGGCAGGAGGCTCCAGCTTTCTCAGACCCAGGACTCGCCTTAGAACCAAGTGTGCATTTGGGGGTCCAGTTCTTGTTCCTTTTTTATTATTACCACCATGTATTTGTATGGCGACAGTACAGCTATTGTGAAACTCGCCTTAGATTGGGCCGCAACATGGTAGAGGGACCCCCCAGTTGGAAAACAGTGCTCCATGGTGCAACAGCACGAACCTGGCACTTTGTGGGGTGAAGCTCGCACACTTGGTTTTGCACTAACCAGATCCTCGGTTCCAAAGGTAGCTTCCTTATCTAAGGAGTTCTGGTCCAGCTCCACAAGCAAACAACTGCCAATAACGCGCTGGCTTTAGGCAGTTTCCATCATACCGTACGCAGCCCCTCGGTTCCCACAATCCCTTTCTCCTTCTCGCTGCTGTTTGGCCAGCACAGCAAAACATCCCCCCTAGTTCTCCAGATGCAAACTTTCCAAGAACTGGAACTCAAGTCGGGTAGGTGGCTGTTGCTGTGTGACATAAGCACAGACCCAACTGCTCACCTCCGGCTTCAGAGTTAACAATCCTTTTTTAGATTAGCTGATCTGAACGCAAAACCAGCTGGGAAATATTAGTTCGATACAACACAGGTTGCTGTCACCAAAGGTACGAAGCCAGCACTATGAATCACAAGCAGAAACAAGTCAAAGGGAAGGCTATGGAAGTCTTTTGACAACAAAAGTCATTTGATAGGCATCTGCTGTATAACTTGGCTGGCGAGAGATCACTGAGTTGTGCATTCTGCCTTTTGGCAGAGGATTCGCCATCACCTACATTTGGAAGACTGGTGTTAATCATTTTGGACGATTTACAAGACAGAGCCTCCTCCTTTTCTCCCCATAAACCTGCCCCCTGCTCCGAGCATCCAGATTCCTCCTGTAGAGATGCTCCTTCCCTCCCAATTTCAACTGTAAATACCATGAGAATTATTTTTAAAGCCTATTGTTACGATTAGCACTTTTTATTGTTGTGGGTCTTATTTTTTTCCACTTCTGCTGTTCAATTCTTTCCTTAGTGTTTTCCTTTCTTCTCTCTTTTTTAAAATTTCTTGCTTATCTGACTTGGAGGAGTCATATTAAGGCAAATGGGAATGAGTGCAGTTCGCTTCCCAGGAAGGGCTGGGAGAAACCCTTGCCTGAAACCCTGGAGAGCTGATGCCAGTCAGTGTGGACTATACCGAACTACACAGACCCAATGGTCCAACTCTGTAAGGCAGCTCCCTGTGTTCCTACGGCGCTACAGCTAAAGATGATAACAATAAACCTTCTTTTTTTAAAAAAGTTGCCAGTCGAATAGCTAGCAATGCATGCATATTTCGGAGTCCCATGCAAACAGCGTTGGAGAACTGAGCATAACTGTTCCTGCTTCCAGAAAGAAACTGGTTATATTTAGCCTGAAGAAGAGAAGACTGAGTGGGGGCTAGGGTGGAACATGTGGTAATAATATTTTATAATAATAATTTATTATTAATACCCTGCCCATCTGGCTGGGTTTCCCCAGCCACTCTGAGCGGCTCCCAACAGATTATTATTATTATTAAAAATAAAGTGATAAAACATTGTTGGGTTGAAATCACGACAGACGAGTGGTGAGTGTCAAAGGAGAGGCGTCTGCCGGGGCAAGCCCCGGGAACTCTCTTTTATTGAATATTACAAACATTGCCACAGGTGTGCTTGTGGCTGATTGGTTGATACAAACACAAAGCATCTTGTTGCTGATTGGTTAACATAGGTACAAGGCGGGAATAACATAAGTCCATTTATCATTGATAGATCAAAGAATGAGGAATGGGGTTGGAACTAGACAGGCATGAATCCTCCTAATTAAATTATAACTAAAGATTAATATAACATGACTAAAACAATTACTAATGATTGATCATAACATGAGAGTTCCGTATATGTGGTTAGCTATGCATTAAGAACAGACCATGTTGTTTTGTACATGAACTTGAAATGAACTGAAGAATGACAGAATGTCTGGGTGTGCTAAGCTCGGTGTGTTTGGAACAGTATGTGCAGAAGCGAGACTTCCCAGAATCCAAGAGGAAAGAAGCAAGAGTTCTCATAGTAAGCATAGCAAGATTTCATAGTAAGACTTCCCACAATGCCACGGTTATGTGCAGTAAGAGAAACTGCAGAAAGAAAACTTCCCTTCAAAACATCAAACATTAAAAACTTCCCTAAACAGGGCTGCCTTAAGATGTCTTCTAAAAGTCAGATAGTTGTTTATTTCCTTGACATCTGATGGGAGGGCATTCCACAGGGCGGGTGCCACTACTAAGAAGGCCCTCTGCCTGGTTCCCTGTAACCTGACTTTTCGCAGTGAGGGAACTACCAGAAGGCCCTCGGTGATGGACCTGTGTCTGGGCTGAATGGTGGGGGCAGAGATACTCCTTCAGGTGTACTGGGCCGAGGCCATTTAGGGCTTTAAAGGTCAGCACCAACACTTTGAGTTGTGTTCGGAAATGCACTTGGTAGCATTCCTCAAACACCTGAAAGGCTGTCACACAAGTCTGGGCCCTCTTCTATGACAAGCAGGACTGGACTGTATGGCATCAATTCAGGGGAGGGTGGATTTCAGCTGGACTTTTGGAGAAGCTTCGTGATGCTGAGAGATGCTGCTTTGGAACATAGCGGAATTGGTTGCCTTGGAGGAGCAGTAGACTGGAGATCTTCAAGCAGAGGATGTCTAGCCACTCACCAGGGGTGCTTGGTCTCTGGCTTTCTGGCATCAAGCGGGGCTTTAGATGACCTACAGGACCCCCTCCCAAACTTCCTTTGTTGTGGGTGAGCTCTGGCAGTAATAAGCAGCTGGCTAGAAGAGACCCTGTTTAAATTTCCCAGAATGCCCTGCTACATCAGGGATATTGTAGGAAATTAACAGCCCTGTTGCTTGGCAGTGATTGGAGAGCTGCCTATATACCGTATTTTTCCGTGTATAAGACTAGGTTTAAAATTGGGGCTCGTCTTATACATGGGTAGTGCTGAAGGGTGTTTTCTTAATTCGGGTCCCCCAAAATTGGGGGCGTCTTATACATGGGGGCGTCTTATAGACAGAAAAATATGGTGTGGTGTGTGTGTGTATATAGGGGTGTGGGCTGTCAGTGGCAGCCCTTTCTGGGGTGTCAAGGAGGCCTGGCAATTGCCTGAGGGTGCTGCATGCTGGCACCAGGCTTGGCTCCTAATGCATATTTTTGCAAACCTTTCTTTTTTAAAATGACATTATTCCTCCCAAACATGCCCCAGAGCAAAAATGGAGACTGTGATCTCCCAGGGACGGGTACTGGAAACCAAGGATCGTATCTATAAAATAGGAGATGGTTGGAATATGTGGCCTGGCTGTCACTTCTGTTCCATCCCAGTGATAACGAAGGCAGCAGACATTGGGCGGTCAGCTCCCTTCCAAAAGCCAAAGTCCTTGATGCTGAGCTACAAATAGCCGCAGAACAGATGTGCAGAGCAGCAGCCAGTTAGTGTGGCCTGAATGTAAGAGGGGCTTTGCGGAGGCTTAACAGCTTATGGAAGCTGCTCCTCGCCACATCATTCCACCGGGGGCTGATCTCCCTCCCTGCCCTTCACAGGGTAGTATATTCAGGGCTCCCATTCAGTCTTCTGGGTGAATCTCTGATGACAAGGGGCCACCAAGCATCTGGGACTGGCTTGCAGGGTAAAAGAATGGATGGATCCAGACCACATACAGTAGCTTATCAAGGAATAATAATTCCTGACAATAGGAAACACAGGAGCTTGCAGTTTAAGCTAAAGTCTGCTAGAGGTCTCAGTTGATCTTTACAGGAAAAAGGTGCCTTCAGATTCCAGACTGTTTTGCAAGGGGTAGGGTGATATTCAGCTTTTAGGCTTATGCCTAAAGCACTCTGCTGCCCTAGCCTAGCAAATCTAAGGTGTTCGCCAATGCTAGCCCTACTCAAAGAAGACCCACTGAAGGCAATGGCCAGGACTAGCTTAGGTTTGTTAGTTTCAATGTCTCTACTCTGAGTAGGGATTAATTAGCGGTGGCTCCTACTTTAGCAACAACAACCCCAAAATGGGCTACTTGCAGTTTGGAAAGTGATGGGGAGAAATGAAAAGTCTGCGGTGAATGAACGACGAGCAGGAAAATATGTAAACACCCTGCAAGCAAATCAGGATGAACAATGAATGCCGATTGTTGTATAACCGCCCTGTAAATAAACAATAGTCCAACTACAGCATAAGCTTTGTGCAAGCAAATGAGGATGAATGAGGGAAGACTGGGTCATTGGGCAGAACCCTAAGCAGCACCAGCTGTGCTGCTATTAATGAAGGGAAGGGAGAGATGAATTTTGTCTTCATTTCTCTTTTTCCACCTTCATTAGAGGCATTGGCCACTAGATGGCAGTGTGCACCTCACTAACTAAAAGGCTCCTCAAGAAGAGGAGTTCACCATTATCTGCAAGGGTCCAGAAATAAGAATCTGGGAGCACCCTAAGTCTGGAGAGGAAGAAAACTAAGATGAGTCTGGAATAGGGGTCTGGGTCTGTGATGGCAGTGCTAGAAGAAATTCAGGGTTCCAACCACAGGCTGTTTTGACAGTTGCTGTTTCGCAACATACACATCTACAAACGAGTCTTGAGTTCCTAAAAGACCAAACCTAATATACAACCAGTTAAAATTAAATGTCGTTAGTGCAATAGGCAGTGGGTTGGTTTTTTTAAAAAAAAATCAAACAAACATATATTACTGTCCTAGAGCAACGTAAAACCAGTAAAAGCCAAACACTTTTTAAAAAATCATTTTAAAGTCAATTTAATGCACAGCCTGAGAAAAATAGTAGACAAAAATAAATGACACTACACTGATCTATATTTCAGCTGCTAAGCTTCCGAAACATTGATTGCAATCCGCCTTAAAATATGTACTGCTTGTTCTTTCTTATATGGGGTGAGCCTAAAGTTGCTTTCTTGGCAATATGCCTCACTGAATGCATTCATAGGTAATTCTCCTTTTCCTTTTAGTACATAGATTTGTTTGCTGAATGTGTAAAAAAAGGGGGGGGAATTTATATTGTGGGGATCTGTGGCTTTAAACGATAGTTTTACTCATTCCTAGGGAAGCGTACAGTGGGATCACTGCTGTATGAGATCTTCTTTAGCAGATCCATTGTAGAATTCCTCTCTAAGCATCACCTTAACTTTGCCCTTTAAGAAGCCTTTGCAAAACATAGCCTGCTACTTACAACTATAGGACTGCAAGAGCACCATCTATTAAGTAGCATTATTGGAGACACCTATCTGGACCTTCCCCTCTGCCCTGTCGCAAAGCAGCTGTTCCCTGTCCTCCATCATCTCTGGCAGGTGCATCCATTTGCCTTGTTCGGGGAGTAGCTAATTATCCCAGGAAGGATTTGACTGCTCAACAGTGGTGGCCCAGCTTGGATAGAGAGCCCAGCCCATCACCCAGGACGTGCTCACGGTCCCTGCAAGCTGTGGCCAGGACATAAACAGCCGTATCGCCTGATCCCAGGCCGCCGCTGTCCCGTGTGTGTGTCTGGCTGATGGGGCCCATCCTGGGCGTGCCGGCTTGGCCCCAGCTGCTTCTGGAGGGATAAGGGAGCCAGGGGGAGATTCCTGGTACTTGCCATCAGGCGAGTTCATCCTCAGAATGCTCCCTTGCCTAGCAAGTAAAGCTCCTTATCAGCCAGGCCCAGCTGCCGCTAATGGAAGAAGAGGATCCTGCAGTTCTGGGGCAACCTGGCTGCCACTTTTTGCAGCTGAAAAGAGGTTCCTCTGCTTTGCCAGGAGATGTTCAAAGGATGGAGCTCTTGGCCACGCTTCGGTGTCTTCTGGGCTTTGCTGGGCTGGAAAACAAAGGGAGCGTCCCCAGGTCATAGGAAAAGGCCTTTTCACCATTGCACAGGAAGGATACAATGGGACTACAGCATAGAACGAAAACGACTAAGGCAGTGTACACATAATACCCGTAAAGCACATTCTAAGAACATTCTTTCCCTTGAATAATTATGGGCTCTGTAGTTTGTGAAGGGTTGCTGGTGGGAATTGTAAGTCTGCAATGGGTAATATACAGGGCCCCAGAATACTTGGAGGGGGAGGAATGTGCTTTAAAGGTAGAGTTTGCACATATTGCTGTACAAAAGGAAAGAAATTGAAATGACCTCTAAGTCAATATTGACCATAGGGTTGATGGGACTCTGCGGGGTGGGGGTTAAATAAAAATGGGTGGGAACAAAATACCCTGGGCTCATAGCTGTCAACTTTCCCCCTTTTCTTGCGAGGAATCCTATTCGGAATAAGGGAATTTCCCTTTAAAAAAGGAAAACGTTAAGAGCTGTGCCTGGGGTAGAAAATACATTTATGAAGTATAGCACCAAAAAATGGATTAGGAACTCGGAACTAAAGGGCAGAGGCATGTACAGAGTGTACCTTCCTTGCCAAGGAGCAAATGCACACCATGGGCAAATGCACACATGCATCTGAAGCGCATGGCTTCCTCCAGCGAATCCTGGGAACTGTAGTTTGGTAAGGGTGCTGGGAATTGCAGCTCTGTGGAGGAAACTATGGTTCCCAGGATTTTTTTAAAGGAAAGTAATGTGCTTTAAATGTGCATTGAATGTATAGTAAATGTCTGGTGTGGATCTGCCCTCTGCATTTAATAAATGATTCCACAATACAACAGTATTTTCGGACCATGCTGCTTTGTTGCTAAAAAAGGAAAAAGTCTGCAGGTATCATGTTTTTTCTTTTTCTTTTTTAACCTTTTATGGTTCCTGGTAATGGTGATTGATGATTAATAAATATTGATTATAGACTGATATTTCTTAATTTTATTACGTTTGCATTCCTAAGAATTTCAGTTGGGGAGGGCGATCCATGACAACTTCCTAAGCTTATCAAAGGGTCATTGAACCCAGAGGTTTGGGAAACCCTGTTCTAAATTACCCTTTAGGCAGACCTGAACCAATGCATGCCAATGATTCAAAATCAGGCACTGCTGCTGTAGAAGACAGAAAGCTTGCAGTTGCCAAAGAACGGAAATCCAGTTCAAGGCTGCTATCCTAAACACCATTAGGTAGGAAATAGGCCTCACTGAAGACAGAAGGGCTGAGTGAACCCGCCTAGGATACCCTACATGATCATTTAAAAAGCGAATTTAAACAAACTATATCCTCTGCATGCCCAATATTAAACAGAATGTGTCTTCAACTGATCTGTATTTTGAGTAGCGAATGCTGAGCATGCCTCCTCTTTAAATTATGTCAGAGCAATCCTATATATGTCTTCTCAGAAACAACACCCATTGGGCTCATTGGAGCTTACTCCCAGGTAAGTGGGCATAGGATTGCTGTTTGTATTACATAGACCCAGTGCTTTTTTTCTGGGGGTACGCATACCCCTAAACATTTTCTGAATCTAAGTTTGGCCTCATTGAGGGGCAGTATTTCAATTTGAGTAGGAAAATGAGAGTACCCCTAAACATTTTTTTTAAGGAAAAAAAGCACTGCATAGACCCGCAACACCAAAACCTGTGCATTGTCCATTGGAGCCATAAGTGTTTGTTGTGGGGGAAGAAGGGAAAGGAGAATGTTAGCCGCTTTGAGACTCCTTTGGGTAGTGATAAAGTGGGATATCAAATCCAAACTCCTCCTCCTCCTCCTCCTCCACTAATGGTGACAGCCCACAAAACCTTCGTGAGTGAGCAGGGATAAAAAGGATCAGGCAGTCGCTGGAGTATCCTGGACCCAAGTTGTTAAGGGCATTGCAAATTAATACTTGAACCTGGCCCAGTAGCTTTTGGGCAGCCAGCGCAAGCTTTTGGGCACCCGAGTTATGTGCTGGCTCCGTATCTCGGCTTGGTAGCTAACTGGCAGCCAATGCAATGTTCTTTGGTCCCTGGCCACATGGTCTCTCGCAGTTGCATTCTGCACCAGCTGCAGCTTCTGAACCGTCCTTGAGAGCAGCCCCACCTAAAAGCGCACTGCAACAGCCCCAACCAACAAAATCCCATGCTATATTTTTTCTAGAGTTACTGGGGAGGGAAACCTCGGAAGAATGATAATTCTAGCAACTCGCACTGACAAAATCTTAGCAAGGTTATCTTCAAAAGGCATAAATAGAAACCAGAATGTTTTCTATTTCCAGCTATTGAGAAATCAGAAAATGTCTGCAGTAAATAGGGATGGTTACAGTGTGCAGAGTTCCTATAGCAAACCTGCACATGCTCTTTTCAATCTCTCCCAAGCATTCTGATGTCCCGGTCTTTGGCTACTTTCTCTTTACTGCTCTGTCTATTTTAAGATCTACATGCTAACAGCTAAGGACAGCATTCCAGGTGAGGGCAACCCACTGCTTTATTTAAACAGGGTAGCCTTATTTAGAATCCTAATCTTTGTCAGCTAATAAATAAGAGACCTTCCAAGAGGTACATGTGTTGAACTCGGTTCGCGTCTTAGCCAAATGCCACTAATTCCTAGCATGGACGATTCCGTGCTTCCAGCTCCTCATAAAGACTTCCGTAGCTCAGACTGTCCCTAACGCTAACCACTCCCAAGGAACTCCCTGTGTATATGTACGACGCACACTCACACATGAACAAAAGCAGCATTTCTTTGAAAGATCTGAAATCCCAGGTAGGAGGCCGTCGTTATGGGAGATTCCAGTCTTTGCCAACTGAAAAGAATCTAGGAAGCACCCAAAGGCCTATCTGAGCCAGCATCCTGTTCTCACAGTGGTCAACCAGATGGGACGCCCACCTACGATTCCCAGCCACTGGTATTCAGAGGCATACGAAACACTGCATACTCTGTGTAGCATCAGGGCCGGTGCTCCAGGGTTGACAAGGGTCACCCACAGCATACATTTAAAAGCACATGGCTCCCCACTAAGAATCCTGGGAACTGTAGTTTGTTAAGGTTGCGGGGGATTGAAACTGTTAAATTGTGGGTGAACATATCAGACGACACAGCAATTCTTCAAACAGCTCTTGTTTATTCACAGGCCAGAACAGAACTGAACTGAAGGGTTCAGCCAGCCTGCTTATATAGAGCTCCACTACAATGCAACAGTAGCAACTTTCTGTAACTATCCAATCACTGAATGTCACTTTCAATCCCTTATTTGCATATGTGGACCTGAGTGAAAACTATCTATAGTATCCCCCTGCTGGCCCAGGGTGAGAACTTCAGTACATAACAGAAACTGTTGGGGTAAAACTAGTTGAGCCAGTGTGGTGTAGTGGTTAAGAGCGGCAGACTTGTAATCTGGTGAACCGGGTTCGCTTCCCTGCTCCTCCACATGCAGCTGCTGGGTGACCTTGGGCTAGTCACACTTCTCTGAAGTCTCTCAGCCTCACTCACCTCACAGAGTGTTTGTTGTGGGGGAGGAAGGGAAAAGAGATTGTTAGCCGCTTTGAGACTCCTTAGGGTAGTGATAAAGCGGGATATCAAATCCAAACTCCTCTTCTTCTTCTTCCCGCCAGGTTTCTCTCTCTCTCTCTCTCTCTCTCTCTCTCTGTGTGTGTGTGTGTGTGTGTGTGGAGTGCAGGAGCTGTGTGCTTTGAATATTCCATGTGGGTGGAGAGCCTTAGCAAAAAGTGCCCTAGACTTGGTGAGTTTACCTGGCAGAGACAGCAGGCAAAATGGAGCTACGATTCTCGGAGTGCTCTAATGGTCAGTCCCTCTTTGCAGGGAATTGCGGGAACTGTAGCTCTGTAAGGGGAATTGGGGGTCTCTTCACAACGCTTTGCACCCTTAAACTACACTTCTCAGGAGCCAGTAAGGGGAGGGGAAGCCACGACTGTCTAAAGTGGCATGATACTGCTTTAAATATGCAGTGCAGATGGGGCCTTGGGCAGGTTCTCCTTTGAATGAGGACTGATTCAAATTTCTCTCTCCCCTTCCCTGCACCCTTCGCTCTGCCACTGAGCAGAGCTTTCAGGGGACTGGGGGAACAACCCTCTGAACTTGCCTGGTACAATATAACCCTGCAGTTCATTGGCCACCAGGAACTTTCTGCTGCTTCAGCTCAGACTGGTTAGTGTCCTGTTGTGCTGACCTGTTGATCAGCAGCTTGGGGGCCACGTGGCATTTGCGTGCAATCTCTCTCTCTCTCCCCCTCTCTCTCTGCTGCTGCTCTTCTGTTTGTTTGAGTTGAGTTTGTTTTTTTGAGTAAGCCTCCTTCTTTGCTCCGTCAGCAGAGCCCCTCGCTGGAGCGCAATGACTCAGCCAGTTGGAAAATGCATGGGCCGAGCGGATAAGTCTGTGGGCTGCCCCAGCAAGCACAACAGTGCCTGGCTTTGCTTTCGCAAGCTTAGCGCTGTGTACGAGTCCAATGTTCCCGGTGCTGCTTAAAGAGAATAAACCCCCGAATGTGGAGGTGATACTGGCACACAAGTGTCCTGCATAAACAGAGGGGATCCATAGAACATCTGCTCTGCATGTAGAAGGTGCCAGGTTTGATCTCTGATATCGCCCGGCAGGGCTGAGAAAGGTTTTGGGGAGCTTCTGCCAGCCGATGCAGACAATAGCAAACTAGGGTGGCCCATGGTCTGCAACAGCTTCCTACGTTCCTGTTTAAATCGGCTTTTCTTTCGGAGTCACGAGTGCTGGAACTTTATAGGCAGAGAAGCCCCATGCAGCTGAGAGGCAGAGCTCATGCTCTGAATGCAGAAGGCTGCAGGTTCAATCTCTGGCACTGCCAGTTGAGATGACCAGGTAGCCACTGGTAGGAAACCTGAAGCATGGTTTGACTATGGAGAGGTGGCATACAAATGCTGGTGAGAATAGCTCAGCGGCAAAGTACTTGTTTTGGACCCAGAAGGTCCTTGGGTTATTCCACATGATTTCCATCAAAAGGAATCAAATAGCAGGTGAAGGGAGGGAGATTAGAGGAGGCGCTGCCAGTCAGAGCAGACAAAACTGGGCTGGATGGATAGGATTTTCCTAAGTTCTTACTACATAGGTTCTTGCTGTAACGGAGCTGGGAAACTCCCTGCCTCCAGGAAGCCACCTGAAAGAAGAATGGATTTCATCATACACTTTACCATGCTTGCTTGGGATCTCCAAGAAGCCATGTTGATCCTGCAGAACAAGTACAACACCGTGTGAAGCAATGCCTTCCTTTGGTCCAATTAATCCCCAAGCACCTGGATGTGAGTTTTGGGATTGCCCAAGATTTTTCTTTGGCCACTGGTGTTGTGTGCAAAAGTCTTCAGAAGTTTTAAAGTGCATATATCACTTCTATCTATATCTATCTATCTATCTATCTATCTATCTATCTATCATCAACTATGGATCATAGTCAACCTACTCAGAGTAGACTCATTACATTAAGGAACCTGTTGTGGTAGTTCCATCCGTTAATTTCAGTGGGCCTGCTTAGAGTAGGACAAACAATGGATCTCACCCTATATATTTTGGAAAGTTGATTGTCTGATATGCACTGGAGATCTCTGAAGATCTCATAACCAAATTCTACATGATGGTTCCTGAAATCAAGAGGCAGGGTTTTGCTTTTCTCTGCTTGGATACATCTGGATGCCATTTTGAATCAAGATGGTGACCTGAACCTTTAAAAACTGCATTGATTTTAAGCATCGGCTTCAAAACCATAGCCTTGTTTTGTTTTTGTTTCTTAGTAATACCAGATATAAGGCTGGTCGTATGCACTTATCTGTGTTCGTGCACGCGCGCGCACACACACACACACACACACACACACAAATTGAATATTAAATTCAATAATAAAAAGGACAGTAAGAAAAATCAAAGTCATGTCAAATAAAAAGCAGTGGTGGCAGAAACCCCCTATACCTATTATTTGTTTAACAAGACTTATAGACCGCTTAATCAAAAAACGTCTAAGCAGTTTACATAGAAGCTCATACTACTACTGATCAGGAGGCAGGAAAAGAGAAAGAAAATGTCATCCACCAGGGAGGGCAACCCCCTACCTGGGAACGGTATTGAGCCACATGGCATAGGAAAGGCTTGCCTCCCTTGTGGACTGAGCATAATCCGTCTGGTTCAGAGGTTGAAGGGGAATATCAAAGAACACCATGGATGTGGACGGGACATGGGTGTAGTCAAGGGGGGCAGCTGCCCCCCTAAATCAAGTCAATCAATAAAACTACTTACGGTAACTAAGTGAAGTTCTGCCCACCCTAACATGAAGCCTGCCGCCCCCCAAACATAAATCCTGGCTTACACCCAAGGGACAGGAAATGGATAATCCCGGCATCATAGGGTCACAATGTTATTTCTGTTCATGATACCCAACCTGAACATTATTTTGATTGTGAGAGTCTTTTGCAAGCCACTTAGCCTCTCAGGGCTACAAAGTGGGCTTCAATAAGTTCAAGTAAACTAAACAGATAAATAGCATCAACTTAAATATTGTAAATAATTATTTGCTGAGAACACATTGAACAGCATAATAATAATAATAATAATAATAATAATTTTATTTATATCCCGCCCATCTGGTTTCCCCAGCCACTCTGGGCGGCTTCCAGCAGAATATTAAAAGATAATGATTCATCCAGTATTAAAAGCTTCCCTAAACAGAAGAGTTAATATCAAGATTTTAATGGCCTGAATTGCTTCAACAAAGGCATTTCCTTATTTGCTTTTCAATTTCTTTATAAAAGAAAGCTATCAAATCACAAATAAGGTCAGTCTACTACAAAGACTCTCCCCTCTTGATCTGTTCCCAGGAAGCTTTCTCTCGACCAGCTATTATACTATACAGAAAACTGAGGCGATTCTGAAGGTAGGAGCTTTTAAGGCTACAATCCTACACGTACCTTTGCAGGAGCAAATCCTATTGAACTCAGTGTGACTTACATTTCAGAGTACAGATGCATAGGATTGCATTGTTAAAATCACCATCATAAGCCTCGAAAACAATGTGTATCTCTGGCAAATGAGTCTTGTGATACAGAAATCCCATTTGTGGGGGAGGAAAGTTTAACTTAGAAACTTTATATATTTCAGTGGATGGCTTGAGACTTTCTCTTTATTTCTTTCTTTTAAAAAAGCAGATGCTATCCATAGATGAGAGTTTGAATTTCAGTGATGGAACTTATTTTAGTAGCAGAATTCTATTAGAAATTTCAAATGCTTCTGGGCTGGCTTCCTGAGGTCATGTCGGTGCCCGAGCAAAAACTTTCTGTGACATCACGGCCATTCCAGCCAATCAGAATGCTGCAAAGGTTTTCCTCAAATTCAGCGGTAGCAGCTGGAAACGAACTGCCTGTTCCCGGCTTGGCACTTTTTGCATGCACTAATCCTAATTTTTTTAAGGGGGGGTGTGAGACGCTGTTTCTCGGTCCTCTTTGCTTCAGGCGTCACGCGGCTTTACCTGCCAGCCGCCGCCGCCGCCTCCATCTGTTGGAGCTGCCAAGGTCCGGGAACGCTGCGCCCCGGAGGGAAATGATCGGCGGGACAGCCAGCCAGTGACCAACCGCGAACGGTGGACGGAGGGCGTGGCCCATCGCTGGAGTGACGTCAGAAGAGGCAGGTCCCCAGCGGTGCAGGTGGAAAGGGCTCCCGAGAGCGGCTGGTGGAGGCAGAGCGGCTGCTTCTTAAAGGGCGAGGAGTCCTTTAACTCGCCCCTGACTCGCTGGGCTGCTCCGGGCCTGCATTGCAAAAGTGATCGGCTCAGGTAAGGCCAGATCCGGGAAAGGGAGGGAGGGAGAGAGAGAGAGAGAGAGAGAGAGAGAGAGAGAGAGAGAGGGAGAGAGCGCTGATGGGGCTGGGGCAGAAAGCCATTGCTAAAACGAAGGAGATTCGTCTTTGGGGTCTTTGGTCTTTGGGGTGGAGCGGAGGAAGAAGAAGAAGGCTCGAAGAAGCCAGTGGATTATAACTTGCAAGCCAGAAGAAAGAGGAAAGGGACAGACTCTCTCTCTGCAGATGAAACGACCACTTTGGAGAGTTGGTGGATTCTGTCATCTAACTGGGCCAGCGCTCTCCCATTCTTGCCTCCGCTACTTTTTCTCTTTTGCTTGAAGAGGATTGCAAATTTAGAGGGTGAGGTGTGTTATGGGGTGGGTGGGGGAGAGGAGAGGGGGTAAGGGGTGAAAACGCGGCCCCTTCCTCCGGGTTGCTGCCTATTATTATTATTATTAATTCCGCTTTGGGATTCCTTCGGATGAAAAGAGGCACAGAAGTAGAATCTAATCATCAGATCAGATCTGGCCGCTCTCCTTTTTCCAAAGCTGTCGAGATTCTCCCGGCGCCTGGAATGACTTTGCACATCTCGGCGGCGTTGCGGTGACGTTTCCGTGTTGCCATTACTCAGCAAACGGAGACGCCGAGGCGACCACGCCGCTGGAGAAAACTTCTCGGCGATAATAGCGGCTCTCCCGCCGGCTCCTTCCTTCTCCGCCTTGCCCCGCCGGCTCCAATTCTCTGCACATGCCAAGTCATCTAAAGGAGAGACTTCCTGCTTTCCCAAACTTTTTTGCGGGCGGGGAGGAGTGGGGGGACGGACACACACCTGTTTGTGTCCAGAAAGCCATCTCTGCAATGTGCGTCGCCGATCTAGCAAGCCCTGCCCCTCCCCGTGCTCTAAAATTTAATTTTAAAGGTTGAGCTGTTGTGCCTTTGCCTTTTTGTGTGCGCGTGTGTGTTTTGGGAATGGGGAGAAGCCTTGTGACACTGCAGTGCCGGCAGCTGAGGGGCAGGCGCTTTGCTGGACGATTTTCCTGGCTTGGGAGTGAAAGATCAGCAGATTCCGGGCATAGAAAGAAGGCTGTGCCAGGGAAGCACTGCGGAATCTCGTCTCTCTCTCTCTCTGTCTGTCTCCCTCCACTTGCTGGAGAACATCCCTGCTGTGGCTTGCACATGCCGGAGCCAACAGAGCCCCACACAACCAGGGCGGAGGGCAAAGCGCCAGCAGACAAAACAGGGAGAAAGTTTTGCTTGCCTTGAGCGGCACACGGGTTAGTTTTGACTAGCTTTCCTGATCACGTGCAGCGCTGCCACTGCAAACCCAAGGTTAATGTCATTTGGAACAGTGGAGGAAGAAGTTGCAAGGCATAAGATTTGTGGTTAAGAGCCTAGGAAGGTCAGACCAATGACCCATCTAGTTCAGCACCCTTCTGTCACAGTGGGCAACGTGGATGCCTTTGGGAAACCCACGAGCAGGATCTGACCACGAGAGCACTCTCCTCTTCTGTGGTTTCCATCAGCTGGCATTGGAAAGTATCCCTGCCTCTCAGCTGTAGAGGCAGAGTGTAGCCCCCATGGCTAGTAGCCATCCCATGAATTCATCCCATCTTCTTTTAAAGCCACCTAGGTTGGTGGTCATTCCTGCCTCCTGTAGCAGCGAGTTCCATAGTTTAGCTATCCGTGTGTGAAGAAGTTTGTCGTGAATCTTCCAGCATCCAGCTTCATTGGATATCCATGAGTTCTAGTGGTTTGGGAGAGGGACAAAACTTCTCTCTGCCGACTTTCTCCATCCAGAGACTGGCGGGAGGGAGCCTGGCTCGCCCCCCCTTACTTCAAAAATTGGCTGGGCAGCAGGAAGGCTGCATCAGGCTGCAGTCCTAAGCCTGGTTACCTGGGAGTAAGGGTGGGTGAATCTGTCAATTTTGGTTTCTTTCACTTTCTTATAGAAAGAGGGAGAGTTTAGTTCTTCACATTTCCACATCACTTTGTGATTATTTTTTCAATATATAAAAAGCCATCCTCATGAAAATTTGTTAGCGTCTTAGTGCAAATGCAATGAGACAGTAGGTAGAGCCCAAAGACAGGTGGAGCTAACTAATTCTGGTTTGGGCCCCTGAATTCTTTCTACAAGGGCAATGCTGAGCCAGGGCCTCTCCCTAGACTGGCTGTAAGCAAGAAGACAGGCAGGTGGTAGCTGTCACCTTCCCCCCTTTTTTTAAGGGAAATTCCCTTATTCCGAATAGGATTCCTTGCAAGAAAAGGGAAAAGTTGACAGCTATGAGGTGGCGGGTGGCTGAAGGTAGACTGAGCCAGGGCCCCATTTGCCCTGATGGACCCGCCTCCACCAGTCTGGGAAGGCAAGACCTGTCCCAACAGCCTCAATGATAGGCTGGAGAAGAGAGCTTGTTTCACCAAAGCCATTGTTGACACACCCCTCCTGAAATCCCTTCGCTGCTTTCCTGTCCCCTCCTGATTCTTGCACAGACTTCTCCATGTTTTCAACGGCTTTACCCTTCTAACAGCCTGACAAATTCTTCCCTGCTCTCCTTGCTCATCCTGTTCTAGAACCCCTAGTCTGCCATTGGTTTCCTTTTCCTTGAAGCAACCTCACATTATTATTATTGTCAACAACGACAACATATTTCTACACAGCTGTCTCAAGGCTATGTGCAATGAACACCGGGGGGTGGTGGGGTGGTGGGAGCTACTACGTTTAAAAACAAAACTAAAACAATGCAAAATACACCCTCTGGGCAAAGACCCATTTATCCAGCTGGGAAAGCCTGTAGGAACAAAAGTGTATTCAGTTGTTTCTGGAAAGTGCAGATAGTTAAAAAAGCCTGTCGTATGTTGACAGGAATGCTATTCCACAGAACAGGGGCAGCCATAGAGTTACTATGGAGCTGGCCAGGAGAAACATTCCTGTAGACTGCCAAGATCTACTGGTTGTATAAGGGATAAGGCAGTCTCTCTAGTAACCTGGTCCTGAGCTATATAGAGACTTGTACGTTGGTACCAAAGCCACCATGAACTTGGCCCAGTAGTAGATTTAAACCCGTGCAAATTCCACATGCAAGGTGTTGCATGCTGGCAATACTGTAATTTGCCCCTGATGAGCAACCTAGCCACACCATGTTCTGTACTAGCTGCAGCCTGTTTAGGGAAGCTTTTAATGTTTGATGCATTATTGTATTTTAATATTTTGTTGGAAGCTGCCCAGAGTGGCTGGGGAAGCCCAGCCAGATAGGTGGAGTATAAATAATAATAATAATAATAATAATAATAATAATGTGAACCAGCCTCAAGGGTAGCCCCACGCAGAGCACATTGCAGTAATCCAACCATGAGGTTTTGCATGCTTTACAATGCACACTTTACCTTGGCATACACATTTTTTGAACATATAACTTGGCTGGGGAACTGCACTGCAAATTCGGAAAGGTATGAATTTTGAAGGGCGGCTGTGTTTTGGTTTGCATTTTGTTTCAGAATGCAAATTTGGTAGGTTTGCCTTTTAATGAGGCAGCGAAACGTTTTTTGAACGTTGCCAGTCCTAGTGCGGGAGAGGAGGCTTTCAGGCTCCCTTTCAGGCAGCAGAATGTCTTGGGCTGGAACTGTTCCTGATGTGGAGGAGGTGCAAGGAACACCACCACATACATGTTCCTTCACATACTCTAGTTGTTATCTCTGTGTTGCTACACTTGGTGTTCTGTAGGCTCTAGGAACGAGCCTGCCTAACTTTCCCAGACCTGTGAGGTGGATTTATTTGGCATGTGCCCTGGGAATTTTAATTTAAAACAATCAAGCCCAAAGAACGTTCATTTGGAATACCCAGCTTGAGGTAACAAGCATTACTGTTTGTGTAATTATCCTGCACATCCCTTCCAACCTCCATTCCCCTGCTTCCTCTAAGACAAAAGAGTTGAGTGTCTCAAGAAAATATATATAATGCAAAGCTGTACCTTTTTGCCCTGCCTTTCCTTAGATCTTGCTTTTATTTATTTTTTAAAAAATGTTTTTATACCACTGTTTTGCTGGTTTTACATTGTGCTCGTGATGCTTTTTGGGGAGCCATACATGTTCCCGCTTTCAAACCTGCAAAAGTTTAGGGACAGCTTCATATCCTGTAATTTCCTGCTGATATCCCATACCATTTCATACCACATATGTCCCCCCCAGCTTTTGCTGCTTTAGAGCCACTCCAGACAGCAGTGATGTGGTAGCTTGGAGGAAGCATTGCAGAAGAAATCCACCGCTAATGCACTGTTGTTTTTGGTCAGTAACACGTTGCAGAATACACTTGCAGTGACACACCAGTCCCACGTTCCATCCTGAGCATCTCCAGGTAGGACTTGGGAATGCCCTCCCATCTGAAACCCCAGGGAGCTGCTACCAGTCAGTGTTGACAACACTGATCTAAAGGGACCATCGAATGGTCTGACTCAATATGTTCTATTTTAAATCACAGCAATTATTTCTGAAATTTGCATCTAGATACTTGTAAAGTGGCATGTGCAAATGTTATGCCAACTTTGGTCACAAGTTTTCTCCTTTTCGGTGAGGCATAGGTGTCCACCCTAGGCGTTGCTGAATGTGAAAACAGATGAACAGTTTGCAACACCTTCTTTCCCGCCTGGTTTTTTGTGTACTGATCACATTCTCTCCTTTGCTTTCTGCTGCTTCTAAAACCTGAAACTTGGCTGGGCAGACTTAAATGTGGCTCTATGTGTATGTGGGCTTTTTTTTTTTAATGCATTCATTAAAAATGCTGCTTATTCATATGCAGGTGGACCTGTTCTTCATTCCCCTGGCCTGCCTTTCTCTTCTTCCCGTGCACCTATTTGACCCGTGTCTGAGCCAGAGAATGAAAGCGAATGGGCCTGTGGTGCTGTTAACTTAAACCTCCAGAAATCACCTCCAGCATTGGAAGGCAGTATGCCTTTGAATACCCACTTGCTGCAGAACCCAGGTCTTGTTGGTGATTCTTCCAGGTCCTGTCTCCCAACTTAATCCTCCAATTCTGACTTGTTCTTTGGGAACAGACTGTCTTACATCATTGGTCCATGTAGCGCCTAGTGTCTGAACCAACACAATGGCTGCATTTGCCTGCTGCTGAGAATCACAACTGGGGAGAGTGCTGTTTCACTCAGGGTCCTGCGGGCAGGTTTCCCACAGGCAACTGGGTGACGGCTGTGGGAACAGGGTGCTGGAGTCGACGGACCACTGGTCCATTCCTTTCAGTGCTCCAAGAAGGCTGACAAATATGGCTTGAAAAACCACATTTACAAAAGGCTTTAGGCAGCCCATTAATTTATACCCCCCACTCCACTTGGCCAGCGAATCGTGCTGCAGCAGTATACTGTATAGAATTTGCAGCAAGCAGATCCCGTTTTGCTTATTTCCAGCTAGGGTTTCCTAGGTGGCACATTTCCAGCCCTGGTATCAAATGGCGAGGCCCCCATGCATAGGGAGCCAAATGCCAGCGTAGACCCAAACAGAAGCAAAGGGTGGCAGGAAGGAATAGGGAGATAAACTAGATTATTCTGGTGCTCTGGAGCCAGCCGTTCCTTTCCCAGACACCCAGGATCAGGTTGCCTGCGATTGCGAGCTCTAGATTTTAACTGTAAAAGTTGTGAGTAATTCAATATTCCGGGGATGGCCCACAAACCTTCCTTTCCTTGCAACGGAATAGGGATGCTATTGCATTCTGGAAAACTACTCACCATGCAGTGGCAAAGGCTGGGGCTGGGGGTCAGCATGACTGGGCGCCTGCCAATGGTTCTGGTGCTTAGAAGGGGCGACTGCTGTCCTAATACTGGGGCTCCTTCTGGGTGTTGCTTCTGCCACTGGATTGGGGGGAGGGCCTGTGTGGTCTCGCTGCATGTTGCAACCCCCCAGGTTTGTTAGGGCTGGCTTGCTATGTTTCAGAAGAAGCGAAGTAGCAGACATTTCTTTCCAAAAAGGGCTTCTGTGAAGGGCCACTTAATTCCAGAGGGGTGGTGCGTGAGACCAATTTAGTCCAGAGTCTAAAACTGCCCAAGGCAGCACTGAATAATCATGCCACAAACAGAGAGTGAGTGTGCTGAGAAAAGCAATGGCCTGGGGCAGTTGGGAATATAATTTTACAGACACATATATATGGAATCTTAAAGGTATTAATAGATTTACAGTGGTGAAAGCTTCCATGGACTCGATCCCATAGCACTAGATACATTCAGTGTATCCTCTGTTGGCAGATATTGGTGATGTATCCATACAGCAGCCTTTGCCAGCCTGCAGCCCCGGCCAGCGTAGTTGTGCCATCCTCGCTGGATCGATATCTAGCATCTGCTTAAATGCTTCTGATAAAGATATTTATTATTATTATTTATTAAATTTGTGTATTATGGTAAGTGCTAGAGTGCACAAGGCTAGTGTTTTCTTGAAGAAGTGTATAAGGCAAGAAGAAGATGGGATTTTGCAAGGATAGACTACTGCAGGACATTGTATGTGGTGCTGTCCTTGAAGACTTCAGAAAATTCAGCTAATGCCATGAGATTCCTCATTGGGGTCTGTCAGTGGGAATATAACTCTCTGAGGCAGGGTTTGAAATTCTGCCGGTGCATTTTGCTCTGGCTATCAGTGAAGATGCCCTGTTGCCAGGATGGTGCCTGACGTCACCACCATCTGGAGGTGCATGCCTGGGGATCCTTGGATATTTACTGTTTTCACACAGTTATGCTAAATCTTGTAGAATTCTATCAGTTATATTTTATCTGTAGCATCAGAAGGAATTTCAGGAACTGAGTCGTATTGAAGAATATGGCTTTTGGGATGTCTGGCCTCAAAATGGCAACTTGCTTAATGTGGTGATGTACCTATTTTGAACCTCCCATCTCATGTAGGCTTGGGCTTTCAACACGTTAATCATCACCACTGTTTCCTGTGCAAACTAAAAGGCAAACCTTCCTTGTGATGGTGGGTGAGGCATGGCTCGCTTGTCAGCAGGAAGCTGCTGCCTAGTTTCTGTGCAAAATGCCCCAGAGTTTAGATGAAGAAACTTATAGGAAACAAACCCAGTTACCAAAGGCAGGGATGGGGAACCTGTGACCCCCTAGATGTTTCTGGAGTAAAACTCCCATCATCCCTGACCATTGGCTATGCTGGTTGGGCTGATGGGAGTCTTGCTGGATCAGTCCACTGTTAGAGGAAGTATGTCTCTGAATAGGTAAAAAAGGTAAAAGACCCCTGGACGATTAAGTTCAGTCAGAGGCGACTATGGGGTTGCGGCACTCATCTTGCTTTCAGACCGAGAGAGCCGGCATTTGTCCACAGACAGCTTTCTGGGTCATGTGGCCAGCATGACTAAACCGCTTCTGGCACAACGGGACACTGTGACAAGTGCCAGAGCGCACGGAAACACTGTTTACCTTCCCGCTGCAGTGGTACCTATTTATCTACTTGCACTGCTGTGCTTTCAAACTGCTAGGTTGGCAGGAGCTGAGACAGAGCAACGGGAGCTCACCCTGTTGCAGGGATTCGAACCGCCAACCTTTCAATCGGCATGCCCAAGAGCAGGCTTCCTCAACCTCAACCCTCCAGAAGTTTTGAGACTACAATTCCCATCATCCCTGACCACTGGTCCTGCTAGCTAGGGATTATGGGAGTTGTAGGCCAAAAAACATCTGGAGGGCCGAGGTTGAGGAAGCCTTCCCAAGAGGCTCAGTGGTTTAGACCACAGCGCCACCCGCTCCCCCATGTCTCTGAATACCAGTTTCTGAGACTTGCAAGTGGGGAGGTTGCCTGAGTGTTCAGACCCTGCTGTGACTGGGAGATCCAGTTGGCCCCTGTGAGAACGGGATGCTGGGCTAATTGAGCCACTGGCCTCGTCCAGAAACGTACTTGTTACATTCTTGTGAAACTAATCATCCGTAAGCTGCCTCAAGAGGGCTTTGCCCTGCAAGGCAGCTTATAATTACACAGAAATGAATGAATGAATTTGTTAGATTTTAGGGTGCCGCAAGACTCCTTGTTGTTCTTGCTGAAAAATACTAACCGAGGCTGCTCCTCTGGAAATTATACTTGCCCTGAACAGAGCATGTCTGTGCGTTGAAAGCAATGGCTTTCGGTTCATGAATGGCATGTTAAGTCAATTAATCATAGGGTTTTTTATTTATTTGAGGGAATGGCTTCACCACCAGGTCCCTAGAGAGTTCAGGCAGAGGTGAGGTTTGAACCAGGAACTCTCTGATTTGTGGCATATAGGCCCTCTTGGCCCCTGCTCTTCCCTAGATCGATGAAATAAGCACACATGGCTACCCACTTTACATTTTCAGGTAGGATGATTTAGAAGGTCTGAATAATAACATCTGTAATGTTTAATTAACATCTGGGGCTTGAAACAAATAAAGTTCCCAAGGCGGAAACGAAAGAAGCTCTCGGAGTCTGTTCTAACCAGATGATGAGCAAACAGAAGCTTGAAAAAAAATGCAGCTTTTCTAGAAGCTTCCTGAAGCTTCCTCCGGTCTTCGAGTGGGTGTTTGATTTTCGTTGTTGTGTATACTGTGTATATACGGACAATGACAATAAATTTATCTATCTATCTATCTATCTATCTATCTCTGGCTTGGCTCAGAAAGCGATTCCTCATCTGCGCCTCTGGTAGTGCCACTGGTGTGACATGCTGCACCGAGCGACTCTGGCAAGAGCCCAGCCAGACGCGGCAATTGTGTCGGGAAATGTAGCGTGGCCATCTGCCAAAGCACAAGGGTTGGTGGTGGAGGGCAGTGGAAGCTATTTTCTTGAATGCAGTCCTAATCGATGGAAGGGAAATGGCCCCAAAAAGAAATGGGCTTGTCATCGCTATGTAGTTGCTGATCTCTGCCAGCGGACTAATGAAACTGTTTTAAATATTTTATTTTATTTTTGACTCTATCGCTTGATCGCATTTGTATTTGTGGCTCCTATGGGAGGAGAGGCAGGGTATAAGTTTAATAAGTAAATAGATAATTGCATTGAGCATTTTTAATTGGCGGGACCTGGAACAAAATGTTCTGGGGTGGAATCCTTCTGTCCGGTCCCCCAGGCAGCTACTGCCATGATCAGGATACTCCCTTCTGTTCCTCAACTCCCTAGCAGGGACTCCCCCAACGACCTTGGTGATGTGGACCATCACCGCTGGCGTCCAACTGTCTTGAGAGACAATGGACTGCACCTCTGCGGGTGAAGTCAAACCGCTGCATTGGCAGCACTGAAGTGACTTCCCTGGGGCGCAAGCCTGGGCAGTGTGTTTGGAGGTCCTGGGCTGCCAAGACAACAAGACCCCCTTCTCGGCCTCGTTGATGTGGCCTAAAGGTAAGCAGAGCAATACATCTGGCAACAGCTGGGCTGCAGGAGTTGCCGGAAGGAGGTGTGCAAGGTGCCATTCAGCCGTCTTAGGGACTCCACTCCGGACTTGTGTAGGGTTTCCTCCTTAGCCTTTTCTTCTTCCAGAGATGCCCCACAAGGGAGTGGAGCCTAGATCGGCTTCCTTCTCAAGCTGATGAGCCCCATCTGATCCTCATTTCCTTCTATATCTTGTGCAGAAGTCATCTTCTTGACCATTGGACCTACTATTGATATTGTCCTCTCCATATAGACAAGCAAAAGACGGTGTTGTAGTTCAATGACACGTTCCCGTTGTAACACCACACAGGGCTGGATTTAGGTTTGATGAGGCCCTAAGCTACTGAAGGTAATGGGGCCCTTTACATGTCCAGCTGTCCTTTATCAACAACAAATTGTTGCTGTTTTTTGTGTTGAATATATGCTACATGGTAATTTATGGACCTAATAGGTATCTAAAGTCATTTGCACATAACAAAATATGTATTTTATCAAAGTGATTGTTGAACTGAAATACAATTAAGAAGAAGTATATTAATAGTTGAAACAAAATAAAAACTTTTTCCTTCCAGTAGCACCTTAGAGACCAACTAAGTTTGTTATTGGTATGAGCTTTCGTGTGCATGCACACTTCTTCAGATATCACAAAAGCTCATACCAATAACAAACTTAGTTGGTCTCTAAGGTGCTACTGGGTCATGTGGCCAGCACTTATTCAAGCCGCTTTCTGAACCAGGCAAGGCGCACGAGCCACCATTTACCTTCCCGCCGGACGGTGCCTGGTGACAGCTACTTGCTTGGCTGTGCTTTCGAACTGCTAGGTTGGCAGAGCAGGGCCGAGCAACGGGCTCACCCATCGCGGTTGGGCCATGAGCCTTCTGATCGCAGAGTCCTAGATACATGGGTTTGTCCACATGCAGTGTCTTTAACACGGCTACCTACCTGTATATTAATAGTGAAATTTTTGTGGGAACCCCAAGAGAGTGGGGCCCTAAGCTATAGCTTGTTTAGCTTATACGTAAATCTGGCACTGCCACCACACCTACCTGCCATTAGGATGAAAATTCCTCCCTAATGTGGGGGACCTTCTCCTCCTTCAAGCCTTCCAACTACATGACTGGGGGGGGGATAAACCTCCCCTCCCCACACCACGGTGACCTGGATTAAAATCAGCAACCCCCACATACATGTAATTAAAGACAAACCAGTGACACGGATATGTGCTGTGCACGAAGCTTAATGTGGAACTTGGCTCAAAGCCAGCTCGCAACTCCTTGCCCCAAAATCTCTCTCTTGCCTCAGGCTAGGAATTAACCATGTCGAAGGAGCAGCTTGCCTCCGACCAGGAGGAGGGTTCTTGCTTGGCTCTGAGAAATGGCTTGCTCCAAGCTGAAGTGACAGCAGGTGTGTTCCTACCCCTTGCTCAGCACCTGTAGTGAGTCAGCCAAAAAGAAAGAAAGAAAGAAAAAGGATTTAAGGCAATTACCTGCTCAGTATGGAGATCTGGCAGGTTTGCTTCTTTGCCCCACCAGACATTTTTGGGTAGGGTGTGCTACTCTTGTTTGAACCATTCATCCTAATGTAATTAGGAATGAGACCCAGATCTCTTCAAAGCCTTTAGCAATATTTTCCCTCAGGAACTGAAGTGGCAGAAGGGGCGTGATGACTGGCGTTTGAATTTTCTGGGAGGGTGGTTGAGGCGAAGGGGTGAAACCCTTAGCCACTGGTGAACTCAAGCTGCATCAGTCCAAAAGAGGGCAAAAGATAGGGATTTGCATGACCTGATTTTTATGGATAGATGCAAATTTAGTAATTAATACTATAATTAAATGGAAATAGGGTAGATTATGACCTGTCTACCAGCTCAGTCTGCTATCCACAGTGCTTACTGTGAATGGGCAATGTCAAGGTCCTCTCATGCTCCTCCTTCTTAGGATGATTTATCCAGTATGTAAAAATCCGGAACTCAAATTAAAAAAGGGAAAAGGGAAAAGAAAGGATGATTTATCCAGTGTTAGAAATGGAGATATGAAAGCTAGGAGCTAAATGGCACCTTAACCCTAGGTCATGGTGCAACACTGGAATGTCTAGGCACACTTTTATATATATATAACAAGAATACAAAGCTTGAAATGAATGAACTGTAGCTTAAATATTATGTTCATTTTTCACATGGTCTAGTCCTTCTCCTGCCCACCCTGATAATATTTTTAAGACGGTCTATTCTTCAGTCTTCAGAGAGTAGCTGGAAGTGGGGAGGCAGAAAAAGGTCCTCCTTTCCTTCCACTCTGCAGTTTTAATCTGAAATCTTAGGCGCAGTACCGCGCCAGAGCTGAGAAACTGCTTGTGCTAATGAAATTCCCTGTCGCAAATGTGCGTAGAACAATGGGAGTTTCGAACACTGGAGTTATCTCTCAACCAGACTTAGACCAGGCAGCCTTTCAAAGATATGGCTGTCCTCTTGCAGAATAGGACACAATGTCCACCCTGAAGAAGAGGAGGAGGGGGAGGAGGAGGAGGAGGAGGAGGAAGAGGAGGAGTTTGGACTTGATATCCCGCTTTATCACTACCCTAAGGAGTCTCAAAGCGGCTAACAATCTCCTTTCCCTTCCTCCCCCACAACAAACACTCTGTGAGGTGAGTGAGGCTGAGAGACTTCAGAGAAGTGTGACTAGCCCAAGGTCACCCAGCAGCTGCATGTGGAGGAGCGGGGAATCGAACCCGGTTCACCAGATTACGAGTCCACCGCTCTTAACCACTACACCACACTGGCTACACCCTGCTCCATGTCACTTTCCTAACTGAACCCCACCCCCTCTGGTATTGCTGTTAGCCCTGCTGGGGGTTAATAGACATGAACCTGTTTCTTTCCCTTAGCCAAATCAGACTCTGGATCTGAAGCTTAGGCCAGGAGGGGGGAATCTTTTGCTTTCGAGATGTTGCTGAACTACAACTCCCATCAGCCCTTGCAAGCATGACCAATGGCTGAGGATGATGGAAATAGTAGGCCAGCAGCATCTGGAGGCCCAATGGTTTCCTATACCTGTGGCAAAGGAGAGAAGGAGGTGGTGTGTGCCCCTTTAAATCTAGACCTCCAGTGCAGCAATAAAAATTGCTAGCACATTTGCAAAGCTAAGCAGGGTCCGGTCCGGTTTAAATTGGATAGGAGACCATGTGTTGATATTGCAGGGGGTTGAACTAGATGACTCTCTGTATTTTCCAGCTATACAAGTCTATGATTCTATTTGTTCTTAGTAGCTTATTCACATGCATATTGGAGAGCCTCTGAATGAAATCATGCCATCGCCCTTCCCTGCTTGTGGATCTGGACTGCATGTAGGACCAGAAGAATAATTACCACCTGCTCAAGTTTATTGTTATGCCTTCAGCACGATTGATCCCTTTTTAAAATGAATATAGTAACAACACTATAGAAGAAAGCAGCCAGCTATGATATCGAAGATCTATCACATGTACACAAATGTGCAAAATCCAGTTGGTTACTTTGCACATAATTAACATTTTAGGCTGGGGTGGAGCTGAAGCCGTTTCAGTTCAAACCACAAGCCGTTTGGTAATCGGTTTGGCACATCTCTGGAACTGGTTCAGTTCTTCGTGTGGGGAAACCTGAAAGTGATTCACTCTGATGATTTTGCAAAGCAAAGGTGGAGCAAGTTAACTTAAGTTAATTAAGCACAGTATGGCTAAATTACTGTGTGTTAGTGTAAGTTCTAGTAAAATTGGTGAGACTTTACTAATGACAGAAGGCTGCCTTTGTGGGTCCTGCGGGATTTAAGTTGAATAAAATTTAGGCATAGTTAAAAGGGAACAATTTCTTTTGAGCTTTCATTTTCCTCTTTCTAGCTCTCCACTGAGTGACTGTTCCTGTTGGGCTAAACCAAAGTATTGGGGTGTTTTTTGTTTTTGCATGGATGAAAGTGCATGAAATAAAAGTAGCAAAACACTTGGTCTCTGCTCAGAAACAATGCTAAACCACAGTTTAGCATTAGGGGAACGAGTCCTTCTGCTTCCTTCACATGCATCGGGGGGGTCAAAACATCCTGTTCTCCTTTTAGGACTTCCCACAGTGCTCTTTGCTGTCCAAGCTCAGGGAACGGTGGTTAGTAAAAACAAACTAGGCTCAAACAATTTGAGCCAGGTTCTAGCTCTTATACATGTAGCCGCATGGCTTACATTGCTGGTAACAAGTCCTGCTGCCATTCTCAGAACCTTTGGGCCGCCCACTATCCTTCCTTGCCTGCAGACGTTGCTTTCCAGAAAGGCTTGTTGCCTTGAGGCATCCACACTCCTTAAACTGCAGCTGTGTTGCAGGAGAGCCTGTTGCAACATCTGATTAGGGAAAGGAAGAAATAACATATAAAGGAAGTATGTTTTTGGATTGCCTTCTCAGAGTGCTACTGCTGCTTTGCTCGCTGGCACCTTGCATCACGAGCTGATGTGGTGATGCAACTCTCTGGGCTTAAATTACTTTCTCTCGCAGTTGGCAAGCGGCCTTGGCCCCGCTTTTGCCAGCTGGCTGAAGGCAGAAACAGACTGCCGTTTCCTTGTTCACAATGGATTTTTTCGGGTGTTTTACATAATCTGGAACTTGTCAGACGGGCTCCCAGGCCTTGTTTGCCATTGTCCGCTGTTCAGAGTTTACCCAACTTCCAGGATTGACTTCCAGCACTGCTTACTTGGAAAGGGGGACGATGCAAGCTTCCCAGCCAGAGGGTGTGGGTGTGTGGGTGGCAGTTGGCCTAATTATTTTCCAAAGGAACTGTTACTGTGTTTGCCAGAGGTTCAAGCAGCTTCTCGGAGCTCAGCAACGCCCTGTCCAGGGCTGCGAGGTCTCTCCTTTCTGAATGGTTTTTCTTTTGTCTCTCGCCTCTCGATGAGGGAACCCTTAATGGTCAGGTAATGGACAGACTGTGTTCTTGTGTGTGTGTGGGTGCCTGCTTGCCTCTGTCTCCAGGATGTATTCGGGCTCTCAAACTGGCTAAATGCAGCTTCAGATTCGGAATGGAGGGCATGATGAAGCTGCTCATCTGACCTCCCTCCTGCTGTGTCGCTGCTTCATACCAGGACGGGGATAGGTGAGGTGGTGGCCAAGTTGTCACTGTGCAAACACACCAGCGGAGCCAGTCTGGTTGTCCTGCTGGTGTGTTTGCACCATGCTGACCTCACCTCTCTCCCCTTTCCCCATCCCAGGATGCAGCAGCAACGTAGCTGCAGGGAGGTCAGGTGAGCGATGCAGCCCCACCATTCTGCCCGCTACTGAAAACAGCCGCAGCAAATGGGATATGACAGTTGTACACAAAATGTGGAGCTGAAGGGGTGGAATATGTGGTTGGTAAGTGATAATGTTCAGTTGGAATTTTTTTTGGGGGGGAAATGGAACACATTGTTTGTTTGTGTTTATTACACTTTTAAATGACAGGCAATATCTAGGATGGCGTGTATGGAAATTACATAAAGACAGAATGCACTCGGTTTCCATATTTAAAACAAACTGCCCAAGCTATATTAAAAACCTGTTCTTTTGAGCTTGAATAGCCTCTTCTTCACTTTAATTTTCGGGCAGGTAATGCTCTGTCACATCCTTATAGATACCATTAAAGTACTCCTTTTTTTGGGTGCTGGTTAGTTCCTGAGCTAAGGCAGATTCAGAAAGGCATAATTGCTGTATAGTAGACAGATGCCTATGGGAAACTCAGAAGCAGGACCCGGGGACAAGAGCGCTCTCCCCTTCCTGCAGGTTCCAGCAACTGCTTTTCAGAAGCATTACTGCCTCAGATCGTGTTTGATTTGTGGATCCAGCATGATGGAAATACCTTCGTTGCTTCAGACTTCTAAGATGGTAATGGCATTTTCTCTCTTTCCTTTCTGCCTCAGGCAAACTGGTTTCTTGTGACACGAGCCTCTTGGCGAAGCCTAATTTACCTGTTGCGTTGTGAAGAATTATGACTTTGACGGGTGTATATGCAGAAGGGATGAAACAAACAAGGTAAGGTTGAAAACAAAAAGGCATGTAAAAGGTGACAGCATCACTGGGTGGAATTTTGTTGTGGGAGCAATAAAATTAATCATTTGTGACTCCAATGGTACCTTGGTTCTTGAACTCAAACTGTTCTGGAAGTCAGTTCGACTTTCAAAACGTTAGAAAACCAAGTTTGCGGCTTCTGATTGGTGGATTGGAAACAATGCTGACAGCTGGAACAGACATTCGCTTCCAAAAAATGTTCGCAAACCGGAACACTTACTTTTGGGTTTGCGGCGTTCAGGAGCCAATTTGTTCAGGAACCAAGGTACCCCTGTACTCTGAACTTGGTACTTAATTGGGTGACGTCACTACCTTGGCCTTATTTGAAGTTTGTGCCCCAAATTTAAAGAAATCTTAAAAGATTTACCTTACTGGTTGTTAGCCAGTACAGTCGTACCTTGGATCTCAAACGCCTTGGCTCCCGAACAAATCGGCTCCCCAACAATCGAAACCCAGAAGTGAGTGTTCTGGTTTGCAAACTATTTTTGGAAGCTGATCGTCTGACGGGGCTTCCGTGGCTTCTGATTGGTTGCAGGAGTTTCCTGCAGCCAATCAGAAGACACGCTTTGGTTTCCAAACGTTTTGGAAGTCAAACGGACTCCGTTCGACTTCCAAGGTACGACTGTAGATTAAATCTATATAAACTTGCATATAAGAGAAATAATAGTTCTAAATAGATGACATGTGCTTTCCCGCTCCTGGCATTAGGTAGAGTGAGGCAGCCACAGGGGAGGACCTTGACACCCCCATGCAGCCCTCACAGTGCTGCCTTCCCAAAGCCAGGTAAACAAAGTGCTGGAAGGAGGTGTGAGGGCAGTGTGGTGTAGTGGTTAAGAGCGGTAGTCTCGTAATCTGGGGAACCGGGTTTGAGTCTCCGCTCCTCCACATGCAGCTGCTGGGTGACCTTGGGCCAGTCACACTTCTTTGAAGTCTCTCAGCCCCACTCACCTCACAGAGTATTTGTTGTGGGGGAGGAAGGGAAAGGAGAATGTTAGCCGCTTTGAGACTCCTTAAAGGGAGTGAAAGGCGGGATATCAAATCCAAACTCCTCTTCTTCTTCTCCTTCTTCTTCTTCTTCTTCTTCTTCTTCTTCTTCTTCTTCTTCTGTGACAGGGTCCTAGAGACCTCCTTCCTCCTTCCCAAAGCCCAATAAGTGCTTGCCCATCGCCCTGCTCCCTAGATCCACCTCTGCAGCCACCTGAGGCAGATGATTTTGGGAGTCACGTAAGGGCATTAAACTGCTTGCTGTATTGTGATGGTGATTGTATTTTATTGCCAGGGACGGGGCAATGCCCTTGTAGGATTTTTCAGCCTTGGCTGCTAAAACAACTTAGCTAGTCTTGAGTATTATGCACCTTGGTTGAGGTTCTTTTGGGGGGTTGGGAGGAGGAATTCCTGCTTAAATGTCCTGGGCCAGCTCTGCTTTTTTAAAATTTCTTAAGTGATGCACATATATATCATTTAATGATGGTAAGCATCGTTCTAGAATAGGAGCTACCTATTCTTTGTCACCCAGGAGGAAATGGCTCTTTTGAAAACAGGCACCTGCCACCTGCCCCATTTACCGTATTTTTTGCTCTATAGGACGCACTTTTTCCCCTCCAAAAATTAAGGGGAAATGTGTGTGCGTCCTATGGAGCGAATGCAGGCTCCTTGGCTTCAGCAATAGCAATGCAAAGCCTCCGAAGCACAGAGGGCGGCTATCCCTGAAGCCTTCGGAGCGCAGCGCGAGTTCCTGCAACGTGAGAATCTTGCTCTCCAGGCTTCAGGGATAGCCGCCTGAAGCCTTCGGAGCACAGCGCGAGTTCTCGCTGCGCTCCGGAGGCTTCGGGTTCCTTTTGCTGAAGCCGGGAGAGGAAGACTCTCCTGGCTTCAGCAGAGAGGGAGAGCTGTGCAGCACCCCTTCAGCCAAGCGGGAGGAGAAATGGAAGGGGCTCTGTTTCTCCTGCCGCTTCGCTGAAGGGGTGCTGAGCAGAGAGGGGGAGAATTTGTTTCCCTTGTTCTCCCCCTCTAAAACAAGGTGTGTCCTATGGTCCGGTGCGTCCTATAGAGCGAAAAATACGGTAATAGAGATCATCCATTCTTTGTTTCAACTTAGCACCTGAGAGGCCAGTCCCATTAAGGCTTCAATCCTAAACTTGCTTGCTATCCAGGAAGCCCCACTGAGCACAGTGGGAGTTACTCCTGAGTGAACATGCATAGGAACACAACATTGGCCTTGATGGTCCACTTGGTGGTGCTTACTTTTGAGTAGGTAATAATAATAATAATAATAATAATAATTTATTATTTATACCCGGCCCATCTGGCTGGGTTTCCCCAGACACTCTGGGCGGCTCCCAACCAAATATTAAAAACATGATAAAACATCCACTGTTCTTGCAGTCAGCAGGTAGTGGTCCGTGAGTATTTCCGCATAGAGTGGTGCCCTCTCATGTGATAGTACAAGAAATGCACGCTGTAAATCAGGAAACTTGGCATTCTTCCACAATAGTAAGATAGTTGCTTATTTCCTTCACATCTGAAGGGAGGGCGTTTCTCAGGGCGGGCACCACTACCGAGAAGGCCCTCTGCCTGGTTCCCTACAACCTCACTTCTCACAGTGAGGGAACAGTCAGAAGGCCCTCGGCGCTGGACCTCAGTGTCCGGGCTGAATGATGGAGGTGGAGATGCTCCTTCAGGTATACTGGGCCGAGACCATTCAGGGCTTTAAAGGTCAGCACCAACACTTTGAATTGTGCTTGGAAACGTTCTGTGAGACAGAGTAAGGTCTTTCAAGTGTTTGCACTGCACAGTTACTACAACTGCAGGCTTTATGGTTTTAACGCCAGCTTTCTCTCTCTGCCTCATATTCCACTCCTGTTTTTTAGCGTCCTGCCTGATGAAGAAGTCTGAAGAACTTGAAAGCATATTTGCTAATTTGTGACATTTTGGTTGGTCCTAATAAAGGTCTTGCCTGCTGCAAGTGGCCCAGGCTGCCACCCCAAGCTTGCCAAAGACAACATTTCTTGCAACATCTCTCCAAAACCCCTGAGGAATGTTGTGAAGAAGCTATTACCACTTTAATGACTCATTTGCTTCCTTGAAACCCAACCTGTAAGCAAACCCTAATCGGTGACTCTAATCAAGGGGTGTATCTCAATGCTTTCCAAATGCCCCACCCTGCCTTGCCATAATACCTTTTTTCCCCCCAAACTGAGGTCCATTAATAACCTTCCTCATCCATCCTGAGCACAAGCTTCCCTTCTTGCTACATTGCAAAGGATCACCGTGCGAGAGATGTAAGCAAATCCTCTTCTTAGAAGTGATTTGCAATTCATTTTGGCTAGGCCCGCAGATAGTAATTACTTTTGGCCACGGCTGACCTCGGCCCGGATTTGAGCAATAGATCTAGTTTACGTGTCTTTACCAATTCTCCGAGTTGCCTGCTCCCGCCAACTGTGCTGGGTCTGTGCTGCAAGTGGTGCTCTGAGGCTGGTGCTAGAGGACAGGGCGTGTCAATGAAGGGCTGGCAGAAGTTGGATTGAGCTCTCCTGGTAGAGTGCTGGATGCTTTGTAGTAGAGCAGCAAGGATTTCCGACTCCCAATGGTCTAACAGCAACAACTAAACTTACAGTCGTACCTCGGGTTACATACGCTTCAGGTTACATATGCTTCAGGTTACAGACTCCGCTAACCCAGAAATAGTACCTCAGGTTAAGAACTTTGCTTTGGGATGAGAACAGAAATCGTGCTCCAGTGGCACAGCAGCAGCAGGAGGCCCCATTAGCTAAAGTGGTGCTTCAGGTTAAGAACAGTTTCAGGTTAAGAAGGGACCTCCGGAACGAATTAAGTACTTAACCCGAGGTACCACTGTACACCCCCTTGCAAGTTAGACTGATGAAAAGAACACTTGGGGGAAAACCAGGAGTGGATTTTTGTGTGGAAGGGCTTGTAAGGTCAGTTCTGGTTCTGTTAATAAGTGTCCAGATTAAGCATGTGCTCAGAGACCATCTCCCTTCCTTTTTAGCATATGCTTGCCTGCCTGATCCACTATCTTATACAGGCATAGGCAAACTCCAGCCTTCCAGATGTTTGGGACTATAATTCCCATTATCCCTGACCACTGGTCCTGTTAGCTAGGGATGATGGGAGTTGTAGTCCCAAACATCTGGAGCGCCGGAGTTTGCCTATGCCTGATCTTATACCTGGCTGTAGCTGGTGAACATGATGGATCTAAGAAAAAAAGTAGTAGATCCTGCCAGCCTTAAAGCAGCCCACCCCTGGTATTGGGGATTGGCTACAAGATTTTCTGGACCCTCTAACCCACAGACAAAACAGGACACACATTTGCATATTCTTTGTGTCATATGCAAATATTTGTCCCTTTTTGCAGTTGGAGTAGAGTGTCCAAAAATAAACCAGTGGCCACACATGTAATAAAATAATGAAAAGTCTGATAGGCAGAATCTGACCAGGTGAAGCTTTCCCTGATAATTGTGTTTCCATACTAGAAAAAGACTTAACTGGTTGAATTTCTGCCTGTCACACAGCTGTTATAGGCACAATAATCCCAATTCTCCCCAAAGCCCAATACTAAACCCAAAGCACGGTTCCCACTAATTTCCAAGGGTTTTGTTAATTTGCTCCTCCTGATCGTGCTTGCTAGCACCTCTCTGGGGGATAAAGCACATATCTGAGTGCACATGGCAACGTTTGAGGGAGAGTCCTGGCGTCTACATGCAGTGTTTCTGCCCTCTTCCTTCACCCTGCTCATCATTTTTCCTCCTCTAATGTTGCTCCCCACCTCCACCCCATTCCTGATCAATGTATGTATATCCATTATCTCCCCTTATCGAGCCATCAAGTCTTCTTTGAAACAGGGAAAACGC